CCTAACCCTAACCCTAACCCTAACCCTAACCCTAACCCTAACCCTAACCCTAACCCTAACCCTAACCCTAACCCTAACCCTAACCCTAACCCTAACCCTAAGCACCTTAATAATACTAAAGGAAATATAAGAAACTATTTAGTTTAATATTAGAAATAGTATAACTACTTTACTTATAATAGGATTACTATATAGATCTTATAGATAGAAAAATAATAAAGTTTTTTCTAATTTATAACCTTAGTAAAGTAGAACTTAAAACACTTTAAGAATAAATATAAGAACAGCTAGAAAAAGAATATATTAAACTATTTACCTTATAAGCTAAATACCCTATTATATTTATACTAAAGAAAAATAGGAAACTTAAATTAATTATTAACTATAAACAGCTAAATAAGATTACTATTAAGGATTAAACCTTATTACTACTTATTATAGAAATTTAAAACTGCTTAACTAATATAAATTAGTTTATTACCTTAGACCTTAAGGGAGCATATAACCTGATTTACATCCGTGAAGGGGATAAATAGAAAATAGTGTTTAAAACATGCTATAAATTATTTAAATATTTAGTAATACTATTTAAGCTAATTAATACACTAGCAACTTTTTAATAAATAATTAACTATATACTATAAACATATATTAATAACTTTATAATTATATACTTTAATAATATTCTTATTTTCTTAAAAACCCTTAAAGAATATAAGAAACATATTTATTAAGTATTATAAACACTATAAGACACTAACCTACTAGTGGAACTTAAGAAATACAGTTTTTATATTTAAGAAATTAAATTCCTAGAATACTTAATCTCACTAGAACAAGTCTAAATAAACCTAGATAAGCTAAAAGTAATATAAGAATAAGAGCTACTTAATATAAGAAAGGGCATGTAAAGCTTCCTAGGTCTAGTAAACTACTATTAATAGTTTATTAGGAACTATAGTAAGATTACTAAACTACTTACAAATGCTACTTAACTTAAAAAAAATAAAAAAGGCAAGAAGAAATAAAAAGATAAGAAACTTATATACTAATCTAAAATGGAAGAAGCATTTAAATAACTTAAAAATACACTCCTTAGTAAACTTATACTTATTATATATAATCCTAATAAACTATTAAAGATTAAAACTAATTTATTAAACTTTGCTATTAAAGGAGTACTAATATAAAAAAACAAAAATAGGAAAAACTATCTAGTAGCATTCTTTTTATAAAAACTATATAAACTAAAGCTAAGATACCCTATTTATAACAAGGAATTTATAGCAATTCTTAAAGTATTTAAAGAATAGAGATATTATTATTTAGGAAGTAAGTATAAGGTTAAGGTTTATACTAACTACTGTAATATTATATATTTTACTAAAACTTAGAAACTTTCCGCATAATAAATATAGTACTTTAAGACACTTTTAGACTTTAACTATAAACTTATTTACTGTAATAGCACTACTAATAGATAAGTAAATGCCTTAAGCAGGAAAAAGGAACTCTTTAAAGATATCCCTAAAATTAAAACTTAAGTGCTACAGCTAAATAAGCAAGGCAACTATAAACAAATATATATTAATAATTTATTTGCAGTTAAAGAAAATCACCTGGTCCTTAATAAAATTAGAACCTGATTTAAAGGACCATAACCCAATAATCTTTTACTAGAAGACCTACCTGGAAAAGTTATTCTAAAGAATAGTCTGCTAATGTAGGAAGATAATAAAATTTGGGTCCTAGAAGACTTATAGATTAAAGCTATTAAATATATGCATAATAGTATAATTGCTGTAGTATATTAAGGCATTAAGACTACTTATAAACACTACTAATAATATTACTATTTCCTAGGAATAAAAAGGAAAGTAATTAATATAGTCTTAAAGTGTGATATTTGCTAATAAGCCAAGGGCTCTAATTATAAACCATATGGGAAATTACAGCTACTACTAGTGCTATAACAACCTTGGGAGTTAATCTTATTTAATTTTATTACTAAGTTACTGCTATTTAAAGAACTAATCACTAAGGTTAAATATAACAGTATATTTATTAGAATTAATAGATTTATGAAAATAGCTTATTTTATCTTATTTAAAGAAGCTAGTAACACTAAAAAATTAGCTTATATAATAATAAGATTTATTATAAGTAATTATAGGTTACCTAGAGAAATAATTTCTAATTAAGGAAACACATTTATCTTTAAGTTCTAGAAAGCACTTACTACACGCTTAGGAACTAATTATAAAGCTAGTATAGCTTACTATCCGCAAATAGATGGATAAATAGAAAGGATTAATTAGATTATTAAAGCCTATTTATACTGTTATATTAACTTTAAATAAGACAACTGGGTAGAATTGCTATTAATTGCATAGTTCTTATATAATAGCGCCCTGTTAGAATCTATAGGCAAATCCCTGTTCTTTTTAAACTATGGATTTAAACCTGAAGCTTATAGACTGCCTAAGCAAGAAGAAGACATTGAAAAAGCAATGATTAAGGCAGAAAAACTAATTAAGCTCTATAAAGAACTGTGATAATAACTCAAATTCATTAAAAAACAAATAAAGAAGTTTGCTAATAAACATAGGCTTAAAGGACTAACCCTTTAGGAAGGGGATATAGTTTATTTGCTTTAACATATAAAAGGAAGTAAATAAGCAAATATTAAAATAAACAGGCTAAGTGATAAGCTTGACTTTAAGAAACTTAGGCCCTATAAAATCTTAAGAAAAATTAAGGATATTAATTATAAACTTGAACTCCCTAAGAAACAGGAAAAACAAGGAAAACTAATCTTCCTAATTTTTTATATTTTACTACTAGAAAAAGCATAAGTAAATAAGAACACTAGAAGAGCAATCTAAGATAAAATTATTATTAAAGGCGAAGAACTTAAATATAAGGTTGATAAAATAACTTTGCTAAAAATAGATAATAAAACTGGAGAAACCTGCTACCTAGTGGAATGGAAAGGATATGATAAAAGCGCAGATAGCTGGGAACTAGAAGATAACCTTAAACATGCTGGCACTGCTTTAAAAACCTTTTAAAATAAACTTTATAAATAATTATAAATATAATAAGAATAAATAAGGGAAGAACCTAATAGCCCTGGAAAAACACTTAGGAATAGGACAAAGGAACACCCCCTAATAAGGCAAGAAGATTTGGATTTAATAACTCTAAATTGACGCCTAAGGAAAGCTAATTAATGTTAATAGACATAGGGTTAAGAGAATCCAGAAGCAGAGCTTCCTCCTCTTGAACTTGCGCTAACTTAGCTTAGCGCTCCTCCTTAACCTAACGATTAGCGGCCTCTAATTCCTCTAAAGATTTAAAGCTATAAGAAATTATCTCCGCGGCCTTCTTATGCAGTTGTTGCTCCTGCTTACAAATACGACGGAGATAAGCTATTGCCTCCTTAAGAGCTTCTTCCGCCTACTCCCGCTAAGCAGCTAAATGATTTTTCTTATATGTAACATAAGCATTTAAATAGTTAGATAAAAAAGCATTAAAGAAAATAAGATAAGGGAAAATAATACATATGCCTTTGCGCTTATGCTACCTATATTATAATCCGGTAACTTGTGATAAACGCAAGTATAATAATGCGCTAAAGAACCTTCTGTAATGAAATAAGCATGTTTTGTGCTTTAACAAGGGGTACACTAAGGTATAGTAAAACTAAAATCTTTAATAAATTTAGCTAAAGGAATTAACATGACCTTAGGCTTCTTAGGAATCTTGCGCTTAGTAACACTATGACTAGATATGATGGATAGATGAAAGGAAAAGAAAACACTTACTTATAAAAAAAAAAAAAAAAAAAGGGATGAACTCCTATAAGGGATTTATGCTATGACAAGGATGGTCTTAAGGATAAGACTAACAGGAGAGGGGTATTATATTATAACCTAACACCTATGGTTGCAATAATTGGCCTACCTAGTAGGTAATAACCTGGATAAATAATAGACCTTTCAACCAATAGGATCAAAGTTGTGTTAAGTTAACACAACTGCATATGATTACAGTTGTGCTTAGTTAACATAACTATAGATAACTTTACCTAGGTTAACTAGATATATAAGTTTACTTTTTTATACTTATTTAAATAACTTAAATAGCTAGTTGTTAATATAAAATTAAGATTATAATATGCTTTACACTTCTACCATCTGGTGATATTGTTTACTATTGCCTATATTACCTATTAGGTTTCCTAACTACTCTGCTAACATAAACCTAGAATTATCTACTAGGTTTATCCCTTGGGAATCTACCCTATACTAACTATCTAGTGTACAGTTTATCACAAATAACTAACTATCTAAGTTTTATTTAATAAGCATAATAAACAATTCTTATATAGTAAGTTATTCTATAGTTATTACTAGTGTAAGTCTTATAATACCTAATAAAAATACACTCCTAGAGCTGTGTTCTTATCTTATAAGTAGGTACATATCCTACTAAGAGAGGGAGTCCCACACCCTAATTAGTTATAGCCTTCTAGTGTATTACCAAAGGTATATACTAAAAGGATCCTTATGTGGTTGGTTTGTAATAGTTTTAGTTTATTATTTATAAGAATAGCTAATACTATTATAGGTATTATAATAAGTGTTACTTAAGGGTTTACCCTTAGTAAATTACTAAGTTATTATTATAAATTATTAATAGTTTATATATATTAAGTAATAGTTTATTAGTTTATAAGGTATTATATATATAAGTTTTAGATTATATATTTTATATTTTTTATATAAGTTCTAGCGCTTTATTTTTATTACTTATATTATTTATATTCTTATTTAAGAGCTTTTATTAAAGTATTTTACTAGTTATAAGCTATTTTTACTAATATATTTTTAAATTTAATAATACTATTTAACTAGTAATTACTTAAAGCTTAGCTCTTATAATTAATATTATATTCTAGAATATTAAAAGTTAATATTTATATTCTTTAATCCTATATTACTTATAAAGTCTAATAACTATTTAAATAAAAGTTATTAATATATAATAAACTATATATTAAATAATTAATATAAGGTAAATTCCTAAGGGATAAACCTAGTAAATAATTCTAGGTTTATATTAGTAAAGCAGTTAAGAAACTTAATAAGTAATATAAGTAATAGTAAATAATATTACTAAATAGTAAAAGTGTAAAGTATATTATAATCTTAATTTTATATTAATAACTAGCTATTTAAAACTATCTTTAAGTAAGTATTAAAAGTATATATATATCCTATTATTTACTAATATTTACTTTTCTAAAGTAAATATTCTTTATATTAGGAATTTATTTACTAGTATTTACTTCCTTAAAGTAAACATAATCCTAATTAGCTATATTAACTAATAGTTTCTCTATTACATATACCCTATAGGTTCATTTATTATAACCATAAGTTATTAGGTTATAACATTTATATTAGTAAAGTAGTTAAGAAACTTAATAAGTAATATAGGTAATAGTAAATAATATCACTAGATAATTGTCACGACCTAACCTTTATGGTCGCAACCACGGGGGCCCCGGGTAGGTCGCCCCGGACTAACTAAGGACCGACCTAACCAATGAAAACCGGATCTAGTAACATTTCCTAGATCCCCAGAGGATCTAGAGAATTCCTCTAGATCCAACCATGGATCTAACAATCTTTTATAGATCCCGCCTAGATCAACTGGATATATAAGTTTACTTCTTTACGCTCATTTAGATAACTTAGATAGCCAGTTGTTAACACAGAATCAAGATTGCAACACGCTCTGCACTTCTACCATCTGGTGACATTATTTACTATTGCCTACATTGCCTATTAGGTTTCCTAACCGCTCCGCTAACATAAACCCAGAATCATCTACTAGGTTTGTCCCTTGGGAATCTACCCTATACTAACTATCTAGTGTATGGTTTGTTATAATAATAGAAGTGTAAAGTGTGTTATAATTTTAATTTTATATTAATAACTAGCTATTTAAAATTATCTTTAAGTAAGTGTAAGAAGTGTATATATATTCTATTATTTACTAGTGTTTACTTTTCTAAAGTAAATATTCTTTATATTAGGAATTTATTTACTAGTATTTACTTTCTTAAAGTAAATATAATCCTAATTGGCTATATTAGCTAAAGGTTTCTCTGTTACATATACCCTATAGGTTCATTTGTTATAACCATAAGTTGTTGGGTTGTGACAACTAGCTATTATAAGTCTTTTGAACTTATATAATTGCATTAGAAATAAATCTTAATATTTAGTACCCCTTGTATTTTAGGGATCCTAGATTATCTAGGAAGTATTATATTAACAAATTGGTTACTAGTACTTCCTTCATTTTCTATTTGCTCTTCAAAAACAGCCAACCCATCATCCATGCCAACCGACTCATTATCATTATCATCACTCTCCTGTCCATCAATACTGCTGTTTCGAAAGCGAGCAATCTGGTGTATGTTTTGAAAATTTGAGGTATTCGAAGCAAAGAAAGAATGGCTGTTATACAAACTCCTTCGTTGGCACACAAATCCCATCGGTGTATGCAAAATGTCGAGCGTCTGGCGCCTGTACGTTAACCATTCCTGCAAGAAATTGAGCGCTTTCTTGAAAGGAAATCCGCAAGTCATGAAGGTCCTGCCATTGCTTATTTCATCTCTTCCTTCATCAGAGACAATACCCAGCCAAAATAGCAAATACTTGTATTCCGAGTAATTAAAGTAGAGCCTTCCGGCTACTATGCCAATCTCAACGGCGAGAAATTCAGGGAACAAGGTATCGTTAGTCCAGGAAGGGATAGTATAGTAAACAAGGCTGTTGAAACTTTGCATAGACCTGGTCACTGGTGCTGCATAACAGAGTAACCAGACACAAGGCTTCTTCTGATCTCTTAGCATCGGCATGATGGATTCAAGTTCTTCGGATATGATGACAAGAGCAGTCTCAGTTGAAGGACTCCAAAGGACCCATTCCACAGGGCGCTGCACACAAGGTCAGGTACATCTAAAACAGCAATAAATAGAGCGTTTCTTACAAGTATATCAGGTTCCGTTTGAAGTTTACTGTTAACAGTCGTGTTGGCAAACTCCCGCGAAACAAAAAGCCTTGAGGCCGTCTTCTTGACTTTAAACTTGCGCCCAATTTTTGTCATACCAATAAACTCAAAAGCTTGCAAGTATGGGCCTCCAGCTTCCAATCTTCCAGTAACGACGAAAGACTTGATGAAACCAGCAAGGCCAGGAAATTTGCGTGGCGTGTACTGCATATCACTTTGCTTTTCTCTGACCTGCTCGACCTCAAACTCAACTTCTCGTTCTTGTTCAACTTCCATAAAGGCTGCAGCAGGAGTTAACGCCTCGCTTGATGCGGTATGTCTCTTGTTATCAAGCACAGAAGAGAACCTCTGTAGCTGTGTAAAGTCAAAGTTGGTCTTGTCCGTTTGTGGAGCTGAAAATCTCGTGCTGTAAAGCTGTTCGAGTGTTTGATGCTCCTGGAGTTGTATGACGCCGAGCAGTTTCTTCAAGGCACTTTTGTCGGTGAGGAACTCGGGGTGCTTCCATAACGCGTTGGTGCGATGGCAAAAGTTGAGACCCTGTGCAATATGGAGCGGCATCATCTGCTCATTAAATTTGCAGCTCTGCTCTAGCAACCAACGAACCACGTCGACTGAAGTCACGATATGGGTTGACTCGAAGATTAGTTCACCTCTCGTATGCTCAGTTCGAAGGTCGAGTATGCTTCGATAGACCTCGGGGGGGGCTACAAAGGTGACAGATTGAGTTGATCCTAGCTGGCGTAGTCTCATTGCCGCTGTATTTGTCAGTAAACAAGTCTCAGACCATGATTATATTGGAGACCCACCCTGAACAGTCTGATCCTTTGTTTGACCAAGACTCAAAGTCACCGCCCCTCTGGCGTGAACCGGAAGCTTCAAATCCGTACCTCGAGTATGTCCTTCATCGATATAGATAACACAAGACTCCAAGTTTTCTGCAAAAGGACTCGCAAGAAGCGGCATCGGAGTCTTTTGAAACTTTGCTCGGACCAGAATGTCATTGTTTTTTCCAAAATACACGGCGCCTTTAGCATCCGTATCAATGTCCAGCCAAGCTCCAGCGACGTCATAATTGTTCATTTCAAGAATGTGAGCACCAGCATCAATCAAGATACGTATCTTTTCCCGATGCAGAAGCCTCAAGGTCTCCTCCTCTGTCAGATGGTGGCCGTTCCAATCAGTTGCTTGAATGCATCGCATGTTTCGGTCTTGCATCAAGTAGCATAGTACCTCCGCGTTGGTCTGAACAAGACTAGGTAAATCGTCTTGTTTAATCGTCTCTGGGAGCATTCTCTTATTATCATTCGTACCACTAAAGCCTGTTGTTACATTCTGTGCATGCTCAGCGTTGCGAAGGGAATCCTCGTTGGACATTAAAGGTATATCCCAGCCAGATGCCTGAAGCTTGATGCTGAATTGCTTGGCATGGACCGGGAAGACAAAAGAATTCATATAGTCGTTGAGAATGTTACGATCTACTCTCAGGTGCTTCCATAGCTGAGCTACTTGCGCATCGTCATCCGGGTTGATGAGATTCCAATGCTGAAGAGATTGTGGCAGCGTGTTGCAGCTGCTGATCCAGCGGTCAAATTGTGCCGCCGAATCATCTGCTTCGACAACCTGCTTTAAGCTTCTGTAAATCTGAGCCTTTGTTAGGCCAGTCTGGTAGAAAGATAGACATGTAAGCAAAATCGCAGTGTCTGGGTGACCGTACTCGGCCGTCTGCGAGGGAACACCCTTAGCTTCGAAAGGCACGGCAATAGGTGCTCGCTCGGGATGGAGGCCATATTGGACATTCCAGCGCTTCTTCAGACATAGGAGAATTATACGCTGAGAGATGAGTCCACGGAGGAGGTGGAGACTGCCCAACCTAAACGAATCTTCTGTCAGAGACATAATAGCTCTCTGCCAAATGTCTTCGGTGACGTTGGCGCCACGAATGATGGCCTCAACGTCCCCTCGAGCGGATCGATCATATGCATCCTTGAGCTGGAGCATGGAGAGTCTACCCTCACAAACATCATTGACCAATAGTTCATTAAGGAAATCCTCTGGTTCCGGCCGAAGGAAGTAAATGATGGGATATCCCCCATGCCTCCGAACCACCTCGACCCCGTCCGGAAATTCCTTTTCCAAGCGTTCAGTGTGGCCTTCGACAAGTGAGAGAAGCTCTTCAACTACAAGCCAACGGTGAGGGTGTCCATCGACCGCCGTCTGGGGACCACTGGGGTATATCAGCTGTGTCTTTGCGGAAAGCGTAAAGTCTGACTCATCAAGAATATCGCGGCACGATTTATCCAGCCACTGCTGGATCTCCACCATTTGCTGGGCAGTCTGGGGTTGATTATCCGCCAAGCGTTGCAGGCCACTCAACTTGAAGGATAAAATGTGTTCTGGAAGACAAAGCATTACACCTCCCGACTCTAATGTGCTTCTGTGCAGTGCCTGGTATCGTTCAAGTGTTTCCGTATTGACTGGAGACCGCCGTGTAAACGGAATATGACGAACAATACGTCCAACCAGTCCACCGAGACGACTCTGGATGATCTGTGCGGTCTGAAATAACAATGCCTTGGGAACAATGAGCCTACACAGGTTTCTCCTATCTGCCAATACTGAAACTGCCATGGGCACGATACAAGACGTCTTGCCTATATTAGGAGTTAGTATTCGCCTAGCACTGGCATATATGACTATTGCCCACTGACCTTGCCCCATGTTCATTTGAAGCACCGAGTTAACTCCCGACGAGGGAGATATAATAGCCCTAGCCACGTCTATTTGTGATTCCCTGATCAACATATCATTGTCAATCTCCAAGAGGAGCCATTCCGCGTTGTCGATCGGTGCCCAGTTCGTGTGACCCTCATAAATATGCTCTTCATCGTGCCGGCGATTATCACCACAGAAGCGCGCGTCCTCTATTCGAAGAAGCCGTTGTAGATGTGTAATTGCGATTCCGCAAGATACTAAAGCCTCCTTCATGCCCTTTCCTAGGCTCATTGGCGTATGGCTTCGCAGCTGCTCAAGGAGCGCCACTCGAGAAATGCACGGCCACAAGTTACCGGCGTGAAGCCATGCGAAGTCAGCCTCATCTTGAAACAAGCTGAACCTAATTGTCTCCATGAGTTGGTCAAGTTCATCCCACGCAGCAGCAATCTCCTGAGACACATCATTTACACGCGCAGCCTTCTCCAGAGACGGTCGTATCACGCGATCTTTCATAAGTGCATCGAGAGAGGCTTCAAGATCCATCATATACTGATCTCGTGCTGATCCTTTGTGTAGAAACGGTTGGATGATTCCTCTCAGCATCGCGATTTCTGGAGGAGGAGCTCTAGCCGCCGAGGGCGCAAGAAGTTGCTCAGCCCTTTCTCTCTTTTTGCCAATTTGCCTCTCTGCCATTCTTGCTACTATCGATGGATTGGAAACATAGGACTTTGTCATCAATCCAGCCGTTAGACGTGGTACTTGATAGGGATGCTTCATGGCCTTTGCTTCGGTAAGTGCCAAAGCTCCAGGCGTGGACTTCCATATGCGATTTTGCGCTTCGCTAGTAATCACGTCTTGACTCTCATATAATTGCTCTACCTTGACGTCGAGCTGCAGCAAGTAAGCGGACAACTCTTGGTTGCCCAAAAGTCTCTGCATTTCTGGCTTCAAGCCCATCCATGCCTTGTTAATGTCAAAAAAACGCAGAGTCAACTGATCTGTCAGTCCTTCGAACTCCTCTGGAGAGGACGGAAAAGCCGGCCACTGGTTAATCAACAGATTTGCTATCTGATCCGCCTCACTGAGAACATGAGATTCATACATAGTCTCTTCAAGAGGCTCCTTATGATGTCTTTGCTTTTTCCAGATACGAGTGAGGAATGTTTGATATGGCATCTGTTTAGATATGATGAGCTTCCTTAGTTGAAGTGTCTGAGGCTTTTCGAAGACAGTAAAATCTATGAACAGCGACTGCTGAGGGGGCGTAGTCGAGTATCCAAGCTCACTTCGCTTGGCTTGCGTTACGAGCCACATGATAAGATTTATATCAGATTGCTCTCCAAATGCAAGTAGAGCCATCATGAAATGGGTGATATAGCTATTTGATAAGCCATGCGAGCGACAGGCCTGTACGAAAGAACCCCATAAGGGCACTATCTCACTTTGCAGAATCATCTGGACGTCCAACGTATTTGAAGAGTGCTGAAACCCTCCAATCACGTCGCGCTTTCTCAACAAATGTTCTAATTTGACAAGTTTCGGAACTCCATCGTTTCGATCTTGTAGGGCTTTGATGGCTCGGTATACTTTGCAGCTGCCCTTTGACGTGGAGTCACGGTCTCGGGGCCTATACGTAGTATCTTGAGCCGCTAATGATAAGACCTTGGATTCTTCGTTATTGGAAACACGCTCATAGAGCTGTCGTCTGATGATGCCACGCATATGAAGATGGGTTGTCGCTCTGACGTCTTCGATGGGAGGCTCGGTTTCTGTGTCAGTTGAAATTTGTAAAGTCTCGAGCTTTTGAGATTGCTGACGTATATTGGCTACAAGTGTGCCTAAAATCTCATGCTGGATATTCATGGTCAGGTTGTGATCCCAAATCACCTTCTGGTATATCTTGCTGCCCGGTGGATAGTAATGTCTCCTCGGTCCAAGGCGCTCTAGCATGGATAAGATCCTTTGTGGGGGAGACTGTAGTGGCGTCCAAGGTTGACTGGATGCCGCGATCAAGCAATGCCGCGCTTCTTCGGATCCGGTGCGTCCTGTGAGCCCATCGGGGATGGGAAACGATGTCATCGCGTGCAGCAATGCCTTAAGATAAAGGAGCAAGGGCTCTGAGGCACAATCAAGCCTACCTAGGACTTGATTAATGTGGAAGCGCGCATACGTGCCCTCGTTCTTCACCTTGACCGAGGTATGGATGTCTTGCTGCTCCCAATAGACTGCCCCAATGGGAACCAAGACACTCCGTTTCCTGTGATTGCTGACATTACGCAAGACTAGTTGACTTGTCAAGCCGTGAAGTGTCCCGGCATCTTGAATCGGATCTATCTCAGAGTGTAGCTGGTAGGACTGAAGCAGCCCACGAATATTGACAAAGAAGCTGACTTCCAGGCGCTTTAATTCAACCCAGTATCGGCTACCTGCTAGTGGCCGGTAGATCGTTAGCTTATCAACGTCCTCGAAACCTTGAAAGATGCCAGCGATCTGAGATCCGACTTTGGAATGTGGATCTATTAAGATGCTGCCCATTCCGGTAGCTTTTCCTCCTAGGATGGGACGAGATCTAGCTTTTTTCCGAATAGCCTGTCTCCTGCGGACATCGAGTATCCAGTTGGACCACTTCTCTTTCCATATCTGAGGCTTTTGTCGCATCTGAAGTTCTCCAGTGTTCAGATTGAGCCAGTGTACGCATTCATCAACCAACCCAGACGGCAGGTCTGCCACTCCTGTTTGCTCTCTGAAGATGTCACGCGACACGTGCTCGATAAGAGAGCCTTTGAAGAGCGCCCTGATAAGAACAGCTCCGTCCCTGGATCCAAAATGGATTTCGTGGCCGTGAACATCATTCACAAGTTGATACTCCATGCCCACGAGCCCAGAAGGTCGTGTGAGCAGGTGCTGTCGGCCAAAGAGCTCTTGTACAGAGGCATTTTCTCGCATCTCTAGAGGCAGTCTTCCAAGTGGCTTCCCATCTACCAGTAAATGGCCCTGTAGCCGGTGGTAATGAACAGTTTGCGGGGCTATTGTCTTTGTTGCGCTGGTCCGCGAGACAAGCCATGAGTTATCTGGCGATGGGAGAGACTTCCACGTGGAAAAGATCCGTTTTCTGGAGCTGCCAACGTCTACCCACGTTTCGTCAATGGCATCTGTCAAAGCAGAACTATAACTAGTAGCCCATGTCTGGATCAAGTCTCGCATAGAGTAGGACATTAACAGATCCCGCTTTAACAAATACTTAAGATCTAGAGATAGCTGGTCGAGGTTCACAAGGAGATTCTCTGACAGCGCAATAGATGCACGGAAAAAATGACATGCGTTCTCTTCATCCAGTTTTACAAAACCCTGATCATGTAGATAAATCGCAAAGGTCTGTCGGCAGAGAAGGGCAGCCCAAAAGGCATATTCGGCTGCTTTGTACACGACGCCTCCGTCCTCTGTCGATCTCACTTCGTCTCGAAGAAGTGTGAGCCAAGTAGAGATTATTGCTCTTATCCTTTGTATCAACTTGAAAACCTTTGGTTTGAAGTCTCGAGGGCATAAGGTGTACAATCTGAGACCAAGAGTAATAACAACGCTCATGCAGGCGGTCTCGCGCCAGTTCGCTGCCAAAACCTCAAGTCTCTTATGTAACTGCTCGTCCATTCTCTGGCAAAAGGCATAGTCTTGGAAGACGAAGTGAGATTCGCGCAAGAAATCCGACTTTTGACAGTAGGGTCCAGCTTGAAGTGAAATGTAATTGATTAGGCTCATCGTAGTGCAACTGCTAAAGTTCATATTCGTCGCTCCGAGCTCCACCAGCAGCACCAGCCAACGTTGCCGATGGCCCGAGAGCACTCTCTGGTAAGCTGAAAACTCATGAGTTGACATGCCAGGAGGACAATTCACCTCGTTGGCTGCAATTTCATACGAACTCGGGCTGCATATGTTATCCGTGGACTGAGGTGGCTTCTCGAACGGATTTGAAATACTCCTTGGAAGCCAGGATCCGAGTAGGTGATGATACCAAGGCACACTAGGCAAATCTTCAAACCAGATGCCGTTCTCTGAGTCATAGAATGAGAAATTCGGTCCAAACGGCAGCAAGATTTCTTCTTCCCTTTTGGGGAGTTTCATCTCACTATAGTGCGTCTGGGTAAAAGACTTGGTGCGAGATGCCAGCATCAATACTGAGGATGGCTTCGACACCCAGAAGGGCTCAAGCTGCTTTATTTCAGTTAAATGGATTACGGGAGCATTTTCACTGTTTGATAATGCCTGGCTCCCAAGTAAAATCAGTTTCCACGTCGTTGTACGGTAATCCATAAGGTATTGCGGTATGGCAAGTTCAAATAGAATCGCATCACGTTGAACTCTATTATTAACGGGTGTGGGAAGTGGAAGGAAGTCCTCATGTATCCCAATTTTGAGTCGCTTTCTGGAACGCTTTTGCCAACACTTCTTGCAACCATGAATATTCAGGGTGCCATCAGGCTCACGAGTGCAGGTACAGACACCTTTCTGGATCGCCTCGGTCAGCCTGTTGTACTGCGCCATGAGAGTATTCAGCTGGTTAACTTTCGTCGTCTTAGATAAGGTCGAAGCGGCATCAATTTTGGCGCCAATATCGAGCATGCTGCTTCCTGGCTTAGTTGACCGGACAAATTCCGCAGCAAATGAGTGCGCGTGAGAGGGCCTGTCGAAGATAGTGCCATACTTTTTGCCGCATGTCTTGACCCGTTTTGCCAAATATTTCTGCACTGCCAAAAGACGAACCATCTCGCCGGTAGTGGAAAAGCAGAGGATGTCAAGTGCTTGTGGGACAAGCATAGGGTGATATTTGAGAAGGATTGGGCATGCCGCTGTAGCAGCTTCATCCATTACAGCCCATAGCTCAAACAGGTTAAGAAGATATCGACTCATCAGCTGTGATTCCCCATTGTACGTGTTCTGGGCCAGTTCCAGGTAATTGAGAATGGCGCCCGACAGTTTTTCACATTTACTCTCCTGGTCACTCGAGGCTTCTTGACTAAGTCTTTTGATTGAGTCTTCGTAGTCAATAAGCGTCGAGCAGCACGTTGCAAGCTCATTCACTTGGGATATGCTTCCAGATCCCAGTGAGAGTTGGTCTATTTGAGTTATTCGGTGCACAGTCCTTAACTTCTGCGACAGCAACCAATTAAGAGTCTTGCCACTGTTGGACAATCTGAGAATGGTGTCGTTGTCGAGAATCCGGGTAGGAAGACGGGGGATCTTTCGAGTAACCCCCTTCTTATACTCCTCCCAGGCATTCGTCACCTTATCTCCCGCGCTTGTTACAGTCTTTTTAAAGAAGTCATGTGTTGCCTCAAAAAAGCCTTCATATACCGATCGAAGCGATGCAGATGCCTGTGATTTCTCAGATTCTAGCTTTGCCAAGCGCCGACATAGCTTAGCCTGAAGCATGAGTGTCTGCTCGGGATGGGAAATTCCAACAGAGTCATTCAGGAGCTGCGCTAGCACCATGCATATGATAAACTTGAAGTGGCAGCGATCCGTGCCAATGTCATCATGGAATATCGAAGAGAGCATTCGTTGAACGGCAACTCGAAGCACCAGCCAATATGGCGATCTTCTCCACGGAAGTGCCGAATCTTCTAAGACAACATCATCTCTGACTCTTTTGTGAACTCGGCGAACCTGAGTCAAATTTCCCATGCCTTCAAGCAAAGACATGAGCATCTCGCTGATCAGAGCAGGACTGGGGGTGTCTCGGACTTCGACAACAGCTTTCTCTCCTTTTTTAGCGCGGGCGGCGAAGCGATCAAAAGCCGTAGAACTAGACTGTTCAAGGAAATCAGACAAGTTTTCCTGGAAAGTGGTGTCGCTGAAATCCCGAAGGCGAATCTCAGCAGCGCGACCTGGAAAGTCCCATTTGAGGGCATTACTCGACTGCAGAATGATGGCAGCTGGTGCGGAAGCTTCAAACGCCTCGAATATGACTGTTTGTGAGCTGAAACAATGAACAGTTAGCCTACGAAAACTTCAAGATCTGGGGTTAACGTCGGACAGCGTACGCACCCGATGTCTTTGTGAATAAGAAGGGCAGCATTCTGCTCAAGAACATGAAGCGCCAGCCAATTATCGTTGTCGCCCTTAGCGAGGAGATGAAAAGCCTCAAGCAAGCTTTCTCTAGAAAGAGAATCTTGATTCAATCGTATGATGATGTTCAAGGAAGATATCAAGGTGTTCCAAATCTTGCCAGGTACCAGTGGATGGAGGGTTACACAAGCCTTTTGCAGCCTCCTTCCCAGCTCATGAAGGAGGAGAACGGGATTCTCAAACGGCTTGCCCGGTAGCTTAGGTGGAAGAACGAGATGGCTGAAAACCTCCTTCAGAAGACCTGCTTTGTTTGCATCCATGACTGTATTTCCAGAATAGCAGTGAATAAGATGATGGGTTGGGTATCGAGGAATAGAGGTGATACTAGGCAATACGTTACATGCCTGATCAAAGACTGCTAACGGTTCTTCATTCGCGTGGGCGTTCAAGTTTTCAGATGCGACAGACGAGATAAAAGAGGTGAGAAAATATGGGGAGGGGAAGATACATCAAACTCATCTTGGTTGATACGGCCTATTAACCCAACGGCAGAGTTGATTGGTAAAACGGCCTGGCTATCGACTTGGGCCCCCAAGCCACACATCAAGGCTGTTGGTAGGCCTCCTGCAGGCTGTCAACGTGTTTATCTGTGAGGGGTTATTTACAAGCATGCAAGTGGGTATTCGACGCGGCTGAGATATGGATTTATTGGCTGTCTTGTTGATTTAGTAGAGGAGGTGGTGAGGGGTTAACATGTTATGACCTGGTCCCTCGGTACGGTTGATCCTTTACGGGTAGTTAATTCCGTCATGGTAATTGCTACGATTACGAATAGTAGCCTGATCATTTGCCTTATTGCCGTTACTGTATAACAGGCCGCCATAGAATAGCATACAGTCCGATATAGCAGGATAAGATTGACAGGTCCAGGAGCTAGAAAACCAGATTTATTATGGAACTTTCCGCTATATAATCTCTTTATCATCAGTATCAGTCGAAGGCTCATGTTTGCCCTTTTCACCATCCTCATATTGATCAAAAAACGCCAATACTCTCTATATCATGGTAATAGCAGTTAGTTATTTCATTGGGCCAGTCAAAGCGATTTTGATTGTACATGTCACCAGGAATATCCAGGCAAAGCTTTCATATGATACAGAATCGATAGATCTGCCGCTAAGGTAAATAAAAAGAGGTTCTTCTGTTATCAACCAGAACTTGGACGAGATATACACAGTCTTTCCATACTCTGTTCAAATTGTCTGCAGTTATTGTATTACATCATTAGGCAGTATTACAGATTTGCCCTTGTGTTATCCTGCGGGGAGTGGTTGGCCTCCAGCATCAATGAATGCATGTATACAAGACCTGCAAATAACAAGGCGCCACATAGGTCTACCCAACCTCTACCCAACCCCGCAGATAGCCTCTTTAACAGATCCGGCATATGCTACCTGATTGCTGCCTTACTTACAACCTTATTTGTAAAAGTCTAGAGGTAATAGACTTATTTACAAGGGAACTTAAGAAACGCGTGGCACTGTGTAATATTTGCCAACCAAGGCAAATAGACAGAGACTCGGCATTCATAGTGGAGGGGGTTAACGAAGTTGTAGTAGTAGTTCTAATCAACATTCAAAGAGTGATTGAACGCCTAGCGAAGTTAGATGGTATTCCTTTACTTGCGTCCTTACTATTCTGACACATAGCAAGTAAGACCTAGCACGTGAAATAAGGAGCTGATTCTATATGGCATGCAGTCACTGAAACGCACAAAGTATGCCAATACAGTGCTCTCTACCACACCATTCGCATTCTTACGCAAAACCAACGCTAATAACCCGGTTCGCGTCGTCATTAAACAAAGTAGCGGCATCAAAGTCATGGGCGTCACCAGTGCTCGCGTTGTAGAGGTGGTTGATGTAATAGCGGGGTTGGTGCGCTAACTTGCAGCACAAAGCTGTAGTGCCGGATGTAGCTTCCTGGCATGTCGCAGAACTTGATGAATCATCTGTAGTAACGCGCTCCATAAGTGTAAGCGCAGCTCCTGGGTAGCATGTTTATTCTTATAAGAAAAGAAGCTAACTTTATCCCTACAATAAGACAGCAATCATTGGGTTTAAAGGAGTGTGTTCCTAATTTGTAAATAACACAAAAAGAGTCTGCAATCTCTTTTTCACATATTACCACAGGGAGTAGTAGTGTTAGCGTTAATATAAGAACGGTATACAGGTCCACTTCTGCTGAAGCCCTGCTAAATCTCTTAACTTTCCTATAAGTAGTTAATTTACAAACTTCTGTTACAGTATAGTATCACTTGCCGGGGGGACTAAACAATAATAGTAATTCCCAGATCCTCTAAATTATTATACTAACTCTTTTTATGGTTGCTTTTGAGAGAAACCTCAGTCTGAGCTTTTTACTATATAAGCACCACATTAACACATTCCCGCACCTAACTCTTCAACTCTGTACCACCAATTTCGCAAGCTCAGCAAAGTGAACTATTGATCTTCAAATCATGGAATACACACCATATGTGGGCAATGGCCCGTATTGCTTTACAAATTCCTTCGCCATGGTGCTGGGTGATAGAGCACCTTCTACCGCAACCATCGAGTTTGCAACCTCCTCTGCATTTGGTATGCAAGTCATCAACCTGCCAAAAGATCCTCTTGTTTTTTTCGATCCCTACGGCTGGGATCCTCTCCAATCCTTCAATGCGGCAGTGGACGCGATGGGGTGGCGCTGCACTGAAATTATTGGCAAAGATGAACAAGATGCTCTCCGTTCTCTCAAGGCTGGGCTTCAGAATGGCCCTGTTTTTGTCGGTCCAATGGAAATGGGCCTTCTCAGACATCAGCCCAACGCCCGGGGCGCCATTGGGGCGGATCATTATGTTGTGGTGCTCAGTGTCGCCAATGACATGGTCGAGATGCACGACCCTCACGGACATCCATTCGCAACGCTGCCAGTGAAGGAGTTCTTGGCAGCGTGGAAGACTGACTCACTTGGCTACGGCAAATCATACACCATGAGAACTGATTTCAGACAAGTAAAGGAACTGAGTGAAGAGGAGATGATTCGACGGTCTATCCCTAGTGCGCTCAAACACATTAGCACTACCAATGGTGGCTATATGCCGCCTGGTTCAACTGCCAACGAAGCTGCGACCAAGTGGCTCATTAACAAAATTGAAGTTGGACTGCCACCTGGAATGCGTTCTTCTTTGGCATACTTCGCTGTTCAAGTTGGGGCTCGACGATCTATCGATGCTGCGACTTGTCTTAGGCGCGTTGGGTACACCGACGCCGCCGCAGTTATGGGAGAGATTGCGCGCACCATTGGCTCTCTACAGTATCCCTTGACCCACAAACATGACGAAGCCGCAGTATTGATCTTGCACAAACTTGGTCCTTTGTACGAGAAATTGAAGATTGTATTGGAGGAAGAGGTTCGCAAGAACGAAGCCTGATAGTTAATGTATGCAAAGACTTAACCCTTATTACAATAAACTCTCAACTAAAGCCCTAACCTCTGCGTCTGTCAAACCTTTCAACCCCAAAAGCTTGTTGTCCAAATGGTCTGAGAAAACTTGACCATATCCATCCCCAAAAACAGAACTGAAAACAAAAGGCTGCATTACTGACCAACCAGTAATACCTTTTGCTATTTTTGCAGAGGAGTTAATAAGCATTGCTTCAGTAGACTCGTGCATAATATCCCATTCCACGCCATCTTTTTCTTTAGCGTAACTAATCAGCAAATTTTGGGTAACAACAGCGTCTTGAATGTAAACTGGACGGTTAGCCGTCTCAGGAAGATGCTCAATCACCCCGACGATAGCTTTACCAATAGTATCAAGGTTAGTAGCTGCGAATGGAATATCGCCGCCATTATAGACAGTAGCTGTATGTCTAGGGACATTAATAAGGAAGCCATGGAGGCCCCAATCCAAGAAAGCGCCGTTGCAAATCACCGTGTAGCTGAAATTGGGATTCTCGGCTACAACAGTCTCGAGATATCGATGAGTATTGACCTTGCTCTCAAATACCGGTAGTTGATTCCGCTTGGAGTTGGTGACATCACTACCAAACTCTGATGGGATAAATCTTGCCACCCCGGCTATGATAGCACCATCAATAAGGGGGGCTTGGTCGTCAACTGATGTAGAAGTAAGAGTAGAGACGACGACGGCGTGATCTTTGAGAACAATTGCGAGGGATTGGGCTGAAGAGTAGTCAACTTCAATCACTGAAAGATTGGAGCTCGTAGGAAGTTTCGAGGCGTTGTTACTGCCTTCTCGTGTAAGGGCAGTGACATGGTATCCTGCAGCTAGCAGAGCTATCACAATAGGAATCCCCAATTCTCCAGTAGCACCAGCAACAGCAATTCTCGGAGCCATTCTGATGTATAATATAGCAGATATTTATATAGTGCAATAGAGGAGATGTAGCGTTTGTAAACGTGCTGGAAGATGCCGCGAGTAATAAAATGAAAACTGTGCTATAGAAATTTACGCAGTTGAGGTGTATTGTATTTTATATATTACATAGTGTTATTAGAGCTATACAATATCTAATTGCCGTTTTGATATGCCGACCACTTTCTGTCTCCTCTCAATAGGCTACTTAGCTACTTCGGCACTATATGCAATATGCATCAAATTTACATTCACAGACATTAATCTATGAGTTATTTAATTCTTATGGTTTCTAATCAGCTTATAAACAACAATTCATTTTAAGAAAGCTGCCCCACTATAACAGTTTATAACATTTCCAATCCCATGAGGATATTTCAGCCACCTACTATGGCTGTGAGTAATCTATTGGTTAGTTCCGCTTTTGGGATTACAGCTGGCTTGCATTCTGATGTCTGCTCCCTGCCCAAGACTAATAAACTGCAAAAGTTTCCAAGCTACCTCTTATAGTTGTGACTAATCTGTTTCTTATTTCCGATACCGGGATTACTGCTGGCTTATATACAATAAGGGGACTTTAGCTATTAATAGTATGCAAGGTCTGGAAAAATACCATCCTTTGCGGGGATCTGGGTTCCGCTATTTGAAAGACAGTCTGTACCATCGAGCGAGCTGAGCTGAAGAAGATATTAACAGATACCTATGGTCATTTTGAGTTCTTCCACCAGCTTTCGAACAGCATAACAACACTTTTGTCGGCCTAGTTCAAGACACAGATATCAGACTATTCTGTTCCCATTCGGCTGATTATGACAGCAAGTGGCAAATGTCGATAATAGGTAGTATATATCTCACGCAGTATCTCACTCAGTTGGCAGTGGTAACGCAGCATCGGCAGCGACAGTGATGCAATTGGGCAAATATTAAACTTTGCCAGATAGTGCGCATCCATTTGGCATCGTGGGAGAGGTGTTGGGTACACGTAAGAAACGAGTAACAGAATGGGCCAGACATTGGCGTTATTAGTAGATCTAACAATCCAACAATACCTTTGTGTACCAACAGACCAGTCTTATAAAGGGACAAAAGGTTGAGTGCCTGATGTGGTAATGATATCGGAGGAGGTTGAGGGGGAAAGAGCATGACTGGCCATACAATATAGCCAGAAGCCGAAACAAAGATGACAACGAACTGCATTGTTACAGACACCATAGTACATACCTGAGTAGAAAGGGATAGCTGACGAGTCTGCTAGGCTTAGCTAACAAGCCTTTAGTCAGCGCTATAGCTTGTATAAATTAGGGCTCGCGAAGCCCAATAGCTAAAAATAAATTCACGACCTTTAACTGTTTAATCCGACTTTTCCATTATATTAAAATAATAAATAAACTCTGGTTTAGATAATAGGAATTAAACACTAAAAACATGAAGTAATACTGTTAAGGAAACAGAAGAAGAGAAAGTGTGGGGCTTAATGTGTTATATATTAAATTTATTTTATGCATAAATAACTATTAATCCAGCTCTTCAAGGGACTTCTCTCCGGGCAAATGAAAATCCGTATTTGGATAATATAAAAGCGTTTCCCATTGCCTACTACACTTCGACAATAACATGAAGTGATAACAGCAATTTCAAGACCTTTGTTCCCCGAACGAATGCGTCCACTCCCAGTTCAGCTTCTTTTATATCCCTCTAGCAGCCCATGTACAGCAAACTCCGCTCGTTTGACGGCTGTTGGACCTGCCGAGTCCGACGCAAGAAGTGCGCCGAAAACCGCCCCGTCTGTGACACTTGTCAAGCACTACAAATAACATGTTATTACGAAGAGGAAAAACCACCATGGATGGACGGTGGTGTGAGGCAGACGAACATGATGGAAGAGATAAAAGCACAGGTAAAACGTTTCGCTACCCAGAAGCGTAAACGCATGCACCTCGAGATACTTCAGGCCGAGGCCAACAATCTTGACCATATCGACACGGAGTCTCCTGCTACGGACGTCATAGATAAAACAGATACACTTACAGACTTCGATCCTTCTCTTGGCCATCTTGGCGTTGCCTTCACGTCTGAAATTAGCAACGATAGTACCTCGGTGCTACAGGGTTCGCCTATGCAAAACAAGACGCCAATCGGTCAAGGGGAGGCTGATAAAGAGTTACATCTGCTTATGATATACCTCGACTATGTCTTCCCGTACCTCTTCCCGCATTACCGACCATCGATTCTCGCGGGCGGCCGAGGTTGGATATTGGAAATACTGCACACCAATAAGCCTGTGTATCATAGCGCGGTTTCCTTGTCGACGTCGTTCTATGCTATTGTTCTTAACAATGGCGACAAAGCCCACGATGAATGCACAATGCAAATGATACACAAATTTGAGAGCCAGATAGAGCTTGGTCTCAAAGAGTTGCACAAGGAAGTAAATTATATCAACACCAACGCTCCAGGCTTTGACATGAAAAAAGGGCTTGTGGTTATGCAGAGCATTCTTCAAATGCTTTTTTTTGAAGTGGCGACATCTAATAAGGACAATTGGAAGTTGCATCTCAATGCAGCCATTGCAGTTTTCTTGAGGATTCTCCCCGACCCAAAGGAGTGGAACAAGACACTGAAAAGCTTGTATACCCATACCCACAAATGGCCGCCTCCGGAGTTTGGGTTAAGGCGACCGTGGACCACAAACCAAGCAGCGCTGCGATTCTTTACAGCCACAATTCTATACATTGACATTTTATCGAGTGTCACTTTAGGCAATGTGCCACAACTTGCCAGTTACCATGCAAGCATTGTCCCAGAATGCTTATCTTATGAGAAGAGCTTTGAGGCAATTCAAGCCGGCTATCTGTGCTTTGACGAGTTCTTTGGATTAAAAAACTGGATTGTGCAGGTCCTAGGTGATGTAGCATCCCTGGAAGATTGGAAGCGCACGCAAAAGAAGAGCAGTTCATTGCAGGCCAGCGAACTTGAGTCTCGTGGTAAAGTCCTATCGGATGTAATTAAAGCAGGCATTCAGTCTCTGGAGAGTCATTGTCAGCGGCAATACATTGCGCATGATGTCACCACACTCCATGTTGTCGATTCTTGGCCTGACGCAAATGCGAACGAGCAGCCCAAGCACGAAATGGTATGGTTGCTTGCTACGCTGAGCTACTTGAACGTAGTCATATTGGGGTGGCAGCCTTCCAATCAAGAAATTCGTTGGTCAGTTGCAAAGGCAACGAACCTACTTTGCCAGGTTCCAAAAGGGCCTGGTATACGGGCACTGGCATGGCCCATGTGCATATCTGGCTGCTTGTCTCCGCCCGAAGATGAGGCCATATACAGAGCACTAGTGCGTCAGCTGGGGCCTTTGGAAATGTTTGGGACTATGAAGGAAGCTTTGTTAGTCATGAAAACAGTATGGTCGATGCGGGCTGAAATCGATGAATGTTGGGATGTAGCAAAATGTATGAATGTTCTAGGATATAGTGTGTTGCTGATATAAGAAGCTGACATGTTGTTGGCCTGTTCTTTATATATTTTATGGAATTTATATAACTAAAAGCTACCAAAAGTACAGCAAAGCCTTTAGCAACTTATAATACGAACTCCCTTTCTGTCGCAATAGATACCGGAATCGCCGGCAAAAGGGGAAAACCAGTGGCCTATCCTTGGCAACAGGCTCGGCCAATTTTGCCTCTGCCACCTGAGACTGTAGGTCAAAATGAAAGATGTCTAGCCATTGGCTTGGACTTACGCGATCCCGCACCGCGGGATATTATAACGCGATTTCTGCGCGATTTCTGCTGCGGCATCAAATGGCCAATCAGTAGCTTCACCGCCGACGCTTCGGTGGATCAGATCACGAACCCCACAAGGCGTAACTTCGTGTTAGTGTCTTAGGAGTATAGATGTCATAAACTTGAAAAGCAAGCCAACCACTTGGCTTTCAGTTTGGTGCAGTACACATTCCAATGAAGATAAGGGACTGTATTGCTCTCAGTTAAGGGATACGATGAAGGATAAGCAATGAAATTAATATACCACCCCTTATATCAAAGAGTAGTGGTATAAGGGGTAAATCCGGCCTGTAACTAAGAGTTTGAAAGTGATTAGCAATAGTTATTGCATTTTCTAAACACCAGGGTTAAGTTTAGAATAGCTCCCTTTGCCAAAAGCACATTTACATAAAATTATACAGAACCGCAGTTCTTTTATTAAGATTGTGTATAAGAACCTATTGTAAAGGAGCTGTTTACTTACTAATTGACCCAATTCTTAGTCCACTGGCTAAAAAATGAAATGCTTAGTATCAAGATATACTGTCTGTTATCTTACTTGATATACTCAGTTATAAGGCTATATACAGAAAGTATATTGAACACTGCTAATAGCACTACTTTGAAATAAATAGTCAGGCATTCTACTCATATGGCGGAGAATTCCAGTAAGATGCGAGCACAAAATTTCGACTCTATTTGGGCAGCGGCATGTTAGGCATTTTTAGCCCAGCCTTCCGCAATAATGTCCTCCACAGATTTAACGCGAATGTCTGGAAATAGATCATTTAACAATACGCCATTTGCTGGAACACTGAAGTCGAACGCCCCGGTCTCCATCCCGATACCGAACCCAGCGAAACGCTGTTGGAGTGACTCTTTCGCAGTTTGCGAATACAAGTGCACATGGGACGGTAATTCGGTTATCTGCCCCTGTTGAAGTTTTTCCATGGTGTCGTATTGCACTTCAAAGCTTCCACGAATAGATTCAGCTGTACCAAGAACCTCATTCAAAGTTCGGCGATCACCAATCATTGTACTATGCTTATGCCATGTTCCATCGGGAAGGCCTATGGCAGCCACGACAAACTTGGCTACGTCTCCAGAATATGTAAAGACAGCAGGTACATTGCCAGACCCTGGGATACCCGCCACCTTGTGAGCGATGTCGATAGCGAATACCCACGGTGTCAAGTAGGATTGGAATTTGGGCATCCCATAGTAATCCATGAACACGCCATGAGAGAATAAAGTATACTCGAGGTGAGATTTCTCGAGCTCTGCAACCGCGGCATCTTTATAAGTGGTGGGGACGGCAGCACCTGCTTTGGTCGATCTGGTCCAAACGACTGTTGAGCAAGAGAATAACGTCGGACCTGGGAAAGCGGAACTTACACTTCAAGTCGGGGGGTACCGAATTCACTGGGGGTAAACCTCTTTACAGACGGTGCAGCTTCGGCTGCGCGAATAAGGTTTAGTTGAGCTTCGGATTGCTCTAAGCCTTTGATCACGATGCATGAAATCACTGTGTGGATTTGGTGATCGTGGAGTGTCCGGACGATAGCCTCTACGTTAGTGTAGTCGATGGCTACCAGGGTTGCTCCGGCAATAGTCGTGTGATGTATGTTGTGCTAGTTGCCATGAAGCGTAAGTCCACTGCTATACAAACGCGAAAAAGTGTTGTGCCTACCTCTCGTGTCAAAACGACGGTCTCGTGGTCGGAGTCTGTGAGCGCATCCACAATGGTTCGCCCAAGGCCACCGGTGCCGCCTGCTACAGCAACTTTGACCATGGCAAAAGGCAGTATCGTTACAGTTGTGGTAGGAGGAAATAGATTGACTTTGTAATATTTCGTCGCCGTTGCGCTTTGGTAGGAACTTTCAAGCTGAGCTTCTGGACCTGAATATATATATATAATAACTCCCGTATGTTGCGAGGCTTATATAATGCCGCGCGGTAAAACCCCTGTGGCTGAGGCTTGACCAATCACTGTAGACACCGCCAGGCGGAGTGTCCTAAGCCCAAGTCTGGTATTCGAACAGAAGACCGGGATGTCTTGGCAATTTGTAACGAATTAATTTAGTTTTATCAAGAGGCACAGATCAAACTCATCAGATGCTACCTGTCCCAAATGTTACTAGTGGGAACTTGTTACCCAGGTTACTTTAGACAAGGGATTTATAATACTGAAAAAGGTCCCGTAACTGGCTACAATAAGCTATACTGTATGTCAAACGCTCGGGTGTCTGTTGTACAATCATTATTTGCCTTTGATAGCGCCTGATAGGCATATATATCTACCATAGCGCGCACACATCTCCCGTTCCAATACTACTAACAGGTTAGTCCTTCATCTACCCTGCAGGTAGTACTAGGCACTGTAGATGGGCTGCAAACACCTAGTATGACCTACCGTGCTGCTACCACCTACTACAGGCACTTTAGATAATACTAAGGTAGTAGACCGCCTGTTGTTACCCGCCTAGAGGTTCTTTTCATTTGTTTGTTAGAATACTCCTCTACTCTATCTTCTCTATGTGTCCGATACTGTTTAAACTTTCGCGCACAGAATGTAATAGTCCATCTCCGTTTCTTTCATATGGGTGCCAGTGATTCCCTTCTAGCTAAGCTATCCAAGTCAGTTATAATCAGCTACTTGTCCTATAGGTTTTCCTTACCTTGTAGACCCATTGCTGCCACTATAAGAGTTAGGTTGTAACATCCGGCTTTAAATCTCGGTATTAAAAAGTATTATTGCCACTTGCTGTAGTAAACAAGCGGGCCGTCATCAAGCCCTCAGGAAGATACTGCTCGATCCAGTCGTAGATTCGAACCCCACCAGGAACGGGATTGCTAAAGTCCTTGACTAGGTAACCCAGAAGCGCGTTGATTCCAACTAGATGCACACCTGCGTCCCGCATTTGAGCATTGGTGACTTCCTGAATCAGAGGAGTGTTTGTACCAGATGCTTCAACGTTGGCCCAGACGCTATAGCCCTCTGCTCTTAGAGAGAGGGCTAGAAATGCGGTACCTGCAAATGGAACATAAGCCGTCGAGCTGCGTCAGGTCAGGGGTGCCGAGTCAGACACTTACAGACGTCAGTGGCAATTCCGGCTATAATCATTTGCTTACGATGAGTTGCCTCAACCACTTTTCTAACGTCGGGATGGTCCCACGCATCAATCTCCCCTTTGCGCAGTATAAAAGGGGCATCTGGGTACATGTCGCGGATTTCCTGTAGAAGAGGACCATTGGGCCCTGGCGTAGAACCTGTCAGCTAACAATCGAATTTTCACAGTAATGGAGGGCAAGATAATATGTGTTACCTGTTTCACCAGATGTTGTCATAACAACAGGGATGTCAAAGAGCTCAGCCAAGGTAGCATGTGCGATTACACTCCTGTAGAAACGCGTATTCTCAATGTCATGGACGTAATTCATCAAACCTATCTGGTGATCTACGATTAGTAGGGCCTTTTCTATACGTAGTGAAACTCTTTAGTTGTAAGCTATTAACAAATACCTTGTTGTTGACGTCTAGACGTTCATAAGGAAAGGCTACACATAGTCAGTACGTATATTTTGAACAAAGTCTAATTCGCAATCTATAATACCTTCTCCACGGACTGACACAAGCCCGCTTAAAAACAACGTGAGGTATGAGAGTGAAAGGAGCATCATGTTTTGAAAGAGTCGCTTGAATATTGCGTAATGATATGGCTAATAATGTTTCCTGTAGAGTCGAATTGCTAGTAATAGTATATATGGTGTGAATTGAACAAACATAGGCCCCCCCGCCAGAAGTACATGTATTTATATCGGTTTGAACACTCACTTACTCCCAAAAGCTTATGCCGCGTATCTGCTTATAAATTAGACGCCTCGTCAACCTCCAGAGTGGTAATTACACTATCATATTGCTAGATTTGTCATCTATTCCATGCAATAGCAGCGGTCTAGAAGATAACATACTTCACAGTCATCCTAATGTGGATTATTATTCCGGTGGACCACAGTGGCTCGCATGGTGTTTGGCATCCTTGGCAAAGTGGTCTGTTCGAGGCGGTGATGGCTGTCATTGGGCCTCTGTTGGTACAGATAACCCGATGTTGACCCCTTCCACTTTCAGTCCGGCCAAGGATCAGGAAAAAATACGCGAGACTGTGGGCACTCGATACTAATTGAATGACTGAATTCAAGTGACATTAGAATATTACATCAAGTGCATTACTTAGCGGTAATACAGCCTATGATTAAATTAGAATCTACAGTCTAAGCAATCATAGGTACTAACAACTAGATAGGTAACTACAATAGCTAAGGTAGAGAAGAAAGAGAACAACAAAAGAGGTAGAATGAAAGCTCAAGAGCTCGAGGAACCGGCCGGCACGGAAGGCGCGAGCGTCAGCCAAGTCACCCTCGGGTTCAGCACGTTGCAGACATGGATCCAGCATTTCCGCTTTTGAAACTGTAAGAAGCTTCGCGATGGATCACAGCTACTACAGCATTTTGGCATTATTACCAAATGTAGAACCACTATTGAGCCTGGTCAAGTTTTGTGGAATCCCAAGGTAACTTATATGAGTATGTTCCTGTTGGACTAGGCGAGATTTAAAAATGGATGCGGAACAGTTCCTGTACAGAAATATAGTCTCCGGCGTAAGCTTGGTAAGGAAGAGGAGGTGAACATGAAGGACATGGGAAAGAGGGATGGAGGAGTTCTGCGGAGCGAGCAATATCTGATCTTCGCTGGGAGAGGCGTTGTTGGAGTTTGACATTCCAGTCAATTCTTTCATCATCAGGTGTCCCAAGAAGCTCATCAGGCATCCCCATAAATACAGCTGTCTGGACGCAGTGGCTTGACCCTCTTGTGTTTCCCATCATTACCAGGCCCCATTGGTAATCCAGTCCAACCACCACTGTGCCACACGATGCGTTGCACGCGGTAATAATCAATAGATCATCCCAAGGCGTAAGAATGCGGTGCTAGGACTAAATTATTACTGGGGGCTGAAAATGAGATCCGTGGTGTGGTACGAGTGGTATGCGCAGCCGGACTTATAGGCGGAGACTGAGTCATTATGCACTGCAGCCATTTTGCGTAGTCAACAACGTTCCTGATAATAGCTCCTGCTCCTGAAACTGCAGGAACGTCAGGCACTGGCTCTTCCACAAACGAATTATTCGTTTCGCTCGATGCGTATCCGCGAGCTAGGACGGTCCCCGACGCCTTCGCTTCCACTGTTTTTGCCGGCGTCCAGTATGTGTGAGTCATGCCCAAAGGTTGGCAAAGGTTTTGTTCAATGAAACCACTAAGACTCATTGAGGTCATGGTCTCCATAGCATGTGATACAGTCGAAAACATGTAGCTACTATAGAGATACCGTGTGCCTGGTTCTGCAGCTCTCGGGAGATGCCTTACAGGGCGAATAACATCTCTTACAGATGCTGATTCCGGCTTGAAGCTAAATTTATGGTCTGGTAAACCAGTCTGATTGCTAAGTGCATCTTCTAGCGTGGTACGGGAGATAATAGCTTCATCGTCCAGAGCAAATTCGTCACTTAAAATCGAAGAGAGCGTTGTTTGCCAAGACAAATTCGAATTGCCAGATCGGGAACATGCCATGCATCCATCAGCCTTTGGACTTTTGCGTTGAATTTGTTGTTAAATCCTAGCTCGCAGGATCACGTCTGATCATTTATGTTGTTTTGCCCCATCTGGGCGGTGTTGAATGACTGTAGAGTAGAATGATCAATAAGCAAGCTCGTCAAAAATGCCGTCACTGTATGAGTATCCAGCCCTCTAGAGTCTACAGATATACTTTGGACTGAGCTTAGACTAATGGAAGCAGGAGAACCTAAGGATAAGAGATAGATGTATTCATTTGACTCCCGTGAAGAGTGTGGCGGAGATCCGCTCCATCATCGGGAATCCGCATCATAACATTCGCGTAGCAAGAGAACACAGCGAGTACAGCATCCGTTATAAAGAAGTCTTAAATACGTTATAAGTCAATCGGAAGAAGTGCCAATATATCTTTATCTCAGCGGCAACTTTGGAAACTTAATATATACTAGTGGGGTTTAGACGTTGAATTTTAACATACTTCTTGATAAAGAACACAGGCAAGGCGTATGCTAAGGGAAAAAAAGAGAGAATCGCGAAATGATCAGCATATAGAAACAGACAATCCGCACACACCCGCCACACTAAACTCATCTGGAATAGCAAGCGTATTCTCACCATGTCTGCGCATATTCATTTTGCGGTCTCTGTTTTTCTTTTTTGTTGCAAACCGCTTGACAGTGCAACTATACAATGATTACCTATGATAATGCACCTCAGACCCGCTCGCTCTTCTTTTTTCGCAGCATCGGCACTGCCGATGCTTCTACGCCAGAATCATCAAGGAGCGCACTATAACCCCGCCGTTCGTAGAATTCGGGTACCGCTCCATCTAAAAAAAGAGGAACGTCGATTTCATCTGCTATTTTGTCCGCTTCTGTGAGAATTGCAGTTGCGCATCCTCGCTTTTGCCAGGTATTCCGAGTGACCAAGGCTTCAACAACTGTGTTTACAGTGAAAAGATAGTCAGCCGGAGCCCATTTCGAATCAAGCGGCAATGCGATGGACATGGCAAGGGAGTTTGTTTTGTGGGAGAGACTTACACACTCGAGGCTGGTTGCTCATTAGCTTGTTGTGGCGCTTCGTCCATGCGCCGAAGAGGCTATCCAGCACCTCTTGTTTCATACCTCGCTGAAGAGAAATACCCCAGTTGTTCCATGCACTGGTAAAAACATCACCCGTAGCGATAACGTATATAGTTCCCGTTGCAATGGGATAGCCTGTAGTCAGCTATTAGCTGCTCCAATACAGAATATTACGGTGGGAATCAAGATATTGCTCGCGTGCTGGCTAACCTTCAGCGTCTCGAACAACCAGCAGCTTGATGCGACTATTGTCCGCCTTGAGGAGAGCCTCGAATACATCAGTTGCATACTTTGCCCCATGGGCATTATGCGGGTAGATGTTGTACTCTCCTTCTGGATTCAGCCCTTCATTGACGAGCTCAATCAGCTCTGGTATATCTGCAACAGTAGCAGCTTCTACTCGAATCTGAGCATCAATCGCCATGTTGACTTGAGTTGCTGAGCGAAGGGTATGCGAATTTAGAGGGGCAAGAAGAGTCGAAAAACCTCTGCTGGCACCATCGCCCATGCTTGCTCACTGGTACAGACCATCCTTTAAATACTGGAATGAGGACCCCTCAGATTGGGTCGTTCTAGACCTATGACCTTTTGTATGACTTGTAACCTATCGCCTCTTAACGCGGTGTTATAGCGGCTTTGATGTGGCACCACGGACCAAGTCTAAGGAAGCTGCGCAAGCTTCGCAGCCAATCAGGAGGGCAACCACAAATATCTGCACTATTTGTGCGGGACTATCCTATTTACGGGTGCCAGCGTCAGCGCTAGCAGTATTATTCTCGCAGCGCGGCCATTCCGTCTTCTGTTCAAGTACCTGTTGCTTTCATATGTCTGAGGCGGGCGTATTTATAACATCAATGACCCAAACAGAGCCATTATAAGACTAAGTAGTACGCTTACAGGCTTCGGTCGAGGGTATATTGATACAATAGGGACTATGGATCTCATAGATTTCCGGCTTGCCAACCAGGTAGTCCCTGGATTTTGCCAGCGGCAACTGTCTACTATCTTACACAGTGGTAGTACGCATGTTTCCCCGTGCATGTAAATACAATGTATACATCTTATCTATATACCAGCTCCCTGCTACTATACCTACATGCTGAGATTTGCAAAGGACACTTACTATAGTAGATAAATGTACAAGTAGCTAAATATTTTTGTATACTATAGAGATGGAATGAGGGCTTGGATAACACTGTTGTCCTTGTGGTATATCTCCAAGTAAGAGCAAATAGCCGGAAGCTCATGTTTGGCTCGAATGCTAATCCACCATCTGCTTTCGCTGGCTTTAGTATACCACAGGCAAAGCAGCAAAAGCGCTACCGGGTCCTTCATTTCCAATAAGACCACAAATCTATTATCCATATGGCTCCATACCTTCATAGCATTGTCTAGGGAGACTCTGCCCTTTGGTACTTCTAATAGCTGGGAGAGACCATGCGCAGCTGTGAAGAAAGGGTTATTCTCTTGCGTCGACGATTCGTCAAGCCCGCACAGTTGTACCAATTCGACTGACACGCCATTGGTGCCTCGCGTTGGCACTGATTGATGTAGTTGTGCAAATGATTCAGAAATGATGCGGTACACACTTTCTGGCCGCAGCGGATTTACTAAATGCCACAGTTTCATCTTACCAACCCCCAGACGAAGCCAGCCAAGGTCGGAAGAGTCGGGTGCCCCAAGAGGCCATGCCTCATCAGGAGAGGACGCATTAAGGGCAGAAAACGTCAGAATAGCAACAGCGCCAGCAGCAGCCCAGAGGGGGTCCTTGTGTTCTTCTCTAATGGGTTGGCTGAGCTGTTTGCTGAACAAGGTTGTGAATTGAGATGCGTGATAAGATTCTCGTAATGAGCGACGATGTGTTGGTGTCGTCTCAAAAAAGCGCTCATGAACAGCTGCCATCGCCAATGTTCCATGCATCAGGAACGGACACTGAAGAGCAGGTATGAGTGAGCCAGACTCGTGCAGGGCGCATCTCAAGAGCAGATGGAGTCTCTTCTCGACTTGAACTCACAGTAAAACAGAAATGAAGCATGTGACTCTCCCATATGTGTACCACTTCAGAACCACCGAGGGAGTGAATGACTTGATATCGGAACCGATTGAAAAGCATTTGGTCCTTTAGATCTAGTGTAAAATAGGTCGATCCATCGCCGACCCATATAGCGTTACTGATAGTGGATCGCGGGCGCGGTATATCAAATAGGCTAACTAATTCTTCCTTTGTTTGTTTCTGGTGGACGGGTTGAAGATCGGGAACATTGAAGCCGAAGTTGCAGTAGACCCCGTATGTCCGACATTTCGAGCAGTATGGCCTTGTCTCGTCACACTGTAAAGTTAGTATTCATTACCCAAGTCTTCAGTAGCAAAGTGTGACGGATGACCATGGATTGATTTACCTTTAATTTTCTTAGTTTGCAGTTTCGGCAGCCGAATCGTGAGGACTTGCGCTTTGGCCTGCACTTTTGGACTGCTAGCGAGACTTGGGGATCCATGAATTATACTCAAACGACAACGAAGGCCGTGCTAGTGTAGTAAATGTAGGAAGTCTGACTGTCGGGACTCGGTGTCCAGTCAAATTGAGATACGCTGCACAAGATCCCTCTCCAACAAGTTTGGGGGGTTTGGGTATTTCAATCCTTACCGTCTTTATCAGCCTTGGCGTGATCGGCATTTCTGGGGTGCCCCCAGTCGCGACGCTAAACCTCGACTCGTTTGCTATTGACCCACGCTTTACCTCAACTCGGGGTTTGAGCTCTCTGATTGGCCAGAATTTCTGCATTGAATTTGAATGTCCTCCAAGTTCACATGTCGAGATGTACTTCAACTCAATACATCTGTTGAGGTGGGTAACGTTCAAATGGCAATAATCCACGAGGCAGCTACGCGTCGACTTTGCCGTCACATCCGTGGCTACTACCAACGGTGTGCGAGCAATATATATAGAGCTCAAACTTCGCAATTTAGTTTCTTTTTATTTCAAATCTTCAACTCTCAACAGCATCTCGTTCTTTTCATTTATTGAGGCCTCACTACTCGTAACTTTCAACATGCGTATTTTTGTCACAGGTTCTACCGGCTTCGTCGGCTCTGCGGTTGTCAAGGAACTTCTCTCAGCAGGACACCAAGTACTTGGCTTGACTCGCAATGACAAAGGGGTCGAGCAGCTGAAAGCCCAAGGTGTTGAGGTCCTACGTGGGACTATCGAGGACTTGGAGCTCCTCAAGAAAGGCGCCTCTGAATGTGACGCAGTCATTCACCTGGCATTCGTCCACAACATGGCCGACTTTGTTGGGTCTTGTGCCACAGATCGAGCTGCCATCACCGCCATGGGCTCTGCCCTGGCTGCTGCCGGTGGCAACCGCGCTCTAGTAGTCACTTCAGGCACCATGCTGCTGCCGCGCGGCAAGATTGGCAAGGAGGCTGATGCACCTGACATGAGTACTCCCGGAGCCTCGGCCCGTGGTCCTTCAGAGTCATTGTGTCTCGACTTCGTCAAGCAGGGTGTGCGCGCCAGCGTTGTGCGCCTACCGCCAACAACACACGGTCCTGGATCTTCGGGGTTCATGTCGTTGCTTATCCCCGTTGCGATGCAGAAGGGCGTCTCTGCGTACGCTGGTGATGGCCAGAATCGTTGGTGCGCCGGCCACCGCGACGACGCAGCCAAGTTGTACCGGCTTGCCGTAGAGAAGGCCAAGGCAGGATCTGTGTTTCATGCTGTGGCCGAGGAAGGCGTGACACTGAAGGATATCGCGACTCAGCTTGGCAAAAGTCTGAATATTCCGGTTGTCAGTATCCCGTTGGAGACGGCAGAGGACTATTTTGGTGGATTCAAGGACTTTGCCACGGCCGATAACATAGCTTCAAGCGCCAAGACAAAGGAGCAATTGGGATGGAATCCGACAAACCCAGGTCTACTAGAAGATATTCCGGTTATTGTTAAGACTTTGACCTCTTAGACAACCTTTATGAACCTACTAGAGCACTAGTAAAATATGGAAGCTTTTATTCTTAGATAAACCTGTTTGTAACACTCACCGGCTCAACAATCAGGATTCATGCTCTAGATATAGCTTGCCCAAGGTCCTGAGTAAATCAATGTCAAAACCTTGTTGAATGCTAGTCCATCTGCTGCTGACAGTACTTCCAAGTATAGTAACAAGTAGATTATATACATACGGTGCTATAGCAAGCTAGGCTTTGTTGAAAAGGCAGCTGGTAGATAAGACATTTACTTCCGGTAGCTTTGCTTATATGTTTATTACAGAAATTAAGTTTAGGAAAATACCTAAAACATCTTCTTGCTTCTTAGTTTACAAGACATTTACTATAACCGACTTTACATTAAGTAAATGATATATAGTAGAGCTTGTAGGGTGAATATGTATATTGTAGTATCTTGATCTAGAGCGAGATTGTAACTCCGAATAACTTTAGCCATGAACGTCTCGGCCGATCCCTGATGGGAACAAAGTAGACGTGAAAGTGAGGTGTAGATGAGATTTATATTTGCAGTTATTGAAGAACAACCGCAGTTGCTGGACTATAATTCCACTTCGAACTCTATATAATAGGGCCACACAATCTGAGTGCATTGTAACAGGTATATAAAAGTATCGCAACGAGTTCGACCTTGGTGAAAGGTAGATCATTCATCGACTATGAACAATATGCAGACTTACAAGTACTTGCCGTGCTCGAGGTCAGTGAGCAGCGTGCACTGCGTTGGAGTCCATCCGAGCGCTGCCTGAGTCTTGGCGCTGGACACGACATTGTCGGACATTATAACGGACGCAAAATGGCCAAAAGACTTTTGACAATCTTCGAAAGATCTTGACTCTACCGGAATGCCTAGTTTCTGTCCAATGACTTCTGCTATATCCCTTAGAACGACCCCTCTCTCGGCGACGACATGGTACGTGGTCCCCGGAGTTGCTTTTTCTAGTGCGAGGCGATACGCGACGGCGGTGTCAAGGTAATGAACGGCTGGCCAGTGGTTGAGGCCCTCGCCGATATATGACGCCACTCTCGTTCGACGAGCAACGGTGATCAAGTTGGAGATGAACATGTGGTCGTCACCATCGCCGTGATTAACGGGTGCAAGGCGCATGATCGCTGTGCGTACGCCCTCGGAAGCAAGCTGTTTGGCCAGTTCTTCTGACTCTCCGCGAAGAGAAAATTGAGGCGACTTCGGGTCGAAGGAATCATCTTCAGTCCCAACCTGACCCTGGCGAAGCAGCATAGTCCCGCTAGTGACGAGAAGAGGGCGGTCCGACCAGGCAAGAACAGCACCCATGGCCTTGATAGCCTCTCGGTCCGTTTGGCAGCTTTGGCCAAAATTATCAAAGTCGTGGACAAAGGCCAAGTGAATCACACCGTCAGAATTGGCGGCGCCATACTTCAAGACACTCAAGTCCGAGAGATCCCCTTTCAAAACCTCGGCTCCGAGGGCCTTCACTTTCTCGGCAGACTTATCGGAGCGGACGAGTCCCAAGACGGAATGCCCGGATCTGATAAGCTCTTGTGTAACAGCTCTACCTATGAGGCCAGATGCACCTGTAACAAAGACGTGCATGATGGCCACAGAAATGCCAGAAACGAATCTCTCCTTTCTCTAGGTGCAATGAGCTGTGTATCGTCGCTAATTGGAACTATCTCGTTGAGAGGACTTTCTTACGGTGGCTTTCACATTATTTATATTGACGGCTTGATCTCGTATAACTATGGCAATCGATCCTTGATTTATAATGTCAAACCAGTCTTGTCCCCTCAAGGAAACATTAACCCTGGGCAATATCTGCTGTCGTTGAATCAAATTCGCTGTGACGAAGCGTGACCCGCTGGCCCAACCTCGCCAATGACAGCGCTCGCAACGCGGCAAACGGAATAGCGTGGAATACTAAACCTAGTTCCCCACGAGCCTAAAACGCCAAGGTCCCGAGCATTTGTGCTGATACCTATTATAAGAAGTAACATCACCATAGGTCAAGGATACGGTATCAAAGGAGGCTGCCTTCACACCGCACTCATCCGCTTCAGATAACGGATACTCCAGCCCAAATGCCACGTAGGAAGTCGCGCTTCGGGTGCCGAAACTGCAAGCTCCGGAAAATCAAGGCGAGTGACGCAACATCTCTCGGCAGATTGTTAAACTCATGAGTTCAGTGTGACGAGACCAAGCCGCGATGTAACAAATGCACAGATTACAAGATACTGTGTAATTTTACTATCGGTGTCCCAGACTTACAGGTATCAGCAGACGGGATGGCCAGTCATCGTGGCTCGGCGAGTGTCCTCTCTCCGCCGTCATCGCTGCCCGTCATTTGTTCGGATGCATCTTACAGCTTTAGATTGGATTCGGACTCCTTGATGAAGCTAGAGCAATTTCGCTCGGACATTATTCAACCTTTTAGTGCCAATATGATGAAGATATGGAAGGATGCGATTCCGTCCGTTGCTTTCCAGGTGTGTCGCCGGCCCAATGCAACTCATCGGTCCCCATTCTTACAGCACAGCACCCGTACTTGATGCACGCCATGCTTGCAGTTGCCACAGCTTTCAGGCGGGCACAACACGACGTCGCACGTGGGTGCCGAACACAGACGGAGATACATCATACTCTTCAATGCATTCGCCTCTTTAAACGAAAGCTGTCACAGCTGGTCGCAGCGCCGGACCAAGACGCTCTCTGGGCCACCTCAGCGCTGCTCGGCCTCATAGCCATTGCATCGTTTGAGGAGACGAATCCTGAAGATGCTTGGCCTGTCCGACCTGCGCATGCTTCCGATCTTGAGTGGATGCGGCTAACCGTCGGGAAACGTATCATATGGACCTTGACCGACCCTCTGCGCACGAACGGGTTGTTTCGAGCCATGGCATCTGAATACGCAGATATGGAATTTCCAATACCTGAAAATGGCATAGCTGGAATTCCATCTTCTTTGATAAAGGCGTGCAATCTTACCGAGACAAGCAACAGCGATAACAACCCGTATTATGCCGCAGCTCATTTGCTCGTCTTGTTATCGAGGCTACAATTGCTTTCAGGCGGTAGTTTTCCGGGAATTTATATGATAGCCTTCATAAGTCAGTCTCAGTTGCGCTTCAGAAGATTGCTGGAAGTCAAAGACCCCGTGGGTCTGCTCCTCCTTGCGCTATGGTATCGGGAAGCTGGGAAGGCATTATGGTGGGTAAGGCAGCGAGCTGAGATTGAAACACAAGCTATTCGTATATACCTTGAGCGGTTCCATTACAATAGACCTGGAATCATCCACTTGTTGCCTTGATAGCCGATTGTCTGGTTAATGTGTGTATCGAAACTCGACCTGGAAGGACTTTCTCTTTTAATAGCGAATCAAAGCAACTAGGGACAACAAAGAGATTTTTACACTTGCAGCATGATAAAATACAATGCCTGGAGACTTTCAGGTTATTGTTCATCATGCGGGGGACGCTGCGTTGGGCACATGCTCTCAGAGCAGATGGTTATGGCTTATGGCTTCTAGTCACAGCAAGTTGGGCCCCAGGAAAGCAATCATGCCCTTACGCTTTCCGCCTCCATGAGAGAGAAGAGTAAACAATGCAGAACAGGAACAGGTCAATGAATCACCCATTAGGATGATGATTCCAACAGGAAGGAAAGACATTTCCCCCCCAAGGAAATGGTGTATTAGAGTTGGGAGCAATGGATGTAAAGACATTGAATTTCGCCCGGAAATAGAGTGGCAAAATTTATTGCAGAGGTTGGTAGCTAGGGAGGCTGTGTAGGCTACCAATTATTGTAGCGCAAAAACGATAGCGCCGGTAATCGATTCAGCTCCATTGAGGCCAATCCAATTAAAGTGGGCGGCACATTTAGCGATCAGGTCCGAGACTAGACCCCTATCTCATAGGCGCTATTCGAAATATTGGACTTGATCCTTTTTTTCCTTTTGGGCTGAGAGAATGTGAGCAAGACTCATGACTCCAAGCCGTGTCATCTCGGGCATAATGGACAAGTGGGTGAGAAGGCATTATGATTTGGATTTTCAGATGCTCAAATCTTCAGTTGCTTTGGGCTTTCGCAGGATGTCAAGAGCCTCCATGCTATTCATCGTATTAAGTCTATCGCTCATTATTATTTTCTTGTACCCAAAAGCACACATTGGCCCTCACGCCCCCGAGTATCTACAACGCAACCGGACATTGGAGATAGAACAGCATTCACGCAATCAGACTTTGGAGACCGAGCAACACCCAAGCAATCCAACAGTTCAAATCGAACACACCAGCAGCCAGATTCTGAATCCTCTTCCTCAGAGCACTACTAAGCCAAGTAGTGTGCATCTTGATGCTGTGACAGAAGCTCTCAAGCCAACTCTCACACCTCAGTCTATTGTTGCAGAGGTTGCCGAGCCGACTTCTGCACCTGAGCCAACAAGGCCTATAGACCCTATATATAGCCATAGCTCTAAACTGGACGCGCCAAAGAAGCAGCAAAAAGACCGCCGCTTCGTTTTGGTAATACCTGCTACGTCGCCAAGTCCGGATCTATGCAAGACAATAGTAACGGCGCTCGCTCTTGGCTATCCAAGTCCGATAATCATCAACTGGGGAATCGACTATCGTGCGATAACAAAGTGGGAGGGCGGCCAAAACCTCCCTAAAATCCCAGGATTCGTGAAATATCTCGATGCAGCAATGCATCCGGAAGCCCACCCGGACGAGAAGCTAGAGGAAGACGACCTTGTGCTTATGGTTGATGCCTACGACGTCTGGTTCCAACTTCCTGCAGACCTTCTCCTGAAAAGATACCATGAGATCAACAAGAGAGCCAACATCAGACTACAGCAGCAGTGGGACAGAGATGAGCCTGTTCCCATGCGACAGACCATCATTGCAGCGTCTGGAAAAAATTGCCACCCACAACCAAACTCGGGCTCCAACATGCACTGCGAAAGATTGCCTGATAGCCCATTGAGAGCAGACCTGTATGGTCCAGACACGGAAAAGGATGCAAACAAGCACCGGGATCATCGACCAAAGTACATCAACGGAGGTGTTTATATTGGCCCAGCAGGTGACATGAGGCGCCTGTTTCGTCGTGCCGCACAGAAAATGGAAGCAGGCCTGAACCAAGGTGTCCACTTGTTCAGCGAACAAGGCATTCCCGGAGAAGTGCTGGGTGAGCAAGAGGTCTGGCGACAATGGCGGCGAGCAAGCAAAGAAGTCATCCAAGACAGTGACGCAAAATTTCTAATGGATCGGGATTTTGAGTATCACTTTGGGCTCGACTATAATCAAGAGCTGTCCATCCAGACCTATTGGACAGATACTGACGACGGGCTGTTTGATGGAGCCTTTGTTTTACTAAACAACCAGTCTGCTATTGATGCACACTCCGAAGCATTGGGCATATCCCCTGTGCGACTCCAAGGTGTTCCAGAGGATATCGAGTCGGCAAGGAATCCGCTCGCCGACGTGATTGAGTCACCAGACTGGGGAGAGATGGAGCTGTATGCCGACTTTTTCACCGAGTCCGTTCCTGCCATAGTCCACCACAACGGGTTCAAAGAGAGACGAACCTCTTGGTGGGACAAGCCTTGGTTCCACCAGCACTTGCGGAAACTACTTGCCTTCCATATGGCGCCTAGGATACCTGAAGAGCCGTTGGCGACGATAGAGGCTGAGGACGGTGGCGTCAAATATTGGGCTACAACAGCAGAGAAGTTGGATAGAAGGCCACGATTAATGGGCGACTCGGCTCAAGCTCTCTTGAAAAAGGTTGGGTTCCAAGATATTTGTCAGTATTTGGATGATTCACTACGTCTGCCGGGCGATCACTGGTGGGATGAAGTCTTTCGCGATGCAGGAGGGCCATTCAGTTGAGCTATTATACTTGTCCCACTAAGCGTTTCAAGGATGTTGTCTAAAATTAATATATATATCTTTATGAATGAAGTAGAGCTATTGTATGTTATCTAGCCATTTTGTTTCTCTCATTTAGAGTCACCATCGTGTATCATTAATAAGGGAGCATGTTGCGAAACAAAGTAACCTTGACAACTCTTTACGCCATACAATGATATTGCGACAAGAACCATTGAACAAACTTTGGAATGCCATCGTGAATTTTCGTCTTGGGCTTGTATCCTAGTAGCCTGTTGGCTTTTGAAATGTCCGCAAACGTGATTGACATATCACCTGGTTGTGCCTCGCGCCTGTCAAGAATTGCGGTTCGCTCCAAACTCCTCTCAATCAGGCCAATCAATTCGCGCAGCTCAATGGTCTGCGATTCTCCAAGGTTGAACACCTCGTACTGAGAGCCCTCATAGTCGATGGCAGCGCAAACACCTTGTATAATATCATCTACATAAGTGTAGTCTCGACGAGTAGTCCCGTCGCCAAAGACAGGAATCGGCTTGCCGTCATAGATGAGCTTGGCAAATTTGTGAATTGCAAGATCAGGGCGCTGGCGCGGGCCATACACAGTGAAGAATCTTAAGCAAATGCAGCGAATCCCGTAAAGATGGGAATAGGTATGACAAAGCAGTTCGGCGGCTGCCTTGGATGCTGCATACGGCGAGATTGGCTGACACGTCTTCTGATCCTCGGAAAAGGGAACCTTTGAGTTGAGTCCGTATACGCTTGATGATGATCCAAATAGAAAATTTCGCACGCCGAAATCTCTGGCACAGTCAAGCAAGTTCAAAGTACCGGTGACATTGGTGTCGATATATGAAGCTGGGTGCTGAAGAGACGGCCGCACGCCAGCTCGCGAAGCAAGGTGCACAATAACAGAAATATTGTTGTCGGCAAAGATTCCGCGTAGAGAAACGGGCTCTCGTATGTCGATTTCGTACAGTCTGAAGTTGGGATTGTGAAGATGTGCAGCAATGTTCGCGTGTTTAATCTCGGGAGAGTAAAAGTCATCAAAGTTGTCCACAACAATAACCTTCCAGCAGCCTTTTGCTAAGAGGGCTTCGACCAGGTTTGACCCAATGAAGCCTGCGCCGCCGGTCACTAGTATTTCTCTTCTAGGCTTGGACTGTGAGGTCGTAGGACGAGTGATGACTGTCATGATCAGCGCCGAATACAGTGGTAAGAGTTATGCGTGGATAATCTCTATTCTTTTCCCCTGGTTCTTTCTGTTATTTTGCCTTTTTCTATTTTCTCCAAAACCCAAAATCCGTGTTGTCTGGAGCGTCTCAAGGTCATGCCGATGAGCACAGTTTCCGATTAAATGGCAGCTGCTAGAAATGACATCCAGGCACATTAGAGGGTTGTTTGAGTAAAGTGGGAAGATCCATTCGTCTTTAAGGTGACCCAATGCTTCAGTGCCCATAAAGAAGACCCTGCATAGTACTAGAAAAGCACCAATGGGCCGTGTCAAGGGATGCAATTCAGGTGACACGGGAGATATGGTACCCAGCGGAAATGAGGCTGAGCTGAGTTGCTGGCCCAACCAAACTAGTTGACGCCAAGATGGCGCTATTGACTAGTATTTGCGACCATTGAGTGATAGACTGGTGGCGACCAGGCACGATGTTTATGTTATTGTTACTAGTTGCAAAAGGCAGCAGTGTAACTACAAGTATAATTACTATATTTCCCTTACAGCGAACATGGTACCCTTGTTTCAGGTATTATTACCAAACAAACACCCTTCAAGTATTTGAAGTCTCTTTCCATCCCCAGTCACTGAAACAAACAGTAGCCACCAAGCTACAGCTTGTCATCCGGAGCCTAGAATAAGCAAGATGAAAATGGACAAGGTCAACGGCGCCACAGTCGCTCAGCAGCAATCGCAAAATAAGTATATTGCGAAGACTATATTCATCTCTAACTTCCTTTTTCTTTGTATTTTCTACCTTTGTTCTTTTTCTTAGCGCCAGGGCTTAAAGACCTATTGGCGTCGATCCACCCAGGCCTTTACAGCTACCCGGTGGCACTACTGCTACTAAAACTTCCTTTTGGGCTCTGCCAATTGTCACATACCCAAGTTTTACCTTTCTGTCCAATCAATATATAGGCTACGGGGTTCATTCTATTTAATATGGTTTTCCAAACGAAGTATTTGAAGGTCTGTGTCTTGAAGAGACGTCCGTCCTCGAACCGCCAGAATAAAGATAAAAAATACGATACAACAGAGGATTTCTGTCGTAGGCCGTGCATTGCCATGTCTTTTCATCATGCTTATTTAAGCAGCTGAATAGATAGCGCTGTAGATCATGTCGGGTATGAAGTTTGGGTATCGTTAATTCGCGCAGCGATGGAGTTTGAATAGGAAAACAAAAGTAATTTGAGTCTCAGATTTGTTGAATAAAGCCTTGAACGCGCTGTAGGTCAAAATCGCCAACTCTGGGCTTGAAATTCCGCGCCCAAAAGACCAACCATGCTCTCCGTAGTGAAGATTTCAAGAGACTTCCCTGTGGCTACGAATGACTTGGCTAATAAATAAACCCGGGGATGGAAGAAAGGTAGGCAGGTGCGGCCTCTAAAATTCACTAAGTTCCCGGGCCGCTAACAGAGTCACTCCTTGTCAAAGTCGTAGACCTCTGCTAACATAATTTCTCTTATCTTACACCGCCAGGCGCGTGGAACATATGTAAAATGCTTAGAAACGATTGAGAGTGCGGGGCAGATGCAGTAACCCGCCCTATGTATTGCCGTTTCTGGACAGTAAACAAATCCAGCATTTCAATTGGTCGTTTATGTATTGCTATACATGGTAATATACTGTCATCCAAGAAAAGCAAACCCAGTGTGTTGTGTTGCGTATAGGGGAGAGTTTTCAATATATAAGGCCTGTTGTAATTGTGATTGTCAAACCTGTAATGAAACCTTCAATCAAGATAATTGAATATGCACTATTTTACAATGGTTCGAACCGGCGCGCTCCTGTTGTCTACACTGGTGTGTATAGCTCAAGCTGCAACCGAACACTCGCTACCAACCGTTGACTTAGGGTATGAGGTCCATCGTGCTATCTCATACAATGTCAGTTGGCCTTTTAATCTTCATGTGCACTTAAACTAAAAGAAAATTTTAGGCAACAACTGAAACCTATAATTTTACGAACATCCCATACGCTGAACCTCCGTTGGGGTCACTGCGATTCAACGCTCCTGTTCCACCCAAAGGTGTTAAAAGTGGCGTTCAGGATGGCCATGAGGGAAAGATTTGTCCACAGCAGTCACCAGACTGGACTCTTATTGCAACACAGTTTGTGACTGCATGGGCGACGGGCCAGCTTCCGTTCAACCTAACCGAAGCTGAGATTAATCTAAAGAACACTCCCCAGCCACCGCCAGATCCACGGACTACAGAAGATTGTTTAGTCTTGGATGTCGTAGTCCCAAAGGCTGTATTTGAACGGAAATCCAGTGGCAGAAAAGCCCCCGTGGTTGTATGGATTTATGTTCGTTACCCTAATAACTTGGCCTTTTCACGTTTTTAGAGACTAATCAGCTACCAGGGAGGTGGATACGTGAGCGGATCCAAAGAATCATGGGGTAGCCCTAATGAGATTATCTCTGCGTCTCAAGAAGATGGCAGTGATGGAATCATCTGGGTCGCCATGAACTATCGCCTCGGTGTGTTTGGCTTTCTTGCGGGCCCTTCGCTGCAGGCTAACGGCACAGCTAATGCTGGACTGCATGACCAACGTCTCGCCCTGCAATGGGTTCAAGAAAATATCGCTAAATTTGGTGGAGATCCTGAAAATGTCACAGTAATGGGAGAATCTGCTGGCGCAGGCTCAATCATGTACCATCTTGTCTCTCGGGGAGGTCAGCCCGTGCCGTTCAAAAGAGCCATAACGCAATCCATACCGCTGAGCATAATAACCGATCCTTTGCAGCAAGAGAGCAACTTTCAGGATTTTCTCTCGATTTTGAATGTTACTTCGCTACAAGAAGCCAGACAACTGCCTTCAAGCGTCCTCATTGCCGCCAATTCTAAGCAAATCAGAGCTGCTCCTTATGATCAATTTGCCTTCAATCCTTCAGTTGACGGCGACTTGATTCCTGGCCCACCAACTCAGCTTCTACTCGAAGGATCATTCACTCAAGGCATTGAACTGTTATCTTCACATGCGAGTTGTGAAGGTGCTTTATTTGTTAATCCCCAAACTATTGGCAATGACAAAGCGTTATTGCAAGAGTTTCAACGTCTTTTCCCACTTGTACCAAAGGAAAAGTTCATTTTCATGGTGGAATCGCTTTATCCGCCCATTTATGATGGCTCTTATCCCTATACTTCCGATGTTCAACGAGCTGTACTGATGACAAATGAGTTCTTTTTTGCTGCGGCTCAACAAACCCTGCTTCAAGAGACTATCCACCATGGTACTGCAGTTTATGCCTATGAATTCGCAGTTCCTCCAGCTATTCATGGAAGCGACATTCCATATACGTTTTATGACGGCCCAACGCCGAATGTGGATGCCTCTGTTGCTACCACCATCCAGCATGCTATTGCAGGATTTGCAAAGAATGGAATGCCGGATACAAGGCCATTGAGCATAGGATCGTGGCCTCGCTATGGGAGCAACGCGACAACGTTGAACTTGAATGTCAACGCGTCAGTTGTATATTCAGACATAACATGGAACAACAGAACGAAATCGTGGGCGGACACTTTGTAAGCTTGATAAGATTTTTGGAAGTGAAGAGGTATACAGTTTTCTTTGCGACTGTATTTCCACATCTTGAATTCAGACAAACCTCCATTTGTTTAGATTCTACAATAGTCAATCTTGATTAGTATACTTTGCAACCTTTCACTTAGAATCTAGACCAAGTTTCCCCACATGAATAATAATCAGATGCCGAGAGCTATTTCACAATATATTGGATTTATTACACAATATGATTTTGCTGCACAGACTAGTGCACTATCAAGTAAGATTCCAAATCTTTAGTTGAGGCAGACCCATAGCAAGATTGAAATTCGCTACAGTAGGTCTCTATTAATAATACTTCTCAGTCTAAAAGTTCAAGAATCCACATTAGTTTCAGCAACAACTTGAATATAAGTATAAAAACATTAGGCTGTGGCTAAACGTAAAGCTACATGACAACTTCAGCTGTTGTTCACACCATCAACTTGCCTTTTTTTACAAGAAACCCAGCGCAAAAGTCTATATATTGCAAAGCTAATTCTAAGTATGGCAAACATAATCCAGAATGTTATTGTGGTCGGGGTACGGCAGTTCAACATGGCTATCTATTTTTGTGTCGTTTGCTAATGCAGCATAGGCTGGTGGCACCATAGGCCCTATTTTCATCTCTAAGCTTCAGAATGCAGGTTTGAATGTTTCAGTCCTTGCTCGTGAGGCTTCCAAAGGTACTTATGCGTCCGATATTACTGTCCATCGGACAGATCTCAGTCATTCATCTCTTGTAAAGGCTTTCCAGGGAATCGATGCCGTCGTCTCCGCGATCGCAACTTTCAACGTCCATGATCAAATCGCTATGATTGATGCCGCGGTTGAGGCCAAAGTGAAGCGCTTTCTACCAAGTGAATATGGTGGCGACGACTCATTACCTGATCTAGAGAACATTGCCCCATTTGTAGTTTAGAAGCAAAATGTTATTGAATACCTGAAAACAAAAGAGTCGCAGGGCCTTTCTTGGACCGCGATCAGCGTTGGAGCGTTTTTCGATTATGTAAGTACATAATTTCCTGATCCAGCAGTACAACAGCTTTTCGGATATGGTCATGGCCTGATGGGTTTTTACTTTGATGACCTGAAAGTTCAGTTATTCGACAAGGGCCTAAGACCTCTCGACGCCACTACTATGAATCAAGTCGGCCTAGCGGTCGCCGCAACCTTTCAACACCTTGAGGAGACAAAAAATAAGCGGATATATGTCAAGTCTTTTTCTGTTTCTCAGGCTCAGATTGTCGACACCTTTGAGAAACTTTCAGACAAAAAGTTCAAGAGACTTGACGGAAGTGCCAAGAAGTTGATTGCCGTTGGTAAGAAGCATATAGAAGAAGGAAACTGGGATCTTGGATATCCAGAATCAGTTACAGCAGCCCTTTACTCAGACACAGGCTTTGGCTACTCTTCAGGACGCGCATGAGTGGAATAAAATTCTAGGCCTGCCCGAAGAAGCCTTAGAAAGTTGTGCTAGGGAGGTTTCACAAAGCAAAGGTTGGATTTAGACTTTTGTAATCTAGAATGCATTGAACTTCTACTGCTGATAAAAGTTGTAGAAAGATGTCATAGGCAATGATACACTGCTTTTACAGGTTAAAGTAGCTAGGGCTGCAAACAGTCCAAGTAAGAGCCAGTTAAACACCGTTTATGTAGACTTGGTCGTAACAATATTGGTTCAAACTGCAGCAGAGTTAGGTTAAAAGCTGTAGTAATGTATCTATGCGCTCCTTCTTACCACCGAAACGTTTATAAACAGCTTCCCTATCGTCTCAATATCGTCCTAGATCCTTACGCTCTTTTATCGATTGTTCAATTACTTCTTTATAGCGGTTTATGGTACCTATAAATGAGGAAAGCCGTTCAGAGGAGATTAGATTTCAACGATTTTAGACTGCTGCATACGTAAATATCGCTACTAATGTCAATGCACATACACAGGGGCACTTGATTAGTTACTATTTGCAAGCCTGCTGCTGCGACTGCCGATCTGATTAGTATAAGTGCCGAAAGCCGACGCTGATCTCAGGAAGAGTTCTACGAAGTTTACTTACTTAGTACAGAACCGCTTCACACGAGCATCGCTGTCTGATCCCTAAGTCCACTCTTAGTCGGAATCTCTTCCATTTACTAAGCTCCGTTAGCGCCTATCCATGTTTAGTTCAAGAAATTAGACAAATTCAGCAGGGCTATGCTTTGAAACGTCGTGTTCTTCAACGCGCCTGAAGGGCTTGTGTGGGACTGTCTTGGTGGTTTAGCACTATGCAGTGACGTCAAAAACAGGGGCGAATTGTGAATTTGGCATATTTATCTTGTTTGACTGCCGATAAATGCCACAATAGTCAATCAACTACTATAAGGGCAGCCGATATCCTCGTGTTAGCGGAGGATTTTGGATACCTGACGAGAATTGGTATAAGACAGGCGCATTCCTTCTTTCTCGGCAGCAACACAAGTATACCACTGAAACTATTCAAGTCAAATCTTTCTAATAGCAAGATCTTCGTTTCAGCATGAAGTCAGCCATCCTTGCCATTACGACGGCTGCCCTGGCTTCTGCTCTCTCCGAACGGTCGACCAGCGCAAGTCCCCCACAAACTCTGGACCGCGTATGGTCCGGTGTTAAGCAGAGCGGCAGTGGCTTCACTTCAGTGACAGGCACATTCACAATTCCAAAAGGCGGCAAAAGCTTTGGGCCTTCTATTTGGGTCGGAATCGATGGTTCCACCGAATGTCCCGGACGCGGGCCATTGCAAACGGGCGTCAGACTCACTGGCAATGGCACAGCGTTTGGCTGGTTTGAATGGGTTCCCCTGAGCGCACCGATGTTTAAGAGCTTGGAAGTCAGTGAGGGAGACGATATCAGAATGACCATCAACGCCTACGGACCTTCCAGTGGCTCCGCTATCCTGGACAACCTCAGCACCGGGCAGAGCGTGTCGCACATTTTTACCAGCGCCGACGCGCCGCTAGATGCGCCGCTGTGCCAAAAGAGTGTTAGTGGATCGTCGAGGACTACAATAATTCTGGGGGAAACGATACCGGCATCGTGGCGTCTCCCGACTACGGCACCATCACTATCCGAGATGCGTCGGCGCAGGGATCGACGGGTAAAGTCACTCCTGAGGGCGGCGAACTGATTGAGCTGTTCGATACAAGAACCAGCACTGTCTTGTCGCGGTGCTCTGTTGAGAACGAGGAGGTTGTATGCATGTATGTTGGGTCAGCGACTGACAACTAAGAGGGCCGATAAGCAGACAAGCGTCACTAGGATAAGGAAGTTGACGTAGTAGGGCGAGCAATAGATGAATGGACTGGGTTCAAGCTTCAAATGGGTTGAAATGACTCTATATAAACTATGTTTATGTTGTTTAGCTATTGTTATAATAAGTTGTAGTAAACAGTACGGATATTTACTATATGCAAGCGAGCACTGTAAAAAGCAAATAAGTCATCTTTAGTATGTGTTCAAAGAGAGGCAATATATACCTTTTTTCGTTCATACTTTCGACAATTAGTAGAATAGAATAGAATAGTATTAATCAACCCATAGTCCGTCATATATGTACATTCCTGTATATAGCTTGAGTCTCGCTACACTGCTAGATATTACAACTTTTCATCTCCCAGTGGCTTAGAGAGTCTCCTCCGCAGCTCGTTCTTGGCCTTTGCACACATCTCTTCTATATTGACATTAGTAATGATCCCATTCCTCTCATTGATTTGATCCTGAATCTTCGTGAAGTCATTTCCGACCCCTTCTGCACGTAATTCATAGCAGTCTCCGACCCACCGACTGCTCTCCACCATCCACTGTGCCCTTGATCGCCTCTCTGCATCATAAGTAGCAAAGACTGCTTCCAGGTCATGCTGTGTCTTGACTTGCTCGTCTGCCAGCAGCTCCGCCAACATCGCGCTGTCCTCAATGCAGAATCCAGCCCCAGCGCCATGGTGTGGAGAAGTAGCGTGAGCGGCATCGCCTGAAATGCAAATGCGGCCCTTGTAAAAGGTTGGGACGGGGTAGCCGAGGTCAAATATTGCCCACTACCTATGTTCAGTGATGAAAAATGAAATTTGGACGAGTTACTTACCACATCGAGTTTCGGGTTGACCAGCTTCAATAATTTGATGGCGGCGGGACCATAATCCTCAAAGTCATGTAAAAGTTGCTCCCGTTGGCCTGGCCTGGTTAATCTCTGAGTATCGGGCCAGTCCTCCGAAGTAGTTCTGAATGCGACCAAATTCAGGGTCTTTCCGTGGTTCACAGGGAAGGTCAGAACATGTTTGTCATGCCCCATCTAACAAGATTAGCTCAACCCACGACCACGGGAGTGGGAAGAGTACTCACATACATGCAAGCATTCTGAGCTCGCTCTTCACCAACTGCAGCACACGCATCCTCCATTGGAATCAGTCCACGATATGCGTATTTATGCGTATAAACAGGCTTAGCGGATGGATGGTCGGCTCCAACGATGGCTTGACGGACCCGCGATTTGATCCCATCACAGCCAATGATCGCGTCAGCCTCTACTACGGTTCCATCGTCGAATCGCATCACGAGTCTACCGTTGAGACCTTCAGTGATGCTTTGAAGTCGTTTACCAAACCTCGCAAGATGTTTGGGAATGAGTTTGACCGCCTCGTCCAGAAATTGGGCGCGATGTACGCCGTTCTGACCGAGGCTATTCGAAACAGTGAAAGCCGTATCAAGGGTACCATTGGATGTTACATCGCTGTATGCGTCCACATAATCGAACCAAACTTTTTGTTTTGAGGGTGACAAGTTTCTGGTACACACTTTCTCGAATGCTTCGTAAATGCCCTCGTGGCAAACTTTCATAGCCTGGACAGCATTGGGGCTGAAGGAGACACCCGCCCCAATCTCTGCAAACGAAGATGCCTGCTCATAGATGGTGAAGGGAATCGAGCGAGAGTTAAGAGCAATTGCCAATGTTAGCCCCGCGATCCCACCACCAACAATTGCTATGTCAAAATTCTTTACTGGCGACATTTGGAAGTGTGAGCGTGAAGCGGATGGGTTCGCGGAGACTTGTTGGCAACGACGAGGATAGAGATGTGAGTAGGACCAGACGTGAAGATGTAGGCTTTGCGCACTCTTGTCGTTAATTTATCCAGAGGGTCTTGCCGGAGATGAGTCGGATTATATTGGAACTTGGCCGGGCCTTTTGTGTATTTACATGGCGGGGTCATGGCAAGACGTCACGGCAAAGACGATCTCCGCATGGCGATTCATGGCGTATGGATCTTCTGGATCATGGGGTACGCCATCATCTAGAAGATTCAGAAACCGGAATCGCAACACCATTGCGTTTCCGATATTACCGGCAAAGATGGATGTAGATTACACCCAAAGTTCTCTCGTCAGTCTATAGAAACGATTCTCGGGAGGCATCCCGATGCCGAACCTTTCTTCCGATACCCCACATCTAACGCTAGCAATCCCGATCCCTGCTTCCGATTTCACTAGGGACTCCAACACTGCGGGGAATCCGGGGAACCCAAGGCGTTATGTAGACCGAGGCTAAGGGATAAGGAACAAAATGCTTAAAGGACCTCCTCCTTGTTTGCTTTCTCAACGTTAGGTTAGCTATTCCCCAGCATACCAGCAAGTAAGAGGCCTTTATCGTTACTGGCGTCAAGGCTCAAAGTATACAGCACACAGCGTGTAGAGGTTGGTGACGATGAGCGAAAGAAGAGGCAGAGACGAAACATACTGCAAAATACCAATGCATTGATCCGATTCTGCCAGGCCCGGTGGCGTAGGCTTTAATGCTTCGCCAATAGACCAGAGCGGATAGTTGTTAGGGGTCTTTTACACGGATCCATACCAGTGCTTTCAACTATCCACCTTTGACTGTCAAACTTTTACAAATCGCCCCTACATATTATGCAGTAGCATAGAAAGGTCTAATATTAGACTGTGCTGCTGATATTGCTTGTATAAACACACTCTAAGATTGAATATAGGCCAATAAAGTGCCCACAGCCGCTAAGCCACGTCCAAAACACGCTCAACCCATCTCTGAGGCATCTAAATTGATGAGGTGCTGGCCGAACCAAGCATCATACAGATTATAGCTTCCATAAGGATTGAACTGGCTGAAGTCGAGTTGGTTGGTGAATTCTAAAGACATCTCTGGTTTCATCTGCTCGTTGCTGACTGGCGTATCATCGATGGAGCTCCGCGTGTCAGTCTCTTCACATGTCATTAGCTTTGGAAATTCAGCGAGAACAGTACAGAGATTTTAGCTCACCTTGCGTCTGTGATCCATGGATCTGATATCTGAGAGCTTCCAAAACTTGTATCGCGCGTGACGCGGTATGGATGCTCCCCTTATAATGATTCAATATCGATAAAGTGCGATTCCACGAGGTTTCAAAGGTTACTGTAAACTCAACTCCAACTTCTGGTAGCCTCATCGAGGCGAGGAGAATAGTGGCAGCGGCAAATGTAACTATAAGATATTAGTCTCTCCATGTATGGACGCTTTCAGCAAGAGTTGCCGTACAATATACCGAATGCCAACCAAAACTTTTGTAAGCGGTATCCAGATGCTCAAAAATTGTCTCAATCAGGCGATGCGCTGTGTTAATGCAAAGATCGCAGTAACGACTGATGATATGATCATCGAGTAACGATAGATTCGCCTCTGTAGACACCACTACGGCATCTTTTGAACTTCGCTTTGTCGCCAAGAGCAGCAGGGGACGTAAAGACAACAGTTTAGTATATAGGAATCTACAAAGTTAGCGCTACATGCAATAAGAGAGCCTGGACAGGTAAATTTTACCGACAATAAAGGACTTGTTGCTGAAGATTCTTCCAGCTATTTCTCTCTGACATAAACACCTGGGAACTTTGAGTTGTTTTAAGATAGTCAGGTAATGAGGTGATAAAGTTGTCTAAGCGGCGGTTGAAACTTAGTACTTCTGATACCATGTCTTGTAAGCGAGATTCAGAGACAGGGTCCGCAGAAGCTTCGACTGAGTAGAATTTTGACAATATATCGTCTAAGATTTCGAAAAGCTTGCAGGAATACACAAACAGGCCCATTCGCGAGTTCGCTCCTTTCGGTTGTACGCCATCACCATCTGTGCGCAGATATTCATCATCAATTAAACAAGGCACTGGAGTACTGTAAGATCCATTCACCATAGTTGGACGGCCGAAAGTCATAGCTAACAGTCTTTCCATAGTTAGCAAGAAAACGTATTTACGTATCATAAAGGGAAGAGAAACACACTGGTCCAGAACGACACAGGTATGCCAGATTCTCCGTCTCATTTCTCGGTCAAGCTGGCTTTCCGATTTTAAGCCCGGGTGTTCCAGATGTAGTCCTAGACTTTGTGCAAGGCGAATAGCAAGCCCTATTGAGTTCCAGCAGTGGCTTGCGTATTTCGTTGATTGGAGATATACTCCGCTCAAAAGAAGCCACTGTACCACCGACACCGAGGTTGTGCCCAAAATATCATAGAGCAGTACTTGTCGAGACATTTTATAGAATTGATTTGCGGTTGAAACTCTGTTGTTTGCATGAGCCAGGCTACTAAATTGGCAACCCAAAGCAAAGACAAGATTCAGATTGCACATGAATACTAGATCTTCTTTGCCAGACCGCGAATTGCCGTGAGGGAGCCACAGTCGGTTATACTGTGCGATAAATGAGTCTTTGTGAAGGAGCGGAAACAACGGATGTATAAACTCAAAATAGCAATGCAGGAAATCGTCTGCATTGCTGCGAAGAGGGAGGATAGCAAGATTATCTCTATTCCCTAGAGATATGTCAAGCGGTGTAAGCACAGCAGGTGACTGCACCCGAGCGGATTCGTGAGCAGCCTGGCCACTTTGATGTTTGTTCTGTGCCGCGGTACTATCCGACGAAGTCTTTTGAGTAAACTCTCGTACAAAGGCAATAGTAGAAGACTCGCCATAAACACAACTGCCATTGTCGTCAGGAGAAACAGTGGCCAATGCGTCGACTTGCTGATGAGCAAGATTATGTGGAGAATCATCGCGGCCAGCGATACCACTCGCATTGCTTGGAGGCAAAGAATCATCATCTGGAAGGGTTATATCTGGGCCGAATCGGGGAGACTGCAAACTTCTCATGTCCACTGGGCCCAATTTAGCTGACGAAAATAAAGAGAGGCGATATATTTCATTTGCAAAGATTGAGAAAAAGGCTAGAAAAGGTCTCTACTCACATGACACGTTTGACCGTTCACTATTCTCGCCTTGCTCCAATCGTTGTAGTCGGCTTTCCAGATCCGCATACCTGGACATACATTTAGCAACATAGCAGGTATAGACGCGGTTCAATCACCTTTGTGAATGCGGCGCAGGTTGTGGGCGCTCATAGACACATGTCATAGCCACACCGCGTCTCTCGCAGGCGGCGCAGATGGGATATTGTCCATCACACTTTGTCTTCCGGCCCCGGCAATTACTACATGCTTGTTGCGTCTTCCGTCGTTTGGCCCTAGGCAATGGAGGTGTTGACAAGTCTCTGATAGGTGCCGCTTCATTGCTCGATGAGAGTTGATCTACCATTGTATATGGAGCCTAAGATCGAATATATGAGAATTGAGCAGAGTCAGTAACTGACGTCAAACTGCTAGGTAGGTAAATTATCTTACCTACCTACCAACCTACCTAGGTGCATTCCTCCAGAAGCTCCGAAATTGTATTACTAAGAACCCCGCAGAAAGCCCTCACCGCCTTCTATCTTCGGCGATACTCGAAAAACGGAGCTGCATTAGTGTTCTACGGAAATGGTACGTAAATTGCAATGGTGTTACGACCTGGTTCACCATAACTGCGAATCCCTTGTGGGCAGCTGGTTCCGTTACAGTAACTGCTATAATAGTGGTTATTGGCCTAATCTTTTGCCCTGTATGGCTTAACGGTATAACGGATCGTTACAAACGGCCATACGTTGTAGCACCTCTATAGGCACTTGAAGTCGTGCGAGAATATTTCAACTTTGGAATTGTGTTGGTATTTTACGCGCAGAAACTTGCGGTTCAATAGGCACATCATATTATTCCTTTTTTGGGTCGATGCGAGTAGTATGCAAGAACACAGCCCTCTGGAGCTGCGAGCTATTGACTGGGCAATTGTAACTCTTCTAAATTCTACAAACACATCTATGTTGAATCGCTAGAAGCTAGAGATGAATACCAAGTGATGATCTGGCACCCCGTTTTATTTCAGCGGCACCTACTTGTAATTATGGCCAAAGACGCGCCTCAGGGCACTGGCGGGGTGCCGCTAAATGGACGTCGGGGCGCCGGCAAGGCCGGGTAATCAATCTCTATACACGTACTCCATACTTACCCTAAAATACAACACGTTTTCTAGAAAATCTCTCATTATGGATGCGAAGATTTTCAACTGTTATGATAATATTTCAAGGATTTAAATAAAACAAGGTCCGAATAATTACATTTTTGAATAACACATGTTAGCGGGTTTTGTTTGGATTTCTAACCATTCGACGTGATTCAATACGCATATGCAGGCCGTGTAACGCGAAACCACCCAGTCTCGATGTGTCCTTCAGCGAAAAGTCAACCGGCATTGAGACTAATGAGTGAAGATTTTGTCGCATTGAGTAGAAAATACATTTATTGCATCAGCTACAACACAGATAATGTAATTCGAGCGTCAAAGCGTTTAACGGCGTTAATAGCGAAGATATTTGCATGGAGACAATGGCCCCTTCCAACATAGACAAGGCAAGTGCTTCGATGGACTGACTGTGTCTTAGATGTACCAACTGGATGCTACGTACGAAGATAATGCATCAGAGCTCGCAAACATATCACTTTTTGAGCCGGGTCTAAGGGTCATCCAAATGAGACAAAGACACAGCGGATGTCGATAGGACAGGTACGTCCACATTGGTACCGCAACGATTCATTTAACGAATCATCATCAACAAACCTGCTCAGTGGGATTTCTGCCACATCGAACAGTTTTAAATGTCAGTCTCAAATATGTCTACTCCTTTATCTAAATTCGAAACCAGTAGCAGCAAAATGACCTTTTAAGGTGCGTTCACTGTCTCTGAATTTAGGCTGCTGAGATTGCTCTGAGGCAAATGATTGGTGGGCGCCGTTGATTGCAAATTTATCCGGTAGATCGCGAAGGCCACCTCTGTCCTTGTCAAAGGCGGTTTAAGACCGCTGCTATCTTAGCATTCCAGATGAATACGACAAGCCGTTGCAAATTATTGCTACTTACTTCGACAGCGCAGCCATAATGAGTTCACTACCAAACGGCCAAGGGCGCTGGATTCACACATGGGCTAGCATGCCAATGCTCATAGAGGGCGATAACTTACCCCCCGACGATTTTGTAAGTAAGACAGCGTAAATCGGAAGAATTGTGAACTTCCATCGCCTCAGCCTTGGGCATCTATCCAAAGTTTCAGCTAAAGCTCACAATGAAACTCCAATTGCAGATACAAGAGGGCGTGGCCTTCCGTAATACCACCATTCGTCAAACCGTACGATTGTCAATTGGAACGGAAAAGTTCCTGCGAATCAGACTATCCAATGCATTTGGATCCGAATCTCTTTCCATAGCACACACAACACTAGCACTGGCGACTGAGAACCAGTCAGGAATCCCAGAAATTCAGCCTCAAACTATACAAACCGTCACTTTCGACGAGAGTGAATCTACTACCATTCCAGCTGGAGCGCTCATGGTTTCTGATGCCATAAGCTTTGGGGTTTTCCTACAGCCCCAGACCGTATTAAGTATCAGTATCTTCATTGAGACTGGCCATAACGCGCAATGTATCACCGCACATCCAGGGAGTCGCACCACATCGTACTTCATCAAGGGAAATTGTGTGTCTGAGAGGGATTTTAATCGCCTTATTGTCAAGCAGGCTGACCACTGGTTCGTCAAGAGAATTTTCTTTCAGATTCTTCCCATTGTGATGTATTTCACTTTTGCGTTTTTCCCGTTATAGCTTCTGACAGTGGCACAGGTATTACATCAGTGGTGTCGAAGTCTTTGCGCCGCGAGATGCGCGAGCCTTTGCTATCATTGGAGACAGCATTACGGACGGCAGATGCAGCCTTACTAATGGCGACACCAGGTGCGTGGATATTGTTCAGCCAAGACTAGTTAACGCTAGCTGACTATACGTGAAGATGGCCAGATATTCTCTTTAGACGACTGCAAGCTAGTACATCTGAATTATATACTTCCCTTGCCGTCGTGAACCAAGCGGCTGGAGGCAACCGCGTGATGGACCATGGCCTTGGACCTAGCGTGCTGAGTAGGCTAGATAGGGATATTATGTCTCTTTCCGGTGTCAGCTCTGTTCTGTTATTTGAAGGTGTTAACGATATTGGCATGGCACCCGCTGATTCTCACAGTCAAGAGATCTTGAGCAATCGGCTAATTGCAGCGTATAAACAAATTACTACCCGGCTAAGAGCACATGGTGTCGCGGTCTTTGCGGCAACTTTAACACCTTTCAGCCTCCCACCAATAGACATCAAAGAGCATGAGAATTCCCCCGATACATCCTATTGTGACCCAGTTCGGGAGTCTACGAGGCAGGTCATCAATAACTGGATTCGCAGCAGCGGCATCTTCGACGCCGTGGTTGACTTTGATGAAATCTTGCGGGACCCAGCAGATCATTCGCTGCTCAAGAGAGAGTATGACTCAGGAGACGGATTGCACCCTAATCAAAGTGCTTTCTATGCTATGGCGGACTATTTTCCGATTCATATTTTTGGGAATCTATTCTAAATAGGCTGGATTTGTACTAATTCCGAGAGTGAGAGTTGGAGCTAGCTGAGCTGCTTTGTTAAATTTAGTCCACAACACCTTGTGGCAACAAGGAAACATAGTCTATCGGAGCAAGCTCGTTTCCATCTGGCCTGCCAACTATCTTAAGGGAATCGCCCTTTTTCACTTCTACACTGTCGAAAGTGATGCGAGTCGCAGAATGGCCGTCAATGCGGTCCGAGAAGTCATGACTTAATTTATCTTGAAGATCCCCCGCCCAAGCACCAATTAGTCTTTCGTTTACGAAGACTTCATATTGTGACCTGCCGCCAAGATGATCGTAGTAGTTAATCGCGATGTTATAAGTCCCAGAAGGAAAAGCAACAGTACATGTTGCAGTACCTACATCCGCGCCTGGGATTGTTGCGATGGCCTTCCCTCCTGATGCAGCCTCGAATGGCGTGACAGGAACCACTTTGTATCCTTCAAGTGTCATCTCTTCGGCCTCAATTCTCCATGCATGGTTGCCAACGCGATTAAGTTCGTCTCTAATTCCACATTTAGCGTAATAGAAATTGTTAACGGAGTCTCGCCAGACCAGAGCATGACCCGCTTGATACTGGAGACGAAAAGCCATATGATCAAATCGATTGTCGTCTATCAATCCCCGCAGTATTTCCCACTGCTGTGCAAATGTCTGGGCAACAAGTGCTCCGGCATAATGGGCGTCGTAGAAGTGCTGAATAACTGTCTTGCCTGACTTGAGACGATGAGTGTACGGAACATGGTGAAACCACAAGAGAAGCTCATCAGGAGTGGTATCAATGCACTCAAACCTATCAGCAACCTTTTGAGGATATTGTCCTGAATTTCCTGTCCCCGTGGCAACAGTTCGATCCATTCCAATTGAACGTGCATCAGCGCGAGTCCACTGACCCCATCCATTACCATCCTGCGCGGCTGGGGAGGGGCCATAATGGCAATGTGTGACAATGTCGCACAAAGTTTGAATGCCAAGATTGCCACTGTAATTTTCATATGTAGGCCAAGAAGCCATAGAGATATTTGTTATGGTATCCACGACTGCTTTATTTAGGCCAAAGGTCAATTGTGCCCAGCCTTGGATTATGTCCACCTCACTCTGTTGAGGGTCCCAAGCGCACAATCCGTATGCATATAGGTTGGCCATAGCAAGATGACTTCCTAGCCATGTAGGATCGTTTCCTACATTAACGACCGCTGCGTAGCCACTTCTGCTCCAATTGAATCGTTGGCCGGAGACTACGTCTCGAACCAGCGATTTCTGACCGTCTACATGGAGATCAAAATCGAAAATCGTCTTCCAAAGTGGTGGTAAATATACGATGTGATCTTGTTGGCCAAGATACTCCTGTGTGACTTGTAATTCGAGAATAATTGGCGTTTTCCGTAGGTGAGCAAGAAGAGGTGACGGCGGTTCCCGAATTTGAAAATCGATGGGGCCGTATTTGATCTGAATAATGACATTATCTTCGAATTGAGTATCCAGCCCATCAAAGTACTCAACAGCCGCGTTTGCCCTATCATTCTTCCAGTTCGACTCATCGAGGTGGTGGTTGTAGACAAAAGCGCGATACATGACGACGCCATCACCGTGAGGCTGCAGGGCTCTTGCAAACATGTTTGCACCATCGGCAAGAGTACGGCCATATGTTAATGGACCTGGTTGTCCTTCAGAGTTTGCCTTGATCAGATACCCCAGCATATCTGGGACATGACGATAAAGCTCAGAAGTAATGTCCTCCCACCAAGCAATGACGTTGCGATCCAGAGGATCAGATGTCTGCAAACCTCCGAGTTCTTTTGGGGTATCAAAATACAAAGAAATACCAATTCGAACTCCCCATGGTCTCATGATGTCAGCAATTCGAGCCAGGCCTTGCATATTAAAAGGATTGAGAAGGTTGTAATTGGAGTTGACGTTATTCACAATCAGACCATTCAGCCCGACCGATGCCAGCAGCCGCGCATATTGCTGAACACGAGTCAGGTCGTCGAGCACATGTCCGTCTGCGAAAAAAATGGAAGGGCCAGCATATCCTCTTTCAATGGTGCCGTCGAGGTTATCCCATTGGTTCACCCACCGAATCGGAGCACTGGGATTCGATATACGCATCTCGGGCAGTGGTTGATTCTGCGACAAAAGTCTGAGAAACTCAAAAGCGCCGTACAATGCACCTCGATCGTTTTGGCCGATTATTTCAGCTGCCCTCCCATTCTTACAAACAAGACAGTAACCATCCTCTTTAAGAGGCAGGGCGCCATAAATATCCCCTTTGGTAGATAGGAATGTGTCAACAGTTCCTACAATAATAAAGGAGTTGGCTGCGGGTCCCAAGACCTTCGTCTCAAGACTAATATTCTGACTTAAGATCTTGGAGAGACCAAGTTGCAGTTCTCTCGCGGCAGTGAATATAGGGCTGCTTTGACTATCCGTAAGAGAGATGATTGCCGAATATTGTGGGCGTAGGCTGGCAAACTCATCAGGAAGTGCGGCATACCGCAGCCAGCCATCGAGGCCTGTCTCATTCACAAGCATACTCAAGAACACAATGTGCAGAATTAACAAGACTGTAAATCTGGAATACTACAGGCTGAAGACACAAATGCGAACAATAGGGTGAGCAATAGATAAATCGATTCTGTGGGTGGCTTTTCGATAGCTATGAAACACCCAAAAAACCGTGTTACATGCGATCCCGTGTTTATCCAACGCATGATTGACAATACCGGTTGCCATTATACGGTAAATTCACTTCAGCCTGAGATACCTATCGAGCAAAGCCTTGTTTAATATGCGGGGTAATGACAATCCAGAGAGATGGGGGTAGTAGGAGTGGAGCAAACAATGTGTCCTGGAGAGCAAAAATCGGCATTGAAGGTCACTAACAACAGACTGCTCAAGTTACCATGCTGAGCTCAGCGCTGTGGCTTAAAGAAGCACTGGCTGGCTGATATTCTGGTCATGGCCTTGGGGACATGGCAGGCATTATGTCTTCTGAGAATCTTATTTCATCTAGAGCGACCTTTGAAACAAGCTGGGGCAGAAATATTTAGTAAGTTGAAGCTATTTATGCGCAGTAAATTGAAGAGAAGACTTCTCTTTGTAGTTTGTTGATACAGAAAAAATATGGAAGCATCCACTGTTGCCGTTGGCTTGTAGCGTCGACCGCGCTGACAGCCCAAGCAGCGAACATTAAAATCAATGCCGCTACTGCTTATAATGGCATTGGCTTCTCCCAGGCACTTGGCCAAGCTTCTAGAATTCAAGCTGCAGAGCTTGAGTTGCAGAAGAAGGTATTTAATTTTCTTTTTCACTTATGAAAAGGCATAGAATCTATTCAAGCTATTGATAAAGCTATCAGTTGCTATTTCAAGGGCGGGGGGTTAATGACTAATCCATGTTCTAAATTACATTATTTGCCATAAATTCAGTTAGACATATTGCTCCTTACTTCCCTGTCACTACGTACCCTCGACTACTGTCCAGAGAACCTCTGCGTTGTCATGACTGACGAGTCAATACAATACAAGATTGAACATGACACCGGCACTCTTCAGTCTGGTGTAGTCCTCCACACCTGGCGGGTTCATCCACTTCGAGCTATCATTATCCTACAGCACGGATATGGGGAGCACGCAGAGCGCTATGTAAATGGGCACTGTGCCCTGATCCCGCAGCTAGGCAAACACGGCCTCGAAGTCAGGGCATTCGACATGTGGGGTCACGGACGGTCACCTGGCGTTCGCGGCAGCGTGGACGTTGAGAGGGCCATCCAGGACCATCTAGAGCTGCGGCGAGAGGCGAAGAGAGAGAACGTACCTCTCTTCTTACTCGGCCACTCCTTGGGTGCTCTTGTCACGGCAGGCAGCGTCGTCGCGGACCCATCTCTGGTGGATGGAGTCATCTTGACCAGCCCTCCGTTTCCAGGTCCAGTGTCGACCTTGGTGAGATGGGTGCTGAGTGCGGGCGCCACCATCGTGCCACACTGGTCACTTCCTATGCCACGGTCACCCCCCTCTGCTCTATCACGCCAACCTGAACTGCTGCAGTCGGCAGAGGCTGACCCGCTGATGGTGAAGAGACAGATGCCTTTTCTCCTGGCTGCCTCTGCTCTCCGCACAGCGCAGGCTATAAACCAAGGACTCAAGGACTGGCATGTCCCCACGCTCGTCATGCACGGTACTGCTGATAAAAGCGCTGATCCTAAGGGAAGTGAAGATTTTGTTAGAGGTATCGATTCTAAAGATAAGACGCTACGGCTTTTGGATTCGGGCCTCCACGAGCTCCTCAATGACTCGGATCGGGAAGAATCTCTCCAGGAGATCCTTGTGTGGCTTGATGCTCATATTAAATAAGGCCTATCTGCTGGCCTTTACAATCAGGCTAATAGAATATTCTTGAATAGAAGTATTTAGTTTTTCCAAAATTGGCAAATGATTGGCTGGGAAAATTTGTTCAACGGGTAAATCCTTCATGTTGTCGCCACGCGCGATTCTCTTTCGGTTTGTGAAATTATGGAGTAGAAAGATTCCCCATGGCCTTTATAGGGCAAGCCGCAAGCTGCCTGTATAAACGTGGAGTGCACTAGTGAATTAAATGTTCTACGTTGAATTGTATTTCCTTATGTTCTTAACTACTCCCATATGGTATTATTTCTCTTTAGCCGTAGTTTCATTCCCACCTGAAGCTACTTTCTTTTGATAGTAAGAAAAGGGAATCTTCAAATCTCATGATAAGACTTGTATATAGTTAACACTTTACATAGCTCGTGATACTAGATACACATTATACTTTGATATGGAATTGCCTGCCATTCTTGCAGTTTTAGTAGAAATACTAATCTTGGAAGAATTCTTCAAACTTGATTCAAATCCAAATGCTAGGGAAAGAATTACAATCCACTCACATACGTAGCTGGAGTAGGAACAGCAGCATTGTATTGTATTTAATTAAAGCTAATAATACTATCTGTTAAAGACGCTTAAAGGATAGCAAGAACACTGGAAGTGCATTCATTGCTGTTTAGTAAATTCCGGCATATCCATGTCGTCGACAGATGCGTCTCTGAATTCATGTGCCTTGAGATTCCTGGAAAATAAGAGGTCTAGCTCCTCGAACGTCCTGTCTTTGCTTTCCGGGAGGCGGAAGTAGCCCCACAACAAACAAAGCAGTGAGAACGCGGCGGCCAAGAAGGCAGTCTTGCCCTTCAGATTTCCCGCAGTGGGATTCAGAGTATAGGGAGCCACAGTGGCGCTAAACACATTCGCAACATTGTATGCGTTGCGAGCCAGAGAAATACTCTTAGATCGAAGACGGGTGGAGGATATCTCGCCAACAACGATGAAGGCAGTCGGACCAATCGTCAGCTGGTAGACGACATACCAGACGAGATACATAATAGCCTGTCCATAGCCCAGGCCCGTGGTCTGGCGAGCAAGTGCCAGGAATCCAAGAGTAAACATAGCGCAAGACATGCCGGCATATCCACAGAGCATGATCCCACGTCGGCCAAATCTTGCAGTCACAAATAGCGAGAGCAGGGTACACAAGAAATGAATGCCTCCTTGTCCAATTGTCATTTTGTAAGCGTTTGCCGCCGGCAACCCAGCCTGTTCGTAAAAGTAGGACGAGTAGTTGGCTATGGCAAATCCACAGAGAACCTGAGACGCCCAAGCGACGCATCCGATTTCAGTACGCCACAGATTCGTTCCGCGAAAGCAATCCCCATATGATGCACCTTCCGTCATGGCCGCCTCTAAGTTGGTAGTCTGAACCATCAAAGCAACGGATTGCTTGCTGTTTTGCGATTTCTTGGAGGACAGGCGCTTCATAGACTGCTCTGCTTTGTCGATACGGCCTTTACGAACAAGCCACCAGGGGGATTCAGGGGCAAATAAGAGCAGGGGAATAACAATAACGGGCCAAACCCACTGGACAGCCAGCGGGATTCGCCAAGACCATTCATCAGTGCGGTTGACCAAGCCGTAGAGAACGCCGTAAGAAACAAACTGGCCAATTCCCCAACAGAGGACAACGAAGGTCTCAAGGTATGCGCGAAGGGCTACTGGAGCAACCTCCGAGGCGTATGCAGGAGCCAAAGTGGTGAAAACGCCCCAAGCCAGGCCGCACAGTAACTCGCCGGCAAAAAGCACCTCGATGGTCTTTGAGAAGAAGGGGATAAATAGAACTCCACTGAGAAACACAAGAGTTCCCAAAACGGCTTTTTTGTGGCCAAACCATTCGGTGATGAGTCCGTTGAGATAAATGCCAACAATATTACCAAGAGGACTAGCCAATCCTAAAGCAGTCTGCCACTTTGCCTCCAACTGGTATTTGCCATGTCCTTGAGCTTGCCCAAACTGCTGTTGAAAAGCGGGATACGCGAAAAGAGAGCCGATAAGAGCCGTGTCATATCCATCCATAATGACAACGATTGAGACAACCATGGACCACATGCACGCTTGCGGGTACATCTTGACTGCCTTGAAGAAAGTCAAGCTATGTTCTTCTTCTGTCGCATTGCGAGCATCTTCGGCGAGGTTGGCCCAATTATCCGCTGTTTCAGCTTGCGACGCATGGTTGACCTCTATTTTCTCTTCTGCGCCTTGAGACATCTGTAGAGATTGCATAGAGACAGGTTCTTAGACAACGTGATTGATCTGCGTAAATATGAAGAAATGGCGAAATTAGGCGGCACTATAACGTTAAACATAAGACCTCAATTCTTAATTTAAGCAAGCAATGCTCTTTGCATTTATACCCCACACTCTGCTACCCCAAACAAGACGTTGATGGGGTTGCATTATGGGAGTATTGCAATCCCACGTCTCGTTCGTTACCAATTTAGCCTGGGATTCATGATTAGCTCCTGATTTAGCTGAACAACTTTATCCTACCAATTGGGTAAATCACCTGCTGACGGATAAATATTCTGGGAGCTAAATGCTATTATCCACGAAGGGGTTACCGAAATCCTTATACAATGAGAACTGACCAGCCAATGAAGTGATTTGGGGTCAGTTTGGCAGACTGCAAGTTGTTTACTAACAGATGGAATAACAGGCAAACTAGTTTTGTATTTGCATTCATAAATATATCTAATAATGGTATTCCTAGACAATGGAATTATAGATGGATCACATAATTATGTGTTGATATCCAAGCACGATGATAATGCGGATTATCTTAACGAGTATGTATGCATACCGCATGGAGGAAATACAGGCATGCATCGGAGTGTCAAGTATAAATCCACGCCTATAATTTAGGTGCTACGCCTATCATTATATATGGTCGAGCCAGCATTTTGACTGAGATATTTAATGCATTGCGGTTGGCTGGTGAATAATATTGGCACTGCTGCATACCTACCTGTAATTTCTACCAGAGAGTCGGGAGCAATGGTATTCCTAATTATGTGTTGGATAAATAAAGGTAGTCTGCATAATTGTCAACACACATTTTTCAGAGATTTTTTGCGGAATCGGTGACTGCATATCGACTTTCACAGCTCCATAAATATCTCGATTTGCAAGGCGCTGTACGGAGTAGCAGGGCTGGGATTCATCCAATTTCTTATCAGTGCTGGCTAGATCCATGTATATGAGCGACCTGACTGTTTAAGAAAAAGGAAAAGGCCTGACAATGGGGGAACGTCTTGAGTTGTTACTTTGCATTTTTTGGCTCTCAGACTGAAGCGCTTTTTAGGGACCTTGGATCGACTACAGTCGCTTTATGAATACCGTTCCGCCAGACAACCCTTTGTCATCCCAATGGATCGCTACGTAGGTAGACAGCCTGCGCGAATTCTGCTACACTTTCATTTCCTAAGCTTACTTACAATATTGCCTTTGGCATATAAATGAATCTGTTTGTCTTTACATCAGCCTGCTTTGTACTCCAGGGTCAATTGGACTCGGCCAGCGCAATATATGACGAAGTGTGATCGGACAAAAATGGGTTACCTTTTGTTTGTTTTTTGACGAAGAATCTATGTCGGGCGAGGAAGACTGGAAATCGCATCTTCACTCTTCTGGATGGTGAACAAGCTTGTATTGGCGGTAAGTAGACTAGACCGAGGCTTCTGACAACCATCGGAATTATGGAATAAAGAGCACATACGCACTGAGTAAAAAGTCTCTTGTCGGTTTATGGGGTGAACCGGGAAAGGCTGGGTTTTAATTGATGGAAATAAGACACTGAATGCATGCAGCTGGGGGTAGTTACTTTTCTCAAGTGGCGGTCGATTGAGAACACTGGGGCAGTCATGAAAGGTAAAATTCAAGGTGTTAGGCAACTTCCTTACCCATGCTGATCATTTATATTTGTAAGCCATATATAGATTCCGTGATTCCACATCTTCAATGTAACAAGATTAAATTACAATATAAGCGACGGCTATGTTAGCGCTCATTTGACTCTTGTGGGTTTATGGTAGCTCACGATCACACATATTGTCTGAGGCTATTTGAACCACCTGTAAACTTTCCAATTGAAGCAATTGGAGATTCTGGACTTGTTGTGTCCGTAGTAATAAATGCTATATGATTCGGGCTATCTGCAACGTCTTTCAGTCACTGTCGGTTACAAAACATGATTATGACGATCGGCGTGATTTGAAAGACGATGAGTAGAAAGAAAGGTTCTATACTTAATAGCTTGAATAGATCGGTCCGATTTGGTCGCAACGTCGGAATACATTGCAAAACAGCCACGCTAGTGACATGGCACCTAGTATTTCTAAACAGCTTGCCATTGTATAGAAGATGGCAGTCTGAGATAGTAGTAGTACCCATCTCTCAATCTTTCATAGAGACCGTTATATCTCGCACTGCCGTGTCTAAGCGCATATCACTAAGAGATTATGATGAAGCAGCGGGATATAGCATCCCATGAACAGGTCCTGTAAGACCTACACCTACAGATACGCAACGCATTCATATTTACGGTACTCCAACAGCACATTCCATGGGATACAAAGTTGGTCAGCATGAAGGAGACAACCAACATGATAGCAGGGTTTGAGCAAATAGGAGGTTTCTAGGCGAGTACGTGTTTGGCTACGGCGCTGTTTGCTGCAAAACGCTACCGATATTGATTAACTTCTGTTTACGCCTTCCCACTCCGGTGCAAAACTTATTACTAAGTGATGAAATGCTAAAATGCTGGTTTAAGCATTTTTAGCATACGTAGTACCTGTGGCAATGAGCTCTCTCGGCGAAATCCTAGATCTTTACCAGCATGTCTCTAGTGGGCTAGACAACGAGAAAGGCGTGATAGATCGCTCTAAGCCGATCCAGGAATGTGGTCCCAGTGTAGTCCCACCTAATTTGTATCAAGAAGCCTGTAACTCTGATATTACCATAGATATTGTAATCATAGATATTGTAATCAACCTCAGGTCGGATAGAGTCTAGAATGGGTGTGTCTAACAGTATATATGTTGTAGTAACGACCCAGATCGCAGCATTGGAGCATGATATCGTTGTCAATACAATTTTGGATCTTCAAAGCAAACGAATCATTCGTACGAAAATGTTGGAGAAACAGTTTGCATTTCTCCTCGCCAGCGCGGGCATCGTTCTGAGTAATGGTCCTGTGCACAATGGTTTTACCCCTAAGGAATTCACTGTCAATCTCTCAGCTGGAGTTCCGAGAATGATTGATCTGGTTCGAGAGACACGCCTACCGTCTCATTCAGAATTCTCTGGATTCGGTAATTCCAGTGGCATTGCTCTCGATGTCTTAGGGAGTTTACGTACTCAATGGTTGGAAGATTTCAATTGGGGTCATGAGGAAGCGGCTCTCAACAAGTGAGAATGTGACAACGCTTCGGTCACTCCAGTTGGCTAATGTAGAACAGATACAACCATTTCACTGTCGAAATTGAAGGATTAACTATCCACTACATTCATCAGCGAGCCTCCGACGAAAGCTCAATTCCCCTCCTGCTCAATCATGGCTGGCCAGGATCGTTTTTAGAATTCTTGCCTATTGTTAATGAGCTTACAGAAAAAAGCAAAACATCCAAGGGGCGACCTGTCTCATTTCACGTGGTAATTCCTTCACTGCCAGGGTTTACTTTCTCATCGCCACCGCCTGCAAACTGGACTATAGACGACACAGCGCGTGTATTTAATACTTTGATGCGCGAAGTACTGGGTTATGATCAGTTTGCCACCTTTGGAACAGACTGGGGTTGTGCGCCAGCCTACAGCCTCTATGACAATTTCAACACATCAACGCGAGCTGCTCATTTTTCAATGCTTCCATTTTATCCCCTTAGCTCCACGGAACTAGCCGCACAGAATATCACCTTATCTTCTCCATTGCAGCAGTTCGAACAGCAAAGGTCTATGGACTGGTTAACTTCCGGAAACGCCTACTTCTCAGAGCAGACTACAAGGGTAACGTGCAAGTCATCTTCAAAGGAAAAGATGTGACGCTGATGTTAATTAGCCCAATACAATCGGCCTGGCTCTTTTGGATAGTCCAATGGGCCAGTTGGCGTGGATTGGCGAGAAGTACATTTCATGTAAGTGACACCGCGGCTACAAACGGTATGCTTTGCGCGCAAACAAATTGACTTTTGATACAGGGTCAGATCCAAAGGCGGGAACTAGTCCGTCTGTCTTAGACCACAAACAAATTCTGTTGTCTGTGTCCTTGTACTACTTGACACGATCGTTTCTTTCATCGGTATACATCTACTTCCAAAATCCAAATGGTTTCAAAACGTCATACACAAAAGCGCAAACGGACGCGCCTTTACTATTCAGTGCGTTCAAGTACAATGTCGGCTTTTGGCCTGAACCTGTGGTCGCAAAGGTCGGAAATATGGTGATGTATAAAGGTGCGTGAATATCCTGCTAAGTTGGCATCAATGACTATGTCTGATGACCATATAGATCACGAGTTTGGTGGCCACTTTCCGGGCCTCGATAATCCTCCGGCGCTTTTACACGATTTGAGAGAAATTGCAAACTATTGGGTATAGATGCGCGAGCTAAATATATTGCGGCCTCGCGGACGGTCTTCTGAAGACCAGTTAGAGGTGGTACTTCCTGATCATGTGTGGTGTGGCCAAATCATTGTAACGGCGACCATCAAATGGCAGCCCTCTAATCTAGATATACTAAGAAAATTGAGGCAACGCCGCAGGCGCACCACCCTTCTACAGCGAGTTCTTAGTTTTACAACTGCGTATTCACAACTAAATAGCTCTTTTTGCTTTTCACCCGTTGCCTAAATACAGTCATCCTTTCTGATGGTCCCGTTGGAACGACAGGTACACATGGTGTTGCTGCTTGTCGTCACAATGCTTGTTAGTCATTAAGAACGGGGATATTTAATTTATATGCTTTGGTGAGAGAAATCTTTTTCTATGAACGAATTGCAGAAATAATCAGCGAAAGGCTGCGCAGCAATATGAAGATACTAGCTAATTTCAAGCCTCATAAGTTGACAATTTTAGCTTCTGACAGCAGCAGGGCTCACGTCATCTCATTTACTGGATGATTACATAGCGGCAATTGGTGCTCTCACCGAGGCATCGGCTCGCCTAGTCTCTGCTGAGAAATGCACGAGGATCGAATCCATTACCGCGCGGGAAAAATGAAGCTTAAATTGTTCGTCCAATCCATCCTTCTCATTCAGGGCAAATCACAGGGTTAGCGAGCTTGGTTGTTCAATAATTCTCAGCACGAGACTGAAATACGCCCCCCTGCGCTGATAAATATGCCTTTACTACTGTTTTATTGGTATGTCACATATGGGGTGATAATTGCGCTGAATAAAATAGTATTGAAACAGTCTCTATATATGCTAGGTATGTAATGATGCTGCTGTCGCAGCTTTATGCTGTAAGTCTTATAAATGAACTAAAGTCTCATGCCTTACTAGGGTCTCACCTACGCCTTGAGCTTGGTCAGCCAAGTCGGTAAGTTACTAATCTCACCGACCGCTTCATGCAACAAACATACATACATAGCAGGAACTCTTCCCGGCTTTGAGGCTGAGCCGGGACTTCTAGTTGGGGCATTTGCAACCACACCTAACCTCTTCCAGGAATGCCCCGATGTATAATGAACAAACACCTCATTGGTTTCCACTAGAATACGCGGTTGCCATTTGTCATTGCCAATAAGCTTATCATTAGTAAGCACCTGAGATTCCGGATAGAGGACACAGGAGGTTGAAGTTGGGACATCTTCTTCCCCGCTAAACTGGGATAACAACCGGTATGTTTTCAATCCTGCTTCGTGGCACCCACACATGTAATGTAAGGCGGTTTTATGAGTAACTGCCTCTCTGTCGCATGCCATGGTCTGGGATGATGAGACACGTTGCGCTTCACCAATGCGCAGCGAGGGAATGGAACATGGAGGCAAATTCGCATTTGTCAACTTTTCCAATGGCTACCACCTAAATTCTTCGGATCAGATACGAGTAATTCGGCAGCACGCCATGAAAGATGTGGGGAAATCACGCCGAAAACCAACGACGAAGGCCAGTTTAGATCTGGCCAAGAAACTGTACCAATTACAGCCGACATGGTGGCTTCCTCGACGCTGGGCGACTCTCTCTAATTTTTCATCTCACGTGAAGCTACCGATTGGGGTGCAGCTCGAGAGCGATGCAAGAGGTCGTCAGCTTCTTTCAGAAGGTGGGCTCTCTTTGCATTTTTCAGCAGCTAATTGTAGGCTTACTCAAGGCGTGGCAGTCTTTCGTGATGGCGACAGTGGCGGAGCTCAAACACACTTGCGAGACGCCTGGTTCACTCTCGGAATGCGATATGGGCCAACAATGTTCCAGATTTTGGCCAACTCTGCTCTACACGAGACAATAGCGAGATCGGGAGCTCGTAAAGCTGCTGAAAGTTATGACTCTATGAGATTTCATGTAAAGGCATTGTCTTCTCTACAAGTAACGCTACGGGCCACGGAAAAAAGGGATCTAGAATATGCTATAAGTGCAATTACCGCGCTGTTGGTATATGAGGTATGGGATGGTTTACCAAGACCCTCTGTCACGTCTTGAAACTTTGAGGCTAACCGTACAGGTGTAGGAGCTTTGTGGCAATAGAGACATGTGGATTATACATCACCAAGGTCTTCAGCACTTAGTCAGCCGAGCAGGGGGCATCGATGCTCTTGAACAAAATGAGGAGCTGAGAATAACAATTAGTTGGTGAGCAGAACACTTTCCCTATGAGCTTTGGGTTGTTAGGCTGAACTGCGTAGGTGTGAACTTCGTGGTGCGTGCGTGTTTGACCACCCTCCTTGCTATCCATCACCACGGCAATGGGAGAAGTTTGCTGTGTTGCCTCTGTCTTCTACAAACGTGCGCACTAATATAGACCATGTAACTCGCATCTGGAACGATTCGTCGCAGATCCAACACTCGGAGTGGTTAAACGCATATGAGATTGTAGCCATCTTCTCCTTTTCCGCATTTAGTCTACCTCAGCATCAAAATCCAGCCTTGAGCATCTGCAGCAGGGATGGGTGTGGTGCCTGGGTAAATCCAGTGGTGCATACGTTTCTCTCGCAGCGGCAACCCGTCGACCTAGCGCGTACAGGATCTCTCATGCAGGAGGCTTGCCGGTTAGGAATGCTACTCTATCTGAATCACGTACGGCGTTTCCTAGGCATACTGCCCTCATACACTGGTATCGTGGCCAGCAGACTGAAAAGCCACCTTATTGCAAACTATGAGCATCTCATGGTTGACTGGATCGGCGAGGCCTGGATATTGCAAATATGGATCCTCTATATGGGCGGATTCGGGCTTCAGGGAGAACCTGATGAGGCCTGGTTTTTCCGCACGTTAGGCACGTCTTTGAAAAGACACGGAATATCGGACTGGAGTGATGTCCTGCAGCTCCTCAAAAGCGTACTGTGGTTTGAAGAGGTGTTTGATAGACCAAACGATGAAAGAGTGCAAAATGGCTCTATGTGGTGGACAATGTGACTTCTCACCCGCCAGGATACTGAAACCACCAGCCGCTTTAGTAACAATCCTCTTAAAAGATGATTGGGGATGATTTGTTTATAATTATAGTCAAAGGGGTCCCGAAACAAACTTTAGCTTTGGCTGAGACATGGTTTGCGTGAGGTCTGGGGAAATGTTAGTGGATGTACACATACCGTTAATGTTGAAACTGGCATACTCAATTACAAAGTCATGAGTAGCTTGAACTAGAAATTTGGCTCCGTATGTTGTGAAAGATATATATTAAAACTTATTATTTCTCGGGCTTTATGAGTGTTATATGTCTTATTTTTACGTGATGACTAGGCAAATTACCTTATGAATGTACATAGCCGCTATTGCTGTGTGTGTGGCCTGGTTATTTGAATCAGAGAAGAGAGAATATTATACAAATTTAAATTAATTTGACATGTGGCTCTTGATCGCAAGTAGAGGGTACCCGGCGGGTACAGTGTATAATAGCGCAGCTGTTTACGCAGGAGGCCACAGCAAAATTTCAATCACAGCTTTTTAATTAAAGACATGAATTTGACATAATACAGATAGGCAAGTCCCGTGTATGTTACGGGAATAAATCTTGCACCCCTGCGAATCCACCACATTGCTGTTCGAGCTACCCATTCCGCTGGGAGCTTTGCGGAATCCACAGTAGATTGAAAGGCTGCTGGCACAATATGACGATAGATAATTGAGTCATCGTCGTAAAATTTGCGTGTATAGGGAAGAAAGGCGCGCTTAGAAGTAGAGTATGCTTGGAGATTTTGAATGCCAAAGGAAGGATGCAGCTCAGTCTCACTGCCGACATCCCAAATTTCGGGCAGAAGATCTATCTGGCTTGGGTCGCTTTTTCGATGATTTTTGAACAATGATATAAATTGAACCGCGGATTCGCAGTTGGCCTTGAGAGCATCTTGCCCTTTTGATCCATGAGCTAGGATCAAAACATCCGTGTTTTCGAGGATCGGTATCGCCGCATCGAAATCAGTGTAGGTCCAATCTACTCCAAATTTGAGTTGCTGAATGCAAGCTACCGATTCAGTCTGTAGCTCTTTCATTAAAGCTTTTCCAAACGCCCCAGATGCACCAGTCAATGTGACCCTTCGAGATTTCAGTGTGTATGCCGTACCAAAAAGCCAGTCAAAGAGATAAAACGTTGAGCTCATATATGCTGCTGGATCCACATGATGGAGGGCGTGGTATTCTGGACCAACAATAAACCTGTACGGATTTTTCGGTACCGTTTTGTAGGTTTTGTGGTTGGAATCTCGCCCACTGAGCATAGCCACGACAACCACCTTGACCACCTCTATAGCGAGAACACCATGAAGTGAACGCTCAGAGACGGCACTAGAACCAAGTATGGCAATGTGCTTTAAAACTAGCCACCCTAGCCATGATCCAAAGGCCTGACACGCTAGTTCCAGTGGAAGTTCAAAAAATATGTTATGCCAGAGGTAGTAATTATTGAATTGGAGACGCCTGTTGAAGTAGAAGTGGTGTACCTCGTGCAATTTTCCAATTAGTCGTAACAAGCGATACCTCGATTTGGAAAACTTGTGGAAAAAATAATGAATTATGTCAAAGGCGAAAGTTCCACAGAGAAAAAGCCAAAAACATGATAGAATAAAGGCTGTAGGAGAGGAGTATAAGTTGGCTTTGCCGAATGGTGACATCGGCTGTTGGATGGCGGATGGGTTCATTGTATTGCACCTTGATCAGAATGGTTACAGTGTAATGACTTTGAGGAAGAGGAAGAGGTGTACAACTTGAGCTTTAAATTATCTGTTTGCTTTTCTCCGAGAACAGCCTCATTATATATCAGTCTTCTCGATCCCTTTATTATCTTTCATAGCCATAGCATCACGTGTAACTCGCCCTTTCTTACGGCTGAAAGTATATTATCCTTTGACCCCCTTGAAGGCTGAATTTCATGAGCTAACATAGGTAATATAAATAAAACTTTTCTGTGGGGCAAGAACTCAAACTTCATTGCTCATGCTGCCTTCCTCTTCTAGTTTTGTGATATATACGAAGAGCGCATTACACGGGCTAGATTTTAAACGCTTGCGACATGGCTCTTGGATCCTTCTGACAGGAAATCACGTGTTTAGCATGAGATTTTACGAGCCCGCAAATCCAGAAGCTGTAGTGGAGTTTGTAGAAACGGGCTACCTCTGGGCTAAGACAGCTAGCTAGGCAGTATGGCCAGGGAAGCTTGAACTATTTCAGTCTCCTCCTACTGAAGAGCTCGTGAGGGTTTGGCACGACCCTCGTTGCGGTTACGCCCAGTTGGAAACGATTCAGGGTATTCTCAGAGCTAATATAACCGACATTGAATGTTATAATAATATCCTACGTCTTTCCGATGTATTCTATTATCAAGTAGCTAGGGATAGTGAAAATACAGCTCAATTTGTGTTGAAGAACGCACTCTCTGCCACACTAAATTGGACATAGGCTGTTACAACCAGCACCGCCGTGTAGGCTGGTTGGCTATTACCCACAGCAGGTTTGGGCTTAATTGGCAGCTGAGCTGCGCCACATTACGAATGCCCAAGGCAAGCATGTAAACGCCCCTGAAACAAAGCTTTCTAAGATAATAATGGATAGATACTGTTGTTTTCTCTTTAAAATCTCTACTCTGTATTTAACAAGACTGTTTGGATACCTTGAGACAACATGAGTAATGAAGAGCCAGCAACTCTCAAGAAACGTCGAGCAAAGAGCTCCAAATCTAAGCGGGGCTGCTACACATGCAAGTATGCGTTTAGCGATTTTCATCTTCCAGACGACAAAGCAGTACTAACCTAAGCTTCACACAGAGTTCGTCGTGTGAAGTGTGATGAAACGAAGCCGATTTGTGTGCGATGCGAGAAAAACGGGCGCCTCTGTGAAGGATTTGGTTATAGCAAGCCTCTGCTCAATCACCAAGGCCGCTGTGCGGATCATTTATCTCATATATCATCTGGAACATTTCAAACGAGAGATGAATATCGACATTTTGAATATTTTCGTCGTCATGTATTGCTCTATCTGACAGGGTTCGACAGCCAGTCCAGATTTTGGAACGAGACAGTCCTCCAATTCAGCGAGGCTTCGCCAGCCGTGCTCCATGCGGTGCTTGCTCTTAGCGCGCTTTACGAGCATCTAGATGGTAGCTCAAATGGCACGCTGGCTCCCCATAAACTCGTCCTTCAACACTATAACAGGTCTATCAAATACTTACGACAGGCTCCATCTTCCCATCCTGTCGAATTCGCTCTGACCTCGTGCATACTTTTTATCGCCTTTGAAAGTGCGCAAGATGATCATAAGATGGCGCTCTTCCACCTACAAAACGGCCTTAGCATTATGAAAGATTGGCGAACAAAAGAAGTCATGTCTTTTGAAGGTCGCCAGACTCGAGAAGACATTTCAGAGATAATTCGACGCTTAGATATGCAGGCTACAACATTTTTGAATTCTCGGCAGCCATACTTGGCCGCTACTGTCGATGTTGAATCACTAGATAATAATTCTGGCTCATCAATGTCATTTTCAAATCTTCGCAGTGCCCAGTCATCGCTAGACAAAATTGAGATTCGACTATTCTACATCCTTACGACGAAATCTTCAACATTGAATCTACCGTGGACAAGGCTTAGCAATCATGCGACTTCGAGGCAAGTCTTACTCCAGGGAATAAAAGTACGATTTACCCAATGGAAAAAAGCTTTTGATGACTTTTCTGAGCACGAAGCAAACAACATGAATGCAAGAGATTTAAAGCTGCTGCTATTGCTAGAATTGCATTATCAGACAACATCTCTTATGCTTGATCTCAAAGGTGATATCAGCCCTGTATCATCATCCTCCGACGCACAATGCACTAGAATCAACGAGTTATCGAAAAATCTGATCCTAGCATCATCTAATCCCAAATCGACGTTCTTAGTTGATACAGGCGTAATTGCTCCTCTGTATTTTGCAGCTACAACCACGTCTTGCGTATGTATACGACAGCAATCTCTAGACTTGCTTCGTTCTATAAGCTGGAAAGAAGGACTTTGGGATTCTAGAATTGTTGTCCAAATTGCGGAGCACTTATCAGTGGTGGAGGAATCTGGTTTAGTGAGAATTGATGTTTCTGGAGGAGTTCCAGAGCTTGCTGATATTTTTTCTGCTAGCGTAAGATCCGGTACGCAGGTTTAGATTGAAGGATCCCAGTTAAGAGTGTGCATGAGCAGCTATGCAAGCATCTATGCAATAACATCTTCATGCTATCATCAACATCATTAATGGTCCATTCATGACATTGTTAATATCAAGTGTACATCAGGTAGGCTCATGTACATTGTTAATAAGTATGCTACTTCTGAATAAGGTAACACTTACTAGACATTGTTACGCAACGCACAGATAGATTAAGCTTATAAATCATCATTATGCTACAGTTCCTTCATTTTCTAGTGCCATCTAGATAGGTTTTCCGTTGAGGCATGAATCCGAGGCAGATATAAGCACCCAAGACCACTAGGCCAGCTTAACGGCCGACTTGCCTAGCCATTTCATAAAAATAACTCCGTGCCAGGGAGTCGCGATGAGCGCCTGAACCGGTATTATCGCAGGTTTGGAAGACAAGTGCGGCAGATATCTCAATAGCTGTGAAATCCTAGTCATAAAGACGGAGGCAATAACTACATATTATGAAGTAGACTTTAGTAAGTCAGAATTAACTGGCTATGAGTGATAAGTATCTTTACCCAACCTAGCATGAAAGATGTTTGAACATTGTAGATGAGTTATTAACGGACAGGCTGTTACACGACGCCGGGCTTAATAAGTCACCCAATTAGGGATGATCACGTCTTTCACATTTCTTGAATATCCAGTACACCTCCAAAGACACTGTTCCGATAAAAGCTCATCGTAATGATGCGGCTTATATTGACCTCCCTTGTTGTCGCCACATCAGGATTTCGATGCCACCCTGCAACCTGTATATAAGAGCGAATACAGTAATATATGCTGCATATAAAACCAAGTATAGTAACATGTGGCAATTATGGTTGCGTAAAATTTATTCACGAGGCTCTGACATGGCCATAGGTATCATAAATACTAATATACACACTCAGCCGAGAAGTTCCGCTAATTTCCAATACATAGAACAATCGAAAGATATTTTTATTACCATTGAGAAGACATTACTCAAACAGTCAAACTAATGACAAGCTTTGATGAGATGAAGACGGTCTTCGCGACTAATGATAGTCAAGTCATCGAGATATCAGACGGCATCGCTATTGTTGGTATGGCTTGCAGAACCGCAGGTGGCAATACTTCGCCGGAGAAGTTGTGGCAGTTTCTGCTGGCCAAACAAGATGGCTGCGGTGAAGTGCCCCGGCAGCGCTGGGAACCGTGGCTGCGACGTGACTCTCGCAATGCAAAGGAAATATCCAATGCCATCTCCAAAGGCTACTTCATCCATAACCTCGAAAACTTTGACGCAGCCTTCTTCGGCATATCCCCCAAAGAGGCAGAGCAGATGGATCCGCACCAACGTTTGGGCCTCGAACTCAGCTGGGAGGCTCTCGAAGACGCTGGGTTCAATCCCGAGAGCCTTGTCGGCTCCAACACAGCAGTCTTTATGGGCGTCGACTCCGACGACTACTCCCGTCTGCTTCTCGAAGATTTACCTAATATAGAGCCTTGGATGGGGATTGGCTCAGCGCCTCACGGTGTGGCGAATCGCATTTCATACCATCTAGATCTCATGGGCCCTAGTACGGCCGTGGATGCCGCATGTGCATCATCGCTGGTTGCAGTTCACCTGGGTTGTCGGGCAATCCAAAATCTCGAATCCGACGTCGCCATTGTCGGAGGTGTGAATGTCCTTCTGGCGCCGGCACTTACACTGATGCTGGGTAAGGCTGGCGCGTTATCTCCTGAAGGAGTGTGCAAGTCGTTTGACGATGAAGCAAACGGCTATGGCCGAGGAGAGGGCGGAGCAATCATCATTCTCAAGCGTCTCAGTCGAGCCATCGCTGACGGCGACAATATCAAGGCCATCTTGAAGGGCTCTGCGGTCGCGCAGGACGGAAAGACCAACGGCATCATGGCCCCTAACTCAAAAGCGCAAGAATTAGTGGCGAGGCAAGCATTAGCTCAAGCAGGCGTAGATCCCCTGAGCATTTCTTATATCGAAGCCCATGCCACGGCCACGAAACTCGGCGATCCAACAGAGATGGCGGCAATCGCTGCCGTTTATGGCACTGCTGCGGGACGGTCCGCTAGCGTTCCCGTTTATATCGGCTCAATCAAGCCCAGTGTCGGCCACATGGAAGCCGCGGCCGGTGCAATTGGCCTGGTCAAGGCAGTGCTTGCTGTGAATAAGGGCGAGCTGGCCCCTCAGACACGCCTGCAGAAGCTCAATACTCGAATCAACTGGGCGGAAGCCGGACTCAAAGTCGTGCAGGAGACGACAAAGTGGACAGAAGAAAAGAACCGACCACGGCGGGCTGCTGTGTGCTCTTATGGCTATGGCGGAACTGTATCACATGCCATTGTCGAGCAGTTCGTTGGCAGTAACCCCGAGCCAGACAACACCAATGCTGCGAACAGTTCGGCCCGTGTGCTCTTCCTCGTCTCAGTGCCCCAAGAGAAACGACTCGCAAAGCAAGCCAGAGCCGTTGCAGAGTGGCTGACATCTCCTGCGGGCAAGCAAGTGAATCTCGTGGCTGTCGCTAATACTCTGGCTCAGCGCCGGAACCACCATGACTATCGGCTAGCTTTTGTCGCGGATAGTCATGAAACAGCTGCTGCTTGCCTTGAAGCGGCTGCAGAAGATAGAACCGCGATAGGCCATTATATCTCAAAAGGTAACGTGCTAGGAGTATCCAGCGACCATGCACGCGCCGCAGTTTGGATCTTCTCTGGACACGGGGCTCAATGGAGGGATATGGGAAAGGAGCTTCTGCTTGACACCGCTTTTCGCCAAGCCATTGATCCACTGGATGCTATTGTGCAAAGCGAGGCAGGGTTTTCTATTCTGGAAGCATTGGCAACTGGTGACTTTCTGGAGATGTCAGAACGTATCCAGATCCTCACCTATGTTGTGCAAATTGGTTTGAGCCGAGTGTTGATGTCGAAAGGGCTGGTCCCCGAGGCTGTCATTGGGCACTCAGTCGGTGAGATTGCTGCATCTGTTGTGGCAGTTGCAGACATGAACACTCAAGGTACAAAAGCTGTTCGTGTCAAAACCGATATTGCATTCCATAGCCCTATGCTTAACCAAATAGTTGGCCCTCTTGAAGAGTCTCTAACAGATGCTCTGCAACCTCGCCAACCTACCTTACCCATCTACTCAACCTCAAACCGTAACGCGCGGACCAAAAGACTTCGAGACGTTAACTACTGGACTAATAACATGACTGGCCCGGTCTTTCTTAAATCAGCAGTCAACGCTGCAGCCGATGATGGCTACCGCGTTTTCGTTGAGGTTTCAACACATCCTATTCTGCTCTTCTCGGCCAACGAGACGCTCCTAGATCGAGGTCTTGACTACGGCGACATGGCCACCCTCGCCACTATGAAGCGAGATACTTCTTTGGATGCTGCAATCATGGAACTCACCGCAGAGCTATACATCAAAGGAGTAAGCATTGACTTCGAGGCGAACAGCAGCTACAAAAGGATTTGGTGTCCATCTGTCCCAGGAACCTCGTGGGTGCACAAACCCTACTACAGACATGTCGAGACAGGCTTCACTGGACAGGGGAGCTTGGATGTCAGGAATGTAATGGGTACAAAACAGGATGATATGGAAATCAATAATGACAAGAAACATGTGCTTCTTGGCCAGCGCATCGTTGATCCAAACACCAACATAGTCCGCTACACTGCCGGATTAAGCACCGCTACAAAGCCTTTTCCTGGTAAGCATCCATTAGATGGTACCGAGATCATTCCTGCTGCGGTGTATTTAAACACGTTTCACCAAGCCACGGGCGCATTACTGCTATCCAACGTCAACTTTGATGTACCAGTATCTTTGGGAAGCGATGAACAAATTGTGAGCGTCGTTGTGAATGGCGAGCAAATCTCGGTTCTTTCAACTCAACCCTCCTCGCTTGAAGTTAGCGGCCATGAAACTTGGATCACTCATAGCTTATGCTCATGGTCCACAATTGCTACACCTGAAATGGCGATGCAAACCAAGGCCATTGACGTGTCTATACTTCAAAACCGCATTGGGGTGGTTTTACCCAACAGCTTTGCTACAGATTATTTGGCTAGAATTGGTGTTGAGGGCATCGCATTTCCTTGGGAGGTCATTGAGCACTATGGTAATGACTCTGAAATGATAGCCAAAGTTGATATGGATCCATCGGTCGGCTTTCTTTCGTGGGATCAAGAATCATGGGCGCCTATTCTTGACGCTGCAACTTCAATAGGTTCTGCCATCTTTTTCAATGACCCTAGGATGCGTATAGTGTCAAAGATGGACCATCTGTATTTCTATTCTTCGGGGTCTCCACCCAAGATCGGATACATATATGTTCAAAAGCACATCGATGCCAAAGATTACGCAGCGGATATTCACATTCTTGATCAGCAAGGCAATCTTTTGGCAATGGTTCAAGGAATGAGACTATCAGATCTTGTCAATTGCGCGGCCGAGGACAGCGGAAGCCTAGTCCATCAGCTCGTTTGGGTGCCGCCAGCATTCAAAGAACAGCCACGAGACTTAACGCACGTTATAATGGTATCCAGCGATTTGACGCTGCTTGAAGCTTATAGCACACAACTCAAAAATAAAGTGACAAGGGTTACATGCCGTAATAGGGTAGTGGAACTCTCCGATCTTTCAGCTGCGCTTAGCGAGAAGGGAACCATAGTCGTCTATGCTCCTCCAGCAATCGAATCAGCGGCACAGGTTGCAGATGCTACAGAGGAATTCATTTGGCAAACTGCTAGCATTGTCAAAGCTTTAGCAAATATTGGCCAGTCTGTGCTTGCCAAGTTCTTTGTGCTCACCAATCGTGTATTCTCTGGAGAATCTGTCACAAGTCTCGCTCATGGAGCGCTTTACGGGCTGGCACGAATCATTGCATCGGAACATCCAGATATCTGGGGAGGACTAATAGACAGCGAGTCATCAAGCGATTTTCCAATGCTGGCCATTAGATATGTCGACGACTATGACATACTTCGGATCAATGATGGTCTTCCCAGGCGAGCTATAATGAGGCGCCTGTTGGAAAGCCAGAAGCATGCACCCGGGATAGCTAACACACTGATGCCGAAACCAGAAGGAACCTACATCGTCACTGGAGGCTTGGGCGACTTCGGCTTAGAGACCTGTAACTTTTTGATTGAAAAGGGGGCTCGCAATGTTGTGATTGTTTCTCGCCGCGGTCTACCCCTTCCCAACTACCAGTCAATCCTTGCCGCTGACGATGCTAAGCTTGACGCTGTGATCAATCGCATTCGAGCGTTTGAAGCTCAAGGAGCCACTATACACACCCTAGCACTCGACATCACTCTGCCGGACGCCGCTGATCTTTTGCTAAAAGCAATCAGAGCACTCAACATTCCTCCTGTACTAGGAGTAGTCCACGCCGCTGGCGTTCTTGAGGATAGCTCTCTTGTTGAAACAACCCGCGACTCATTCGCTCGTGTTCTAGCTCCAAAAGTTAATGGCGCACTCGCGCTTCATAGTGCCTTTCCACCTGGGTCGCTAGACTTCTTCATCATGTATTCGTCTATCGGACAGCTTGTTGGCACGGTTGGGCAGGCGTCATATGGATCTAGCAATGCTTTCCTGGACGCCTTGGCAACACATAGACGCGCACAAGGTGATAATACCGTCGCGTTTCAGTTCACAGCTGTCCGCGGTCTCGGTATGGCCACTGGCACTAGTCTTCTGATGACAGAATTGCGCAGCAAGGGTATTACTGATATTACAGCGGGTGAAGCTTTCCGAGCTTGGGAGCATCTCGGTCGCTATGATGTCGAGAGCGCTGTTGTCACGCGCTGCTTGCCTCTACTTGAGGGAGAACCTGCTGCTATACCGCTACTGGAGGATATTGTGGTGCGGCGGCCCAGGATAAAGCTCAAGGGCTTGGAAACAGCAGCCAACAGCATGGCTACAGTCACTACCAATAACGACACGATTGACGACGGAACTGTGCCGGCTCATCCACTAGATAGAGAGAAGTGGGTTGACAAACGAGTTCGCGAATGCGTTGCGAGAGTTTTGATGATGGATGACATTGACGACATTGGTTTACAGACTCGACTCTCAGATCTGGGATTGGATAGCGTTATGACAGTGGCGCTGCGACAGGCTTTCCAGGCTGTATTCAAGATCAAAGTGCCCCTCACTTTAACGTGGAGCCACCCTACACTAAAACACCTTGTCCCTTGGTTTTTATCCCGACTGAGCAAATAATAAAAGATTAAAAGTGTCTTGTACAAAACAAGCTATATGGTTGAATAATCTACCTCGAGATAGATGCATTTCTCGTTTTATGTGTATTTTCTCTGATTATCCCCAGATTTTGAATGTTGGAAATACTGGAAGTACAATGTGTTGGAATTTCAAAGGACCAGTTAAAGCGTCAGCCATGCTGTATTATCTACGTATTAGCTGGTATTTACTCGATACTTGAGTGAGACATGACAATTTTGATGTCTAAGCCCAGTTTGAATTGCCTGTATTGCGCCAGAAAGAAGAGTGTGTATTACAAACAAGTAAACTATTATTTAGTGCAAATTTCTATACATCATCTTTGCCGCTGTTAATCAAGCTGATACTCCTTCGGGATATTTTCTGGCCATGCGTCCACGCCGTCCATGATAACAATACCCATTCCGCCCATCAAGTGAAGTTCAATATGGCAATGGAACAGCCAAGGGCCGGGATTGTCCACATAGTATCTGAAAACATTCCAGTAAGCCTCCCCTGTTACAGAGAAGGCTGTGAGCCACGTATCGCGCAAGCCGGGGGTCTCCAAGTTAAAATCCTTGGGCCGTTCCTTAATTGCCTCCTCAACGCTGGTATAGTTCCAAACACCGGTTCCAAAGCCAATTCTCCACGTTTTGCTGCCGTGTTTGTGCATGAAATGCTCAAAAGCGGACGTGTCGCCTGGCAAGGTGGAAACCTGCAATATGAGATCAACCCAAGATCCATTCTTGGTGCGAATCACTAGGTTTTCATTTTCGGTTCCCACAGTTGCATTGGGGTAGAATAGCAAAGGGTCGTTGTTTTGGAAGTCGATGGGATACAGGTATTTGGTGTTCATGGTATAGTTGTATGGTGCGCCAACACGGCCAACTGCGAGCAGATGTTCCTCGTCCGCGTTACCTGGTCGAGGCTTATTCGGAGGCCACGGTTCCATGTGGTCCGATTCCAGCTGCCATGGAAAGTAGGAGTTTTTCTCAACCTCTGGAGAGATCGGGTTGCCTCCAAATGACAAATAGGGCTTATTTGATCTCTGGTCTTGCTCATGTCCAACATATACCATTTCGGCATATCCTCCCAATACTTGCGAAACTCCAGAGTTGGGAATGCGCATCGTGTACTTCCCTGGGGTTTTATCAAGCTTGACCATAATCGAGAATGTCTCTCCAGCAGACATCACCATGGAGACAAACTTCTTTGGATTGACGTAGTTTCCGTCAACTTCGTACAACCAAAATTCGTGGTCATCGATGGAAAAAGCAATTTGAGCGATGGTGGCGGCGGCCACAACGTGCATGCTAACCCAGCCATTGTTCTTTTTCGGATCAACAACTATCGATGCATTCTCATGCTTGGATGGGACACAGCCTGCCTGAACACGTGGTGGTATGAGGTCTGGGCGTTTAGTGACGTTCCAAGGGCCTCCTTGGATTTGATCAAGCTGTGCTGGGAAGCATCTGGCGTAAGACAAGTCAGTAATGTGATGCACGGCAGAAAATGAGACATCGTGTGCGATATTGCTCACCCTTTATCTGAGACCTTTGTACCAGGGGGGAATGCATCGTCAACTAGACCTGGAGCAAGCTCTGATTGGAGAAACTTTTGGCCTGGACAATAAAGCTCTCCTTTTCCGTTGACTAAAATACTGTCAAGGCAGCTGTTACAATGGTTAGTCGCCGTATGAAAGAGGAAACAAAAGGTTCAATAAGCAAACGCCGGCCATAAACATACAAGACAAGCATGCCGGAATCGGTGGATATCTTCCAGTACTCATCGGAAGTATACTGGCTCCAATCAGATACGACTAGATACTCTGGGTCACGGGCGGCTTTCTCCATAGCTTCAACGTCTTTATAATCGCTGGCAATTTGGCTCCAAAGCCCCGGGCGATCTTGTTTTGGCCTATGTATTCATTAGCGTGGAAGAGTGTAGACATTCTTTGATACAAACCTGATGTGAATTGCGCCATAAAGTCCATCAACCAGAGACATTTTCTCATGGGAGTGATACCAGTGATTTCCTGGAGGCGATGCTTTAAATTTGTACACAAACTTATTTCCGGGCTTGATCGGGCGTTGGGAAAGGCCGGGAGTACCATCAGACCAGGCAGAGTTCTTTTGGCTAATCGCAGGCACTCTGGGTCAGTAACTATTCCCAGCAAATAGATGGAAGGTAATGATGGTCATACTCAAGGCCATGCCAATGCACGGTCACGTTTTTCGCCATGTCGTTAATGACGGTTATCTATTGGCGCTCGCATTAGTACTTGTCACAAAACTGGTTAACGCAGAGTAGTAATGACTCACTTCAACATCGTCTCCTTCGTCCCAGACAAGCGTTGGACTAGGAAACTGTCCATTGGTGTGGATAAGTTCTCTACTCTGCCCGTTCGGAGCCCCCTCTTCCCATGTAATGCGCAGAGTTTCATAGACAGTCTTTGCCCAGGCTGTAGAGTAAAAAAGATGCGCTAGCAAAAGCACCCAAGGAAAGCGAATCATCATGAACGCCAATACTGAATGCTTGACTCTATAGTGAAAAAGATTGAATCATCTACTGAAGAGAAACAACTGTACAACGATCTATTGCAATGCCGTTCTTATATAGAAAGTAGACGCGTTTTAGGGATGACTTAGTGTCCAAGTACATACCTTGTGAATAACATAACGAAATAGTACGGCACAATGGTCGATGTCAGCTTGATAGTACGAATCGTAGGGTAGATCGACGCTTTCGTACGACCTGAAGCGTCCGAAAGCTACGTTTTGCCTCACGACTTCTCCGGAGTGCGCATTCAGTCATTTCTAATCTGAGATGCAGAACTCGCGTTCATGATTTTACGATGGCAGACAATACAGAACTTCAAGCGTTATACATCGGGACCAAATGAAAACGTGCATAATAGGTCAGCTATACGATCAAATTGGGACTGATTTACAAAAGTTCGCCCTCGAGCCGATCGAATCTAGTCTAGCTCATTTTATCCTAGCTGCCTTTTGCCGCTGATAGAAATTTCCGATTTAGACAGTTTGCTAACAGCGGCCGCTTGGCAATGCCTGGAATGAAAGCAAATGAAACAAGGGCATAGCGATCGCCGATTATTCACCGAAAATCCACCCGCATGCCTATAAATGAACTACTTAGATGCCGATCAATAGGCTAAAGAGTCAAGCATTTGTGATGAGTTCAGAATCGCTTTCCTGAACGCAGAATTGGCCCATGCATGCAGAGCTGACCCATGAATGCAGAGCCAGCCAATGAATGCAGAACTGTTCATGACGAATGCAGGGCTGACTTTGATGAACGCGGTATTGTTTACATTTGTAAAACCAGTTCTAGACAATTTCATTACATAAGCTCATCTTTGATGGTATTTTCATTTTACTTTTGAGAGCTCACTTATACTGGACCTATAATAATCGCATCGGCAGCTTCATTACGCAGCTGCGTTCTTTTCATCGTCAAAACCTTCGGTGCCTCAGAAGATCCAATGGCTATCTCAGACTCGGTTCCCCAACCCCAGCAGTTGTTATGTCTCACCATCACTGCTTTTCGCAAGCCTGGGCTGAGTGAAACGGAGTACAGAGAGTACATGACTAAGGTCCATGCTCCCTTGGTCACCGGCCTTATGAAGGAATATGGGATTGTTCGGTATAACATGGTAAGCTGTTTATTTCCTTCTGGCAATTTTGCTGAGTACGACCCTTACACTTTGCTAGACGCATAACGACAGCCAAAGTCGACCATTGCTTTTTAAGCTCTACGACCCCGAGTTCTCGAAACTGTCTGACTATGACTGTATTGTGCAATTCGTATTCCGCAACATGGAAGATTTTCTACGCATGAAAGCTGATCCACGCTTCATGGAGAAAGTTGCTCCTGACCACAAAAACTTTGCTGATACTCAAAGGTCGACGTAAGTGATCTGCCGTAAAAAACTGAATATTGTGCAAATTAAATGGATATTGACGGTCCTGCCATCGTTAGGATGACTATTGGATATTTTGAGGAGTTTTTGGACAACAATGAGATTGTACCTAAATAAACAACACCTGCGACTATGCTTAGTGTTGAATTAGGACTTATTAGACGCGTAGTAGTAATTGAGCCTTAGGATCCTGATGTAGAGCTTTGAGAAACACAGTTCTATCTTTAGTGTAGGTTAAGGAAGCTATTGGAATAACATCGACAATACAAAAGCCTTTCTTGGCATGGGAATATTATACTCTACTAGCCCCTCCACCTTTTTGAACTATCGATGATATGATGGAGACATATATGCAGTATCAGTTCATTGGAAACGGGATAATGCTGACTGTGAGACTAAGAGTAAAACGTATTCATTGAATGAGTATTAATAAACAGTAGAAAGGTAAACGACTTACAAAGCAGTCATGGAATATGCATGTATCCTTTGAAGTTTAATAACAGATTTTCGAACTTGAGGTATTGCTTTGATGCGTTATTGGGCGGTATGATAGCGCCCATAAAGATTGATGGGTATGTCAATGTAACGTGGTATTGGATTATTTTGGAGTTTTGGATTAGTCATTGAAGGGAGGGGTGCCTATGGATGAATACACGATCTCGATGTTCTTTATTGATTCCCATGACAGAAAAGATGGTTGCGTCAAGGGCATCTTCATACCTAAGTACCGTTTGTGGCGGAATGCATGTCCATTTAACTTTATTTTTAGCCTACAGAAATGGGCCGAATGTTCGTATAGATGCCGCTTTCAGCGGGGCCATAACAGTATGTAGTCTGACTGGCCCGAGATCTCTCGATCGATGCAACAACTCTCGATTTTCGAACCGCATATACATTTTGTTCATGTCTCGCATCTTAGCAAAGAAACCAAGAGCCTGAACGTCGAAATGGTCGCATCTCAGCTAGATATCTATTTAAACGTAGCTAATTGTCCCCTTCTACTGAAACATCTTTCCCTCGATGCTAACAAACGATCCTGGTTTCCAAAATCGAGTCATTCCTGTACGCACTTAGCCCGTGTCTCACCGAATAAAGCATAAGTTTAGATAGCGCGCCATGTCAAAATATGTGTTAAGCCGTTCGCGTTAGTAAAAGTGTCACAATGCGTACTCTTGTGACCTTCTTATTCTGAAACCGTATGTGGCTGATCCGAGCGGTTGCTGATGAGATCATTTAGGAGAAATTCTTATCACTAATGCAGTGAAATGCTTCCCTTTTGTATTACCTAAGCTAAGCGTGGGAAGAGTTAATAGAGGACTGATTGTGCTTTATGTTTGTCGTTTGTTTTGGGCTTCCTACTCATCATCCTATCCTCGTATGCTAGACTTGACTGCCATCATGGAGCACTTGACCATTAGCAAGTCCGGCAACGAGGCTGACTCCTTTCGAGTCTTTGTTTTTGGGGATCAAAGTAGCTTCAGCCTATCGAATTTGCAGCTACTTCTTCTAAAGAAGAATAACCCTTACTTGACGCTGTTCACTGATCGAGTGAATGTCGCTCTGAGGCAGGAGATAGCTCAGCTTACAATCGCCGAGCGCCAATGGTTTCCTGCTTTCTCCAGTATAAAGAATCTTGTTGCCCGAGGGCTGAAGAAGGACAAGAATGCAGCGCTGGACAGTACCTTGACGACAATATACCAGATTTGCGCCTTTATCAAGTAGGGCATCATCACTCCTATGACTATTGTACTCATGCTAATAAAGTTGTATAGCTACTTCGGAGACTGCGATGAGATATACCCATCTAACCTAAACAACTACGTCTCGGGATTATGTATTGGAACATTGGCTGCAGCCGCAGTCGGCTCTTCAAAGTCCCTGGGTGAGCTGGTGCAAGCTGGTGTGGATGCTGTCCGTGTGTCATTAAAGATAGGCCTCCTGGCTGCTCGGACGGCCGCTTTGTTCGGCCACCACAGATCCAACGGTCCCTCTTCCTGGTCATATGTGGTTGCCGAATCACAATATCCGCTGGCACTTGCTGAAAAGGCCATCGCAGCCTATAAGGATAGCAGCGTAAGTGGCATGATTGCATCTTTTTACAAGCCAATATTTACCAGATATGCAGATGATTCCGCCCCTGTCGTCGCCGTACGTCAGCGCCAAAGGCCAAAACTCTTGGACAGTCAGTGGTCCGCCGGAAACTGTACAGAAGTTTTTGGAGTCTTCACAATTTTTAGAAACGCCAAAATCCACGCCCATCTCTGTGCATGCGCCATACCACGCACCGCACATTTTCTCTGCTGTAGATGTTGAGCAAATTCTTCAAGACGTTGGATCGGTCAGCGACCTGTCAAGCAAAATTCCCTTCATTTCTAGCTCATCGAGTTGCAGCACGCTGGAAAACAGTTGCTTCCGAGACTTGCTGCACCATGCCATTGAAAGCATTCTCGTTCTACCGCTGGATCTACGCGATGCTGCTGCGAACGTACAGAAGACACTGAAAAGAGCAAGCTCTACGGGCCAATACATTCTATGCCCAGTCGCGACCAATGTCTGTCCGAGTTTCAAGGCCTCGTTTTCGCCAGAATCATCTAAGCAAGTCGTGATTGTGGATAAGATCATGGAGAGTATAGCTGCTGATCCTGCTTCAAAATCTTCCAGTGCAGTCAAACCAAGCGATGCTAAGATAGCAATCATTGGAATGTCTGGCAGATTTCCAGAAGCAGCAGACGTGGAAGAATTCTGGAACCTGCTTTACCAAGGGCTTGACGTCCATCGACGTGTTCCAGAAGACAGATACAATGCAGAAAAGTACTATGATCCAACCGGCAAAAAAAAGAATACGAGCAAGATTTTGCACGGATGTTGGATTAATGAGCCGGGGCTATTTGATGCAAAGTTCTTCAACATCTCTCCGAAAGAGGCTGAACAATCTGACCCTGGCCAACGTATGGCCTTGACGACAGCCTATGAGGCTCTTGAAATGGCAGGTATCGTTGCTGATAGGACGCCATCGACTCAGCGAGACCGTGTTGGAGTATTCTACGGCATGACTAGCGACGACTACAGAGAGGTTAGCTGCGGCCAAAACGTCGACACTTACTTTATTCCAGGTGAGGATTCAGTTCAAGATCTATATCGCATTGTCCTTATTTGTTCAATGACTAACCTAGAATAGGTGGAAACCGAGCCTTTACTCCAGGCAAGGTGAACTATTTCTTCAAATATTGCGGCCCATCAGTAAGCGTCGACACCGCTTGGTAAGCTTCCACATGCTGTTTGCGTAAATAACTTTCAACTAACATCACGTCTCGAATCAGCTCGTCCAGTCTTGCAGCCATCCACCTTGCCTGTAACGCGATCTGGCGCAATGAATGTGACACAGCGGTCGCTGGCGGAACGAATGTCATGTCAAACCCTGACAGTTTTGTGGGATTGGACCGTGGGCATTTCCTTGCCAGGGAGGGTACGTTTATTCACACGGCGAATATGAGGCTATGAGCTAATGAACTCTTTACAGGCAACTGCAAAACTTTCGATGATGCAGCTGATGGCTATTGTCGCGCAGATGCGGTTGGCACCATTGTTCTGAAGAGGCTTGACGATGCAATCGCAGACCATGACCCCATCCTGGGAGTCATTTTGGGCGCGCATACCAACCATTCTGCGGAGTCTGTTTCAATTACCAGACCGCACTGCGGAGCTCAAGAGGAGATCTTTTCCAAGCTTCTCACTGAGACTGGCGTTCCTCCCAATCAGGTCAGCTACATAGAGATGCACGGCACCGGCACACAGGCTGGCGATGCTACTGAGATGGCGTCGGTCCTCAGCTGTTTTGCTCCATCTTATACGCGACTGCCGCATGAAAGCCTTCACTTGGGATCAACAAAGGCAAATGTCGGGCATTCTGAATCTGCATCCGGTGTTACAGCGCTGATCAAAGTTTTGTTGATGATGGAAAAGAACCTCATCCCGCCTCACTGTGGCATAAAGGGCAAAATCAACCACAAATTTCCCACAGATTTGGAACAACGCAACGTGCATATCGCCATGTCTGCCACGAGGTGGGATCGAAAGCGCGAGTTTAACAACATTCGCCGTGCCTTTGTCAACAACTTCTCTGCCGCAGGTGGCAACACGGCACTCATCATGGAAGACTACCCGGAACTCACGATGAACTCATCACAACCTGATCCTCGGACAGCTCACGTTGTGACAGTGTCTGCCAAGTCAATTCCATCTCTTAGAGGAAACTTGGAGAAACTGAGAAATTTCGTTCAGCAGCAAACAGGTGCAGATGACTTCTTACGCAAGCTGTCTTATACAACTACGGCTCGAAGGATGCATCATCCATTCCGTGTTGCCATCCCAGCTGCAAACTGCGAGCAGCTGTTGAGCGCCTTGAATGATATGGCCAAACGAGACACTCATAGGCGCTCCGAAGAAACGCCAGTCGCTTTTGCATTCAGCGGCCAGGGGGCACAGTATAGCGCCATGGGACAGCATCTGCTGCAGTACGCGACATTCCGCAAGGAAATCGAGTCTTACGACATTCTAGCTCAACGCCATGGATTCCCTTCAATCATGCCACTTGTCGATGGATCTGGCACGATTGAGGATCTTGAGCCGCTGGTGGTCCAACTCGGTACTACTTGCATTCAAATGGCTCTCGCGAGCTTCTGGATAGCATTGGGCATGAAGCCAGCCTACGTGGTTGGTCACAGTCTAGGCCACTATGCGGCACTCAAAGTCGCTGGTGTTCTCACAGCAAGCGACACAATCTACCTTGTGGGCATGAGAGCTCGTCTTCTTCAAGAAAAATGCACCATAGGAAGTCACGAGATGCTGGCAGTCCGAAGCAGCGTGGAGGAGATTCGGAAATATTTGGATGCAAGCATTCACGATGTTGCTTGCATCAATGGCCCACAAGATACCGTTGTCAGTGGCTGTGTAGCTGACATCGAGAATCTGTCTCAAAAGCTTACAGCCAACAACATCAAAGCAACAAGGGTCAATGTTCCTTTTGCGTTCCATTCGGCCCAGGTTGATCCCATTCTGGACCAGCTTGAATCTATTGCTTCTAATGTTACCTTCCACTCTCCGAGCATCCCGGTTGGCTGCCCTCTACTAGGTACAACTTTCCAGGTCGGTGAGACACCGTCTCTTAAAGCTAAGCATATCAGAGACCACTGCAGAGAAGCCGTCAACTTCCATGGAGTCCTACAAGCCGCTAAAGATGATGGCTTAATCTCTGCAAAGACAGCCTGGATTGAGTTAGGCCCACACTCAGTGTGCTCTACGCTCTTGAAAGCCAATCTCGGGCAGGACATTACCGCCGTCCCTTCCTTGTTGCGCAATAAGGATGGGTGGCAGGTTTTGGCTTCGAGTCTTGAGACTTTGTATTGCAAGGGAATATCCATCAACTGGGATGCATATCACGAGGACTTTGAAGCTTGCAAGGAGGTATTACGGCTACCCGCCTACAGCTGGGAAAACAAGAAGTACTGGATTGATTATGTGTATGATTGGCTACTCACGCGAGGTGATCCTCCCCCACAACTAGTTGCTCCAGCGCCAGCACCAGCGCCAGTTTCTACCTTTTCAACGGCCTCTGTCCATCGAATTGTCGATGAGATCATAAGTAAAGAGAAGCTCAATCTCACGGCAGAATGCGAATTCACAAGCGAAAAATTGCATGAAGTGGTATTCGGTCACGTTGTTAATGGTAATCGGGTTTGCACATCGGTAAGTTGTCATTGTTTCGCCTGTTGAGTTTACTTGCTAATAATGTTTTAGTCATTGTACAGTGATTTTGGATTGACTCTGGGCACGTATATCCTTCAAAAATATCGACCGGATCTCGAGGGTTATTCCGTAGACATCCAGGACATGACTATCCATAAACCTCTAGTCCACAAGGATGGTCCAGCCATGCTTTTGAGGATCAACATTGAGCACGATATAACTAATAGCAGAGCGGCAAAGATGTCCATATACAGTATAGATGCCAAGGGGAAAAAGACTGTCGACCATGCTCAATGCAGGCTTCACTTTGAGCGTCCCAAAATCTGGCAAGAAAACTGGGACAGTACTCAATACTACGTCGAGCGAAGTATTGAGTGGCTCAAACAGAAAGCTGACCAAGGTCACTACAGCCGTCTCTCTTCTGGAGTTATATACAAGCTTTTCTCCAGTTTGGTCGACTACAGCAACGCCTACAAGGGTATCCAAGAAGCCATCATCAATGCGGAAGACTATGAAGCGACCGGCTTGGTCCAGTTCCAAGTTGATGAGGGCAGCTTTCAGTGTAACCCCATGTGGATAGACAGCTGTGGGCAACTTGCCGGGTTCTTGATGAACGGGCATGCAAAGACTCCAAAAGACCAAGTCTTTATTAACCATGGCTGGAAGTCTTTTAGAGCCGTCAGGAAATTCTGCAAAGACAAGACCTATCGCACATACGTCAGGATGCGACCAATGGAAGGCACCATTTATGGCGGAGACGTTTACATCTTTGATGATGAAGGCGTTGTGGCAGTCTGTGGAGACATTAAAGTAAGTTGAGCCGTCCGATCTATCTAATCTTTTGAGCTCTTATTAACGATTTATATAGTTCCAAGGTATTTCCAGAAAGGTATTGAACAGCGCGATGCCGCCGCCGAAATCTACAAACGAGGCCCAACCACAACCCCGTCCTCGTCCTACAGCCGCTAAAGAAATCCCTGCAAAAAGTACAACCACTGTATCATTAACGCAGCTCTCTTGCCATACTGAAGTTGAACCTCTAAAGCTCGATGCGGCTCTGAAGTCCGCGTCTGCTGCGTCTGCTGCAAGAAATCCTATGCATCCCATCATTGCGATTTTGTCTGACGAGGTTGGCATTCCCTCAGCTAGTGTCCAAGATGACTTTGTCTTTGCAGACAATGGAGTTGACTCGCTTCTGTCCCTCAAAATCGCGGGAAGATTGCGCGAAGAACTTGGTCTGGAGCTTGAATCGTCAGTATTCGAAACCTGCGCAACGGTTGCTGATCTTGTTGCCCACCTTGGCTACAGCACTTTCTCATCTGATCAGTCTACTGAGCAGTTGAGTGAGACTGAAGGCTTCTCTTCAAGCAGCGAGCCCTTCACGACTTTGACCAGCAGCGCGACTACACCTCTGCGAGAATCCGTCTCTTCTAGCCTGTGCAAAGACGTGTGCGCTATTCTGGCAGAAGAGATTGGCGTATCTACGAGCGAGATTATGAATGACGTTAACCTCGGTGAACTGGGCATGGATTCACTCATGTCACTGACTGTGCTTGGTCGTCTTCGCGAAGAGCTAGAAATTGAGCTCGACGATGACTTTTTCGTGTCTTATCCCGACTATAGCTCTTTCAAGCACATGTTCCAGTCAGCCACTCCACAGGAATCTGAGCCAGACATGTCCGAAGAGTTGCACAAATATCGGGCATCGTCAATTCTCCTTCAAGGAAATCCCAAGACTGCGCTCTATACACTGTTCCTTCTCCCAGACGGTTCCGGCGCTGCAGTTTCATACGGGCCCATTGACGCTGTTGGAAAAGATGTCTGTGTATATGGGCTTAATTGCCCTTGGCTTAAAACTGCTGAGAAGCTGGTGCACTTTGGTCTCAAAGGTCTGGCTACACTCTACGCTGAAGAGATTAAACGAAGGATGCCGCAGGGACCTTATAACCTGGGCGGGTGGTCTGCAGGAGGCATCTGTGCTTATGAGGCAGCAATTCAAATGACACGGCAAGGAGAAACTGTTGATCGTCTCATTTTCCTTGACTCCCCCAATCCAATCGGTCTGGAGAAGCTACCTGCTCGACTCTTTGACTTTATCAATGGCCTGGGCCTTTTCGGAGATGGCAAAGCACCGGATTGGCTATTGGCGCACTTTCTCGCGTTTATCGATGCGCTTGACGAATGGAAGCCAGTGCCCTGGGATGAAGCTCTGAACAATAAGGCGCCAGCACCGCGCTCATTCATTTTATGGGCTGAAGATGGCGTCTGCAAGGGCACAGATGAACGCCCAGAATACAGAGATGACGACCCGCGTGAAATGCGGTGGCTGCTCGAGAACCGAACGAATTTTGGCGGCAACAACTGGGATGTTTTGCTTGGTGAGAAGAATCTGTCGATTGAACGGATAAAGGATGCGAATCATTTTACAATGCTACACAAGGGCAAGAACACGCAGCGCGTTGCGGCTTTTATCAAGAGTGCATTCGCATAGAAGGCGGTTATTCATAATACACGGGATATAAGTAGAGTAAGACGGTTTTCTTTGTAGGATTCAGGATAGAATCCAACTTAATTTCTAATACCGATTTTAATTTAGTTAATATATATTATAAGTTATTCCTTTCACCCTCCTTCGAAACTCCCCCATATATAATGTTCGTTAAGACGTGCAATCAAGGCTTTCGCATATTTTCAATACTTGGCTATTTTATTATAGTCGCCACATTTCGTAACACGTTCACAGGAAATAATACTTCCCGTTATCGGTCTTGAACTTGAATTCGACTGGTTTTCTTCTGTGCGTTGTTTGGTGGGGCTTGGGTTGTGGGCTTTCGTTAGCTGGCTGAAGCAACTCGTTTTAGTGGCCAATCCTGGAACTAATTTGGAGAATGAACGAACCTGTTACTAATTGGTCTGTCATTCCGCCCTGGAATGCCGACGCATAGCGGTCCTCAGCATTTCTTTGTTGCTTTTGTACTGTATGTATTGATAACCTGGAAGCTTTTGCATATAAGATAGTGTGCCGTGCGAGGCAAAACACTAAAGCCGGATAAGCTACGAAGCGTATACGATTGATCCGAATTCGAACAAGGATTCCATATTGGTCGATTCAGACTGTTACGGCGTCGTGTATTCGTATATTGGTATTTGGAATATGTCATGCGGAACACGACGGCATTGGTATACGATTAGCATTGGACATCCGCGCGCCCTTTTCCCCGCGTTGAATTCGCGCGACAGCCACTGTGGATCTTACCGAGGCGAGGGGTTAGGCCGGTATATATAGACTCGGTAGCGTATAATCGTATGTGACTTCCAGATACGGCCACTCATCGCAATCTGAAGCATATAATAACCACACCATTTCTAAGCTTTACTTTACAACTTCTTTTCATCTCCTTCTGGCTCTTTACTTCACCACATCTGTTTCTTTCCTTGTCCAATCATGGCTCCTGTAAAGCTTGCACACTACCTCTTCACTCGGTTACGCCAACTCGGCGTCGAGTCTATCCATGGCGTTCCCGGAGATTTCAACCTGACGATGCTGGACCATGTGGAGCCCGCAGGCCTCAACTGGGTTGGCAATGCCAACGAGCTCAATGCTGCATATGCTGCCGATGGATATTCTAGGATAAAGGGACTTGGAGCCATTGTGACAACCTTTGGCGTTGGAGAGCTATCAGCGATTAACGCCATCGCAGGCGCCTATGCTGAATTTGCACCCGTTGTACATATCGTGGGGATTCCGGCCCGACAGATCCAGGAGGAACGAATCAGGGTGCATCACACGTTGAACGATGGCGAGTTCAAGCGATTTTCACAAATGCATGCACACGTCACCATCGCACAGGCTCGACTTTGGGATCCCTTGACCAGCGCCGAGCAAGTTGACAACATCTTGGTTCAGTGTCTCCTACACTGTAGACCGGTGTACCTGGAGCTCCCTGTCGATATGGTAGACGCTTTTGTTTCTGGAGAGAGACTGCAAACGCCAATTCTAATCCCGGAGCCGCTACCTACTCACAACTTGGACGACGTCGTGCTCAAGATTATCAGCAAAATCGAAGCCGCTAAGCAGCCCATCGTTTATATGGATGGTGAGAGCAGGCCTCTTCGCATTATAGAAGAGGTGCAGCAGTTCGTGTCAATGACGAAGTGGCCGACTATAGCGTCCCCATTTGGCAAAGGATTGCTGGACGAAACAGAACCCAACTTCCTTGGTGTCTACCAAGGAAAGTTTGGAGCCAAAGTTGTGCACGATTTCGTGACAGAGACCGACCTGGCACTCTGCTTCGGCCCTCACTACAGTGGCACCAATACTTACATGTGGAACAGTATTCCGCAGAGCAAAGAGACTATTGAATTCACCACTTCAGGAGTCAAGATAGGCCCGGAATTTTACCGAGACGTATCTCCTAAGCTGGTCCTTTCTCGTCTCCTCGAAGAGCTTAATATGTCAAAGATCACAGCATATAGCTCAATGCCTGATCTACCCAGATACCAACTTCTTGCACCATCATCAATTCCAGCGGACGATATTATCAAGCAAGATAAAGTATGGAAAGTCTTGGGAAACCTCATTCAGCCGGGCGATATTGTCATGGGTGAAACAGGCACACCTGGTTTCGGCGTTCGCGAGATGCCAATGCAAAAGCACTGTCGTGTATTCAGTCATGTCACTTGGTTATCTATCGGTTATATGCTCCCGGCCGCCCAGGGTGCTGCCCTTGCCCAAAAGGAGCTCATTGCTGCTTCGAAATGGCATAACAATAACACAGCCAAGACCATTCTATTTATTGGCGATGGCAGCTTCCAAATGACGGCTCAGGAGATGTCAACTATGATTAAACACAATCTTGACGTAGTCATTGTGCTGATCAACAACGATGGATACTCTATTGAGAGATTCATTCACGGCAGAAAGCAAGGGTATAATGACGTCGCAAGGTGGCGCTACCTTGAAGCTCCAAGCTTTTTTGGTGCACCTAAAGACACATATACTGCTTCTGCCCAAACATGGTCTGAGCTGAATACGATCCTTGAGAAATACAAGACCGAAAATACCAAGGGATTGTCTATGTTTGAGGTGATTATGGAAAGAGAGGATGCCCCTACCGGACAACTGCAGAAAGTGCTAGAAATGCAGATTGAACGGGAGCTGAAGAATTGAGTCCAGATAAATAATATTATATTTCACGCTAAATGCAGATACAATCGATATTGTGAATCAAGACGACTAGTAAATTATCATCCTAGGAAATACAAGCATCCCCGATAGTTTTATATACAGTGCGAAACGTGCCACAAAGCACTAATGGGAATGTCAACTGCGTGGCTTGAGGTTATGAAGTCTCATATCTAGCTCTTCAATTCGTTTGTAGCAGAGCGATAGCCGTAGCCAAAGCTCCCATTGTACAGTGGCTAGTAGAGGCTTTAGCAGGTGCTACATGCATCTTGGCTTTATGCACCACCAAGGGTTCCCACCCAACACTATTCGTTATTCAGATCTCTCTCACAAGGATACTGTGAAAAGCGTGTTCAAGCATGTGTTTATCTATCAATATCATTCATAGACCTTGCTGCTTTTGAAGAGCGTACACGCTTGTTTCATCCGCGACGCCCTATGCGCTGACTAGTAAGTACATATTGTGGAGAAGATGCAGTCACGTAAAAGCCCAAATGCCGGCCAAGCGTCAGCCAAAAGAGAGGTGATTTGTTTAAATTGTCTATCCTCGTTTTGAGCTTGAGCAGTGGATTTTACAGGAGATAAGACACTGTAATTCGAGCCCAAAATGTCACAGACGAACGAGATATGCCTTACGAGGTTGAGTGGCTCGGAATTGCCATCTCCAGCCGACACAATCTACCCCGGGCCGATGGAAGAAGCGGCCAGGATTGAAGTCACCTCAATGTTGTCTACAGCGGTAGAAAGGCCAGCCCACGTTTTGTCAAAGGAAAAAACCATAACTGCTATTGCGACGCTCTCAGCAGTGAGTTTCTTAAGTAGCCTAAGTACTGGCCTCTTAACCATTGGCCTTCCGCGTATGGCAGTGGAGATTGGGTTACCGGATTATCTGATCGCATGGTAAGGAGAATACAGCCTCCGAAAAATCAAAGTCTCGTTTTGAGTACAATTTTTGGATGCTCTGCTAACAATTTTCTAGGCCATCATCTGTATATACGTAAGCCGTCCAGCTTTTCAGTGCACAGCCTTTGAGCGCATACGTTATTGTGCTGAACATATAAAATCACAGGTTGGCAAGTGGATCTTGTCTAATCATCGCCGGATCCATCGCAGACGTTGTTGGCAACCGGATTGTCAATACAATCGGCTGCTTCTTGGTCGGTTGCTTCATTATAGCATGCGGTGTTGCTAGAACTGGTATCGAGTTGATTATGTTTCGTGCCTTCCAAGGCGTCGCTGTGTCCCTCTGTCTCCCTACCTCTGTTGCCATTGTTGCTAGCATTACAACCAGTGGCCGCGAGCGAAATATTGGGTTTTCTTGCTTGGGTTTTGTGCAGCCCATTGGCTTTTCTCTTGGCTTGGTCCTCGGAGGACTTCTTCAGGATACAGCAGGGTGGAGAGTGGGATGGTATATATGCGGTGGGCTAACCATGGCCCTATTCTTCATCAGCCTATGGGCATTGCCAGTGGATGAGAAAACTGAAGGCACAGTCTTATTAAGGCTGCGGAGAGACGTTGATTGGATTGGTGCAATCCTATCTTCCGCTTCTCTAGCACTCCTCTCCTATGTTCTTGGGTAAGTCTCGTCCCTTCAAGATGGTTTGGCCAGCCTAGTGACTTTCTATAGGGTGATGTCGAGCGGAGTGCACAACATTGCAATCCCGGGGAATATCGCAGCGCTTACGGTGGGTGTACTACTTATCCCATCTTTCATCTTTTGGCAGCGACGACAAGAAAGGCGGGAAAAGCCAACCTTGATTCCCAATTCCCTATGGAATAATAGAACATTCACCACCGTCTGCCTCTTGGTTATTTTTTCTTACGCTGTTGTCAACGCCATGGAGTTTTTCTGCAGTCTGTTGTAAGTTCTCTCGTTCACAGATGAAATATGTGGCCATTGAGTCTCTACTAATCGTTTACAGCTTTCAAAATGTTCAGCAACTCTCTGCGCTTCAGGCATCCTTGCGCATCCTCCCGAGTCTCATCGTAGGGGCGCTAGTACAAGTCTCAACTGGTTTGCTCATTCACAGAGTTCCTGCTTTTTACCTTCTCCTCGTATCCATGATACTGAGCGCTGGGGCACCGCTGCTGATGGCAACCATAAGTGTGCACCAGCCATATTGGTTTAATGCCTTCTTCGCCCAGCTGGTTTCGCCAGTCAGCGCAGATATCCTCTTCACAGTCGGTTTACTTGTTGTCTCTGATGTATTTCCGGCCCGCATGCAGGCATTAGCAGGAGCTGTTTTCAACACTGTTGCCCAATTTGGCACTTCAGTTGGTCTGACTATCATGGCTGTCATTGCAGCCTCAATCACAAACGGCTCCAAGTTACAGGACAAGAACTCTCCAGATGCGCTCATGTCTGGGTATCGAGCGAGCTTCTGGGCTGCTTTTACCTGGATGGGTTTGGCGTGCTTGATTGGTGCTTGCGGGCTTCGGAAGATTGGAATGGTTGGTCTAAAAAGAGACTAATGCTGCTGTATGTATATTATTGTTATTGGTATCATTTAACATTGGCGTTAATATGAATGCATCTTTATCAGTAAATGTTGAATATATTGGCGGTTGAAAGAGATGAGAAATTGTAATTTAGGTTAGGAGCTGAAAATTATTGATGATTTGTTTGGTTCAAGGCGTTCGTGTTACGAAAGCAATGCATTAAAATTAAAATTCCCTACTGTCAAGTACTAGGGTAGCATTCTCCATCATTATCCCAACACGCCGCCTGCCCAACCCAGGCCAGAAATTTTTGTTCCTCTGAGATACCATTTTATCATCCGCACGGGATTGCTTCATGTCGAAGGTCATTAAGCTTACAGCTTTTCCGCTGAACGCTGGTGTAAAGGCACACCAAGATTCCGTGCCCGGAAGCTCACCCTGGCTACCTCGGCCCTCGGGAAGCGGTGGGTGAACACATTCAAGATTAACCCCGACCAGACTAAGCCATTTACTCGAGAATGGGAATGATGGTATGATCGGAACTCGCTTCATCGTCGCCTGGAAAAATGGTATCGGACTGGCCGTTGCTTCGGTCTTGTAACTAAACGTGTCGTGAGGATACACTCGTACGGTAAGCGACTTGTCAGGCGCTTCTTCCCAGTCGAAACGAGCCAAATGCTTTGGTATATTCCAGTCTAATTTGTGCTGGTTAGCAATCACAGTTCCTTTAGTTTCTGTAATCATAGCTAGTTGCTTTATGCAGCCGTCAATATGAAGACTAGATACAACCAACTCACTAGTTCTGCCGTTGAAACAGGTATGCTTCTGTGAGACGTATAATCGAGTTGCTTTATAAGAGTGTCCACTCGTCCGCTCGTCATTGGAATCTTGTTTGGTCCATTCGAATTTCCCTGGGATAATGACGAGCTCATCATACGGGCCAACTGGGGTTTCCTTGTACCTAATGACTTGGATTCCACCAAACCCTCCGACAGGACGGCTGCTCCCAAGATCAGAAAATTCAGAGGATAGCTCGAGCGGTGAGTAAGCAATATCAAATGGGAAATTTCGAGCTTGAGAAGCAGAGATCCAGAAGGGTGCCGTATAAACGTCTACTTTTAAAGTCCATGGTGGCGGCGCAATTATAATGGAGTCGTCGTTGAGTAGTTGTGACATAGGGGGCCAATGTTTATAATATAAAAGAATTTTACGCAAATCTATATATCATATATATAGCATCAAGATTTTGTAATTGAGGGATTTACTGATTATTATGCTTGGTGGCGTTATAAACATTGCAGAAGGAATTGGTTTCCGCCAGCAGGCGGCCATGCAGCATTTATGTTTCATTCGAAAGCTTGTGAATCTTACATCCATGCTAATTTTCTGGAGGATCATCTCTTGTGTTGTATTCTTCTATTGTTAGCTGCCTATTCTGGTCGAAAATCGGGGCTCAGGCCGTGTGCAAAGGAATCTTACTTTGTGCAACCCGGCCATGATCAACACCAACTTACTTAATGTAACACCATGCGCTATTTGGAATCTCGCCGCCGCCGAAGTAATCAAGTTTCTCTCCGAATAAGTTTAATGTGAAAGCCATCACTATCCTCTTTCTAATTGGAACAATACTTCTGTGATGTGGGTTGTTGTGATAGGGCTACCGTGTGCACTCTAGAAATGCCAGCGCCAGGTTACTGCAAAGGAGTTTTCTATCGTTGTACTCTATATATCCGGTTAATATTTGCCAGGTGTGGATTGTCTTGGGCCACATGTTCTACGATTAGGCAAAAGGACTTGCCGCCATTGATGTTACATTTCAATGACTGGCATAATATAAGCGACATGTGTGCTACCCGTCTTTTCAATCCGTTACATCGTTTGCTGAACTTTGTGTATCAGAAAGAACCTTTTGCTGAATGGCATTTTAATGTTTCCATAGTGAAGAGCATCGAATTTAAACGCATTGAGCTTTTAATAAACATATCTCGACAATCTCATTGCGTAGCCGTTCCATTCTATGAACAGGTACCTACGGGATAATTTTGGAGGACAGCTATTCACTTTTGTATGTACTCTAGCGGCTGGGGAAATTTTTTGAGGAAATGGTTTCTGCTACATAAAAAAAAACTAAAGTTAAAGACAAAATAAAACATTATGGCGAGAGGAATCTGTATTCGTCAACCCTATCTAACAATATCGTTTATTTTCGCTCAATATTTACCATTGAGAGGACAGCCAGATCGTGGCACCATTTCATTGCAATTACGAGAATTATGTTTTATTATTGGCTTATATTTCTTTAAAAACATGCAACATGGTTTCATTTTCTTTTGTGACATGGTCCACTTGGTATGAGCCAGCAGTGGGCTACAAATGATAGCACATGCAAAAACCCCAAATAGTGCATTTGTGACGAGTCACTTCTTCTGCCCAGTGTCTATCTCAGCGCCTATACAGTATCACCTATCGGTACGAGGAAAAGTGGTACTACAACGACCGCATTGAGCAATCCTGCAATCCAGAACTTTTCTCCTAGAGAGTTGTAACCCCGGGGATGGCTTTCGGATGGAGAAAGACGAATTCCTGGCCTGTACTTGAATATTAGAGTATAGAACAATCCGCCTATATTGCCGCTAGCTCCAACAATACCGGCAACAACGCCGATGTTTTTTGGTCGCCAGTGGCCGTATATTGAGTAACAGGCACCATTGGCTGAGAAACCAGTGATTGCAATCACGACAATGAGGCCAATAACACCGCCTATGGTTGCATTGTTCTTGTTTATGTAGATCCCCAAGCCAATCATGGCGATGCCCTGAGATGCAGCGGTGGCTAAGAGCCAGTACATTTTGGCACGCAGCCCAAACCGAGCGTAAAGAACGTCTGACATGATCCCCCCGAGTGGCCGAGCAAACAGGTTCATGAGGCCGTATGTGGATGCGGCATAGGCGGCATCCACGGATCCAAATGACTCGCTAGCAAATAGGGTATTGATCAAACCGGGAAGCGCCGCGTCCATCGCTGTCTCAAGGCCAAATGTTAGTAGATAGCACAGAGCACACGACCAGACACGAAGGTCGGAAAGGATCTCCAGTAATGTCGCAAAGGTTAGTGGCTCCGACTGTGCAGTATCCACATTGGTGACCGGAGACCGCTCGCTGAAGCTCGTACCCACTGATTTGGAGTTTATGGATGTTTGAGCAAATGCATTTTCGGAATCTACAAACATATCTTGTTGTTGGACACCACCTTCATTGATGACCTGATCTTTCCCTGTGGTCGAGTCTTGGAGTTGGTGGCGAGCCGACCATTTCCCACCGGGGTGATCTCGACCAAGGAGTAAAATTATGACAGCGATAAGTAGTAGGCATGGGACAGGCACTGTGACAAAGCACAGACGCCACGCAGTGTGAGGGCTGAAGCCAGCCTTGATATAACGTTGGTATAGCCCGATCATGACAGCAACAGTCACCCCGCCACCCAAATTGCCCCAGCCACCCGAGAAGGCATTCGCAGTGCCAACAATTGACTTGTCAAAGAATGTGGTGGTATAGGCCTGGGTTGGAACAAAGCTGCCGCCGAGAATGGAGATGAAAAATCGCACCGTCTCTAGCCCTTCAATATTGGTTACCAGCGCCGCCAAGCCGGACGGGATCGCCCCCAAAATGAGGAGAGAAGCCAAAACTTTTCGTGGCCCAAATTTATCGCATGCGGGACCAGCAATGAGGCGTACCAGAGCTGTGCCACCAAGAGAGGCTAGGTTGGAGTTGGTGACTTGATCTTGAGTAAGGTTGAGATCCGCTTTCACTACCTCGGGCACAAGCGGGGAAAAGGCAAACCAAGAAAGGAAAGCTACAAAAAACCCCAGCGTGGCCAGCCAAAAGGCCATGCAGTAGAAATCGTCCCAAATTCGAAACAGAGGAAATGTAAGGCTTTTTCCATTGAGAGGGTTGACTTCGGCTCGCCGCCACAGTGAAGACAATCGAAATGTGTGTTTGCCCGTAAAGATATCCTGCTCTTTACTGTGATGTTCCTTTATTATGCCGGTATTGATGCCGCCTTGTTTAATAAAGAATATTCCATGATTCGATCCACTGCGGATAGACGGGGAGGAGCTAGTAGCGGCCTCTTTAGAGTCTTTAAAGGGTTTTATATCATCCTGGGTGGCATATTTTGACGTGCTGGAAACCATCTTTTCCCCCGCACCCAGATTCTGAGCTAGTTTCCTCGTCAAATATAGCGGCTGATTATGATGCTGAGAAATCGGAGGGTATGTATTGAAGGTTATTGAGGACCGTATCGAAGACGTATAACGATTTGCCCAGGAGCAGAACAACTATCATGCGACAAAGGTTAACACGGAGTCAGGTATGAATGGAGACATGGAAACTAACAGGAGCTGCTGATATTGTATAAAAGAGAAGTTTACAGTTCTGAACTGTATTTCGGAAATTATGAAGGGAGGGTGAAACTGAACGCCAGAATGTCGGCAGTTGTGTAACACCGTATGAGATATACTAAGCTACACGTTCCTTTCATTGCATTCTAAACATATACAAGTGTTCTACTCAATCAAAAAAGCCCGACACTATCAACACTTCATTGCACCTCTGTACAAATCGTAGTTAAGGTAGAAAGTGAAGACGATAACGAAATGATATCATGAGCGTGAGCTTATCGCTCGAGGTTGATACAGAGATGACACAACCGGAGATGCAAAATTCAAACTCAAGAAGTCATTGGCTATGCTACGAGGTGAGATAAAGACACATCTCTCTACTAGGATGAGAAAAGACTACTCTGTCGTATTCTGCCCATTTGGCTGCATGATCTCCGCGGCCCTATGAGGCTCATAAGGCATAATGGAAGAACCACTCTACAACTTCTCTACAGAAAGATTTCACATTCTCCGGGGAAAGAGGCGAAGGGATATTAGTAGTATTACTGATAAGGAAAGTTGGTTTGATAGGTTAGTGAGGAAGTGAAATAGGAAAGTAATGCGGGCTTTAGAGCGAAAGCTAGAGCCCAATGGCGGTAGCGGATTCTTAGTATTGACAAGTCTATTTTTTATTTATTTTGGCAAGATAGAGCAATAGATAAGGCGACATGGAACTACTGAAATGGGAAATAACTCTGATAAATGTACAGAAACCATGGCTGTCCAAGTATCGGAGTTATCAATACGCCAGGTAGTGGCTATTGACAGCAAAGGTAGTGAAAACGTCAATACGATGGAAATAAAACTCGAAAATATTGATATATCTTTAATAAAGTCTAGTTTGCTTTAATGTGTTTATTTTAAATGAATGATATATGTTACGGCAAAGAATACAATTAAGTTGTTGAAAATGGACGTATATAAAACACCATTTACAATCTGTTGGCTACTTTTACCAGTCGAGCGCACCGCCTCCTCCACATGTCTGACGAGAGGCCAAGTGTGGTGGCTGGCCCCTCATCTTGCTTGGAGGTAGTGGTTCTGCAATCTCTATTGCTGGCTCTGCATCCTTTGCTAATGCTCTCAGCTCTTCGTCTGCTTTCCGTAACATCCATTTTGTCGTTGAAAGTACGGCATCAAGTGCTTCTGTAGGAGGAAGATAGATGAGTATCTCGTTATTTATCTCGTCTGCCTTGACCTCAAAAGTCATGATTGAGTAGTCGACGTCTGAGCAGCTTCCGCCTCCCTCAGCTGCGTTGGGGTTCAGCAGAAAATTTCGCTTATGTAGAGGACAGGACACATATTCTCTGCCTTGTTCATCTTCCCCCACTAGGCCATCTGCTAGCACAAACGCCTTCTTATGAGGGCACATGTTTTGTGATGCGCGCAAGCCACGACCCGGGATGTTCCACACAGCCAACTGAACTTCACCATATTTGACAGCAACCGATGTTGGTGCATCACTCTGGCGGTTGATTTCTGAAAGCTTGCAGACAGATCTCCATGCCCACTTTGCGTCTTTTGCAATATCCAATAAACTAAAGTGAAGCGGCGAGCTGTCTTCAGGCCAATCTGCGGGACGTTTTTGGGCCCGCTCCGTGATCTGTTCTGATGACATCTGCGTCTCATCTGTATTGGCAAACTGTTTGAAGTCTTTGCGGCGGTCCGGGTTATTGACAACATTTGTCCATTCACAATGATAGAGGCCAACGAGCACCTCCATCTCCATTTCTAGGTCGGCGCATATGCCGAGTCTGTCGTCAACGATGACCTCCTTGATGCCCTTGAGACCGCCCGGATATCTCTCAATCCAGCGAGCTGTTCGCTCGAGCTTGTCTGCTGATTGAATGTAGAACATAAGAAATCGGTCCAAGATCTTAATTGCTTGCCGTCGTGTTACATCCTCAGCAAGCAGTTCAGCATGGCGGGGCTTTGCGCCCCCGTTTCCTCCCACAAAGACATTCCAGCCTTTGGGCGTGGCAATGAGACCAAAATCTTTGCCCTGTGCCTCGGCACATTCTCTCACACATCCAGATACACCGCCCTTGAACTTGTGAGGAGCTCGAAGGCCCTTATATCGGTTCTCGATTTCCACCGCGAGACCAACTGAGTCGCCCACCCCGAATCGACACCAGGTATTGCCGACACATGATTTGACTGTGCGTAGTGCCTTGCCGTAGGCATGACCGCTCTCAAAGCCAGCATTGATGAGTAGCTCCCAGATTTGTGGAAGGTCCTGCTTCTTGGCGCCAAACATGTCGATACGTTGGCCGCCTGTGATCTTTGTGTATAGCCCAAACTTGTCTGCAACCTCTCCAATAACCTTAAGTCCCATTGGAGTAATTTCACCGGCAGGAAGACGTGGAACAACCGAGTAAGTACCGTCCCGCTGTACATTGGCAAGATAGCGATCATTTGTATCTTGAGTCTGGCGCAGCGAAGGCTTCATGATATTCTCGTTGTATAATGAACTTAAGATGGAGCCGATCGCTGGCCTGCAAACTTCGCAGCCAAGACTATCGGGCTTCTTGCCAACGACACGCATTACTACCATGAAGTCCTTGAGCTTTCTGAACTTGGCAATCTGATATAACTCTTGGCGCGAGTAAGCAAAGTCCTTGCAAATATGGTTGGAGATCTCGACACCAGCGTCTTTTAGTGCTCGGTTGAAAATGCTAGTTGCCAAGGGCACGCAGCCTCCGCAGCCCATGCCGCACTTTGTCGAAGATTTCATCTCTCCAAAAGAACGAATACCGCCAGATTTTACACACTCCACAATGTCACCCTTACTGACATTATGACAGCTGCAGACTTGAGTATCATGGGGCAAATCATCACCTTCTTCTTCGCCCTCCTTTGCAGCTCCAATAATAAATTCGGCTGGAGGCTTCTCGATGGGCTTGCTTGCATTGCAGAGGGCGACAAGCTTGACGTAGTCTTTGACGTCGCCAACCATCATGCCTCCCAAGATATACTTGCCATCTGCGGTGAAAATGTATTTCTTGTAAACATCTGAGAATGGATCTCGATAAATAAGAGCTTTGACCTTTTTCTTTATCTCATCTGGTGTGGGGGGAGTTGTCTGAGCCTTGCGAGCCGCATGGGCACTAATAGCTCCTGGTAGTGGTTTGCTGATCTTGCCCTGGTCTGCAAAGAAATCGCCAAATGAAGCGACGTCCACACCCATAAGCTTGAGCTTTGTACTGATGTTGGGAGATTTCATCTCTCTCTTGCTGTGGTAAGGCCCTTCCGTCAGATTGAATGCGAGAATATCTGCCATTTCGATACCAGGAGCTATCAGACCAAATGTTTCTCCAAGGAAATTGGCACACTCTCCAATAGCGTAGATATGGGGCAAATTTGTACGCAGTTGGTTGTCGACAATGAAGCCGCCACTCTGGCTGGCTGTGTCTATGGAAGTGCTTTTGGCGAGATCATCTCGAGGTTTGATTCCGACGGCAAACACAACCATATCGACGTCGTATCGTTGTTCCGGCAGCCCATCTTGTCCTTGAAGAAGTAGGCCAGTGAGTCTTTCTTCGCTATCCCACAGGAGATTCTGAACTCGGGCTTGGATCAACACTTCAACACCGAGAGACTTGATCTTCTCCAGTACTAGCAAGCCGCCTTCCTGGTCAAGCTGTCGACTAAGAACCCAGCGATTTCTCTCGACTAAGATAACTTGATCGACTTCTTCAAGATCTAAAAGAGCCTTGGCAGCTTCTAAACCGAGAAGGCCACCACCAATTACAGCTGCCTTGCGAATGCGGCGCCCAATAACGGCAGGGGCACTGATGGCATAGTCTATAATATTGTCGAGGTCTTTTATTGTTCTGTATACAAAACAACCTCTTGCGTTTTGGAACTGTTGCGGTGAGATATAGGGTGGTAAGGCCGCGTTAGAACCTGTCGCTAGGATGCACTCATCATAGTGGAACTGTTGCCCGCTGGCCGTTTTGAGATATTTTGCGTGAGAATCAATTGAAACAACCAGATCCGAAGTATGATACGTAAGTTTCCCTTTGGCATGTGATGAGTACCACTCCAGGGGGTTGAGGTATAGGCTTTCAGTTGAGCGATTCGTAAAGTACTGCGTGAGGCCAACACGATTATAGGCAATATACGGCTCTTCGCCGAAAACAGTGACCTCCCATTCGTCGCGTCCACTATCCAAGTCGTACTTCAAAAGCTTTTCGATGAAGGCAATACCAACCATGCCAAGGCCGACAACGGCAGCACGTTTTTTATGCCTTGGCTGTATGATTTCTGACTCTGGATGCATATCGACAGCGGTAGTGTTCATCATGTGCTTCGATCTTGAGAATATTCAGACTCATGAGATTCTAACGAGAGTAGAGTTTTGATCTCATTTAATCGTTGAAAGCTATCATGAAGTATAAAAAGCAACTGTTCAAGCTTTTTCACCACTGAGCGGCGAACATTATTGGATGGTGAGAGATACAATGAAACGCCATTGACGCTCCGAGGATTTTCGCATAACTAAACAAATTCATTGTTTTGAAGCAACTTCTGATAACATCATCATATCAACCATTTCCTCGGAGAAGTTAAAAATTGAATCCAGCGTCATATCTATTACTTAAAGAGTGATACTGCAGAGATGGCGTCGTACAAGATACGCACTGCGCCAGAGGAGATATATGACCACCTAAATCTCAGCGGTATCTATATAGCAGTAGTTGAGATAAGAGATATACACAGTATCAAGGAAACCAATGCCCCTGGTCCATTCAAGGATACTGTACTGTTATCAGTCTCCAGGACACATTCATGACATGCACTCATCTGGCATAGTAAATCTCGGTGTCATCGCGCTAACATCTCCGCGGAGAAGCACAATCGAGATAGCGATTTAAGGAGCAAATATCAGGCACCTGGTATGCTTGCGCGCACTCCCGACAAACAAGAAAAGGGCTCCATCTGTACGATATCAGACCTAGTCGTAGAGAACAGGCAAATAGGAATTTACTAGAATAAGCAAGCAACTAGCTAGGACGTTATCGCTGGGCATTTATTGGCCATGGGGTCTTTAGCGTATTAAGCGCCCTTACATTAATCGAAACCCATGGGGTGACCTTAGGCTAAACTTTGAGGTTGAAACTGGTGTAGCGAAGCGTGTGTCGTAGATCCGGTAACACCATGAGGGTGTTGGAGAGATTATTGCCTGCATGGATTCAATGCGGTTCGTATGCTATGTAAAAAAATTGACTGAGATGAGCTGTAAGTCTTTGGATGATTATCTTGAACGGCATGAAAGAGCATCTCCGGCTTTTGAGAGAGTCACTGATGCGCCTGTGCCTCCTCTTCATTCCACTTGTCTGTCCCAAATACTTGGTACATGGGAGATTCTTATTAGGCGTCATCATACCGGTGTCATGCTTATTAGACGTCATCTTACCGGTGTCATGACTTTCTCTGATATTGGCAAACTGTATCATTACTGAGTGATTGATCTTTCGTTTCTGGTTTTCATCTGCCTAGTTTATACAACACGCACATGATGGCTGCAAATCAATTGGCATCAGACACCGGCTCCGAGAGTGGAGGGGAGTGGTCATCTTCGCTTCCATCATCACCTGAACAATCATCTCCAGGAACGCCAGAATCATGCAGTCCAAGGTTGAAGGCAAAGCCAGAGTCAGGCCAAAAAGTGTGTGAGGCTGCTCTGGATGCTTCTGCATCATACCATGACATTACTTCACTCCCTCCCATCCCGAGGACCGAAGCTATACAGCCATTATCCACCGACTCTCAAACTCCAGATCATTGGATTGCACGAGACAGCTGCATGATTCGACTTACGGGAAAACATCCATGCAACGTAGAGGCCCCCTTATCCGCGTTGTTTAATGCCGGATTTCTTACTCCCCAAAACCTCTTCTATGTTCGCAGTCATGGAGATACTCCACGTGTCAGCATCAAACAGGCGCAGGAATGGAAGCTACGGATCCACGGACTTGTTGAGAAAGAAATTGAGTTTTCAATTCAAGAGCTCAAAGATAAATTCCCAGTTGTCACACTGCCTGTCACTCTGGTATGTGCTGGCAACCGTCGCAAGGAGCAGAATATGGTTCTCAAGGGGCTTGGGTTCAACTGGGGTGCAGCGGGTGTGTCTACGGGTCTCTTTACAGGCGTATATCTAGCTGACATTCTGGATTATTGCAAGCCTCGGAATGCTCTCCTATCTTCATACCCCTCTGGTGATCAACATATTCCTGGACGTGCGCGCCATGTCATCTTCGAAGGCGCGGACGAACTTCCCAAAGGGAAATATGGTACGTCCCAGAGGCTCAGCTGGGCGTTGGATCGAAGCAAGGGCATGCTCATATCTTGGGGCCTCAATGGAGAGGATCTTCTGCCCGATCACGGCTATCCTCTCAGATTAGTGGTACCGGGCCAGATCGGTGGGCGAATGGTAAAATGGCTTCAACGAATCGAGGTCTCGGACCGCGAGAGTCAGCACTATCTGCATTTCTTCGATAACAAGCTTCTCCCCACTACAGTAACGGCCGACCAGGCGAGAAAGGAAGACAAATGGTGGTACGATCCAAAATACGTTATCAATGAACTCAATGTCAATGCGGCAATCTGTTCGCCATCCCACAACGACACAGTCCAGCTGGCGTCTGATACTTCCATGACGCAGATCTTGGCTATAGAAGGATATGCGTACACTGGTGGTGGACGACGTATAACCCGTGTCGAGGTGACACTTGACGATGGAGAGACTTGGAATCTTTGTGATATAAAATACCCAGAGGATCTCTACCGCGTGTACCCTATAGGGAATCACCATTACTACGGGTCTCTTGACTTGACCATGACCGACATGAGTTTTTCATGGTGTTTTTGGAAGCTTGAAGTCGATATCAAGTCACTGCTAGCAGATCGCGATGCCGGGTTCATTGCCGTGCGCGCAATGGATGAAGCTCTGAGCATTATGCCGCGGGACATGTATTGGAATGCCACGTCGATGATGAATTCCTGGTGGTTTCGCGTCGCTGTATACAAGGACAATCATGGCCAGACTCTCCGGTTCGAACATCCAACTGTACCAGGCAATGCCAACGGCGGCTGGATGCAGCGTATGAATGAGGCTGGAGCAGATCCGAGACATCCTTGCCTCAAGGGGAATAACTTGTTTACTGGCACATCTTCTAGTTCCACCACGGCAACTACGGCTACATCTAAAGCGGATGATGATACCAAGAGTGTGATAATTAATCCAGATAAAATAGCAACAATTGTTACGGCGTCTCAGTTTGCCGAGCATGCTGATGGAGAGGGCCCTTCTCCTTGGTTCGTCGTTGAGGGCCATGTATACGATGGGACAGATTTCCTTACGTCTCACCCTGGTGGAGAGCAATCTATTCGTCTAGCTGCTGGCGAGGATGCTACCGAAGACTTTCTGGCTATTCACTCCATGGATGCCAAGAAATTGTTGAAAGATTACCATATTGGAAAGCTGGAACAACTCGCATCGCCATCTACAAGTCTGTCACCAAAGTCTGATAACCAAGATGACCCATCTAAGCCGTTTCTTGATTCAAAAGTATGGAAGGAGATTCGCCTAGTACACAAGAGAGAGATTTCTCACGATTCACGAATCTTTCGCTTCGCCTTGCCTCACGAAGACCAGATTCTCGGCTTACCAGTGGGCCACCACGTTTACTTGCGCGTGAAGAAAGGTGACAGAGCAAGCGGAAACGTCAAGACCGTGCAGCGAGCATACACTCCGTATAGCTGCAGTGCCCAACGTGGCTTCATCGAGCTTCTAATTAAGGTGTACTTCCCGTCCACAAATTCGACGCAAACTGAAGCTGCCTTTTCTGGAGGTCAAATGACCATGTTGCTCGAAGACATGGCAATTGATGCAGAAACGGATGCGCAGACGGTAGAATTAAAAGGAGCTATAGGTCATTTTACATATATCGGCAATGGGCGAGTTCAATGCAAGCCTAATAACCGTGTTCGCACCGTTAATAAGCTCGCTCTGATTGCAGGCGGCAGTGGAATCACTCCAATCTGGTCCACCCTCAAAGCCATAGCAGACGAGTACTCGGCCTCTTTAGCTTCTGACCATGACAAATCAGTAGAAGTATGGCTGATCTACGGTAATCGAGAGGAAAAAGACATACTGATTCGTGAGGAGCTTGACCAAATTTCACGCCATATGGAAGGGAAGCTGCACCTATGGCATGTGTTGAGTTCCAACGAGGTAAGAGAGGACTGGACGATGGGAAGGGGGTATGTCGATCTAGAGTGCCTACAAAATCACCTTCCACCAGCACCTTCTCCTCTGGCTGGTGCGGACCACAATGATACGTTGGCGTTAGTTTGTGGCCCCCCTGCAATGGAAGCGAGTGTTTCTACAGCATTACAAAAGCTTGGGTGGAACATCAAGGAAGATATCATAACTTTTTAAGTATTTAAACTAAATATCAATTGCGCGATGAGATTTATTATTTTGTTTCGTATTGCACAGGAGCGGCTTCTTGAAGCTTAAAATTTTGCACAATTACAAAACAAAAAAAAACAATAAGCCCAATGGTTATAAATATCCCAATCCAAGCGGTGGCCGCTTTTTGCAGTATTTTCCGCGTAAATCTATCTCTTGCTGCAGCCTCATTGACATGGGGAAATGGCTGGTTTGGGATTCTCTTATGAAGGAACTTGCATAATGGCTCCCATCCAGATCCCAGTTCCACCTCAAGTAAGCGCTCCTTTGGAACTATTTTACGCACATACTCGTTGTGTTGTTCAATCCAGAGTGGGTTGCATTTGTATCCGGTTCTATCTTCAGCTCTGTAACACCATTAGTTCATCAATTAAGAAGACCTGCTATGATAGCGCTGAAGAAAGGCATCTCACGCTTCGAAGAATCCTCGCGCTGTATCGATAAACCATCGAACACCGGGCAGTGGCATGGTGATATAACCCATTACTTTGTTGCCTGAGTTCTCGGACACCGCCTTGAAACTTTTCCACCAAGCCGCTGAAGGCCGTGTGACAAGCACAACCTTCGCATCTGGATATAGCTCCATGAGCTCTGGAATGAAGTCAATGGCTGTTACATCGGTTGCACCAACAAACCCCGAAAAAGCATCATCCAGCGCTTCAAGCAGTTGAGTACGCTTGCCTGCGCGCCGATATCGAAATATTTGATTCCATTTTTTGCAGTAGGCTAAGTCATATTAGCCCATGAGTATAATTTCCAAATGGAACCGTAAGTTGTTCTCACAATCTTCTCGGTTGAATAGCTGGGTAGCTGTATGGTGTACTGGTCCGTCAAGGAGTATTTCAAGAGCGTATGCGTAGGACAATGTCCCAGTTCTAGAGAATCCAGCATCTATTACTTCCAACCTTCGGCCTTTATCCGTCGGTACAGATGCTACTTGCCCCATTATTGATGTAAAGCTTGGAGAGTGGCTAAAAGAGCTATCGTCGCAGCAACTAGGAATTGTGGTGACATTCACGCAGAATATACGGCGTATTTAATATTCGTAGCATCTTTCTATCTATTTTTAAACGCACGCGGGGACGGATCTAGGCACTTTTTGAGTTACTTTAGTGAAGATGCAAGGAATTTAGATCCTATATGACTTAGTCGAGGAGAGATGGCAGTCTTACTTCGTAAGCGCTAGCCGAACCTTTTATACACACTATGCTGGGCTACTTTTTCTCCAGCGAATGCAGAGCGCTGGTTTCAAGACCTCAGCATCAGATACCTTCCAATGCAATCCTTGACCGTATGGCTTTGGGCGGCTTACTCATTGCCCACTGTGGCGCCAAAGTGTCTAAATACACTACTTTTATGGTATGCAGCCTACGCAAAACTATAGGTGTTGCTCTGATATCATTTGACAACATGAAGCTAAGGGAGGTGACATAGATCCTTTGACAGGTATGAATATTTGTCTCATCCATTTCTTCGCTAAGTTTCTCTCTGTAAAAAGACTACCAAAGTATAATTAATCGAACCATAATGTGTATAGCTTATCCCAGTGTTGCATAGATAGTAGGTTAGACCAGTTGAACACATATCTCATTCTTTATTATAACCGGCGCTGCCTCATATGAATCAGCTTCTTAATGATCGATTCCTCATTGCCACTTCTAAAGCAAGGAGTATATCCATATAATGGCTTCCTTCGATCCAGGTTTGTGGAATAGCGCTCAACATGGCTCTGCCCTCTTTCAAAACCAGGGCCGGGCCTTCGGGGCCACAAATGTCACCCACCCCACTCACGAGGGCGCTCATTCTGGAATGTTGACCAGAACTCACAAACAACTGCACCATTTCGTCGTCATTTGGCCGATCTAGACGGATGAATGTGATGTCACGATCGCCCGAGTGTACATGCTGCCTGAGTGGCGGCTGCGTACTTGATTCTGGCCTATCGCAACCCAACTCTTCCTCACTGGAGACAGTGCTTTCTGCATGAGAGACGACTCGTCCTGGGGGACTAGCTCCATACCCCAAGAAACTTTTCTTTTTGGGCGTGTAGAATCCATATGCCCATAGTGCCAAGGTCGCATAGAAAACAGAAAGAGGATCGTAAAACGTTGCTCTCGAATACCGTCGGATATGCCAAAACACGCAGCCACCATGGATAACCGCTAATCTGGCCTTGGACTGATAGAGATATTTCAGTAAATAGAGTTAACTGGGGATTAGTTGCGGATGTTTAAGACTTACACTATCTCTTTGTGTCCATTCACGGATGAGATGCTCGGCTGCCTCTATCGCCTTTTGAGAATGACTAGTTCGGACACTAGCCTCATTATTACCTGACACTGGCAACACTGATTCCGCAATTGTCATTAATGCCACGCGTGGAACAAGGAGCACTATTCGAGAGTAGTGAAGGTGTAGAACCATTGGATGCTCCGCCCCTGAAAGAGATGCTATCTTTGCGTTTGCGGCCCAGTGTAAAACATCAACACAATCAAGAGCAGCATTTCTCCAATCGGATATGGCATTTGAGTGGTGTATAGAATGACCCAAGATTGTGAGTTTCTGAACCCCCGTAATCAACGATTCAGGTGAAGATACTGGGAATAAGCTTCTGCTTTCGGAAGTTGGAGTCCATGATGCTAGCTGCCGATTGTGGTACGTAGTTATCTTCGCAATCTCGTTGTATACCTCATGTAGAATGATACAGTGCGCGAATTCTCCAAGATTGAAACGAACTGACTTGGCTTGAAATAGTTCATTTGTAGCTTCGGAGAGTGATGGGTTTCCTATATCTGCGTTAACTGCTATCTTATAGACACGAGAAGATACTTTGGTAAAATACAACGTACGCTCTGTTTTCATAAATAATCCAGTCCAGTCATTATGACTTTGAGCCTGCCACAAACTTTCTTGAGGAAGATCAAAGTCGGCAGCCGCCCCACCACTTTGATCAATATCAAAATTGAAGTGATAGACCATCATAGTGTGTAGAACCTGTCGGGTTGCTTCAGTAAATGAAATTATACGTAGAAAGTCAGGGGCACTCGTACCCGGGCCGTGAAATACAAACGGCGCCAGCTTTCAGCCTCAACCCATTCTTCCCAATCAGTAGGTTTCAGCGCTCTATTGTTTCGATATCTCAGAAGATGTTTATGGCCCTGCGCGTTTATCAATGACGAGGTAAAGCTCCAAGTGCTGATCACAAAAGAACTGGGCTCCTTAGACTCGGAATAACAAAGCCCAATGTGATTCAATATTCGGGCCTGTAACACAGGCAAATCAGTCATCTCCTCTTTAGAACCCTCAGGTTCTTGCTGTAACAAACGCCTGCAAAATTCATGAAGCTGCGAAGAGCACGCTGTTAGTTCACCTGATCGAAAATAGTGTGAGCCAACGGCAGCTATTGCGGTTGTCAACACACATGATTTATTCACGTCCAAGGACGGCACGTGAATAAACGGGAGGATCGGATCGAAACATTTGAAGTATAGCTTTACGAATAAGTTTAGTAGCGCTAATGGTGGAAAGCTCTGCATTCCAAAACAAGGCATTTGCGACTGCATTTGCGACTGCATCTGACGACAGATATCATCGAAATGCTGAAGCATGGCGTTATATGTGAGGTCAGAAATCGCCATGGAAGGATTGCAGATACCGTCATCGAGTTGGTCTATTCTTTCAATGTCTGGAAATATATCATCGCGCTTCGCACGGGTTGAACAAGCATTTCGCGCACCGTTGGAGCTTGTCGCATACAAATCTCCACGTTTGTAGTTCGGGGAAAATGAGCCTTTTGGTGGAGAGGTGTCGGGTATAGATTCATTTCGTGAAACGCCGTTGGATTTCTTGCCGTTGACACCTGCCAGAGGAGGCATGTTCAAGTTCCACGATTGCCCTTCCAGCATTCCATTTGCTGTATTGCTGGAATCGATGGAAATCCATTGCGCATCATCGAAAGGTGAAAGAAGGACAGTATCGTAGAGTGTGGAACCTAAATTCAGGTCAATCGACTTGTCAAAGGGCAGCCAATTAATTGGCTGGTTGAAGGCCTCGGCGTCTGACTGAAGCCCATCATTTCGGAATGGCCACAGAGCAGATCCAGAATGGTCAGAGGCTAAAATGGATGAAAACTGATTATCAGATATTGGAGAGCCAGCAGTTGGTGTCCATGGTGCAGTCTGGCCTGCAGCAGTGTACCGTCTAGTTGATGAATCTGAAGCTTTATCTGACTGACTATGGATTTGATCAAAGATAAGGGCAGTCAGGTTATGGCCATTACCGCTGAAATCTTCCAAGTTTTTTTGTAGCGTACCCGAGGATACTGGCTCGGCGGCAGAAGCATTCTCAGTATTGGGCAGCTTCAATGCGCTGCTGTTTTCACCAGAGGAGTGTTGGTCGAAACTACCTTGCTGCTGGCCTCCCGGATACACACAGTCCAGGCACCGACGAGAGCATCTCATACATGGCAGTCCCTTGGTGCACTTTTCTCTCGCTTTTGCGCAAGCATAGCAGGCTCGGGATTTGCGTGGTGCGGAACCATTAGACAGAGGCTGAAGAGGCACTTCTGATGGGTCAGCGCCATGTGCTGATTGGTGTTTGGATAAAATATCGCTGAGAGCAATATCAGCACAGTACATGTTGAACAGATCAAAATCAATGAGATAAGGGAGACAAAACCTTCTGGCGAACTGCTTGTTACAAACATGACAGGCGTATCGTTTCGAGGTATCATGATTGCGAAGATGCCGCCTCATGTGCTCTGGTCGGATGAAGCGACGATGGCACTCTGGGCACTGAAGTTTTCTACCATCGATATACAAGGCGCAATCAACTGCAGGATCTTGCATCGTTTTGATGATGGTACTAGCCCAAGACCTTTTAGAAGAGAATTGCGCTGTTTGTTTTTAAGATTGTAAGTTAAAGGGCAAGACTTGCTTGTCAGTGGAAACTACAAATAGCCGCTTTAGCATAAAATCTGGGGATTGGCATTTCCCCACAAGCCCGTATGGAACGCCACTTAGGACTCCGAAATGTAGTTCAGCGTTTACATGCGCGCCAATCACGTCCACATTCGCCTCTAAACCTGGCTGGATCGCCCTCCATTGTATGTAATAAAGTCTAGAATTGTCCGAGTGCTACACGATTTGGGGTCTTTGAATGTTCGCTCGACTTAGACCAACTGTGTAGTCATTTGGTAAGCATGAGCCGATGACTCTAGATGGGTTTAAAGCAGAAATGTCTGTATTAAACTCCATGTTAATTATTGCATTTTCCTTGCCTATAACATTGTGCGGCTTTTTAGCAGCCAAACAAAAACTCAGTCTTCCCCTTGGCGCAGCAGCACCCTCATCTCTCCGTTACCACCTCTGTTGGCTCTTAAAAAGTAAGGTATAAATACCGCACTCTTTTCCAATCTGTCGCTGACGATCGAGGTATCAAGGATTGGCCCAGCAGTGCGCGCAGAAATATCCTCATTCGTCAGCCAGCATTTTGTACGTAGCTCAGTATAGCCCTCTCCGTTCGTCATGGATTTTGCTTCCTCCGAGATGGGCTCGCTTTTTTTAAGTGTAACATCCCGGAAGTGATTATGCTGCCACGAATTATCAACATCTTCCATACAGTAGATGATCGGGCCTCGTGCAATCCCAAGAACGTTCTGAGCCGTGTAAGGATGCGGCGAGATGTAACGCGGCTCAAACCCTCCAATGGTGATGGAAAATGTTCTGTAAGCATTCGTATAGCTAGGATGCAAAGTCAGATAGCCTTTGTCAATTGAAAAGTCATCTGAAGCAGGGATAGGTGCCATTTTGAACTGCCCGTGGCTCCACGATGGCAAACGAAGTCGAATAGTAACGCTCTGGGATTGCGAAGACAGCTCGAGAGCTACATGGCCATCCCACGGCCAATTCGAAGTCTGCTGCAAAGAGACAGTTTCCAGCGATGCCGTGGTATATGACAGACTAGCAGTCGTGTAGAGATGGATATTTATCGCAACTTCTGCTTCGCTTTCTTGAACGTGCCAGACATAGCCTCCGAGACTGCCAAAAAGTCTAGTCAAGTTTGGCGGACAGCATGCGCACCAAAACCAGTCCTTGCGTATGCTCTTATCAGTATCAGAGCTTGCCAGCTGGTTAACGTAAGTGAATTGCTTTCCATCAAGACTCATTGCGTTCATTACATTGTTGTAAAGACACAATTCCATGATATCTGAGTATCTTGAGTCGAGGTCAAAGGAAAGTAATCTCTCTGCGAGCATCATGACGCCAATTGAGGCGCACGTCTCTGCGTAACAACCCCCTTCATTAGTGCCGGTGGGTAGAAAATAATCACATCCAAAGCCCTCCCATTGTTTAATTGCGCCGATCCCGCCAGTCACGTACATTTTCTTGTTCACCATGTTGGTCCATAATCGTGATACGGCTTCCATCCACGCATCAGGGTTACATAAAGCCTTATCACCTTTATGGTGCAGTTGGATCATGTCAGCCACAGCTGTGAGCAAATACACTGCACGTACAGAGTGGCCTTCGATTGTTTCCTGCTCCAAGATAGGCTTGTGAGCTTGGCAGTACCAGTGAGAATCCTTTTCGGGATATGTGTTGGGCCGAGTGTACCGATTTTCTTTTCTTTGCTGAGCTTCCCAGTCGAAGTAGTGCATTTCGTGCTGGCCAGACGCATTTCCCCGTTCTTGAAGGAAATATTGAGCAAGTTCGTAGGCTTCATGAGACTTGGTGACCGTATGAAGTCTGAAGAGAGCCATTTCAATTTCCGGATGGCCGGGATATGCGTGCAATTGATCGTGGCAGCTCCCAAATCTGCAATGGATCAAGGACACGTATTTGAGAATGGGATCCAACAGGTGATTGTTTTGGTAGTGCTTGTGATGCGCGAGGGCTGCTTCTATGAGATGGCCTGCATTGTACCTATCGTCGGATTAGCTCGTACAAGTTGATAGTATAGATGATACTAACAACTCGTGCATGTCGCGAAGATTTGACCACCTCTTTTGAGGCTCAACAACTGTATAGTGCACGTTGATGTATCCGTCAGATTGCTGAGCACCTCGTATCATGTCAACTAATTCCCGGACGGCAAGGTCAATATTGGCATCGTATTCTCTCTGAAGAAAATAACAAGCGCTCTCGATCCATTTTGCAACGTCGCTATCCCAGAATAGATGATAGGGAACCGGCCACATGGACTTGTCATCATAAATCGGATGCCATTTGAGCTTAAAGCAGTCGTATCTTCCCGTCTGCTTAAGCTGCTCTAATTGGGCGTGTAGTGTAACGCTGGCAATTAGATGTCTTCGTCGCGAAAGAATGGTTTCTCCAAAAAATGAAGTGTTATCGAATGTAGACTGAGGATGCGACATGTTGATGAGCCTGGTGATGCGCATTGAAGCTTCAATATTTAGGCAGATTGAAGCCGGTAGCTTTATTGAACCACAGTTTTGGAGAACGCAACTAGGAATGTTGCTTCCACTATTCTAGGCCTGTGTTAAGAACCATACTACATTATCAATTCGGGTTATTTACCTCCGGGAAGCCTTCTTTTTTCCCCTCTGTTCTGATTCAAAGCCTCCTCTTCGAATTCAATCGTCAAGGTTGTTCAAAAGCTTGACCATGGCAGGTCTAAGCATATGCCGTTTAAGATTCCGGTGGACCCCTGCTTATTCTGGGGAATGCTGATGCTCCGTGCGGTAGCTCCGGTGGATCGTGGGGACATCTGATGCCATAGCGAGCGCTATTGCCTCCAGGCTATATGGCGTTAAGATTTGTGCCTGAATTGAGTAAAGCCATGCCATAAACAAACGTTTCCAGCACTAACTTACACTGGATATAGCCCACTGTTACAGTGGTTCGACTGTGTCCACTCTGTCTTTCCAGAGACAATGCTACGCCATATACTCCAAGGTTGGCAAGTATAGATATTAGGTAGGTATTCAAAATGGATCAGCAAATTTTGAAGTATCTGCAACTGCGTGAATTAATAGAACAACCGTTGCGATTTATGTAATGGTACTTGATACATCTTTCCCGCTAACGGCAAGGACACGAAGTGATAAGATACTTGTATCCATATACGAAACAGCAAATTTCACTGACATATGAGGGCAAACGTAATATTTATAGCACTACATAACTTTTTTTCATAAACTTCAATATACTATTGAATGGTAGATCAAACATCAAACTCAAATGCCCAGCCCGCAATGGTGTCAGTTTGATATATGGGAAAAGTTAAGAGACCCAGCGCTATATGAGTGTGCGACCGTATTCCGAAAGACAGGCGCCGCCTGAACTGAAAGCGGGTTGCTTCCATCAAATTCCCATGTACTGATGGATAGAGATCCAGATGATGGTTTTCCTACAGATGTCAACCCATTAAGAGTGACATACCACGTTCCGCTCTGGAGCTTTGTGCCAACGATGAGTCGCACGCGATCCTGTCCAATGGTGGCATATACATCTAGATGCGTGTCACCGGATCTCTGGATGGTGGCTCGGTTGCCAGTCATGTTAGTGGCGTAATACCGGTAGACCCAGTAGCCTGGTGCTGGTGCATAGTCTGTAGCTGCGTAGTTCATCGGATCGGCTTTCTTCGCTGTAGGTTCTCTTCAGCAAATTATTTGTTTTCATACAGAAACTCATTTTGATCTAAAGGGGGCCTTACTGATGAGATTAGCAAAAAGATCATGCAAAACTGTTCCGCCTTGCCAGTTGCCTAGCAAACCGATGAAATCGAAGCGCTCCAGTCCGGCGATCCACCAAATATATGATCCGGGAACCATCTCTTTGTATTGAGCGTACTCGTTGACATTTACCTGTCTCTGTGGGGCATTATATGTCTTAAGAAGTGCTGAGAGACTGGCATTTGTGAAACTCGGATCATTGGTGGTATCGGTCTCACTCCCTTCCAGATGATACGTATACTGGTCGGGAATCGTGTTATTGCCAGCCACTTGGCGCAACCATTCTGTCCACCACACATTCGTCGCTTGTGGGCGATAGGCCAGACTAGGACCAACAATGTTCATGTTGTTGAACCTTGAATCTGAACGAATGAGCTTATGAGTCCGGACGTAGAGGTCAATCCATTGCTGCATGCCCCCTTTGCCCTTCCAAAATATACTAATGTCAGGCTCATTCCATATCTCGTAATTCGTGCCATTAAGGGCATTGTTCGTATAGAGATCATTCAAGAGTTGGCGGACAAAATTGTCGTAGTCATCCCATTTGCCGTTGTCACCAGGCCAAACACTGCTGGCATTGGTATTGTCTGTTCCCCAGATATCATGTGCCAGCCAGCTTACTTCGGCATTCTACTTACGACAGGCGTGATAGTTGGAGAGCGAAGACTGAAATCGCCCGCGGTATTCCCCTAGTCCCCATGTCCAGCCACGGTTGGGAGCGCCAAGTTGAGCCCCCCCAGTGCGGCAACCTCGTATATCAAGGTCAGTCCAGCTGGCGTTCACAATTGTTAGTCACAAATACGGGGTGAAATGCAAGGAAGGAGCTAGCTAACAAATGGGATGGTATTTGCCCGCTATTATCTGGAATACCATAGATGAATCCAGACGCAGCATGTTTCGAAGGTCCGCGGGACGCTGCAAGGTTCACAATCGCTGTATTATCTGCTCGCTGCTCCAATACTGGCGAAGCGTTGGCAGATATCAGGTTCAAGGCAAGCCATAGAATTGAAACCATGGCGGCAGAAATTAACCTTCAATGAGATGCTGAAGATGAAAACTTGAGAGTCTTTCTGTTCCCGTTGCAATACATCGACACTCTAGTGTTTGGATAACATCCGTATTATATACGCAAGAGGCGGTTTTGAGAAGGGCAAAATGTATATCTCAGTCTACCCGATGCTTAGAGCCGCCTTGGGTGTGCACCTTGACCAATCATTGCCTTTCCGTATCCCACCGGGAGCGTCTCTGCATATGGCCGGAGTTCACCTGCCAGAAATGTGGACATGTGGAGATCGGAGAGCACCCCGGACTGTTCCCCGCGCGATACGAATCAAGCAATGGTGGAGAGCTTAGTCTAAGCTGGGGTATTGCCAAGGATAATACTAAAGATGTAAATCCACCTCTGCTAGACGTCTAGAGAATTGTGTTGTGTTTCTTTGGGGGCATTCGTATATCATATCAGTAAAGCTCCACCGAACACTTGTGTTCATCAACAACATACACAAAAGAACCCAATGCTCTGGAATAAACAATGGGCTTCTTGACGGTCAGTATTGTCAGTGTAAACGATAAATGTGATTTACGTGTTAATATCTTTTTCTAGACATTCCTTCCGCCAGGCGACCGCTATGCGGCACTCCTGCTTTATGGCATGGTACTGTCGACATGTTTCAATGGATACGACGCAGGTATCATGACTGTTATTCTCGCAGATAGCCAGTTCATCGAGTACTATAGCGTTGATGCCAATCGCTCTGGTATCATTGCTTCCATTCCGTGGGCAGCCACCGGTGCGTTCTCTTACTACTAGAATCTTTTTGTCAATCAGATTGAGGCGATTGAATAGGCTACTAAACTCTCTCCGGCCAGGCGTTGCGCAACTCTTCCTTGGAGGTACTCTCGCAGGCTTCTTAGGACGTCTATGGGCGCTCCGTATTTCAATTGTCATCATGATTGTTGGTGTCGTAGTACAATCAGTACCGAATACGTTTGGAGTTCTCATCCTCGGCCGACTATTAAGCGGCCTTGGCTTTGGGTGCGTTTACATAGCAACGAGTCTCTACGGTAAGACCCTATCGCCAACTGCCATCAATGTACTGTACGATTCCAGAAGCTTATTGAAATTCCAGTCGCCGAGTGCTCCCCCAAAGCGCTGAGGGGAAGTTTTGTCGGCACAGTTACGCAATTTGGCTACCAACTAGGAACCCTAGTCGCGTTTTGGGCAGGCTACGGCATGTCCTTCCACGACCATCCATTCAACGTTGCCTGGCGTGTTTCAAACTTGATCCAAATTCCAATTGGTCTCTCTTTCATCTTCATATCCTTCTGGTACCCTGAATCGCCGCGATGGGTACTTGAAAAGCATCCGGAAGACACGGATCGTGTGATGAACATTTTATGCAAACTTCGCATGGGGGCTCCAGACTCTCCTCATGTGCAGGAGGAGTACCACGAGCTCATGGCATCATACCTCTATCGCCAACGCTTCAAGTCTGGCTATATCCGAATCTTCACCTCAGCAGCCCTAAGAAAACGCCTCCTATACGGTTTCTACGCTACCGCTCTTCAGCAAGCCGGAGGTATTGCCGCGTTGACCATGTATGCCGCCATAGTATGTTCGCAATCCAGTCCAAACACCGAGTAAACTTGGAGGTCATGCTTACCAAGTCAACAGATTTATAAATCGCTGGGCTGGGACAAAGGCCACCAGGCGTTGGCCATCAACGGCATTCAGGCAGTTTTGCAACTCTTCATCGTGCTTATTAACACCGTAACCGTAGACCGATTCGGTAGGAAAGCACTTTTAATTGCGGGATTCTCAATCCAGGTCCTGGCGTTACTCATCATGTCTAGCCTCACAACAGCATTCCCCCATAACGACAACAAGCCGGCGGCAGTCATGGAGGTTGTATGTCTCTTCATTGTTGGCATGACATACTGTTGGTCAAATGGTCCAATCGCCCCTGCTATCGCGTCGGAAATCTTTCCACAAGAAGTTCGAGACAAAGCTTTTGGAATATCTCTGCTTGGACAGACCGCATGTCTCCTGGCAATTACCCAGCCATGGCCCAAGTTTAATGAGGAAGTTGGCGGGAGAAGTTACTGGCTCTTACTAGGACTTAACGCTCTTTGTCTGGTATGCAAACAGGATAACGTCCCCTTCTTTAAAACTTGTCGTGACTTACCTATACGTACAGCTAAGTGTGATATTTATTCTCCCGGAAACTAAAGGAGTATCTCTGGAGCGCATGGATGCAATATTTGGCGAGGTCGATGCCGTCGAAGCTGGGGAGGAGGCTCATGGAGACAAATTGGAAATGGTAGATGTAAAGCAGGAAGAAGTGAATCTGGAGGCTGAAATAAAAGGAGAGAGTGAACAGTGAGTGCTGTAAGTCGGTTGCTCTGAGGGTTAGGTTTGAAACTATCGCTGTAGGTCGCTGACAACTAGTGAGAGATGAGGTAAATAGTGACTGCATAAGGGGCAGTGCAGTGTTTCAGTATGATGTTGTGCTTTAGTTGTTTGTAAGGGAAATTGAAATACCGTATTAATTGTTTTTCATTGTTAGATGATAATTATCAATTCCTCTAAGCTACACAGACAAACTATCTAGAATATTTGCAAAGTCCCAGTGCGTCAAAATTTGGCATCCGGACCGCTACTGTCGTATAGAGCAGAAATGACTACCACCGTTTCAGCTAGCACCCGACTATCAATTATCATCATGTTTTTGCAGAGAACAGCTTCTCGATCCTCATGCTAATTGCAGCTAAAACAAGCACACCTCCACCAACAACGGCGAGAACAAAAGTGCGCTGTATAGCGTCCGTGATAGCATTTGTTGCTTCTGCTTTCAAGACTCCGTGGAGCTCGGAGAACAAGGTGCTTTGAGCGCCTGCAACAGCCCCCCGAATCTCATCAGCGACAAATCCTTCCCCTGCCAACACTTTTTCGAGATTAGCCATAGCGCAGCTCTGGAAGATTTGACCCGCTATTACTAGTGTGATAGTTGAGCCTCCCAGGCGGCAGACGTTCTGTAAGCTAATCGCCCGCCCAACATCTGAAGGGCCAGCCATGATACTGGCTATAGAAAACCCGAGAGAAAATGTCATGCCTGTACCAACGCCAAGGATAATCATAAGACCATATATAACCCCTTGCTGGGTTGATGGTCTAAGATATACCATGAATGAGGTGCTACCAATAACAGTGAACAATCCACTTATCAGATACACCGGCATGTAGTACTGAATTCGTGGTAGGAAGCGACCTGTTGCAAGATTTGTACAGACATTAACTGCTATATAGGGCAAAAGTCGTACAGCAGCCATAAGAGCTTTATCCCCATGGACAAATTGAAAATAAATCGGAATAAAATAAATCATGCAGAATGCTGCTGCTGCATTTGCGGCCATGGCAATGCAAAGAGATAATTGGGTGCGTGATGCCAGTAAATGAACAGGAAAACTGCGGTCCTGAGCTGTTGTGCAGATGCAGAACCACTGCTGAAGAATGTATCCAATAATTAATACACCGAATGCGGCCCATATAGCTATGACCTGCGCACTAGGCCAGGGCCATTGAATACCTGCTGTAGTTGCAGCTATTGCAAATGTTGCCCACATGGCTGCATTTAACATGAATCCCAGAAAGTCTAGGTTGGCGACTCTTTTTGAAAGACTTTGATCTTTTGCTAAATGCAAAGATGGCAAAAAGGTCAAGTAAAGAGGAGCTGTGACTGCAGCAATAAGAAGATTGATATAAAAGGCCCACCGCCAGGAAGCGGATGAAATAGCAAAGGCGCCGCCGACAACGGGCCCTAAAATTGCGCCTGTTCCCCAGCAGAATCCTATAATGGAGATGTAAAAGGCGCGTTCTGAGGGAGCAGTTAATGCACTGAAGTAGTTTAAGCAACCGACAAATAAGCCGGCACCTCCAGAGCCAGCAATAACTCTTCCGATAATGATGGTGCTTATATTAGGAGCAGCACCACATAGTGCAGAGCCCAGTTCAAAAAGTCCAAATGAAATGATATAGGCCCATTTCATGTTGAACTTTGTAAAGGCTATGCCAACAGGCAAAACACTTGCAGCAGAGCCTAGAGAAAACCCGGCACCGATCCAAGCTAGCTGGTCAACATGGCCGAAAGCCTCAATGATAAAACTCTGGACATCGGCAGCAATAGTAGTATCAAGTCCAAAGACCAAGGCGCTGATATATAGCGAAGTGCAAACCAGAAGCCCTCTAGTACCTTGGATTTCTCGTTTCTGTGCTTCGCTGGCCCTGCCACTGTTTTCGACATTTTCTCGCAAAGCAGAAATAGGATATTTGAGCTCGCTCTCTTCGGTTTCGAGATCCGGAGTAGCAGTTTGTTGTACTGTTTGGTCCGTTGTGTGATGATTTGGCACTGCTAGTGGCGAGTTTGATACGTTCGCGGTGTTGTCAATTTCTGTACTTTCGGTTGGATTTGCCATTCTCGGTTCTCTGAATATTTGTAAATGTGTGAACCAAGGAAATCGTTGTCGAATGCTGTAGATATGTAGCGATATAATTGCGGTGTGGAGGGAGGTAACAAGACCCAGATCAAGCAGACAAGGGACAGAGAGATGGACAACATATAGCACTAAGCGTACAATCGTGTGTCCTTCGCTATTAGTTAAAACTGAAATAATATAGTTTTCTATATTGAGACTGATTAACAAAACACTCTTCCCAAAACGTATTATTTAATTACTAAACTTGAAGCGCTACTATCAGTAGTTGATTGACAACTTACCACAACGGAGTCCGTTTTCTGCGTACAACCCTTGATTTAGAAAAGACCCTTCGTCATGCCTCTTGATGGACTTTGAACCTCAAGGAAAGGTATGCTACCTGGTCAAATATTGGGACTAGATGGTCTATCTTCCAGAAAACTAATATAGTGTCCCTTTAATATCGCTGTTCTCGAAAAATACAAAGTCTATGATGTTTCTTGTTGCACCATAGTGCTCGCTCAAATCAGTTTCATACACTGACTTTATGTAGCGGCTATTGTACCCTCAAACAATCCAAAAAAAATTTACAATAGAGAAGAAGAGAGATACGAAACCGTTTCCAACGGCGCTCTCAAGTCATGCAAGAATTTAAGCTTTGACGGCATTCTTCTAATTACAAACTGCGCCCTCCAAACGAACAGCGCCCTCTGAGTGAACTGCGGCCTCTCAATGAAATACTGTATAATCCATTTTGGGAAGGATTGACTAATGTTTTACAGATTGTTGTTAGTTTTAGATTACAAATCTGACTACGGAAAGTATCTCGAGAAAAGTTGCTTCTCCCAATTATCAAGGCCTAGACTATGCTGGCAACTTCGGATAACATTGAAGTGAGCCAACTCTCTCCATATGCTATGCCGTTGGCCGTGCGGGGTCTACTTATAATCAGGGATGTCCATTTTGTCCACTATTGTGTTCGATGGTGTGTACTTCTACGGGCGAAGAGAAGAATCTGTTAACGAGTAGCAAAATAGTTTGCAAACTTACTATTTTCAAGGCATCACAAGTGTTGGAAAGTGTTTCTACAGCATCCTAAATAACTGTGTCAGAATTAGAACCAACAACGTAAAATCATAGTATCCGTCAGTATGGCTGCAGTATGGTATAGGTGCTCTGAGGCCTTGCTCCCAGTTGACCTCATGTCAACAACTATCGGCGCTATTCTTCCGATTTGTGGAAACTAAGCCATACACAAAAATCCAGAACTCGATTCCGAGGAGAATATCGCGTACGATTCTATTACTTAATTATTTATCAAAGAGTGCTACACTGTAAAGTGTCATACATATGGCCTAGCCACTTCGTTCGAGGCCGAATTTGGATCAGGGGGCCGTTTGGTCGTCTATTGTGCAGAGTACGATGCGCTGCCAGACATTGGCCATGCATGCCTCCACAACTTCATTGCTGCTTCGTCCGTTGCGGCATTTATTGGCCTGGCTAGAGCACTCAAAGGCTCATCTGTCGAAGGCCGCGTACGCATTCTAGGTACACCAGCTGAAGAAGCACTTGGCGGCAAGATTGAGCCGCTTCAAGCTGGGGCCTTTGCGGATGATATCGCGGCCACCCTGATGCTTCACCCACTTGCGAGTCGTTTTTTGCCGCAGGGTGTCATGGGAAACGCGGGTTCCCAGTTAATCGCTAATGTAAGACTGCAGGTCGATTTCAATGGACACTTGCTCAGGCCGGTGCAGCGCCATGGAATGGCTTGAATGCTCTAGACGCGGCGGTAGCCACTTATACAAGTGTCTCAATGCTGCCGCCTCGATGCTGCGGCAGCATATTCGTCCAAACGAGCACATCAACGCCATTATGGAGGGCGGTGGAATAGCAGTCAGCATAATTCCTGCCAAGTCAAGAATGGTATTCGGGATTCAAACCCCAACTTGGCACAGACAAAGGCGCTCGTGCAGCGAGTGAGAAACTGCTTCGAGGCGGCTGCTACAGCCACTAGCTGCAAGGTTACGCAGACTGAATAAGAAAACACACAAGAGCATCAATACCGTGGTATATTATGAGATCCCCAGTTCAAGCTAACGCTGCCTCCACATACATCGACTGATGGCATATAAAGACCTCCGAATCAACGACACCCTCAGTCATGAGTTTGTAAATGTCATGGCAGCAATGGGCACCAAGTTTATCGCTCGGAGTGATAAGCCCTTCACAGCTTCGACAGACATGGGCAACGTGTCATATCAGTTACCAGCTTCCATGGCAGCTTCAGCATTGCGGTGCGAGACGGCGCGACGGTGCATCAAGAGCCGTTTACAGAAGAAGCTCCCTGCGCCGGAAGCATTTGATGTAGCAATGCACTGTGCCAAAGGATTGGCACTTTTAGGGTGGAAAGTTCTTCGTGACGATGGTGTCGCTACAGAGGCGATGAGAGATTTCAACGAAAAGGAATGATTGCAATGTCAGGTATCACGAGTGGTCTCACAGTGCATGCGGTGATCATTATTGTTGGTTGAGTGTTTTATTATCAACGTCCATGGAGTTAATTATTTGCATAGAGCTGCAGCTAGGAACAGAACGGTAGGAGCCGGTTGGTCCGGATATTGCGATTGCTCCTTTCTCAATGAACCAAGAAAGTCAGTGCATCAATCTAAACCTTAGAAAACAAGGCAATTTTCTTTACTTGAGACCTTAATAAGAAGGAGCTGAGCGAGTATATTTTATAGAAGGCTCTTCTCTATTCAATCTAGAAGAAGTAGTTCATTCACTTGGCATCCAATATCCAATACTTTGCGAATTGCAATTTTGTCTTAGGCTCACTACATAGGGAATGGGGTCTTGCGCCAGCCTAAAGTGACACGAAGTCTTAGAATCCGTAGCAACTACGATTTTCTTTCAGCAGAATCTAAAGAATTTATGGTTTCTCGACTCTATTGAAGCAGTTCGATGATTGTCCACGTTGCATGTTTTTTTACGTGATCTATTTTCTTTTGCTCTTTCCACTAGTGGCGTAACTAAGCGATCGAAGTATTTTTGTTTCAACGGACTGCAGCGGCTAGATAATATGGCCAATGTTGCCACAAACGACGGATAAGGACATTGGGTAAAACACTTTGTTTTATGCTGCGTCATGTCTCGATCCTCGGAAAGACTTTACACGAGCATCGCATTAACAAGCAGTGTTTACTGTGCAAGATAATCTTCGGGAGAGGGGAGATGAGTAAACAAGAAATCTGTGTTTACTGATCACAAATGTTGACTAATTGTAAATCACTACTGTTGCTACCGAGGCACCACATCATAGCCACCAGTAATACCGTTACTGCCAAAAGCTCATGAGTGGTAAAAATCATGATAGGTCGAAGAGAATACGTTTAATGTGCCATAATCTTATGTAATAGTGTAAAGATGACAAATTGTCGCTGAATGGCCAAGTGAGAAAACGAGCCCAGGCATTATGAATAGATGATCCGGGTGTCCAAGTCTGCCTCTGAAAAACATATATAAGTACCTACGTCTTCCCGAGACCTGCCCGCCAAAGTCTCCATCCTGATTATTTTCTGTTGCATTTGGCAGAATTTCTCTACGATACGGTCAAGCTTAGGCGAAGGAAACTTTACAATGTCAAGTTCCGATGCTCCAATTTTAGTCACAGGGGCGGCTGGAAGAGTTGGTGGAGTCGGAGGACGTGTGGTTGAACTGCTACGAAAAGCCAATTTACCGGTCCGCGCACTCGTACGCCAAGATGACGAGAGAGCGGACCGATTACGCTCTCTGGGAGCAGAAGTTGTCGTGGCAGATCTCCTAAAAACAGAACAAGTCCTCCCTATTCTCCAGGGGTGCCAAAAGATCTTTTTCTGTCTTTCTGTCTCTGCAGAATACCTCGAGGCGACGATGGTAATGGCAGCAGCTGCAAGGGCCACGCCAGGCATTGAAATCATTGTCAACATGTCTCAGATGACAGTGGCCGAGATGGATTTGACGCATACAACAGATTCGCCCCAGCACAAGCTACAATGGCTGAGTGAACAGGCACTTAACTGGTCTGGCGTGCCAGTAACTCATCTTCGGCCAACGGCATTCCAAGAAAACTCGCTTTTCTTGCAAATGCCAGCCAGAGGGATCAAGCAGTCAGGCAAAATTCGACTACCTTTTGGGAAGGGACGCGTTTCCCCAGTCGCTACTCGAGACGTGGCTGAGTGTGCGGTTCAAATTCTTTTACACGCTCAAGATTATGTCGGCAAGACCGTGGAATTGACTGGGCCAAACTCGGTCGATATGTTTGAGCTGGCCAAGGAATATGCATCTGCCATTGGGATCCCTGTGCAGTACGAACCAACACCTTTCGAAGTATGGAGCGAGCAAGCGTCTAAAATTGGATGGCCTGCGCATGTACAAAATCACATTTCTACCATGGTCAAACTCGTAGAAGCAGGGCGTTACGATAGATATACGGATTCAGTTCAAACGATTCTTGGTAGGCCAGCCACACCTATTTCGTCAATGATCAGGCAGAATCTCGACATTTTTAAGTAGCTATAATCGCGATATGCCTCCCTCCGTCAAGCTTGTGCCGTTTCGTATGGATATAACATAGTTTCATTACATTTATAGAGGATGTTTGCCTAGTTTACCCATGCAGGGAAAATACCGCTGACACAATTGCCAAATGCTGTGCCAAGCTCCGTTCTAAACAGCCTCAGGAGAATGGAAAGTTGGGATATGCAGCGCTAGCTATGAACGTCGTCTGACCTCTAATCTTTGAGTATCTCATGTCATCTGCAGCACCAAAAGAATACTCAACCATTTGGAAATATAATTATAGTAATTAAAGAAATTGAGCACATTTTTTAGTTGTGTATGTGGTCATACAATCTATATATATTAAAAATGTACTAGCAATCGATCAGGTAGAAGTTGATAACTAAATGTCCAACATGTAATCAGCTAAGCAGAATTCCTGTTGGATGGCCCGGCAACATCTGGATAACATTGGTATCTGTTATCCGTACGAACTGACCCAATACAGTCCCAACAAGTCAGGATATTATCAGGATCAATCGCGTGTTTAATCGCCTTGAGTTTGTTGTAGTTCTCTTTGCCCCAATAAGCTCCAACTGGGTCTGTCTCAAAGACATCGGCTTCATTTTGGTACGCTCCGCTATTCGGTGTTAGGGCACGTAGTTTGTCACCAGCGGCATGGACGGCCGAAAAAGCCGTTGAAATTGTCGCCTTGTCAGCCTGAGATGCAAAGGTTTGAATCATAATAACATGCCAAGTAGACTTTCTCCAGGCAGGGGTGACTGAGCTATCTGCGAAGCTTTCTCCCGGCGACACGGGCTTGTATCCATACGGAGCTGTCATGAGAATCTGTATCGGTGCTGTATAGTTTACGCTCAGCGGATCTGTCTGCGAGGCACTGGTCGGGAACGTCAAGTCATTCGACATTTGCGCAATGGCAGCAGCGACGGCCTTTTGCCCTGCTGATTCGGCGAGCAGATCACTGGGAATCAATCTGCTCGCAAGGGCGGCGCCGATACCCGCGTTCTCCAGAATCGGGACGAGTTTTGCTTGATATGCCTGCCAGATGGTAGGGAACGTAGTAATGTCGGCTTCTATCACCTGAGCACTGTTGTTTGAAGATGCGAAAAAGTCGAAAAGCGACTGCATAGAAGCTTTGGCATCGTCCAGAGATAGTGCCATGTTGTACACCTGGAATCCGATGACGGTGCGGCCACCGCCGCCGCCATAGATGCTTCCGCCCCAACCTTCAGAGGCCCATTTGTTGGCATTTTGTGTGGCAAGGTCGAAGAAGGCGTTGTATGCGCTGATACTTGCTGCAGAAAAGAGAACGTTTACGACCTGCCGTTTCACTCTCGTTAGCCCGCTGCTATACATGATGCCATCGGAAAGCAGGCCGAAGCCATGTGAGTGAGGGGCAGTGGGAAAGGATATAGCTACCTGAACCTCGCGTGTATCCCAAGCTCTGCTGGTGACCTCCCATACCACACCAAAGGTGCTTCCGCCGCCTCCTCTGAGAGCAAAGAAAAGATCCTGGTTATGGCATCGGCTGGCGGTTACGTACGTGCCATTTGGCAGCACAACCTTCATCTCAAGAGTGTTGTCAACACCTAGGCCAAACTTTGGCGAGAGGAAGCCATGTCCTCCGCCCAGAATCCATCCACCTGCGGCGCCGACTGTGAGATCTGAACCACCGACAAGAAAGATGTCGTTTGCTTCGGCAAATTTATACAATCCTCCCCATTGCTGGCCCGCTCCGTAGGTTACGGCCTTGCCTGCACCAACGTGACAACCAGCGGGTGTGAAATTGGCAGAGAGCTTGATCTCTGGCTGGACGTTGTGTGTCCACAGCGCAAGCGTACCAGGCCCCGAGCTACGCCCCTTGTAATCATGGCCTGTGTTCTTGACAATCAGGGGCACATGATGCTTCCTGGCAAATAAAAGACCAGCTTGAACATGAGACACGTCGCTCACATTGATATAGTGGTCGGAGACGCTGCCCTGAAAACAGATAGATGAAGACGAGACAGACTGCATAGGATCGCTAAAGTTCAGACCGCACCCGTGACCGGTGGCTTGGCACGTTGCCCAGTTTGTCTATGTTTGTTAGCTAGCGATAATAAGTGACAGCCAGGTAGCACAATACACACGTTTAGATAGCCACCAAGCTGGTTTGCATGAAAAGACGAGTTCAAATAGTTTGCTTCGGTGGTAGAACAAGCTGCCTTGTCATCAACTGCAAACTCTCCAGAGAAGTCTTGGTACGTGGAATAGCACGGTTCAGCCAATGGTTTGGCGGTGTGTAGTCTCCCGCCCACAGTAGCATTGAGTGCTTTCCAGTCTGCCATTGTAACGCCCGTTCCATCACAGTAGCGTCGGCTTGGCGTGATATGATGTCCAGTTACACCATTTCCAGCTATCAGCAAGGCGCTGAGACAGAAGGGCGTACCTAAGTACATGATAACCATTCAGGAAGTAGGATAGAAGTTGAAAAGACCAAGTAGTGTTTCTCAAAGTTGTAGGTATGTGTAGAGAAGAAGACAGGAAAGAAAGAAGAAAACCAGTCTTATTTATACAAATCGTTTCTAGTTGACAAAGTCTTGTATACCTATTATTTGTTTATGGGTAATCGACTAGCAAAGCCTCGATTGAACCCCTTTAAAGCTGAGGTTATGCACTTGATTATCCCCGGGAATTTGAAACTGGATATTTGAATATATTTCTGGAAGATTTAATAGACTGACAAGTGTGGAGTACGATTTTATACCCAGGAATATATATATATTTATCCAACTATTAAACAATATCCTCACAACTTACAGCACAAACAGGTATAGCGTGTCGTATATATATAATAACTATTACTTTAAAGAGCCTAATAAAAGTGATGGGAAGCCTATACACGAAAGGTGGAAGTAGTGTTGAGCAAGGGCCAATATAAAACCAGGGACTAGCTCCCTAAAACAAGTGAGCATTCGGTTATTGCAGCAAAGCTCGAAGAGGAAGTTTACCACGAGCCGACCTTTCATTGGCTGACGGGCGCCAAGAATGAAGTCTAACTTGGAAGACTGGGGCGGGATACGCCTCTGGCCCCGCTTCATGAACTACCGGGACTAGGATGTGAATTACGCAGTGCTTCAGGGTCTCTAAGGAGGTTAACCAGTTGTCTCAGTTGAGCTTATTCGTTCATGCCTAGCACCAAGTTCAAACCTACTACTGAGTACTGGTCAATCTCTCAAATATCTAAGCCTCATCTCCACGATTCAAATACCGTAGTGAGTTTCCTTCTCTGTCAAGTATTTTCCGCAACAGCAAGCCAAAATGCCCAAGATCAAATCGTCCAAGTCACACTTCAATAAAACATTCACTGCTTGCTGGACTTGCCGAGCCCGCAGTGTCCGCTGCGACCGGGCAGTACCGCACTGTGAGCAGTGCAAACAGAGGGGACTCATCTGCGAAGGCTATCACATCCGGCTTGTTTGGGTTGATAAGGATACCGGGTCCTACGAGCCTATGCAGAGGCGAGCGTACGCCTGCGAACGTACTTGGAAAGGCTATCCAGCTTGGACGCTCAAGGAGGTTGGACATCTCATCGAGACATGTGACCAGAGGCCTGAATCGTGTCGGTGCAGAGTACATCGCCTCACGGTTGCAAGTCCTTTCCAAGTGTGTTTCCAGGCAAAGACAAACTCAGAGGCGGTAGACTTGAGCTCTGAGCATTTCAACGAGTCCGGGGGTGATGTTGTCGACAGCAATCCGAGCGACAACGATCATGGTGGAGCGCTGCTGCAGCTGACATATCCCGCGTCGAATGTCAAACCACTGGAACCCGCAGATAAACAAATGCTGCACATAGCCGAGCTCGAGATTCTACTAGGCCACAAGTTTGCGACTGAGTACATTCGGCTCCCGCCGTATCAGCCTCCCATACCAAGAGCGACGAACTATGAAACCTATCTCTTCCATCATTACCTCCTTATTTCCACCGCCATGCTGCCGGTTGACGTAAAGGATTCGACTAACCCATGGCGGTCTGTGTATCCATTGATGGCAGCCCGAGATACACCATCAGGCCGGTCTCTTTATCATGCCATGCTAGCACAGTCCGCACATCATTTAGGAAAGTTGAGAGGCGATGAAAATGGGCAGCGGGACAAGGTCAAAGCCATGCACTGCTTCGGCATGGCGCTTCGCGAGCTGCAACAGGCCCTGGAGGAGCCGACACAAGACTACAGCAGCGTGCTGGCTGCCATTCTTGCCGTCATGAGCACCGAACACATCTTCCGCAGTAGCTCCCAGGGCTGGCGAGAGCACTTTCGAGCGGCCACGAGGTTCGTAATGCGCCACCTGGCTAGGAGGCCCTGGAAACTCTCGCATGAGGCGTGGGCTGTTACGCAGAGCTTCGTGTTGTCGCACGTCATCGCCCACACGGCCCACAAGCCCTATGCCCTCACAGCTCCTCATGGCCACAATGAGGACGACAACTCCGAGGACGTGTACGACGTTCTCTGTGACACCGCCACCAACTCGAGCTTCGGCTACACCATCGGTAGCACGAGACGCCTCATCAAGGCACTGTGCCACGTCCGCAGGCTCGAGGCTCAGATGGCCGTGGAGGCCGCCGATTCTACCACCAGTGCTACTCATACCAACGCCATGAATCTTTCACTGTTCGAAGAGGCATTCAGCATACTAAATGACCTTCAAAAGCCCCCCGACGAGGGGCTCGACGCATATCTCGACTCAGCGGGCAGTATTCGGATGCCCCTGGCTCGCGCACGCACACTGGCCAGCCTCCACATCAACCTATTCCGAAATGCTGTTAGCATCTACCTGCTCAGGACTGTGCTACGGTTCCCGCCGTCTGCCGTTGCTGGCTATGTAATGGACGTGCTCTCGGACGCGTGGCTGTTCGCGGACATGTCCCCCCACGGCACCGCATACTGCTCTCTTTCGCTGTGGCCGCTGTTCGTGGCTGCCGTCGATGCTTACTTGCCCAAGGCGCAGGATATAGCAGAGCGTATTCTCGACCTTTTTGAGAAGACTAGCGGTGTCAAAAACCGCTGCGACGTAAAGCGTCTGGTGCACAAGGTATGGGCCATGCGTATAGACCTGGCCCAAGAATCCAACTGCGGCCCAGGCGATATCTGGATCGACTGGCGAGAAATCATGGCTCAGATGGGCCTGGATATCCTGTTCTTGTAAATCGATGGAGAATGGAGGTTTCGATAGTCGCTGTATTACACACTGGGCTGCTTTTACAGTGTGAATAGAAGAGCGTTTCTTTCTTGTGGCGTGTTCTAATTGCTAGTGGCCAAGTAACATAATGCCAACTTCGGAACGAGACAAAACTCACGAGAGCCAAACCGTAGACCTCCAAAGAGTAGTTCGCAACATGGAGCGAAGCAGCAACTTGGCAGCAACAAGACCAGAATGTCCGGCCTAAACATTGCAATCGCTCTGTGCAGTATAATCTTGAACTGCCCAACCCAGCCCAACCACACTAAAGATGAACAGATGTCTCCTCAAGACCCTCAAACTCACCGCTAGTGTACAAGGCTCCTTGAATTTATTTTGTTGTTCCTAGGCCGCTGCTGGCGCTCCCCGCCTCTTGAGATGATGGAGGTAGTATGCGACCACGTCCGTTACTTGCTTCTCATAACCCAGATATTGAAATCCTAGCGTCCGCTCTGATTCAGACGCATCAACTGGTAGCCTGAAAGTTGATACTGTGCCATTGTTCGCCAACGCCTTCTCAACATCGTCTGGGAAGTTCCTCCGGACAATTTCGAACAAGTCCTCGACCTGGTTGCCGCTCACACCTCCACTATGCAACAAGTACAGGCGGTTCGTCGGCATCTCTGGTCTCAAGGCGGCAATGTGCGCATTGGCAACGTCATCCAAGTGTATCGTCGTCGACGCTGATGGATCGTAATGCCCACCCACGACGGGTGTCAGGAGGATTCGATTCGTGCCCATCTGTAGCATGTCATCCGGGTTGGTGACTAGCTCGTTGGGCCCGTAAATATCTCCTGGCAGAATGTGCGTGACTCCAGAGCTGGGTTGCTGCTCCTTCATCCATTCTTCCGCCGCGTTCAAAGCCAACGCCTTGGCGGCACAGTAAGCTTGCACGGAGGAGCTGTATGGCGACCGCGGGATCCGGAATGTGCGAGATTGCTCGTTAGCACGGTACGCGAGGCTTCCTCCGGGTTGGTGGTGTCTACTATGGCGGCGAGGGACGACGTAATCACCACGCGTCGAATGCTGGCGTGTTTTCTGGCCGATCTCAGCAAGTTGAGAGTTCCCTGCACCGAAGGCTCGATGAAGTGGGCCTCCAGATCGTCCCCGATGCCGACCGTTGACGTGATAGGGGCGGCTACATGGACGACAAAAGTGACTCCCTCGAGGATCTCGTCAAAGGCGCCTTCTGCTGCCAGATCCGGAATCTCAACAAAGCCAAGGTGTGACCCAGGATTCAAGGCTTTAATCGGTTGCGAGTCCAGAATGGCTTCAGACTTTGTCAGACTTCGCACTGCGGCACGCACCGAGTATCCAGCTTGGAGCGCGAGTACAAGGACTCGAAAACCAACATGTCCCGTGGCACCAGTAAGGAAGATGGTCTCCATTGTTCCTCGACAGTGGCGTAGTCAAATGGCTGGAGAGAACTGGCTGGGCTGTGTGCTTGGGGGTTTGTTTAAAGATCCCCTGGAATAAGCTTTACGGCTTGGTCGTGACTAGGACCGCAGTTTTATTTGTAAATTTACAGGTGCGCAAGAATATGATTATTCAGATGACCTAAGAACCTAGTTTTCGACAATGCACTCGCACAGAAAGGGAAATGAAGTGGCCAGCTAGTATTTGTGGAACACCAATATTGGTTGAGGACAACCCTTTTGAGAATGAATCTGGCTGGGAAACACACTAGCGAAATATTGGTGTCGTAGTCGACTGCCTGTTTCGATCTCCCCGGCGTGTTTACGTCTTCCATCCGGCACCTGACCATGTCAAGGACGGCTGACGACGACTTATTAAGCTGTATCAGGGTTTAGATCATTGGGGTTGCAGTTGTTTTCGTAGTCGGTTTCCAGATTGACTGTGTTTTGTGTATACGTCCTACTAGAGGCTTGATTGACTAGAATAGATCATTCGAAGCACGGGCGGACCTAATTTAGGGTCGACATGTATACTGTACAGCACTATACCTAAAGTCTCGTTTAGCACTGATGTTAAACTTACCCTGAAATCCGCTGACAACGGAAAAGTTGTATTATATTGCATTTAAAATTTCATATTACATTATATGGTGCTATTGATAATATCATTATTGGTTCGTTGAATATTATGAATCAATATTACACTGACAAGAGAGCATGGATGCGTTATAGAGTACAGCGAATAATTGAGCTATAGTACTCTGTTCGGTTCGTCAGCTCCGTGTGTTTATACGGACACTTATAATCTATATGTCGCTAATAAAATGGCTTCTAACACTTATTTAGACGTACAACGTATAGTAGGCGAAGAGATAATAATAACAACAGAATTGGATCTATAAAACCAGTGTGCATAAAGTAATTGGAAACGAACAAAGTGCCGATAAAATTCACCACAACTGCTCAAATAGCAGTCTCTATTTGGTAAGCAAGGCCCAAAGTACCTACTTTATCAATATTTCTTACTTGATCGACCCCTCTCACTTGTAAAGCTCTCATTAGCCATACTGCAGCCTTGCACAAAATGCCTCAACCATATATATTTTCGGACCTCAAAGCGCCCAAAAACTTTCGTCTCCTGACAATCCTGCCTGGTATTTACAATGAACCCTTACAATGCACCATTTTCGAATGTCAATTGCAAGACTCGTCATCATACGAAGCGCTTTCGTATGCATGGGGCGCCTCTGGAGCACCAGATGAACATCGTCCTACCATATCTTTGAACAAACAGGAGTTTATTATCTCATCTACACTGGAACAAGCGCTGCGCAGATTGCGGCGACTGGATACGGAACGGGTCATGTGGATCGATAGAGTCTGCATTAACCAAGACAACATTAATGAGCGCAATACACAAGTAACCATCATGCCCGACATATATCGTGGTGCTGTGAGAGTAATAGCATGGATTGGAGAAAGGTCAGATGACAGCGATCGTGCCTTGTCATTTTTGAAAGAGATGGCTATGCACCATAAATATACTATGCGGCATTGGTGGAGAAACGGTGTCAGATTAGGCAGCGATACGAGTTCCGAGTGTGGTGAAGGAACACGGGCTGATTATACAAATGAAGCAGACGATGTGAGCTCAAGTGGTTTCGCAGACGACGTCCCACAGCCTAGACTTTCCGCTTTTGAAAAAAAGGAAATGAAAGACATGAGCTGGAGTGATATCTGGAAGAAGATTCAGCACAACCAAACCCAGCAAGGACACATTCTGACAGGGTGTCCAGTACTATACGATTGCTCATACATCCCATTCTTTAAGAATTCTCGGCAACCGGACTGGGAAGCCGTTGACAACCTACTCGCAAGGCTATGGTGGTCGCGCACTTGGGTCGTGCAGGAGATTTGGCTGGCAAAAGACGCTATACTCTTATGCGGTGACTCCTCCCTCAAATGGAAAACGTTCACAAAGGCCATGGAATACCAGGAAGCATGGGACGACATGGGTTGTTTGGTCCGAGGCACCAAGAGGTGGGAAATATGGTCCACGCTAAAGAGCCGATATGGGCTGGCGATACACATTTCGCAGAAGAGGCTGTTGGGTAGCAGGCTCTCTGATATTCTATGGAATACATGGGACAGGGATGTCACAGACCCAAGAGATAAAGTATTTGCGATTTTAGGACTGGTTGGAGAGAGCTATAATGCTACTCTGCCCAACATTGACTATTCCAAGTCCACCGAGCAAGTATACCAAGAAGTTGCCTCTCTCATTATCACAAAGGAAAACTCTCTGGACATTCTGCTTGCCGCATCTGGCTTGGCTAGTGGAGGGAAACTGCCATCTTGGGTTCCAGACTGGAGACGAAGGGCCAACGAATATCGGCCGGCCCTTTTCATCAATGCCTCGCTTATGCGGATACAATGCTACCACTCCGGCTCGGCAAATGCTGTTTATTTTCATGGCCACGGATATTCTGCATCAGGAGCGATGGAACCACAAGTGATCTTCCATGATAACCTCACCGTTTTACAAGTCCGTGCCGTAGTGTTTGACACTATAGCTGAGGTTTCGACGGACTTTGATGGTGGCTTGAGTGCTGCTAATATTACTGAGCACGCACAGACTCTTATACGCAACTCACATACTAGCGGCGCTTTATCATCAAAAAGTGCAATCAGTGACGGAGAGTTGACAAAAGTTCTTACTGCAGGGTCCTTTATTCACAACAGAAGTTTGCGAAACGCGAATATGGTAATCGAAAATGTTATGAAACTAAGGCGGTTTTTCATCACGAATGGCGGTCATCTCGCCATTGGGCCGTCCAGAGTGCAGGTTGGAGATGTCATCTCCATTATCGCTGGCTGCAACTTCCCGATGGTTCTCCGCGCTGTAGGCAGCTACTTCAATTTGGTCGGAGAGGCTTACAGTAAGAGACGTATACCTTTCATGTCTGCCGTGTACTAACGTAATGAGAAGTTCAAAATCATATGACAGGAGAGATTCTAGAGCACTATCCGGTTGAGTCAGCGTCCTGGGTCGATATTTGTATAACATGAGGAGGGGAGAACGGATAATCCGAATGTCAATAAAGATGCACTTGGCGTAGATGGGAATATACGTGTTCTTTCCCCTCAAGTTTCACAGAATATGGCTGCGATTTCTGCAGGTGCTTCAAGCTTTAGCCCCGGTAACACAGTAACTATCTTTAAATCATCATAATCATACTTGAATAGCTTTCAGGTACTTGATCATGTCTCCGAATCTGCAATTGCGTAATACATCTTAAAAAGGATCCAAGATGCAAGTAGGCACCCGTGTTGGGAACGTAAATGCCAAGAGTCATGTTACGGGCTTGGTTGGTCTCTAATAGGATGTTTGGCGATGTAAGCGATAATGCATTTGAGGTCTTTGTAATTTTACACATATTCACAATTGATCCAGCGGCGCATCAACTCAAGCTAAACATCAGTTCCATGGCCGAAACTTTTGTCTAATGGCGCGTTCAATCGGCAGGCATACGGAACAAATTCCTCTAAATAGCCACATACATGTAATTTTGTGGTAATAATTTCCTATATGCGTATGATCAGAACAATTCGAGGCATCATACAAAAGTCAACCAACAGCCATTGATCTTAATTCTGTCTTCAGCAGCTGTGTCTTCAATGGGTCCCACGTATTGGTGCATGTTCCGTAGACCCCGCGTGAGGTGCTCTTTGGATATAGATTCCCTACAGTGTATCATGTATGTGACCGCGCCAATTAATTGTTGTTCCTTATACTGATTCACTGTCTGCTCTATTCTTATAAAAAATACCATTAACACATCGTGTACTCAGTGTAGAACTCTGCTATTCTCTACAGGCAATTGTCTCCGGTACAGCTCCAAACTTTTTACTTCTACTGATAGGGGATAATGTATGTACGCGGCATGAACCGAAACTGTATCTACGGAATACTCTTTGTGTTTGGGACTTTATCCAATGCCCCTTGCTGCCCAGAATATCTGTCTTTCATTCTACAGAGTAGATGCGGGCCTATTGACTACTTTAGAACAAGGCTTACGATAACATTGCCGTAACCATTACAGGCAAATTATTCCGCCCTACTCCTTAAGAGACATGCCCATACCATAGACAAGGGGCAATGTGACCGATACAGAAACGCATGCTTAGTCAATGTCCATATATGGCAATCTGCGGGCTCAGTATTCACTACAAAGGTGAAATCGCCCCGACCCCCCGGCCTGACTAAGAAGGTGTCCCTTTTGAGTGAGTTAGGGAATGAATGCCGTTATTGCCTCTTATACCTGCGGTTCGAGCGGCGTTATAGCCGAGAGGCATGTGGAATTAGAGTCGTAAGGGAAGAGTCAGAGCTAGGTTAAATATGCTGGCTGCTTGCATTGATACTCGCACTCAGCTTCAGCTAAGAACAGCTTTAACAGAGCTCGATGCTCCAATAATAGAAGCGTCTGTCCATTCAGCAACGCATTTCTTACTTTGGAACTACACCTTTGTGTGTATGTGGAATTAAAAAGCACAGTTGAACTCTTTCTCCATTTACTATTCGTTTGTTCCTTGATTCGCAACTTTCTCGTCGCCGCGTGCGAGTTCAACTACATAGCGCGATGGCGCCTTCAGACTCCGACTCATACTCTGATCCAAGTATGGAAAAACAGACAGTAGGCGCAACGCCTGACCTGGGCTTGCCTGAGGCAAAACTTCATCACCCATTAAGCCATGCACCAGTCGAAAAGGGCCAAGGTCCGCAATTTCCTTCTACTGAAAGCCAAGAGGTATCAGAGCCCATTGATCCTAAAGACATGACACCTACCCGCGACAATGTGCGAAAGATCACTGGCTTCAGATGGGTGCTTTTGTGCTCAGCCATTTATGCCACAGCTCTCTTGTATGGGCTCGATACCACCATCGCGGCTGATGTTCAAAGCGCTGTTATTGAATCATTCGACAACATCTCACAGCTGGCGTGGCTTGGTGCCGGATTTGCCCTGGGCTCTGTGGCTGTGATATTGCCCTACGGCGCACTTTATAGCAAATTCTCTTTGAAATACTTATACATCGGAGGCATAATCCTTTTCGAGGTTGGATCCACGCTCTGTGGCGCTGCACCTTCAATGGGCGCTCTTATTGTCGGACGTGTCATTGCTGGAATGGGCGGCACAGGATTGTATCTCGGCGTTTTGAACAACCTCACCGCATTTACCACCCGCGAAGAAAGAGGAGCTTACATAAACGGCGTTGGATTCGTATGGGGCATTGGCGCCTGTTTGGGTCCCGTCGTTGGTGGCGCCTTTTACGATTCAAAGGCCACATGGCGATGGGGTTTCTATATCAACCTCGTCATTGGAGCAATCACTGGCCCCGTCTATATCTTTAACCTCCCCAACGTACGCCCCGTTCGCGGAGTTTCAGTATGGGATCGAATAAAGGCTATCGATTATGTGGGAGATGTACTTAGCGCTGGAATATGGGTTTCGTTCTCGCTCGCCTTTGTATTTGCCGGCGGCGCCTGGAACTGGAATGACGGCCGTACCATTGCTACCATTGTAGTTTTTGGAGTGCTCACAGTTGCATATGCCATACAGCAGTACTATTGCATCTTCACAACTCCCGAGACACGCTCATTCCCGATTCACCTTCTCAAGTCCCGAACACAGGTTCTAACTGCCGTTTGCTCAGCAGCGTCGTATTCAGCGCTTTATATCCCCGTTTATTTCATCCCCATCTATTTTCAGTTTATACAAAACGATACCGCTCTGAAAGCAGCAGTGCGCCTTCTTCCTTATCTCCTCGTGGCGGTGGCTTTCAACCTTGGCAGCGGCTATTTGCTCTCCAAAGTCAAATATTATATGTCCATCTATCTGATATCGGGTATACTTATCACGATGGGCGGATCGTGTCTGTACGTATACTTGAAGCCCGAAACCTCGACAGTCACGATTTACGGTCTTGATGTTATACTTGCGGTGGGTGTCGGCTTGACAATGCAAATTGGGTACGCGGTCGCTACCTTGAAAGTCGAACCAGATGATGTCCCTAATTCGCTCACTATGCAGAATGTGAGCCAGATGGGCGGTACAACCATTGCCCTTATCATCTCTGTTCTCGTCTTTGAGACTGCTGCAGTACGTAATGTGAGCTCAGTTTTGTCTGGCCAAGGTTTCTCGAAAGAGCAGATTCAGGCGGCCGTTGCTGGAGCTCAGAGTGCGCTATTTGAACAGCTAAGTGATGACACAAAGGCACACGTCATTTCGGAGATTACAAAGGCCATGCAAGCGCCATTCATTCTAGTTATTGTTTCAGGCGCTGTACTTTTGGTTTCTGTTCCCTTCATGAAGATGGAGAAGCTCTTTGGAGAGATCATTGCTGTCGGTGCATAAGCTGCGGGTTCAAGCGATTATGACACCATGATACCTATACGAACGCATTCAGCCTGTTGTGCTTCTATTATTTTCTCGATTGAGAGATATTGTTGCAGAAATATGGAAAAGAAGTGGTGTGCGAGATGAAGAGGCCTCTGTTGTTGAACATAGGCGTAATGGAGAAATGGGGTGAGGATAGCTAAAAAGGATGCCGTTAGTTTGGTATCGCATTTGCTTGGGAAATAATATATAATAAATCTTCTTATAAATCCTCTTTTCTTTTTACTAGAGTTAACTGAAAAATCTCGATTAGTTTACCAACTTTATTGAGGGCATGCGGCGTTTAGAGATTTGTTTCTTGGCTGTCATATACTTGTCGGCAGACATTTTTGATCGCGCTGAATGCTATACGGAGATAACTTTTTAAATAACTTTCTTATGCTAGCCTTAAAACTTGTAATGCAATCAGTAGTAGCCACAATATTACCTACCATATATGGGTATATGCCTACTACTTTGCCTTGATGTACTGTACCAAGTCTGAAGTGAATAGGTCTCTACTTGCCACTGTCTTGAATACGCCATTTATGGGCGTATTATGCATCTCGCGTTCTAACTCCACCCTCGCAGCGCAGACGCCGAATTAGGAATTCAATCTCTTATTGGCTGTGCAATAGCTCCGTTGATCCAACTATACCGGATTAGGCACCAAGTCTCTGATTGGCTAGGAGCTTAAAGCCTTCACGGCGGAGATGAGGATGTCTTCAATATACAACGAATACTGTGTTACCTGGCGGAGTTTGTGTTTGTTACCTTATTCTTCTCGAATGGGCCTCAGGTTTATCATTTGCTGTTAACACCGAAGCCGAGAGTCAAAGATATAATTAGTATGTGCCTTATATGGCTCAACAGAGTATAAATACTCGGCCTTTGCTTAGCAATTTTCATTCTTCATTCAAGCTACACAATCTGTATAGTTGCCAACTTTGCTTCATTACCCTCATCTCTTGGTCTCTCGGGTCTACCAACCTCTTTTCAAAATGACTACATCGCACCCAGAGTTCAACAGGGACACTGAGGGCCTTGACGTTGCCAAGGCTTTCCCGGATGGAATTCGTAATAGAACCATCTTAGTTACTGGAGTGAACCTTGGTGGAGTTGGGTTCTCTACATCTCAGGCTTTTGTAAGTAGTTGTGTCACTGTCAGTACGTGGGCTGCATTTACTAATCGACAAGTCATAGGCCTCTCAGTCTCCAGCCTGCCTGATCCTTGCCGGGCGCAACCTGAATAAGATCCAAAAATGTATCGATGCCTTGAAGAAGGATTTTCCTAATGTCGGGTACCGTGCTCTAAAGATTGATCTTTCCAGCCAGAATTCGGTTCGTGCCGCAGCTGCAGAGGTTTTGGCTTGGTCTGACGTGCCTGCCATTGATATCGTGGTGAATAATGCCGGCGTCATGTGTGTTCCAGAACGAATACTTACCGTCGACGGATTGGAGATGCACTTTGCGACGAATCACATTGGACATTGGCTGTTGACATGCCTAATTATGCCAAAGCTGATTAAGTCTGCCGAGGGCAAACCCAAGGGAACTACGCGAATTGTCAACGTCTCTTCCCTATCGCCTACCATTGCAACTATGCGTTGGAGTGACATCAATTTTGACAAGCCAAACAAAGAGCTACCAGAAGCAGAGCAGCCGCCCTATGCGATGCTAGAGGCATGGGGCTTTGCAGACTGTCGAAACCGAGCATACATTCCCTTGGACGGCTACAACCGCAGTAAAGTAGCCAATGTGCTCTTTGGCATCGGAGCAACCAAGAGACTGTACGAGAAATACGGAATTTACTCTTTGGCCGTGCATCCAGGCATTATAGAAACAGAACTCGGCAGGGACTTTAATGAGGAACAACTGGCAGCCTTGGCAGGTATGAGGACCAAAGGGATATTTATTCATCAGACCCTCGGCGCAGGAGCCTCAACCTCCTTGGTGGCCGCACTGGACCCGAAACTGAAACCTGGTGAGACCGTCAATGGGAGAGAGAACCATGGATCGTTCTTGGTGGATTGTCAGATCAGTGATTCTGCGACTCCCCTTTCCGTTTCGAGCAGTGAGGCCGAGAAACTCTGGGCGCTGTCGGAAGATCTGGTCAAGGAAAAGTTTTCTTGGTAGGATATTTGCCGTAATGAGCCATTGGGTTCTTAGTATCTAGATGGTCGAGAAGAGAGTTACTTAGTATAGTTAAGGTTAAAATACAAGCAGTCAAAATGCTATCCAACTCGGCATTGACTCGTCCTGGTGTGCTTGGTCCCATAACGCATGGCCTGGGGCATCATGCAAGGCGTGAACCCAGGGAAAATGGCTGATGACAGCACATACTTCATCCCAGCTGCGAATATCAAGTCTTGTTGCCATTAGCCGTATTCTTGGTGGAAGCCAGTGCTCATCATAGCCATCAGACGCCCAAATACCACCGAGAATCGAAAGCCAGAGGGCGAGTTCGGGATTTCGATCTTCCAGGTCAGTGTTAAGGATTTCCTTCAGCCGGCGATCAATGCGCTGGTAGTCCAGAATTTGACGACGTCCAGAATGTAGGAAAACGGTCAGATTGAATATTGTTAGGCCGATGTGATAGGAGGCTTGCAACTGCCACAGCCTTCGTTCTCCCGAAGGGTAGAACTGTACGAGGCGGTACCCAAGCGATAATATCATCTCTTGAAGAGTTTCTAGATCAATTGTTGCGCCACTGTTGAAGAGCGACGCCCACCCCATCGTATCCACCAATATACTGTGAAGATAAGGCTCTAGCAACTCATGCTGAGGGCATGATGCGGCGGCGCCGCTATCGATATCCAGCTTGGTGAGTGCTAAAGTGTCTCGTAACTTGATCATCTGATCTCGGAAGAATAGCGGCGGCCCACCATGTTGAAGCGAAAGCATTATGTCCACCCTTTAAAACTGTTTGTAAGCTAGAGCAGTTACACTGACGACAGTATTTTTGTAGTATTACGTACTTGCAGACTTTCAGTAATAGTGCAGGATTTCCTTCGAGTTTGGACAGACCACCACGAAGCTGAATCATTCTCTGCAAGCCGCTAAGGTGAACTTTGAGGTCTCCGTATCCCTTTCTGATCAGTTCACTGCTTATAAGACTCACTACAATCATGATTGCAGCATCTGACAGGGCATCGGGACCAGCGAGTAGTCTTGTGACATGATTGAACGTCTGTGACAAATGATACAATGCTTTAGGCGAGCTATTTCCGTTGTTGCAGTACATCTCGTTGCAGGTTTGCATGAGGGCAATATTGCAATAGTAAGCTAAAGAGTATGCTAAGTCAGAGTGATTGCATGGCGTAGGTGGACATGTGCAAACACACCTCCTTGGTTGGCGAAAAGGATAGGCAGCCACATTCCTTTGACCTCATCCATAGAAAGCCATTGGTGAAGGCGATACAGTCTGTTCATTGTACGAGTAAAGTCTAGTATCAACTATCAGTGGGGACGTTGAGAGGTTATGATAAATAGGGGAGCCGGACATTCGTTCATTATTTCCATCGAAGGACTGGTGATTTTCACCGGAAGGCCTGTGAGTATCGCATTACTAGGACAGAGCAAAATTGAATAAAGCGTTGCGTGTTCTTCGTCGCTGTAACGGTATTCCTTTTGTGACTGATCCAGATCCCGCCGCAAGATAATTGTCCGTTCACCTGCATTTAGCCTCGTCGGAGCGAGTTGTAGCCTTGATCGCCGGTGGAGTCTTTTGCCAGCATTCTTGCCCTTCATTACATGGCTCCTTACTAGCTTCTTGGCAGCTCTGTTGTTCTGAGCGCTATCGACGAAGAAAAATGCTGTTTCTGGCATTGCTTCATACTGTTCATGTTGAGTATAGAAAGTTTCGTCAATTGAATCGGTCAGGTCTACCCTTACATAGTAGTTCGGAGTTAAGGTTTTGGAATCTCCGCAATCCGCAACACGACAACAAGGGTTTTCTCGCCCCTTATTTTGCTTTAGAGATAATTTTATTACTTTGAATAGCTATTATTCTTTATGATAACCTTATATATAAGAATATATGTAAAGTATTTGTTGGCATTAATAGCTACCTTATACCTCTTACTGCAAAGGCTTTTGCAAACATTAGCACACGCTAGCCAAATTCGGCGACAATAATAGCGATTCTCAGCTAAATTATAAACAAAATATATTCTTCCTCTTCCTAATTGACCTTCTATGCTGCTCGCACTTTCTCCATCTCAGTCTCTGCCAAAAGATCATAAGTTTTAAAATCCCGCAAGGGAACCTTTCTCTGGAAGAGAATGTCAAGTTCCTCGAAAGTTCTTCCTTTGCTTTCAGGGAGTCTAAAATGACACCAAATGACACAGAAAAAGCTTATGCCTCCAAATAAGAAACCTGCCTTTCCACCCCAGTTTGCTTGATCAGTATTCAGCATGTAAGGCATAGCAATTGTGCTGATGATATTGAAGAAGGATTGGACGGCGGTGGACAATGCGATAGACTTTGTTCGCAAACGTGTGGAAGATATTTCAGAAATAATAACGAAGCAGATTGGTCCGACAGTCATCTGGTAGATAAATGTCCATCTACATAGGTAAAGCCGCATTAGCACCGATTTGTTAAAAGAATGGGGGGAGGAAGAGACCAGATTTCAACTTACATATCCATGCAGGTAGCCATTGCCCAAATAGCGCCTTTGTTGTTTGTGGGGATGCTAAGGAAGCCGATGATGAAGAGAAGGACTGTCATCACCCACATGCCGGTGTTATAGATCGTTCGGCGGCCCAATTTGAACTGAAACGGTTAGCATTACTCTCATCTAGATAATGGATTCAGGATACTCACGTAGTTTAGCAAAAACCATGAGGTAATGGTACCAACAAAACCCAGCGCCGTGTTTCCAACGCCCACTATTGCTTGTTAGTAGCGATTCAAAGGCCATATGGTGTTTGCCAGCCACCTACTATCAAATGCGTCGGCAGCATTAAGACCGGCCTGCTCGAAAAAGAAGTTTGCGTAGCCAATAAGCGGATTTCCGGCAATAACTTGGATCAAGTACACCATAATGGTAATCTCTGTCCGCACACGGTTGACGCCCTTCAATAGGTCCATGTAATTTGTAGTCGCTTCGAACTCCTGTTCCAAGAGATCCGTCTGCTCAACGCCAAGCAGCACTTGGTCAATGTCGGGTGCATTCTTGGAAGATGATAATGCTTCCAAGGCTTTACGAGCGTCCTCCTTACGCCCCCGACGAACAAGCCAATATGGACTCTCTGGGGCAAAAGGTAGTCCGATGAGAATGACTACTGGCCAAAGCCATTGCAACGCCTAACCCTGTTAGTAAGAATCAAACTAACGAATAGTATCCAACTATGAAGGGCTTGGTACATACAAACGGTGCCTTATACGCCCATTTATCTTCTCTGCCTTCCAAGCCGGCAGCGACTCCTTGAGCAATAAACTGTCCAATGACAAAAGCCAAGTTGATAAACGCTGTGAGTAGACCTCGAAGCGCAAGCGGACAAATCTCAGATGCATACGTCGGTGCGATGACCACGTAGAAGCCGTATGCTAAGCCACCTAGAATCTCACCGGCGCAGAGCATAGGAAGAGACGTGGCAAAGAATTGCACAAAGACAAATCCGACAGACCATACACAGCAGACAGCCAAAGTCCATTTCCGGCCAAATCGTTCCATAGGATATCCACTTGCAAGAGCACCCAAGACCTGTCCAATGGGGTTGCCCATTCCAAGAGCCGTCTGCCATGGTGCTGGGATCTCGTAGCCGTCGCCGATGGGAATTCCGTACCTCTTCTGGAATGCCGGGAGAGCGTAAAAGGAGAAGATGATTTGACCGTCATAGCCCGACATGATAACAGCAATGCTGAAGAACATGGCCCAGAATGTGGCGGTGGGATACTGTCGCAAGGCTTGTCGAAAGCCAAGTTCATGCTCGGCGCGGGTGATATCGCGGGTCACGTCAATCTGAACAACCTCTCCCTTCTCGTCTCTGCCAACTTCCTGTCCAACGCCAGTTGCCTCCTCGTGTTTCTCCATTTTGGAATCGACGCCCTGGGGACCGATTAGTCAACCAGTGATAGGCAAATACAGATTGTTAATCGTTGATCCTACGTATAAAACAGTGAAAACATGGCCTGGCGACAAAGCAAATATAAGTGATCTTGAAGAACGTGCAAGAAGCTCTGTGTGGGGGACATACCTGAGGACCAGCCCCGGCTTGGTTGTGTCGATCTGCTCCAAGTCACCGGTTTACGAGGCCATAATTTTTCCAGACGGGGGATAATCCGCGTTGATATCGAGAATGTAACGTCACCTGAGGCGAGTGTAGTACTGGTATCAATATTTCCGTCGCTTATCCAAGGCCAGCCGATTGTACATACGTGGGGTAGATAGCGCTCGGTAGCAGGCCCTTGATAGAGAAACGAGACCGGCCAGGATAAGTAGACCGCTATAACACCACTAGGATGGAAAAGCTTCCTTCTAAACCCCATGTTAGCGTTGATAAGCTCCAGCCAATTGTGCCGATTTACCGAGAGATGGAAGAATATTGTAGCTATCACTGACCCTAAGGCGGGGGAGAATGCGGAGAAGTGGAGAGGCAGAGCTGGATTCTCGCCTCGGATAACGCCGCGGTACAAAGTCAGCCGATCTTAGGTCTCGCTTGATGCAGATACTTGATTGCAGGGAGCACTGCTCGTGCCACCAATATGTTTCACTGCTCCTGGTAGGTACTTCTTCTCTCCCACGCACAGAGCAGAGCGAAATTAACTACTCAAGTAAGCTTACTTGTCTAGAACTTGGCTTTGGCCTAATCAGGAGCCATTTGCCGGACGCTTAGCAAAGGGACTAGCAAAGGACTTTGCTCAATAAAACCCCCGCTGTTTAGCTGTGCTTTCACGCAATTCACTATATGGTCAAAAGATCAGAACCAACACGTTTAAGCTGTTTGATAGCGGCCATTAGTGAAAAGGCTATGATTTGCTTTAGCTGCCGGAATGTAACATGACTCTGAATAGAGCGAGATATTAGTCCTTTGTTCGCCCCGTAGCGCATCGATACAAGGCGCCATAACGTTGCACCCCGTATCACCTTGATAGGAAGCCTGTACTAGCCAATGCCCCTATCAAAGCTTAATTGAATACTAATCCAGTGTTGATAAACTAAAATATGAATAAGAACAAGGCTAGCGGTTAAGGTGCTTACATGGGTTGTATTATTGACGTCCAGGGAAGAATAGACACTTGTTTTACAGGCGTTCTAAAAAACGTCTTGAAGTGAGGTTTGGTGGCATTTGTACCAATGATGAATCTTTCGGTAGGGGCTTTTGTAGCGAGAATTCATGATGATCGCAAGATCTGGGTTTCCTTGCACTGAAGTAATGAACAGCAATTTGAGATGTACATGCGACTGACTGAACTCAGCAAGTGCAGCTGGAGCAGTCAGGTCAAAAGGCAGATTGATTGCAGAATGCTTAGGCCTCTTGAGTGATTGAAAGGTGTCAAAAGATGTAGCCTACTAATAGAAGTGATGACGGATGTTCGAATATCATGACCTATATTAGAATACGGATGAAGCATCATCAAGACAGATCGATAGAAGGCTATCAAGTCTCCTCGGGATCTTATTGCGGAACTCATCTGATAGTATGTCCGCTACGGGCCGATTTAGTTGTGGATTGGTCCAAACACCTATATGCCTTGAGTAGTACAACAGGAAGATTCCTATGGTATTTCGATTAGTGAATCATAACTGTAAGTATACAGGACGTCTTCAATAGCCTCTTTCAGACTATCCTTCGTTGAAAAAGCCTAGTGTGAAAAGCTGAGTTTCTGGAACTCGGACTTGTAGCTGATTCTTTAACCGGATGTCAATTATTGTACAACGATGTCTTGTAATCATTCGATTGCCTCATTCTATAAATCTAGAGGGTGCTAATCAGCACATCAGGTTCCACGTAACAATAATAGAAGAATGCTAGGCCAGTATTATAGCCACTGATCACTTCATTGAACAAGAGAAGATTGAACATGTCAGAGATAGAAATACTCCTTACAAGAATCTTCTTCAAGCTATGCCCTAGCGATAAGAAAAGCCCATTAAGCCCTCTTCGCGCCTTCTGTGGCAGCCTGATCGCAGCTATTTAGCTCATTCAACTCAATGCTCATCATTTTCAAGCAATACAGCTGACGGTCAGAATAGCTTCACGAGAATTAGAGCTTCACGCCTGTCTACATAGCCCTACCACCTATCAACCACCATGAGGCTCGCCGGAAACACTCCACGCAAGGAAACGGAAACCCATGTGACGTCATATTCCTGCGACATATGCTTACTGATCTTTTTCTACCGTTACTACTTATCTGGAACTTCCGTAAGCAATGACGGAAAGCTAGTCCTTTAAGGGCAGGAAGCATCCCAGGGACTTATTTCCCTATCGCGGCGCACCTCCCGCTCCCACTGGCAATCAACCTCCAAATACAGCGTGATCTCGGTGTGGACCGCACTATCTCTTCTTTCAAGCGGCGGCTAGAATATATGTCATGAAGATGTAGACATATTCCTGAAAATGTATTTGCACATGAAAATCACATTAGCATCGCCGTTACACGTTATATGCGAGTCACGTAGCTTTTAGAATACATTGTTCATCCAGTACAACTTGCTCTATTAGGCATCAACTTGAAATGATTCCATAGTTCGGCTTTAGGGTATGTGGAAAAAATCACTGCCATCAAGAGAAGAGTCTGTTCTGCAGTTATTCAGCCATTGTTCATCAGTGAGACTTCGGCCCCCCTAACAAGTTCGAAATGATCAAGAGCCAAAAGTGTTACAAGATTGCGCGCTCTTTAATATCCGCTCTCTTATATTTGCGATTCGAGAATAGCTGGAGTGCTGGAAATATTACAACTTTCCCAACCTGTAACTCAATTGGTGAAGCACATAGCCCATTGCACTAAACGAAAAGCATCTGGAACATCCATGACCTGCACACCGATGAGTTTGAGTATCTTTGAGATGCCAATTTGATACGCATAGGTCTTCTTAGTCTGCTACTCTTAAAGCCAAGATTCTTCCAATTCATCATCAACCTGGTCTGAGAAGGTAGCTCGTATGAAGATTACTCATTTCATCCTATCATACAACTAGAGAAATGTAATTAGGCAAGAATTGAATCCTTTTTGAGCTTGGTATTCGCCCGGATCAAGTGTGAGAAGTATTTTTAGCGTGCAGCGGCTCCGCCCGAGCTCATGGTACGGACCCAAGCTTTGACACCAAGTATGGTAGTACAATCTCATGGCATCACCCTCGAGCATATCAGTTATAGCGTTGCGTGTTATGACATTCTGACTAGCGGCGATCATCATTACCTGAACTAAATAATCCTGTGCCATGGGGCGACTCACGCGCTTTCTCTTGGCATGATAGCATCAGCCCAAGCTCTCGTGATGGAATGCCAAGAGCTACGGCCATTACTTGGCGATTGTTACGCTCCGAAGCATCCTGCTGCGATGCTTGTACTTCGTTAGGAGGCTGTTATTAAACGGTGATAGTATGTAAATGACCAATCTTAATGTCAAGATCTTGGATCTTTACGCACGCTTCGCCCCAAGTCAAGGTATTCTATACCGGGCTACAAATCGAGATGTTACGCGGACTGGCAGATCTCTCGGATCTCTTTACAAAATGTTTGTCAATAGCGATAGCCGATCGTAATGGATATGCTAAATGGACATTGGTAATAGGCCTATTAGCTTATTCGGATTGAGGCTTTGAAGGAGCCTTTCCCCAAGTTGCAATCAACTTGAGTACTTATCTCCAGCTATTGATGCTGGAGCCTTACAGAAGCTACTGTACCTATACTTAGTGGGGTCTCGCTCGGAAGCACTTGTTTTTGAAGATAGCATTCTAACAATAAGATGGCAATTACGATAGACTGGGGCTAAGGACTAAGCTTAAATCGCTCCTGTTTGCGATTTCATCCTTACATGCCGTACTCCGAGCTTAGAAACCGGCAGCTGTGCCAGCCAAGCCTCCGGGCGTACCGCTTTATGAGTACAGTATTCAGAAACAAATCTAAACCCCTTAAATCTCTGCCATCGCCTTTCGCATGCGGACTCCTTTTCCCCTTTGGACTTAGGAACTCGACGGGAGCGAGAGTCGTAGCGCAACTGAAGTGTAAATGGAATATTCCAAAATAGGAAATCATGCTGACCAATGTGCAAAATCAAGTATAACCTGTTTACTATTGTGTGTTTAAGGACTAGCCTAGGTTGCTGACACTTCGCAGTTTACACAATCTACTCCTTCGTTCATCGGGTGATATTGCCAAGAAAAGATGATATCATTGGACATGACAGGGCGATTAGCTCCATGGCGTCAAGATTTGAGATTCTTGAGAGTCTTTTCTATTGGCTTACGAGAGATCTCCGACTTGAATCAGGAAAAAGGCACAGTAGCATATTGCCTAGTTAGGTTAGTGGCGCGCTTGGTAATGTCTAGGAATTCAGTGAAAGTAGTAGCAACGAAGCGCAAAGAATGACTGTGATAATAGCCTTTTGGGTAATCGCTTTAGTAACTTGGCTGTTCTACTACTTTAAGCTTGGCGCTGTACATTCTTCTACGGAGCGTCGTGGCCAGCATCATGATATTTAACATTTACGATCCCCTCCTGTTTCCAGAATGTAAGACACACAACCATCTAAACCCGCCAATCATTCCTCTCTTTCACAGAATCAACAACCCACCTTTGGACAATATTCAGCTTGAATCTGCCGTCTCAGAAACAATTGCAGGCTTCAGTTCTGCCCTTTGCTTACGCAGCTAGCAATAGCTGCTAGGCTTTACACAACCGCGATATACCTACTACAGATCAGCATTGTCACGCTTTCATTGTTGAACTGACACAAATATGAAAGATCTAATTAGAGAGGCGCCTCTTGGCCAGGTGCTCCGTCTAATTACACAAAACAAGATACTTCAATATCCTGAAGAGGAAGATGGCTTTAAGCTACCAGAGGCATATAAGCAGCAGCTCAGCGGAAGCGAAAAGCCGGAGTCACACAATCAGCCTCGCAACTTGGATGCAGTTCTCTCTGCACCACCTGGAGGCGATGGAAACTCTGAGGACTCTGAATCTCTTTGCAATGAAGATGAGGATGTGGAGGCTCTTGGAAGAATGAGGACAATAACCAGCGTTCATTCGGCGCCATACACCAACGAGCGGGTCCGAGCCGAAAGAGAGATGGAGATACAGCGAACCAAATCTATTCCCATCAGCCCTGAGAAAACATCAGATGGCATTGTTCTTGTGGATTGGTATACGACAGACGACCCAGCCAACCCTCAAAACTGGTCTCGCGCGAAAAGATATTTCGTTGTTTTTGTACTCTGCTGTTATACATTTACAGTCTACTGTGCCGGTCCCATCTATGCCACTGCTGAAGAAGGAATCCAGGAGCATTTCCACATCAGTCCTGTTGCTTCTACCCTGGGTCTGGGACTTTACGTATTGGCATATGGTATCGGAGACCTCCTCTTTGCGCCTCTATCTGAAATCCCGAGCATTGGAAGAAACCCCATTTATATCCTGACCTTTATTGTCTACTGGGTTCTGACGTTTCCCGAGGCTGTGACGACTGGGTTTGGAAGCCTTTTAGCCTTGCGATTCTGGCTTGGCTTCTTTGGCTCTCCGGCTCTGGCTAATGGCGGTGCCACTGTGGGAGATATGTTTTCTCTCATGTATATTCCATTTGGTCTCTCGTGGTGGGTATTTTCTGCCTGGGCTGGCCCTTCTATCGGTCCGGTCATTGGAGGTTTCGCTGCGCAAGCCAAGGGATGGCGATGGCCCATGTGGGAAATTGTCTGGATGTCCTCAGGAGCACTAGTTCTCTTGTTGCTTTTCATGCCAGAGACATCAGCACACACGATCCTGCTGCGTCGTGCTCACCGATTGCGCAGGCTGACCAACGATTCAAGACTTCAGGCTCAGAGTGAGATTGATCAGCGCAACATGGCCCCATCCGCAGCCCTCTGGGATGCACTGATCAAGCCTTTGGAGATTATGATGAAGGACCCGTCCATCTTTTTTGTCAATCTTTACACTGGATACTTCTATGGCGTCTTCTATACCTTCTTCGAAGTGTTTCCTCTGGTCTTCCCTGTCTTTTACGGATTTGACCTTGGACAAACGGGTCTGACATTCTTGGCTTGTCTCGTTGGCGTTATACTTGGTCTTTCTGCCTACTTTGCTTATTTGCAATTTTACATGGTCCCTGATAATATCAAGAATGGATTCAGAGAACAAGAACACCGACTCGTCCCTGCCATTGTCGGTTCAATATTATTGCCAATTGGACTATTTATCTTCGCCTGGACGGCCAGGTCCAGCATTCATTGGGTCGTTCCGCTTGTCGGAGTGGGTATTTTCTGTTTCGGCCACTTCTGGACAATGCAGTCTCTCTTCATTTACATTCCTCTCTCTTACCCCAAGTACGCTGCCTCTCTGTTCGCCAGTAACAGCATTTGGCGATCGGGCATTGCCGGTGGAGCTGTTGTCTTCGCGCGACCCCTGTTTATTAATCTGGGCGTAGACAGAGGTGTTACACTGCTTGCAGGATTGAGCTGCGCAGGCATTTTTGGCACTACGGCAATTTGGTTCTTCGGCAAGAGACTGAGAGGTAGATCCAAGTTTGCCATCTGATGTGGCACAGATCTAATCAGCAGAAGACCCCAAGTCAATCCTCAACTTTTCGGACTGCTCGAAACTAATAGCTGCCAGTCTATGACAGCCTCAATTTCTTACATAATGTGTCGCATCTAAGTCAAGGTGTGGTAAAATGGTGTTTAATACAGAGGATTAATGATGAAGATTAGTGTTATGTGGAGTTTGGTTAGCTTTGATGAAAATTATAGATCTCTAAATTACTTGAATAGAATGGTGTATCTAAATAAAATAAATATTATGTACTTAACTGGCTTTTCCAAATCTCTTCTATTCTATTTAACCTGGTGTTTCGTCTCGACACAAACTATTTTCGTGATTTAGAGCACAGCCATCGACATGCCTGTCATACAGGTGCTTGGTATGAAGAGATGGTCTTGTTGTATTCCTCCCACCTTTCGTTCGAAGAACTGCGAGGATTTTGAAGTTGAAATCTCGTTTCAAAACTTACGAGCTGAAGCTCTAAGGGTTCATTCACCGTCACTTGACCCAGTAGAAGCTTCCGCGTGCATTTGCGCCATCAAAGCTGCCGCTTCCTGTGCGTACTTGCATTTCAGTCGTATCATCTCTCCATATTTGAGCATTACAAATGGAAAAGGCAAGCATATAAGTGTCAAGAAGGCCGGTATTGTACTTGCCCAATGAATACCGATGCCATCATACATCTGGTCTGTAAACAGAGGGAAGGCTGTGCCAAAAAATGCTCTGAGCATCGCTGAGGCTCCCAAAACCGATGCTGCGTAGATTGTATATGAATCAATCAGATAGTTGAGACAGGACAAGAATACCAGTACGCATCCGAAGCCAAACGGCGCGGAAAGGATGATGCTGGCGGACCAGTGGATGCTGGGTGAGTTGGTCCATGCAAAAGCAAAGAGCCCGATGGGTAGAGCAACAGAGCCAACCGCCGCAGGAGGGAGCCTAGACTCGGGTGTAGCTGCTTTACCAAGTCTCTTATATCGATTGTCGTCGAAAATGGCGTATACAATCCCGACTAGCATACCGCAAACTAAACCGAGGAAAGCCAGGCCTCCTACTCCTTCGTTCCATCCTCGACCTCGCTGATAGACGATGGGCAGTGCCGGCATGAACATGTATATGGTACCGTATAGAATTGCCAGGTAGGTCGCGGCGATTAAGACGATAGGCTCACGGAATAGGAGAATCCAAGGTCGCATGAGAGCTTTGCGGAAGATCTCCGACGGCGCCAGCGTACTGTTACGCTGCTGGAAAGCGGTCGTGTGTGTGTTGCCCGTTTCTTTCGAGAGTTTCTCTGCTCGTTTTTGCAATATCACCGGCGCATATGTCTCTGGAACGAATATCGAGCCGGCAATCCACACAGCACCAATAAAGATGCTGCATACCCCTTGCACCCATCGCCATCCAACGTTCATCGATATAAAACCCCCAATGATGGGGCCCAGAACGGGGCCCATGAATGGTGCGGTACAGAAGAAGATCATTGCTAAGCCTCGCTGGGAAGCTGGGAACATATCGGCAATGACGCCGCCGGAATTTGTCAACGGCGATGCACCAAACATTCCCGTCAGAAACCTGAAGACTAATAGCGTTGCCATCGAGTTAGCTCCCGCTGAGCCAGCCACAAAGGCTACCATGCATATGTGCGTCGTAATAAAGAGGATTTTTCTCCCATAAAGCTCTGACAGCGGCGCCCACAGCGCAGGCCCGATAGCGAATCCAAGCACATAAAGAGAAATGCCCAGAGCAAACAGTTCTGAGCTGCAATGAAATTGCTTCAATATTTCGTTTGCGGAGCCCGAGTAGGCAGAAGAGGTCAGAGTCACAGCGAACACAGATAGCGTGACAATGAAAATGATGAACCACTTCTTGGCAGGAGAGAAATTCATGGCATTGTCAGGATCTTGAAACTGAAACTCGACAATATAGGGATTTGAATCTGTGCCATCTCCGCTGTAGTTTTTCGATGTCGGAGATTCATCTTTGTCTGCCTTGCCAACTTGTATGATGGCCATGGTTGTAAAGTGGCGAATCAAGTAGATGGGGAGTCAGACTTGTGATTTAAAGACAGAAGCTAGTTACTATTAACATGTTATCTACTATATATACTACTTCCAATCCCTTGCGACTCCTTTACCCATCACTCCGACAAATTTATAAGAGCCCGGAACATGTTCCGAAAGAAAGGCAGGCTGCCGGAAGCGCTTATGATTGGCCAGTATGCTAAATGCTGGCTGAAGTGCCCCATAAATCCTCACTAATTATCTGACACGATACCGACTTTCTGACCAGCTTCTGGATTAACAGGATAGAAGGACGATGTCGCTATACTCTGCACTCCCCCAAAAAAGAAGCGATATCAATGTCCGCAGATCTGAAGCCAAGTGCTACCGTTCTAACGGCCTACAGTGAGAGAGGCTATGGGTGGCCTGCAAGTGCGCGGTTCTCATGGGCCGTGTAGAAAGCCTGGTATCGCAGCTTTGTTTTCGAAACGAATATTAAGAGCTGTCATGTCTTAATCATTCTGGTGCTTTGTGGTTTCGAGTTATAAAATGTTCCAGCCAGCACCCTACCGCTGAATACGGCTTGTTATTAGCACCGACATTGTTGCTGAGCACTTGCGTTAATCTGCAATATTGAGTCGAGAGGAATCATGCAACCAGAACAGTTCAGTCAATTGTGCAAAGTTTCCTTGCTCATTCAATAAAATGATTGTAGTAATACTCGCTACAAATAGGACTATGTAGCACTAGCAGACACTCGCAGGCGAACAATCAGCTTTGTTAGCGCTTTCCATTCTTGAAGAATGTATAATGTAAAGTAATCGTAGAAATCTTCTTGGTAGCTATTACGATATTGTATATTTGTTTATATGTTGGAGAGAAGGACCAAATCACTTGATACAATACAATGCTGCTCCAAGTCGTAAATTCTTATGAGGGTGGTGAAAAATGGGATCCGACTAAAATTAGCACCAGCATTCCCCACCTCGCTGGCGGATACTGTTGAACAGACCACTCTGGCAAAAGTTGAAGTGACCACTTCCCTCTGCGTAGTGATGTACCAATACATAAGGTATCCTTGTTCTTCCAACGGATACACTATGTAGGTTGACAAGCCATGATCTTCTTTTATAATATCCTCCCTGAACAGTTGTTATGAGTGGCAGCCTATGGCGGCAGCTTCAGTCACGTCAAGCTCTGCTCACAATATACAGTCAGATCTGACACGCTGTCAGTGGGCCATATGGCTCCTAAAGGTTTTTGTCTCCATACAAAGCCACGGTTTCAATCATTACAAAGTCCAAGCCCTCTGTAAAAGTCTTAATATTTAGGAAACTAATACATGTGTCCGCTGGGATGCATGGCCCCAGACTAAAATCTCCATGGGCGGCCGCGAGAGCTGGACTTCGGAGACTTGCGGATGTATCAGCGGATGATAGGCCTGAGCCTAGGACAAAGTCGCTATTGTCGTTTGTGAGATTTCCCACGATTGCCCAAACACCATCAATAGAGATACTATCTCTCAAACTGGCCGGAAGAGTAACTGTGTCGTCGGTGATACTGCAGTGTTGCATAGCGTATCGGCGTCTACGGCGCAACGATGCGTAACTTTTGCCCGAACATGGTGAACAACATGGCAGCCGCAAACAACATAGGGGAGAGTTTACACCTTAACGCATCTTTACACTCATGTAGGTAATGCCCGCGCAAGAGCAAGGTATGGCGCCTAATCGCATAATCATTAACCTTTTAGGACCCAAAAGTGTCGATATGAGAATTGTGACGGCAGCAAAGGCTTCAAACTCTTCACAAGAGTTTACATCAGTTGCCTGGGACTGCATTTAACCAAGTTTCGTCATCATCAAAGAGGAAACCGTCGTTGTGGAGGCCAAACTCTTCAAACATGTCATGAAACTGTGCATCCGACAATTGTTCCGGTGAGTCGCTCCGCCCTAGCTGTCGTATCTTTCGTGACAAAGATTGAAACAGAGATGTAAACTGTGGTACGTATGAGCAGAGATGCTCATGCCTGTTGATAACTGAGAGTGTCTGTTGCCAGCTCTCAGAAACGGCTGGCGTAAATAGATCCACAGACTGCATCGCCGCAAGCAAGATAGTCCCCGCCATATGGAGGTGAAAAATACGATACCACCAAGGGACTGTGGGCGTTGGTCTCCCCGAGTCTTTTTCAACAAGTGAAATCATTTTTTGTGCAGCTTCAACGCATCGCAAGGCACCATGTCGTATCATATGGCCTTTATAAGACGTGTCATAGTGCGGATCGCTGACTGCGCAGGAGCTGTGTTGTAAGAAGCAACAGCGTGCTAGCATCGGTCTAAATAGCAGGATTCGAGCGTGCAGTAGCCTAGAATTGCCATGGGAATAAGTCATGCGAATAAGTGCTGTCAGGGGAGAGGATGGTGTGAGCGTTACCGAAGTTGGAGAATATGCCTTCTCAGCTTCAAATCATTACTTTCGCTTTCTTCGAGAGGCATCGTGCCGAGCCTTGCTTTCTCCCATTGGATGAGGCAAGATTCATGATGTAACACTATGTTACAATACGACTCTTTTCGCTGGTTATATCCAAATAGCCCAAATTTCTCAGCCACATTGCCACCAGTTGAAGTCTGTGCCTTGACGAAATGGCGACTGATTTCATATAGCTCAATTGACTCAGGCAAGTAGTTGTCGTAAGAATACTTTCTACTTGTGCTGCTCGTCAGGGCCTCCAACGATGTTATTGAAGTATGGCCCAGCATCCAGGATATCGTTCTTGTCAATGTTAGAGCCAGTTTTGATCAATCTCTGAAAGCCATGGAGTGGACATACATATCAGCATATACGCAGCAGTTCCAAAGATGGTGCTGCCAGTGCGCTTGATCATCTGAGACGCCAGAGTCTGAAGTTTTAGGAAGGTGAATTCGTAGGCTTTGCGCAATTCGTATCGCTAAGCCTACTGCCATCCATGTTTGGTGCGAATTATTCGTACATTGAAGGTATCGACTCATTAGTAAGAGACATTCAACAACCTGTAGTGACGGTGGCTCCCAAAGAATGGTTTCCGGGCTGAGTAAGTTCCATGCCCTCAGAAAGTATGTATTCGCGACTGCATCTCTCTCTGAGGCTTCTTTAGACTCGTGAGATTGAGTAGCAAAAGCGAACACAACGTTAAGAGTGCAGATAAAAGTGTGTTCATCCGCCCCCAAATCTCCTCCTGCGAACAAGGCCTCGTATAAACGACAAAATCTTTTCTTGTCAAGAAAGCAGTCTACCGGATTTATATACCTCCAATAAGCATTCAGTAGTTCATCAGCTTGTCGGCGTGGAGGCAAAACATTGTCCAGACGCTCGTTGCTAAGCCGTCTGCGAGGTAGCTGTAATTCGAATAATGGGGCATCTGACATTGGCATGGCATTTGACAGCCCACTGGGAATTGCGCCAAATCTCGCATCAATAGCAGCCTTTACTTCCCCGGCAAATGTACCGGGACTGCCACTGTATCCAATTCCAGGAATCTTTGTCGCCTGTTCATGGGTTACGGCAGTCGCATTGACTTGATAGATACAGACGTGTTGTTTCTTATGGCAGTTGCCGCAGGCTAAACCATCGTTGAGATTTGAGATTTTTATTGACTGCGTGATGGAAAAGACATACCTGGGCGCATTCCATCGCACTTAATCTTCTTGGAGCGACACAGCTCACATGCGTTTCCATTTCCGATCTTCAGTTTTTTCCTCGGCGGCGCTCCCGAGCTTGGAGACTGCGAATACGACTCCATAACCACACGTACTCTTTCTGACGCGAAATGGCAGCGCCAAATGATACCCTATAGGCGGTATAACTGTATAATTGTATAACTGTATGATTGAGGTAATGAGATGACTGATGTCATTCGCTGATAAATTGCGTATAGCAGCAGACGAAAGGCCGCGAAGGCTAAAAGTCGAGGTGCACATGAATTACGGCGACTTGGGCTGGCAATGCGAGAAAAGGCCAGTGACCAATCACAAGTCGTTCCGGTTGGGCTCTGGCTACTCGGAACACGTCCCGATGCTGATAATACAAAAAGGGAGACAGCTGTCAAAGGAATATTATTTACAATTTTATTTCTATTTTTCGCATTCCATTGGCTTGTAAATTTAAATTGATGAGGGATGTGATGGATTGAATACTTGTGATGTGTGCTGAGTCACGATGTAGCATCAACAAAATTACTTACGGAATAACATGCAAATGCTGTTGATGCCAAATTTTGGCAATATGTGTAATCAAGAGATCTGATATGATTGGTCTATGTCACCCAGGTTACTGTGATTCATTGTTTACAATTTGTGAAAAGGTCGGTATACATATTTAAATATTCAATGCTATGCACGATTAAAAGGTCTAGGGTACGGTATAAACTACGTGGCATAGTCTACAACCGCTTCTCTTATAGCTGTCCCAAGAAGTAAGCACATATCTTGTATAATTGGACGCATATGTAGACATGTTGACGAGTGTAATAGCAAAGATTTCACCAATTGTTATGCCACAAATTTGCGCGCTCCACTGCCTCTATAATCCGATGAAATGTAAACTTTTTTGCTAACTTTTAATTATTTGACTATCAGGCAAGCTTATTTGTCTTCCGGCCAAACATCGTAACCAAATGTATCCTTCATATTGACAAACCGAACATGTCGTCCTTCTGCGACCTTTTGAATCGCTGCAAAGTCTTCTTCACTCAGCTCCGGAATGATGAAATTGCTCTCAATGCGACTCGGGGTTGAGCTCTTGGGTAGCACAACATAGCCTCTCTTGAGGCCCCAAGCCAGGAGAACCTGAGCAAGGCTAGAGCCTCTTCGGTCTGCAACCGCGTTCAGAGTTGGGTTATCCCGTACTCGCTCACCAGTCGTTGGCACCTGATTTTGTGATCCCAGGGGGGAGTAGGCCTCGGGCAAGATGTCGTTTTGAAAGCAGAACTCGACGAGCTCTGTGTTGGGCAGGAATGGATGAATTTCAATCTGGTTGACTGCTGGCTTGATTCGTGCGAATTCCAGAAGTTGCTTCAGTCCTGGTATCGTCCAGTTGGATACGCCAATCGCCTTGACGATGCCGCTGTCAACCAGTTCCTCCATTGCTCGCCATGTTGGCTCTGGATTTTCTGTCAAAGCTTTGTTGATGACGTATTTCCCATCAGGGCCTATTTTCACTGTCCTGTCCGCATTCTTCTCGGCGGCAATTGGCCAGTGTACAAGGAACAGATCAATGTAGTCAACCTTGAGGTTTTCGCACGAGTTCTTGGCGCTCCACTTCACGTCCTCTGGCTCGTGAAGGTGGTTCCAAACCTTTGTGCAGATAAACAGATCCTTGCGGGTGACATCGGGTCTGCGAGCGAGAAAATCTCTTATCGCGTCGCCAACCTCGTCCTCGTTGAGATAAAACCACGCACAGTCGAGGTGCCGATATCCGACATCCAGGGCCTTTGTGACAGCAGCGTATGTTTCGCCCTTGGCGCCCTCATTGGCAAAAGTGCCGAAACCAACGGCGGGTATCTTGGCGCCGGTGTTGAGGGTATAAGTGGTCGAAGAGAGCGTCTTTTGACTTGTGTCTGTCGCCATTGTGAAGCTCAATCTCGTCACTCAGAAAGTCGAGTATGTAGTTTCAAGTAGGTTGAATGAAGCAGGTGAATGTGCCTTCCGCGTATAACGCTCGGATATGGCGAGAAGATATCGTTATCGTTGGGGGTTTGTGAGATGATGCGTGTCCAGCCCCTGCCAAGGAACGTGGATCAATTTCTGAGCTCGTCGTTTCTTATAGAATAATCCCTCTTAGCGGTGAGATCAAAACGCTCAAACGCTCAGAAGCTGAGGCAGTGATGCTATTAAGTTATCCACAATGATGCGATTCAACAAAGATTGCCCACTATAGTGGAATTGCTGGTGTAGCCAACAGGGTTTGTTACCCACTTTAGTCGTACCCAATGACGCACGAGGCGGGTAAAATATGGCTCCTCGAGAACTATAATAATAAAGATCTACATTTTTTTTTTCGCGAGGTTTTGCCCCCGGCGATATGCCTGATAGGAGGGCTGATAGGGGAAAGACAATAGACTTCGGCACGTGCTGGCGTGCCATGCTGCCCACCGAGTTTGACGAATGCCATCCACGGATGAGATGAAACAGCCACATCAGACCCGCAGGCTCCATCCTTCTAGGCTGCTTTGCGCCTCAGCCATGTTTTCGACTGGAGCCGGCCCATCCGACTGGCCCATACCGCGACTCCACACTTCGAAATCTCTTACACCGAAATCAACATCTTGGTGCAAGTCCGCCCACTGACAGGATAAGCGGTGGATAAGACGAGCATCGACTATGCCGACTCAATGCCGACTATGACGACGGTCTCCTTAAACAACAGGCAGAATTCACATTCTATTGGACTGAGTTGGCAAATGTGGCACAGCGAGTGGCTCTCGGCGACTGCAACAACAACGGTGAGAAAAGGAGAGAGTGCGGACTTGAGGCGACCGGTGTTTTCATAGGAGAGCCATGACATCAGAGCTGAATCATGTACAAACCTTCTCGTGTAGACCGGTGTGTCTTGTTATCGAAAATCAGCTCTACTGACTCCACTTGTTTCAATGGATGAGCTCTCTATATATGTTCTTCCTCGGCCGTGTATTAAAGGAAGAAGCCCGTGCTGTCAGCAAACGTTGAAAACAAGTTACCCATAATCTTTTCTCCGTAAATCATAATCACCATGGCTACATTCGACGATGCCGATTTTGGCGTGGAAACGCCCACACAGCCTGTCCAGAGCAGCCAGCCAAATGCTGCCGGCGAGCACTCAGCAAACCCAGCTCATGCTGGGGCTTTGGCTATCCCAATGTCACCAAGCTCGTTTTCTCACGATGCAATTGAGGTACCTGCCACACGGTCTCCTCACGCCGATGCATCCAAGTACATGCACAATCTTTCTCTGTCACCCTCAATGAGAGATAGAAGGGCGTCGCGAAACTCTTTCGGAACCTCTCTTCCCATCCCGCGTTCCAAGAGGCAGTCTCGTCTCAGCTCTGTCCATCACATCGACCGAGATGCGATTGCGGGATCAGGCGCAGTTCCTATTCGAGCCACCAGGGAGATCTTGGCAGCACAAATCCAAGACATCTCTGCAGATAAGGCCAAGAAGGCCAAGAACATGGCATTTGTCTTCGATATCGATGGTGTGCTGGTGCACGGTGATCGACTCATCCCAGAGGGAAAGAGAGCACTGGAGATCTTGAATGGAGACAACGAGCTCGGCATCAAGATCCCTCACATCTTCCTGACCAACGGTTCAGGCAAGCCAGAGCTGGCCCGCACGCAGCAGCTCGCCAAGATCCTGCAGAACCCTGTCAACACAGAACAGTTCATCCAGTCACACACTCCAATGCGTGCTCTGGCAGAGTACTATGGCACAGTGTTGGTAGTTGGTGGCGAAGGATACCGCTGCCGAGAGGTGGCCGAGCAGTATGGATTCCGCGACATCGTGGTGCCCAACGACATTGTCGCATGGGACACCACCATCGCCCCTTACCGTGTCTTCACAGACGAAGAGCGTGCCAGTTCACGACCTCGTGACTTCTCTCAGGTCAACATTGAGGCCATCCTTGTCTTCTCCGACTCAAGAGACTACGCCACCGACATGCAAATCATCATCGACTTGCTCCGATCCGAGGACGGTCGACTGGGAACTATTGCCGCCGACCCAGTCTCTCAGCGGATCCCCATCTACTTCTCACAAGGCGATATGCTCTGCCCTACCGAGCACCCTATCCCTCGTATGAGCCAAGGCACATTCAGAATCGGTCTCGAGGCCATGTACAAGGCGCTCACAGGAGTTGATCTCGAGCGTGTGGTGTACGGAAAGCCTGAGATGGCCACGTACAAATATGCTGACGAGGTCATCGCATCGTGGATGGAGCAGCTGCACGGCGAAGAGCGTATCCCCGAAAACATCTACATGGTCGGCGACAACCCCGCCTCAGACATCATCGGCGGCAACATGTACGGCTGGAACACCTGCTTGGTGCGTACTGGTGTCTTCCAGGGCGGCGAGAACGATGAGTCCAACCCAGCCAACTTTGGCGTCTTCCCCAATGTCCTGGAGGCTGTGAAGACTGCCTGCCGTAAGGAACTTGGAGAGTCGTTCGGTTTTGAGTGGGATGACCGCATCAACCCCGTGCTGCACGGCTCCAAGCAAGTTGCATCGGCGATTGAGTAACTGGATTACTATGCGACATGAACAAGAATTATTTGAGATTTTTCGCAATGGATTTATGAAATGGAATGGACTGGCGCATCATATGCCACAAAAAAAAGGAATAGACATCATAGCGACATTGATAAAGAGTGGCATATCTTTCATATATGTCACAAATGAGTGCCAAGGCTGGCGACCGCCACCTGGCCGGCTGTTATTTTTTATTGAAAAGTTACATATTGGTTTATATAGACTAAGCTTCACATCTGATCACTACTCAGAATATACCTCCGCTTATCTCAATTAACAAGTTGTATTATGCAAACGTTCGTTGCTACTTGCCCAGATTGTCGATAATATAGCGATAGGTGAGAACAGAGAAGACACAAGGCAAACTAGATTCCCACCATCCTGAATGATACATATACCAATAACGAAGCATAAGGAAGTGTAAAAATAACAGAAAAGTCTTTAGAGTTACCATCGTTGCTCGGCAACTTGATAGTTGACATATGGGGGATTAATGAAGGTTGCCCAACACAGGAACAGTTTTAGATTCTGCGGAACTATCAGAAATAACTAATTTATATAGATATGCATTGCAACAAAGGCACGTTTTGTTTATGAGCTTCCAGTATATTGCCATGTATAGCAGTTTATATATCTACTTATTTAGTTAAACTTGGGTACAGAGGTTTCTGTACATGAGGCGTATGTGATAAGTCAACATTTTAGATTCTTGTAGGGTACATTTTAATCAGAGAGTTCAACTAGGTACAATGCCATATTTTATAAAACCCTTCAGTGGTGGCCTGTCGAGATTTAAATTGAGCCCCTCCAAAGCTTTCCTTTCTCAAAACTGCAACATGGCGGGCGCAAAACTGAACCTACGCCCTTATGACTGGGCGCAGCATTTATGTACCTAGCTTACTCATTGAACGTTAAGACGAACATAAATAGAAAACAACAGTAAGGAGCTCCAGTTACTTACACTACCAGTGGTTGCCTCTATTTATAGATCCAGGGATACACAGTTGGGGAAGATTATGAGATTGTTAGATTTCGGCGTCACCAATGATTTCGTATTACAATGCACTGTTGTTTGCTTATAGCACCTTCTTGTAGAGATCTTTTTTCATTGAAAGAAAGAAAAGACTCCAATCATTTCCTGATCAAATCAAAGCTCAAAGTCATCATAAAATTCTAGATAAACTATGTACTAGTCAAGCATTATAGACATAACCCGAGCATCAACTTGGCTTTGGGGCTTGACCAGTTGCTCTTGTACCAAAAATAGCGACCAAAAGATAAAACGAGACATGTGAGCTTACTCCGAAAACACCGCCATGCTCCTCTACATAGCGGCGGAACTAGATTTCCATTAGTGCTCAGGCTATTGCTCTTGATGTCGAAACTTATTACCCTTTTTTATCAAGGACTTTTTCATTCGCTAGATTGATAGCCAGTGCCAAATGGTAACCAAAAAGCCTACAGCAACGAATACTGTTACTTCATATAACCAAAATAAAAATTGCATACGGCGACAGTTGGCTCTTCCGTCATTAGCGCTGTTTCGTTTTTGGCACCTGAAGATGTGGATTCGTCTCCGTTTGCGATACATATGCAGTATCTCGCATTTCCCCCTTTAACCCCATTCTTGTATATAGTATTAGTGATCATTTATGGGCGCGTTCTATTCAAGTTGGAATTCGCGAGCCCCCTGCTCCCTACTGCTAGTAAGCAAGGCAGCTACTGTACTAGGTGCTCGTAAAATACTGTAAACGCCCTTAGCGGTCTCACGAGGTCATATAACTTTCGGGAGTCCGAGAATGGCCGGTGGGTGCACGGCTTGCAAACCTGCTTGATCTGACATCCAGCTGCATTCTACGTGCGGTTAGCCTTGCGAGCTAGAATCGGTGCATTGATCAATAATCCAAGATTTATCTGAAAATCCGCGATTCATCGTCAATTGCTCCATAGCACCATATCCCGTGTATTGCGTGCTAACTCGTTGAGCTGCTTTTTTTGGTTACAGCGAGTTGCCGCTCTGGGATAGTGTTAACAAGCTCAGAAGCTATGTCAGATGATATAGGTCCGTGGGTTAGCCATGGTAACAAGATTTCCAGTTGTAAAGGCGTCTAAAGCATCTAAAGCCTCAATATTATGCTCGTTTACAGCATGAGTAGATGTCGACGGCAACAGGGATTTATTATTCGCATTGTCGAATCAGCCTTACGTTGGCAAAAGAGCCTGATGCGTTGGCTGATTACTCACTCTAGCGCTCAACCTCGATCGATGTGCTGTGCAGAACCACGCCCTTGGCAAATCGCGGGGCCTAGCTGGGTGCAGCCCCTGGTTACTGAGCTGAAGGCTTTACATCAAGGTCGGACGCCGCCACAGCCCAAAGCCCCCTTTGTATATACCCATATCGAGCAGGTGTACTATAGAAAAGTCCGACAACGACTGCAGCGGAGGCTCCGCCGCTACCGAGAAATTCTGAACTTTCCGATCCTGGGCTCAGGCTGCCCGATTCTGCGCGTTGATTCACAGTTTGGCTTATGGTTATGCAACTCTAAGCTAATAAGATTGTTAGTTGCCCCTTTCGCAAAGACTAGCAGCCTCTAGCGGCAACAAGTGATATATACAAGGACGAGAAGCAGCCGAAAAGGAGGGATGCTATCCACTCTACGGAGTTGTTTTGAAACTATATGTAACCGTAAGCTTAACCAGATTCTTCATTGGGCTAGTGAGTTGTTTACAGGTGACGAGATAATAATAGAGATCCTGCGCTAATCGGGCCGTCGGTTGTTGTGCTACAGAAGCACCAGCTGTTGACGTTAATGAAATACGAGCTAAGCTATACCGGTATCGCAGCTCAGCTAGGTACTGAACTATTACAGGCAGACATCTAAGCATGTACCCAATTGTTTATACAGCGAGTAAAGTCTTGATCAAGCCTATAATCAAGCCTATATATATAAGTTGACATGGTTCCCAGTCTCTGAGTTGACAACTCTGCTATCATCACCGACAAGTCTTGAACAGTCTCTACAGCCAGCCTCAAGATGCGATACTCCTTTGTTGCCCCGGCTCTTCTCGCCGGCACTGCCTACGCCTGGCTTCCTCAGGAGCGAGATCTGGCGGCCTTCAACCAGACGGCTCGCTTTGAACAGCTTGGCAAGCGGTTTGAGCCTACGTTGGCTTCTGGTGTCACGAAGATCAGAGGTGTCAACTTTGGTGGTAAGTTCGCGTCCGAGCAATTCCTTAAATGAGACAAGCCACTTACATGGGGTTCTAGGCTGGCTTATCTGTGAGCCATGGATGATGCCCACCGAGTGGAACAGTGTGATGGGCTGCAACAACGCTGCATCCGAGTTTGACTGTATGCTCAACAACTACATGGGCAACAACCGTGCAGCGGGCAACGCAAAGTTCAAGACTCACTGGAGCAGCTGGATCACTCCCGCTACCGTTCAGTCGGTTCACGATGTCGGCCTCAACACCATCCGAATCCCCATTGGGTACTGGTCCTACACAGCCATTGTCGACACCGCCAGCGAGCCGTTTGCTGATGGTGATGCCATGCTCCCATACCTCGACGCGGTCGTCCAGAAGGCCGCTGATTTGGGAATCTATGTCATCATTGATCTTCACGGCGCCCCCGGTGGCCAGCAGCAAGACGCCTTCACCGGCCAGAACCCCAACCCGGCTGGCTTCTTCAACTCATACGACTTTGGCCGTGCCGAGAAGTGGTTGACATGGATGACCAACCGCATCCACACCAACCCGGCCTACTCCACCGTCGGTATGATTGAGGTTCTCAACGAGCCTGTTTCCAACCACGATGCCAACGGCCGCTACCCTGCCCCCGGTGAAAACCCAGGCTTGACGCAGACTTACTACCCTGCCGCACTCAAGGCTGTCCGCGATGCTGAGTCTGCCTTGAACGTTGCCAGCAACAAGAAGCTGCATGTGCAGTTCATGTCCAGCAAATGGGGCTCTGGCGACCCTCGCTCCAACTCTGCTGTGGCCAACGACGCCATGACTGGATTCGACGACCACAACTACATTGGCTTTGCCGTCAGCAACAACGGCGACCAGTATTCGCTCATGCACAGCGCCTGCACCGACACTCGCGTTGTCAACGGCCAGAACTTTGAGATCACCGGCGAATGGAGCATGACATCAGGCGTTGATTGGCACGATCAAGCCTTCTTCACAAAGTTCTGGACTGCCCAGCAACAGCTTTACGAGTCCCCCGGAATGGACGGATGGATCTACTGGACTTGGAAGACTGAGCTGAACGACCCCCGATGGACCTACTCCTATGCTACCTACCTCAACTACATCCCTACCAACGCTGCTGCCTTGGAACAGAATGTTTACCAGGATGTCTGCAACGGATTCAGGTAAAGGTTGCAAAAGCATTCTTGCATCACTAGGACATCTCTTTGACAACTTACATTTCATCGGAGATGGGCTATCCAGAACTGGAAACTGGTTGCAGACACGTGGGTTACCAGCTGTGTCTTCCCAGTATCTGGGCTACCTTTCATCTTTTTAACTAGTATATATATCCTTCCTATATAGTAATACTTCTCATAATCATTCTCTGAACTATAGACTCGTCAGTCCATAAGCTTGTCGTGATTCCGCCTATGTGCTCTGCTGCCTCATAAATGGTTCTAGTGATACGTTGTGCACTCAAAGTGTGTCCAATTGCGTCATATATAGTCGAAATATGGATTAAGATGAGTCAATATACCTCTAATGACTTCCCACGCTCTTTCATACGTATAGTTTCGATACCAGTTAAAGCGATGTTGAGTCTTGCTCAATCATACTGCGGGGCTAAATAGTATGTTGAACCTCGCTCCGCATTCTATAGACTATTTTCAGGACAGTTTTCTTCACGATATTTTCTGGGAATAAGGACTTAAAAAATGTTGGATGCTTATGAAGCTCTATAGGCAAAACTTTAGGCGTAGAAACCACCCACAACTAGGTAACCGTTGTTTGAGCCATTTGTTAGGCAAGCTGCTTTAATCCTTGTCGATGCAATTTCCTGAGGAGTCGATGCAATTTCCTGAGGAGCCTATCCTCTGCGCATTCGAAGGAAGAAGTTGTTCAGCACCTGAGCTAACGACGTTGGCTTTGCATTGTCAAGGGGTACCGTATTTGAAGACAGATTCTTATAATCCTTAATAAGAGCGACTGTCATATCGCTAGCATGTAAGGTTTTGCCGAGTTAAATTACTCCATCAATGATTAGTGAATCTCAGCAATAATGCTGTGTAAGACGAGACTGAAAGACTATTGATTAGTTTGAGCTCCCAAAACAATAAACAAACACCACTCAGCGGAGTGAAAACAATAGGGATGTGAATCAATGTCAATTGCTCCTCTTTTTTTTTCGTTGTTGGAGAGAAAGAAAAAGAAGAGGGAAGATTGTGGCGCCAAGACCGTTAAACCATTATGTTTTCGATGTCAATCAGTGCTGGAGGGCTTCTAGTCCGTAATGAACCCAAAGGGATAATTTCTAGTAAAAAGCATGCGCCGTCAACTTGATCCGGACAGCCAACCCTCAACGTCAATCTCAATGTTGACCAAATATAGGGCATAGGCAACTTCCGCATGTTTTACTCGGAATAAAGCCGTTGCCGGGTATGATGCTTTCTTTTCTAGTTTTGGGGCGACTTGATCTTGCAACTCTTACGTTTTGCTCTAACCTTGATGTGCGGAACCGCAGGGTCCAACAAGATACCATTCAAATGCCACAACACTGCTCCTCTTTAGAATAGTCTTGCCACTCTCAAGATTAAGACAACAGCATTGCAATTTTTGGGAATGTACCCGACATATATTTCGCCTTATCGTTGACAGTGAAGTCTTAGCGGCCGCGACGCGACCCATTTCAGAGACGGTTCGAAATCGGCAGTCGCTGTGTTAAGTCAGATCAGGCATATGCCGCTTTCGCCGCTGAGGCTATTACGCAGTCTGCCGCATCAATTCTTAGCGGCAGTATGCGCCAGTGACGGAGACAAAGTGGGGAGAGAATACGGTTGTATGTAATCATTGCGGCGCGGGGCAACTTAGACGAGATGGGGAAAATAGTCTTCTGTCTTTTCGGACAAGGGGAATTGGCCTACATATGTTGTAAACTGGGAGATCTTGAGGTCGCATTAATTTAACCGTGCATGTACCTTGACACGCTTTCGGAAATATCCGCCTATTCCGTACTTTGCACTTCTAGATAGTTTTCATTAGCCGTTGTCTAGGTGTCAGGACGCCACTGCTTTCTGTTGTACCCTGTAGATCCGCTTACTCTAAACCAGACCATTAGAAATCATTAAAGTCAGCTATTGACGCTACAAAACGCATGAGTATACCTATATATAGAGTGGTCCGAAGACGAATATTTTCTCGTGTCTATTGCTATTCGGTTCATCTCAATAAGATACACACCTCTAATTCCTTGAGCTCGCCAGTATCATCATGTCGACACCAGTTCTTCACTACTTCAACCTCGGAAGCCTTGGGCGGGGTGAAATTATCCGGTAATGACGTCGGCCACAACCTTAACATTGACAGGTGCTGATTCGCGATCTAGAGTATTTATGAATGAGCTTAACATCGACTATGAGGATGTTTTATACAGCTACGATGAGACATGGCCCTCTGTCAACAAAGCCAAGGGCGTGAGCTTGACGGGAACGCTGCCCATCTTGGAGATTGATGACCAGAGGCTCTACCAGGTAGGCTCCCGATGTTCCGAGAGCCGCATACAGACTGTTAGTGCCCAGGTGAACTAAATATTGATACTAGCATCTTGCCATTCTTCGATACCTATCTCGCCGGGCTGGTGCATACGATGGCGAAACCAACCACGAGAAGTACCTTGTTGATGCGGTAGCTGATATCTACAATGATTGGCGAGTAAGTAGCAGATATTCAGGATTATCACGCGGCGAATGACTTTGGCTGACACGGTGCTAGACTGGCTGGGTCAACCAGCTAACCGCTAAATCGCCCGACTACCAAGCCACACATGTCGCCAAATTCCAGGGCCTGTTCACCGATTTCTACTCGCAGGACACCAGCGGTCCCTATCTCTTGGGCAACAAGCCGACCTATGTTGACTTTGCCGTCTTTCAAGCTCTCGACAACGACGAGGCCATTGGCGCTGCTCCTGTTAGTTCTCCCTTGATAGTTGCTTGCTCCCAATTATCCCGCCCTCTTAGCACTTCATACAAAATCCGTTTCGTTGTTTATTTATAACTTGTGCACTAATGCTGACACACGCCACTAGAAGACGCTGTCAGAGCCACTGACGAAGCTGAAGGAAGCTATTCTGGCTCGCCCGAATGTCAAGGACCACCTGGCTAAGCGAGCTGCTGCTAAATAGGTGCCGCGACAACCAAAAGGATCTACTTGTCTTTATATATAAATAGTCTTGGATATTCAAGTTTTAGCGATCCATTTATGTTATCCATCCACGTAAAAAGAGTGAGGACATGTTTCCATCTGAAGTAACCCAGTCTCGTTAACCGGGTTTGCTAGTAGCTGTAGCATCCACATTTTTAAGCTGCCGTATCTGGAAAAAAAGCTATGTAGTCTTACGTAGCATCCAGTTTAAAACTTTACAATGATTAGATGAGCAATGCTGTGTCGTTGCACAGAAGAAAGGCAGAGATTATTTGATCCTTTCTTAGCGAAATATGTGCGGAACGAAAACGATTATCGGCCATAGGTACATATATTAGCGGCATGATCAGTAGACAGAGAAGGCGATGTTTGCGCAGTGATGCGCCGATACACAAACACCTGAATATGAGTTTTATTCTGAATGGTGTAAATAATAGTATCATAATAGTCGATAGAGCACAATCTGTTCGCAAGAGGTGTGAATAAAAGCTAAATACTCTGCTTCTTTCCTACAGAATGGTCAGCTGTAATAAGGGGGATCTTTTATTTTGGCCTTAACGAAACACGCCAGTTCAATGGTTCTTACCGACCTTGCATTAGATCCAGAACAAAGAGATGTACCCCATCTAGCTCATGGAGGAAGAAAACAGCATGAGAGAATGATCCAAGTCACTGATAGCTGTATGACTTTTGAGGTTCTTCCACCTATCTTGACAACGGTTACGTTCCGGCTCGAAATATGCCCGATAACAACATCAATAACCCTATTGCAGAGCTCTAAACGCCTGTGACAAGACTCTTGAAAACTCATCTTAAGAAGTACTATACTTCAAGATGGTGAGCGTGTCTCCATAATACATCTTTAACATGCTAACTATTATATATACCAAGTAAGGATATCACGAAGCTACATTAGTAAGAAGGGTACTTTATAGATATACGCGTATTCTCATGTTCGTGTATTAGTGATGTACTAGTGATACTACTTCATGGTGTGGAGGAACACTACAGATACCACCCTTTCGTGATTGTTGGGAAACGCGGGCTTTTGCAAATGTAGTAATTTACAGAGGGCTACTTGGTTCAAAAAGAAAGGAGAGAAAAAAACCTTGACCGAAGCAATCCGATCTGTCGCTTCTGTATAGCCCTCTTGTTGATGTGTGAGGCAACACTCCAGGTAACAATTAATATACGCGCAACAAAAAAAGCGATGTACATGAACAGAGTAAGGACATAACGAAATAGAATAGAGCCCTAAAAGTTACAAAGCCAACTATCCCTGGGTAAATACCTTTATTTTAATCACTACTTACTGACGATCATATCTTGAGTCCCTGCACAAGACTTAAGATCGTGGAGGAATTGTTTGTGAGTTAATTGAGAAAAGTCGTCAAAAGTGTCAGCTTGTGCTAATAAATGAAACAATGACTGTATCTCGGGCAGCTTTAGCTTTCTTACAAAGACGACTTTTAAAGTTTAGATGCCAATGAAACAGTGTATCGCAATGTAAATTATGAATGTTGCGATATAACAGAGATAGGTTGCCCACCCAAGCGTACCAATATACGTGTAGTAGGTGTAAAGCGGCGAAATAAGTAGCCCCGTCCTAGAGCCTTTGCATAGGGCGCGATACTCAATTATATACCAACAAAATATCCTATGATTCACCATGGACTTATTGACTCATGTTGTATATAAGAGCAAAATCTTTTTCTCCGTATCACTCATCATGGCTACCTAGTGCTAGTATTACACTCGACTTGGTGTTTCAAGATGGGGCTATTAGTCTGAAGATGTAGCCGGAAACGATGCAGTTGAAGATCATTGCATACGACAACCCACTGAAACCCTACGGTAGATATGCAACGGAAACAATGCCTACCATAGTACTTGATGTAGCTTTTGATGTCATCTCACTGGACTACCATGGGAAGCTCATTGAGCCAGTCGGATTGTCAGGAGAAAGTTGTCAGACGCAGTCATGGTCAACGTCATAGTCAACGCTTATTTAACTTAATGAAAATGCATTCACTAGAACAATAGTAGACTCATATATTATTGCTTTTGATGGTACAAGAGAGATGTTTTAGGTTTCGTCTTCGTTGTCATGTTTAATGCCCTTTAACCTAAACCTGCCACCTACCAAGAAACGCTTCGAAGCTGGTAATGAGGTTGTGTCACCTCCGTCTCGGAATAAAGATTAACATTAAAACTAAATGATCCAGCAATAGCAATAGTAATCTCAAATTAAAATATTGTACTTGACTTACCTATCATTATCCGCCATATATGTCTCCAGCCTGTGGAACTCAGTTTTGTGGTAGCTAGACTATAGAAACATTCGCAGCGTCATTGCACAGCTCAAAACGTACCTATTAAGGGGTAAGTCTTTTACTACTATGGAAGACTCGACTGTATACATGATAGAAAGAATGATTCCAAAACAAAGAGCATAGATAATATGTGATTAGTAGTTCTGAATTCCTTGGATATGTGCATTTGAGGCGGATTTGCATCTGGATTCGGAATCGGACTCGGAACCGGAATCTTCGCCATTAGTCCAATAAGGAGGAACGCAAAACGCAACGGATCTCCCCGCAGACTCTCAAGTCCCCGTATTGCAAAGCGCCATCTTCCCCGCATTGTCCGCCTACGTGCCCCTCGCTATAATAGCCATAGCAGTTTGTGTTTGCCGCCGTCAACCGTCTTACGTCTATGAAGGCAATTCACAATTCCGATCCTCCCTTCTTCTTTCGGCTATTATAATTGTATAAGAAGCTCAATCGCAACTGTTCTTTCCCCTCCAGCATGAGTATAGTTTACTGGTCTTGAAGACAATCTACGTGCCTTTTGTTTCTTGGCGTTAAGAAGAGAGCGGCAGAAATTACCAGACTATTGACGGATATTCCCATGCGCTAGGCTACTTGGCAGTAGCACGCATACAGCTCTGCTATGGCTTACCAAGTCCTAGGGATAGCGATCATCGCTATCGTTTTCGTTCTATATAGGTCCCTCAACGCAACTGATGCTCCGAAGATCAAAGGCATACCTGAAATCCCTGGAGTTCCCATCTTTGGCAACTTGCTTCAGCTTGGGGTGGACCACGCTCGTGTTGCACAGAAATGGGCGACAAAGTATGGGCCTGTTTTTCAGGCTCGTCTCGGAAATAGGGTGCGTATTTCTCAATTGCAAAGCATGGCTTGGCTAACATTGGTTTATTGAATAGCGCATTCTCTTTGTGAATTCTTACGAGACGGTGAAGCATTTCTGGATCACCCACCAGTCGTCTCTCATCTCTCGGCCTACCTTTCACACATTTCACTCGGTAGTATCCTCATCTCAGGGATTTACAATTGGCACCTCACCCTGGGACGAATCCTGTAAACGCCGGAGAAAGGCTGCTGCTACGGCACTGAACCGCCCGGCAGTCCAGTCTTATATGCCTATCCTCGATCTCGAATCTACTGTGAGCATCAAGGAGCTCCTCAACGACTGCATGAACGGCTCGCAGGACGTGGATCCCAGTCCTTACATGGCACGATTTGCACTCAATACGTCGCTGACTTTGAACTATGGATTCCGCATTGACGGCAACATTAACAATGAGCTCTTGGCGGAGATTACTCATGTCGAGCGCGAAATTTCCAACTTTCGATCAACAAGCAACAACTGGCAGGACTATATTCCGCTCCTACGAATCTTTGGCAAGCAAAACAGCAAAGCGGGAGAATACCGAGTCAGAAGGGACAAATATTTGACAGACATGCTCAACGACCTGAAGGAGCGAATTGCCAATGGCACTGATAAGCCATGCATCACGGGAAATGTCCTTAAGGATCCAGAGGCGAAACTGAACGAAGGTTAGTGCCACCAATGTAAATCTGTTTCGTCATTTACGAAAGCATGGACTAAATTGTGTTATTTGCATAGCTGAACTTAAATCTATCTGCTTAACAATGGTATCTGCCGGCCTGGATACTGTGCCTGGCAATATTGTTATGGGAATGGCATATCTGTCCACCAAAGAGGGTCAGGCAATTCAAGCAAAGGCCCTGCAGGCCATTCAAGAGGTATATCCTGACAGAGATGCCTGGGAGAAATGTCTTGTTGAAGAAAAGGTTCCTTACGTCACTGCGCTGGTCAAAGAGACACTACGTTTCTGGACTGTCATTCCAATCTGTCTTCCTCGAACGAACATTAAAGATATTCCTTGGAAGGACTCTGTCGTGCCCGCTGGAACAGTCTTCTTCATGGTAAGCACTACCAGTTTGCTACCACTGCGGCAATGGACATATATTTGAGACGCAAAGGTTGACGCTGACAATTTCCTAGAACGCTTACGCGGCCGATTACGATGAATCTCGATTCAAGCTTCCTTACCAGTTTATTCCCGAGCGATTTTTGGAAGACACAGAGATTGGTACACCGCATTACGCTTACGGTGCAGGCTCCCGAATCTGCGCCGGCTTTCACCTCGCCAATCGAGAGCTCTATACGGCATATATTCGACTCATCACGAGCTTCCAGATTGTCCCGTCCGATGATCCTTCACAGGCTCCCGTTATTGATGCCATTGAATGCAACAGCATGCCTACTTCGTTGACAACAGATCCAAAGCCATTCAAGGTTGGATTGAAGCCTCGAAACGAAGCAAAGATTAGAGAGTGGATTGCAGCAGCAGAGGAGAGGACTAAAGATTTGTAGTTGTTTTCGTCAAGTTGTTTTCGTCAGTGGACGGACGCTTGTGTTATTACTTGTGTAAAATGGTATTTTTAAACAGAATTGGAATCGGATATGTCATCTAGAATCTCATATGAATCAATTAGTCTATAATTCACACCACGGCCAATGGAGACTTGTTGATATAAAATCGAGCGGCTAATATGAAGACGCCAGAGACAAGCGCAAGCGCGCCAGCATAGAACATGGCAGGTCGATACGCGTTTAATCCACCATCAGTACCACCGAAGGCTTCTAAAATGTAGCCAGCAATCGGAGCGCCCTGCGTGAGAATAGATCTTAGTCAGACGAAATCTCCGATCTTGAAAGAGAGAACAGCAGCTTACCAGAAGATAGCCGCCAACCCAGCCGGTTACTACCATACTCATTGCGATGGCCACTCTGGCACTGCCAAATACCTTGCTGATAGCAGTTGGCATGGTAGAGAAGAAAGCTCCATTGGCAGCGCCATTGATGACAACAAAGGCAATGAGCGGTCCCAGTTCCGTAGAAGTTGGCCAGATTGCAAGGAAAGTGATGACAGTCAAGACCAAGGACACAAGAACAGTATTGATCGAGCCGACTTTATCGGAAGCAAAGCCCGAGAGGATGCGGCCAGCGGCGGAGGACAAACTGAAGCCGGCAACCAAGCCGGCACCAACGCTAGGTGAGAAACCCAGTGATCTGGTATATAATGGGAGAAAGAACGGCGGGACAAAAAGAGGAAAAGTTCCAATCGCACTGCCGATGAAGATGAGTACAAATGTAGGGGATTTGAACAGTTTCCTAGGCGGCGGTTAACTTGCGAATCAAATACATAAAAGCACATGGCTATTCTCGTTTCTTCACAGCTTACCATTCAATGAACCCTCGCCTCTCGACAGGGACTCTCTCCTTCATCAACCATGCGGCCGGAAGACCCGTAGCAAGAGTCATGAGGCCTAGGATGCGGTATGCCCACGCGGTGCCCAATTTCTGAATCAGAGAGTCTAAAGCAAAGCTGATTGCAGCACCTCCGAATCCACTTCCAGCAAACATGAATCCATTGGCCAGACCCCGTTTGGCGCTGAAATATTGCGATGGAACCGTAGAGATGACCTAGTTTGCATTCAAGGATTAGCTTGACGGGATTCTATGGCCAGTTCTTTGATCAATGCATTATGTTGAAGAACTAATACGCGAAGTACGTGTAAAATGCGTGTATCTCGTAAAAGTGGTGAAGATTCGGAGCAGACTTACGGCGAAACAAAGACTACATATGTGACACATGTTGTGTTAATCATCTCTCTCAAGCGTCTTCTTCAAATGCAGCACGCCGTCTCACCTGACTCCCATCCCCATAACGATCCCCGACGTGAAAAACAGCGCGCCAACATTATGAATTGTGAAGCTGCTCAGAATCTCGCTGCCGCCCATGCACGCTGCGCCCAGCATTGCCGTTGCGCGGACTCCAGCCTTTCGCACCACCAGGGAGTTGACAATTGCGAGTGCCGAGATCAGCGCCGCCTGCAGTGATCCCACAAAGGAGAGAACCGCCGGATCAGCCAAGCCATCAGAGACCAAGGCGGTCTGCATCACGCCCCAGGCATATGTCGTGCCGAGTGACCACCACAGCAGCACGAAGCCGCTGGCGATGATGGCCCAGCCGTATCCGCCTTCGGGGACGGTTGAATCAGCCTCTCGCGACGCTTCGAGAACATGATCGGTGACGGTGTATGTTTCGGAGACTTCATTCTTTCTCCCGTTGGAGTTGCGCAAGCTCCCTGCGTGGCTGGAAGCAGAGCTCGTGGCAAGCTCGATGGCGGTCGTGGTCGAAGTCATCGCCGAGTTTCTCGCTGGATTTCTTGGGAGAGAAAGTTTTTCATCTCTGCTGAGATTCTGGAGTTTTTGAAAACGGCGGGGCGATTGGGCTTGTCGCTGGAAGGCGTTTTTTTTTCTCCCTTGCAGCTCGCTGCGCTGAAGGGTCAATTACTCGCGTATAGATGCTATGCATACCTGCCTGACAATAATCTGAGGTGAGATTAGGCACTGGCATGCTCAGCATCTTTGTTTTCCTTGTAGCTTTTTTGTGAAGCAATTTGTATCTTGCTTCGACACATACCTAAAATGCCGTTTCGATCTCACTCTGCTCTCTTCGCGTGCCATTGTGTGCATTTGTAGCCAAATTATGCTGTATCGCACTGCAGCTCAAAAGGCCGTAACCAGGGCCAAATTTTCGTGACTTTACGCCGCCCATTTTGATTGAGCTCATGCTTGTTTGGCTCAAGTGATTGTACGCAGAGGCTATCATCGTAGCCAATGAGCCCCGCTGGCTGGTGTCAATTGGCGGCTCAAGACGGCAGCTTGACTGGCTCGAGATGAACTACTTGAACGGACTTAATTGAGGTTTATTTCCAAACAGCACGTCTTCAACATAGGTTCGAATTCTTGATGAAGCAGCCGTTGTCGTCTGCCTCGATTTGGAGACATGGATAGAGTTTGCTGATCTTTACCCGATTTCATATTTGGAGAATATGACTGCTCGTCATGTGTTCGCGTCATGAGCATCAATATCCAGTCCAACAGGTGGGTGAATGTTACACTGTAAGTAGCGCGTCACATCTATTTAGGGACATGTGAGCAGGCATCATAAAGTCAAATACCACTCACCAAAGTGCTTCGGTTATTAATGCCGACGGAAAAGAACATTGGAGGCTCAACAACGTCATAGAATCCCATTCTACCCCTCAAAGATGGCCTGTCGCAAGTCCAATGTTTATATCGACTCAGTACTTCGCCAAGCGCTGATATTCTCGCACGTCAATTCCAGGGCTCTCTCGGGACGCTATCCTATGGAAACGCTCAAGAGCACGCTTTTGGACTTCATTCTTAAATTTACGACGAGCGTAATGCATGTTGGTAGCGAATACTTGATTTGATTGGAAATTGCGTAGGATTTTGAAGTAGCACTTCGTATTCCCAATATATTGCTTCTGCAGTATCAATGTACACATAGTTACACAAACACGAACAAGGAGAGAGCAACATTCGATCTTGGCCGAATATCCGTGGCCAAGTCAAGTGTAGCCCTAAGCAGCTTGGCATTATTTCAACGAGCTGTCGGGCGGGGACAAGCGGGAGCTCATTCAAGGAACGGCACATCCTCTCCAGCTCCACTCTCCCCAGACTAATATGTCTTGCTCGCAGTTCTAGATCTATACACTCAGACAACTGTTTCTGGTGCCATTGATCCGGCTGAATGTTGTTCATGCGATGCAACATGAGCCACGAGCCAGTCTAGAGGCCATGCCTCGTACACAATGTAAGACAAAGAAGCCGACGATCCCGATATGTTCCACAAATAATACTAAAACAGGTGCGATATGTGCCAGTGGCTGTCCGTTTACAGCTGTACGTATCAAACTCTTGTGTCATTCATATCCCGGAGCGATGGGAGGCAAAACCTGGGGTAGTCCGTCCCGAGAGGAACTAAGCTCGCGTTTAGCATGCTTATACGGAGCATCACTAGCAGGGGCCTTGTAGGGCATGCATGCAAACGGTCATGAGGAGGCAGCATTATCCGGTCAGTAGATGCTATTCCCGTAGCGTCGGCAACTGTTGAATGTCTGTACCTTCTTGAGACGTCATTTCAGCTCTTGATTGGATCGGCAAGCAAAGAGACCAACATTTTGGCGCAAGGAGGGCATGAAGCAGGTCCACACCCATCTTGAGAGCGGGGAGTCAAAAGCTGTTGGTGTAGCATTCTTTGTTTATTGGCAAGCGCTTATGCAATATGATTCGCCCTTGGCTCGCCCTTGAACGCTCAGGTCACGCCGGATTTAGCCATGCTCTGCTTGCTTTGTCTTAGATGCTCATTAAATGTGGACGCACTCATGTTTGCATGGGTGTATTCTTGTTCTCGAAAGATGAAAGAGAGAGGGGTAAATTGGATTTGACGCAAGGAAACACACCCATTGCAACGTGTGTATCGTGAGGCAACAGCATCGGCCTCGGCCCTTAGTGCTTTTGCGGCGGAGAACACTTGCCGCTCTCTTGGGGGCCATATAGGTAGATAGGAGTTGGTCGGCGTAAGTACATATAAAGGCAAATCGCCGTCACATAAATGGTCTTCAAACTCCAGAGGGCAGCGAGGATATACTGTGGCGAGGCGTCCGATAATAATCAGACAGCAGCGCAGTTGTCGCACATACGCCCAGATCTCTTCGTCGGCTGTTTTTTTCCATCTACATTTGTTTCTACCATGGTACACATATCCAATTTCCTTCTCGCGGCGTTGCCCGCCGTTTTCGCCCTCCCTTCAGCGTCTCAGCATGATCTTGAGGGCAGAAGTGCAAATGTTGCTCAGACCGAGGCCCACTGGGCAAACCAAGCCTCAGCCCAAGGCCGTCATTTCTGCTACATAAAACCAGATGCCAACGGTGGCGATGATGCTCCAGCTATTATGGATGCGCTCAACAACAAGTGCAACTCCAAGGCCCTTGTCATATTCCCAGGCCCCGTGTATAACATACAAACAAACATGACCACCTTGGATCTTCAAGATGTTGTCATCTATCAATTTGGCCGCATGCTCTGGAGCACCGACATCGATTACTGGCTTTCAGTATCTATGCCGGTTGGCTTCCAAAATCAGAGCACTGTTTGGTACTTTGGAGGCCACAACGTGGTCTGGGATGGCTGGGGTGTCGGTACTCTGGACGGCAATGGCCAAGTATGGTACGACTGGGCAAAGAGCCAAGGAAACCTGGCTCGTCGACCGATGAACATCAACTTCCGCACTCTCACAAACTCTGTCATCAAAAGGCTTCGCTTTGTTCAAAGTCAGATGTGGACAATGGCCATCACTTACTCTCAGTACGTGGATTTGGATGACATCTACGTCAACAGCACCTCGACAAGCCAATGGAGCACCCTCAACACTGACGGCTGCGATACCATCTATTCGGATAGCATAACATTCAGAAGATGGACCATTTCAAATGGTGACGATGCCATTGCACTCAAGATGAACTCCAGCAATATCGCCGTCTATGACAGCTACTTTGAGAATGGCCAGGGTATTGCCATAGGCTCCATGGGCCAATACAACGGCAAATATGAACACCTTGAGAACTTTTACGCCCGAAACATTACCCTGAAGAATACAGCTCACGTCTCCTATCTGAAGACATGGGCCGGTATCTCAAGAGGCTATCCTCCCAATGGCGGTGGCGGGGGCCTTGGTGTGGCACGAAACATCACGATTGAAGATGTGACGCTGATTGGCGGAAGACAACAGCCATTATTCGCCTGGCAATGCGAGAACTACTCTGGATTCTCTGGGCAAGACTGTGACTCTTCCTTGTTCAAGATGGAGGACATAACATGGAAAAACATCAAAGGAACTGTGGGACCTGGAGTGACGGAAGCAGTCTACCTCCAATGCAGCTCGGCTGCTGGAGGCTGCGATAACGTCGAAGTGGAAAACTTTGACGTTGTCGTCGCAAGCACTGGCAAGCCGCTGGTTGTTTGGGACTGCTTCAATGTCAATGCTCCCATAGGATTCACATGCACAGAGTCGGTAACCCCGAAACTGAGTCCTGCTGTGACTGGTGGCCATGGCCCCGATAACTGATAGACTGCGGGATGTTAAAATGTCGATACCAGAGGCCATTTGAGATCTTGGCCATCGCCTGCGTTGATACCTGTATATTTTTATCCAGTATATAGGTACTGTTAGCTGTTTAATTTTACGCTGTATTTTTTCCCTATATAACATTATGACATTAAAATGAAACCGCCGCGCTATTAAGCAATTCCTGAGTCAATGCATCTATAACCAGTTTCCCATGTTCACATGCACAGCTTTGGTCTGAGAATATGCCTCCAGGCCTGCCTCTCCCAACTCTCTGCCAATGCCACTCTGCTTAACTCCTCCAAAGGGTATTCTGGGATCGCAATCTTGGCTGCTGTTGACCCAGACCATCCCAGATTCGATCTCGGCTGACACACGATGGGCTCTCTCCAGATCTTTCGTGAAGACGGCAGCTCCTAGGCCATAAATTGAGTCATTGGCCAGTGCTATCGCTTCTTCTTCTGTCTTGAACCGTAGGATTACAACGACAGGGCCAAAGATCTCTTCCTGGTAAATGCGCATCGAAGGGTTTACTTCGGTGAAGACAGTGGGGGCGACGAAATATCCCTTGCCCTTGTCCCCAATTGAGAGAGCTTTGCCTCCGGTAGCAACCTTGGCACCTTCGTTTTTTCCGATTTCGATATAACCCAGTACTCTATCGTACTGGGCTTTGGATACCTGTGGGCCCTGGTATGTATCTTCCGCCCATTGGTGGCCTACTTTGCTCGTCGTGTTCACAGTCTCAATGAACCTCTTGACAAAATCGTCATACACCTCTTCTTGGACTAAGATTCGGGATGTGGCAGTGCAGATTTGTCCTTGATTGGACATGATTCCCAAGTGAGACCACTTGGCGGCCTGGTCCATATCGGCATCCTTGAATACCAGAAGGGGTGATTTGCCTCCTGACTCAAGAGTGATATTCTTCAGTGTCTTAGCCGCAGTTGCCATGATGCTAGAGGCCGTGGCAGTTGAACCTGTAAAAGCAATCTTATCGACCAAAGGATGGTTCACCAGAGCAGAGCCGGCGTCTTTGCCCAGCCCATTGATGAAATTGACGACTCCAGGCGGGAAACCTGCCTCTTTGACAAGCTCTCCGAGAACGAGGATACTCAACGGCGTTTGCTCTGCAGCTTTGAGCACCACGGTGTTGCCGCAAGCAAGAGCAGGCCCCAGCTTCCAGGTGGCCATTGATAGGGGGTAGTTCCATGGGATGATCTGGCCAACAACTCCAATCGGCTGGCGGAGAGTGTACGCAAACTTTTGATGCGTTGTGCTGATTACTTGTCCAAAGTATTTATCGCAGAAGCCAGCATAATACCGTATCACGGCCACAGCTTCGACAAGGTCCACCTCCAATGCTTCGTGATAGGTTTTGCCTGGAATGCATATCAGCATTAACTGCTTAGTTAGAGATATAAAAAGATCTCACCATTATCCCACGCTTCGATTGTCGCAAAGAGTTCCTTCTTTGCCTCCATTAGATCGGCGAGGCGCCACATCAACTGGCCCCTTTCAGAGCCTGAAAGCAATTTCCAGTCTGGAGATTTCAGGGCTGTCTTTGCAGCCTTTACGGCTTTATCTACATCCTCAGCACTGGCAGCATGAACGCTGACGATGACTTCTTCGGTGCTGTTGTAGCCAAGTTAGTCGACCAATAATCACACATCGGCCTCTGGGCGCTGCTTAAGGGTGCTTACGCTGGGTCAATAGAGGCGATTGTCTCGCCACTGGATGATGCAACAAACTCGTTGCCAATAAAGAGCCCAACAGGCTGGCTCCATTTGACACCGTTTGGTGCGGCGAGGTCAACTGAAGGTACAGTCATGGTCTGATTTGATGGATTGTGCGGCGTCTATGTGAGATTGACAAGAGAGGTTTTGCTTCAAGAGACGAAACGAATGGTAGAAGAAATATATATATAGACAAACAGTTATCGCAGATTTACGTTGATATATCCAGAAGATCGGACTCCGCGGCGAGCAGTTGCATTCACAGGCTTCCAAGATTCTCGTGGAAATACTCCCTGCAGAAATTACCGCCGCTGTTGACGCCGGTGTGGGGGTTTCACGATATTGTGGGCAAGCGGGGTAATGCCACCAATCTTCACTGTGTTGCGCTTTCGGCCACTAGACACTGGAAAGCTGATTGCTGGATTTGGGCAATGACTAGCAACAAGGCGGAATTGTCAGAGTAATGTATTGGTGGCGAGTATCCGCAAAATTCCGCATGCACCACCATAACGATAAGCAAACAAGGAGCAAAGATGTACTGTATAAACGCTGAAATGATTGGCTGAAAAGAAAGTGGTCAAGGTAGGATTCTGTGGCTTCAAGGATCGAGTTTGGTTATTAAAATGCAACCTCTGCAGCGTCCTTTTCCCGCTGAATTGACAAGAATTCTGTTTCGAAATCAATTTCTTTTACCGGGATGACCTTTGACTTGAAGCATATTTTAAAGAAAATGTAGATGGCTTTATTGCCAAGTTAGCATATCAATCCTGAACAGAGTATAAAAGGCATGTTAGACAGGTAGAGCTGGGACATACCGATAAATATGGCAATGTTAAGGTAGCAGGTCAAAAATCCCGCGGCAGTAAACTGGCCTTTGACGAATACGTCGAACCCTATCCACTTGTGAGATAAAACATCCATAGCATGTATTCTACGAGCCAAGCAACATACCTGAGAAAAGAATGACGAGGCTCACCACAAACATGGTCGCCCATGAAACGTATGGCTGCAGTGGACTTTTGTAGGGAAGCGCTGCAGGTCTCATTAGCTGAATAGTGTTCAGCATTGGTCGGGACAGTCTTACCGTCTCTCGAATATCCCTGGCTTTTGAGTCCCGCGTAGAATCGAAGATAGGTAGCTTCAATTACCACCCAACCTATCAACCCAGAAACCGTCGTAATATTGACAAACCAGCCAAACACCACCGACGTGTTGTTGGCAACGTTCAAGTAGACAAGCGGCAGCAATAGGCAGGTCAGTCCAATGGCATAATGAGGCGATCCGAATCGGTTGCAGCGTTGAAAGAAACGAGGCGCATGTCCGTCACAGCTCAGGCCATAGAGGGTTCGCGACGCGATAAAGATGCAAGCTGAGCCACTGCTAATGGCAGAAGTGCATACAACTGCATTGATAATGGATGGAACGACTTTGACACCGGATCGTTGAAAAGCAATGACAAAGGGAGACTGCTGAGCAGTGCCGGTGGAAATGGCGAGCGAGGGGTCATTGTATGGGCTTTTCGAGAAATGAGTATTTAATTTGGCTTGAAAGTCGGAGAGAAGACTTACACGATGAGGCCAACAATGAAGATGCTGAGTACGTAAAAGACCAAGACTCGATAAAATGTCTTCTTGGTAGCTGCCGGAATGATTTTTCTAGGGTTTCGAGTCTCGGAACCTGAGATTGCAACGACTTGTATATTGCCATAGCTGAACGCAGCCGTAAGCAGCACTTTCCAAAAGGCCAGGAAGTGCCCTGTTGCTCCCGTCTTGATGTAGGCGTTGAAGGCCCCGGGATGGTTCCAGTAACGGAAACCCAGACGATCGTGATTTGGCCCACCTCCTAGATCGATGACCAGACCACCAATGATTAGGCCGAGAATCAACATGATCTTTAAGGATGCAAACACGACTTCAGACTATTGTAACTGTTAACGCCAAAGATCATCGATAAAGCTGTGTCAAGCATTTCTTACCTCGCCATATAGACGCACGCCGCAGAGGTTGAGAGCGACAATGACAACCAAGAAAACGGTGATCCAAACCCCTGGATTGATCGACTTATTCCAGAACTGTATCACTGTGGCAGCAGCGCTAATCTCTGCAGGTACAGTGATGGCCATTGTATACCCTGGTTGCCTGTCAGCAGAGAGTCTTACAGCGTAGCCCGCCGAGAAAGCAGAGTCAACGCTCACAGAAGTTCCATCCAGTGGCCGCACCGAGCGCCGGCTCCACGAATTTCGTTGCATGCCGAATGAACCCACCAGTTCCGGGCATGAACGCAGTAATCTCACCGGTTGTGTACGAAACTCCAGCCGTGACAAATCCCATCACAATGTACGCCAACAGCGCCCCAGCCGGCCCCGCAGTTGCAATTGCTTGCCCTGAGCTGAGAAAAAGGCCTGTACCCTGTTGAACGCGTTGAAACGCGATCAGTGCCTATTATCATGAACCGGTCAAGTGCTGAATATGTAGACTTACAATCATCCCCGCAATGGCAATCATGTTGATGTGGCGAGAGCTGAGGTCTCGTTTGAGACTGCTCGTCTCGATGACCGTGGACACATCTTCATGGTGAGGCGTCTCTTCACTGACGCCGTGTTCCGGGTGTTTCTCCATGTCCACTGGCTTGCAGAATGGAGACCGTTGGAAATCCTCCTACAATGCCGTAATACGGTGGAATTGTACTAGGATGCCTCTGTAACTGTCGATGCGCCTCTGTAGGTTCTCCCACGGTGACTTGGACAGCACGCGGTATTAGAAGCTATGCATAAAGGGTTGAGATTCTTTGCATGCAGAGAATGGGAGAAGCTGTTGGTAGCACAATGGTGTGGCCCGGCAGATATGATTATGACCCCTGACGGATGTCTGCTGATATTCCGGAGTGACATTCTTCTGATATACTCATCAGAAACAGCCGCCATCGATAGCCACAGGTGTTATCGCTGTTCCCCGAGCACTCCGCACAACCGCTATTTTGAACATCAAGCTATTGGCATAGAGTCTGCGAAGCACATCTAGTATGTCTATTTGGAAAACAACTTGGCGACTTGCTATAGCATCCGCTAGCCTATCAACCGGTGATATTGATTAGATGCCGTGACCGGACAACCGGTCTTCCTCGCGTAGCTTTAATTGCCGGTGCATCTTAGTCCGCCTAGTTCCCCACCCCCATATCTACATCGTGGAGATAAAGTGTAAGCCGGCTACCGAGACTTACAACTTGGAGGAATACAACAACACAGTATAAATGTTAATGCGTGGATTTCATCAATCAGTATTCAAATATGTCCAACACAGCTCAAGACGACTCGTTCCAGCTCTATGATCTCCGGGTCGAAGTTGTGTGCCCTCCAGGCAAGCGCATAATGTGCGGCGCGAAAGAAGGCGATTACTTTACCATGCAAGGTGAAATGATCTATTTGCCTCCCAACCAGGGAATAAGTATATACTCTTTAGGTAATAAATTACATGCCATCCTAATCCATGCTGGCCGTTTCTTTTTATTGGCGGGTGTCTGATGATAAAACAGCAGCTGTTATGCCGCTTCTTCCAGCGAAGCAAAGAGTCACGTCTCCCAACGACTGGATGACAACTGACGCCTTGATAGCGTGTCCAGATCCAAACTGTCCTTCTCAATTACAAATTACTAGAGAGGGTATTAGAACTTTCAGTCATTCTGAAACAACTATAGTTCCGTTGCATCATAAATAGAACAGAATAAAGGTGTTAAAGAAGTATGTGGCCAAAAAAGGTCCTCGTCTAGAATCCCGCTAGACATGAGTCCTTATGTCATGAATATAGAGTATTTACGCCAGTATTGCATTATTTTGCGTGTTGAAGACAGTACTTGACATTATATCTGCCCACGCACAGTCGTCTGTGAAGAACGGGTCGAGGTCAGCAGGATGGAATATAAATACGTCCGGGTTGGTTTGTTCAAAGGGCTGCGGCACGGATTGGCTGGTTGCTAGAGGTAGAAAAGAGAGCCTGGTTGAATCCAGCTCATTCTGATTAGCGGCTGAGTAGTTATCCGCGCTTTGAAGATTTGGTGTCGTTGGAGCATCCTTCTTCCGTTGAGAAAGCTTGATGGCGATATTGTTGAGAAATCTGGCTTGTAGCTCACAGCTTGTTCCGGTAGCTGCCCCTGTCTGGGAAAATGCTCGAGAAGCAGCACGAATGGTATCCACCACCGTGTATTCGATCTCCTGGACAATTACATCGGGTGCAGATAAGAGAAGCTGAGATTGTTAATTAGTGGCAAACAGCCTGATAGCCGAGCATTAGTGACGACACACATACCTTTACGAGGAAGGCTGCACTATAAGCAGTCATGACATGTATCGAATCTTGAGCAAAAGATAACAACGATGTATTGCGCGATGTCAACTTCAACATATCCAAGGCGCCTGTGAACGCGGCCCAGATTATGTCCAAATGGAGCGATGAGTCTGAATACTCTGACGACAATACGTCTCGTAATGGTAACGAGAAGAGCTGCAATCGAAAATGCGTTCCGTAAAAACGGATCAGGAATTTATGGCAGCTCCCCTCTTCTGGGGTCTGCCTTTTTTCGACACTTTGAATCCAACGACGCTCCCATCTCTCAATGCTGGCCTTTTTAATCGAAAGCAGAGATTCTAAATCTTCGGACACCATCTTTTCTCTCCGTCGGGAATCGAAAGCGTGCAAAGGGAATATTGACGAGATCATCAGTCGTAGTGTAACAAATGCACCAAGCAAATCATCGGTTCGGTCGGCTATTGGGTCGCTGCACCAGGCCTCGATCGACTCTATAAACGGACTGCGATCAATCATCCAGGGCCGGCCTGTCTGAAGGCTGATACTGCAGCAGCGTTACAAATTGATTTCATAGAGATGGCTAGCTATGGCAACGTACCTTCGATCGTACACGAACAAGACTAGCCATGTTCTTTCGACATTCCGGACTTCTCGTCGCGTCGTCTCGTCATCGTTGGCCCGGCTAGCTGCTGAGTACGCCGTCAATTTATGCCACCCCATGTCCATGCACATACGAATTGCATATCCGACCGAGGTCCAAGCGCGCGTGTCCTGCGGCTGCTTCCAGTAGGTGAGAATGAGAATAGCCTGAACAATCTCGGTTGACTTGGTGCCGTTCCTAAAGCTTTCGGTATAGAGGTCTTGTGCATGTTCATATAATGCATTATACACGGCGGGGCTGAATGTCTTTGCCGACATGGCAAGAACTGTTGTGAAGAGAAACGATGACTTGCGAACGTAGTCGAACGTGTGTAGATGAGGGTCGAGCTGGCTGATGTATGGATTCAGAAGAGTTATGAAGCTACACATACAGATTAGTTTCCAAAAACCTGGCACCAGAAGCGGATATCGCACCGACTTTTCGAAAAGCGTTTTGGCCATGGAAAGACTCAGTATGTTCATCTCGATTGGATCTTCCAGATGCGTCGGGAGAGGTCTTTCGGGCGGCTCCAGTGCATCGCCATCCGTGGTGCTTAGTATGCGCCGCAGCGAGAACTTGCCTCGCATTGCTTCCTGGTTGAGTACACCTGATGGCTGCAAGTTACCAGGATCTTCAGCTGGCCCGCCCTCTACGATGGATGGAGTGCCTCTGCTGTAGTCCGGCGTCTGCTTGGTGGCCGCATCTGTTGAAGGCAGCTCAATGCCCTTCCGTTTAGAAATTCTATCTCGTTAATTGAATAGCACGCAATACAAAGGCCATGTGTCACCTACTTCGTCCCGGGCTTTCGACCTCTGCGGTGCTGCTGGAACACGCAATCGAGAGACTTCCGCGCGCAACGTTCACATTTAGAAGCCGGCTGGCTGCCCAGCCGGCATTTCATCTTTACTTTTCGACATGGGAGACAGGCATTCATGATGAGAATAATGTACAAACGCGTGTAATTCTGCTTGCGTGGCGACCCAGAATGTCGGTGATAGCGGAGCAGGACTCAGCCGAGGACACAATACGGGGTATGGCGACGACGTGAGAAGCATTCAGGTCGAAAGATCCGTGGAGCCAGTGGGGCTTGCGCAAGTGACTGCGCGATCTGTCATGCCTATACCTCAACGTGCTGTTGTTGATCGTTTATACCAGGTCCTACATACTGCAGTGCCTACCGAATCGTGCTCGCAGCATGCTATGTGCCGGAGTAAAACTATAGGAGATGCCGAGATCATACGGCAGGTGATACAAACAGTAATTACTCCGTACTCCTTGACAGATAACCTGCTATTATTAGACTGCCTAGATAATGGCAGACCCGCATTGATGACATGCCTAAACCAGTCTAGACGTAAGCCCAGATGAGACAGGCCGGTGATTCATAGCGGACTTTTGAGATACCGGTGGCGTTGAGCTTCACGGTTAGTACGACGATGACTTGCTAACATAAAGCGAATAAAGCCAGCGTCCATTCTTTTTCAGTCTGAAACAGCGATCAGCCGTATACAGGCATCAACACTTTTGTCAAAGATACGTTCCAAGCCTAGGCCTTTTCGACATGGGCAGCTCTCAAAATGGCGGGGTTTCCACGGCCCATGTCAATATGATGACGGACACCATCATCGCTAACCTCCCGGCTGACGGTCTTCGCGTGGTGGTTAGGTCACTTCTCGTCTTATTTCCGGGAATTACGGGCGCATTTGAACAGGAGACGAAAAAGTACATTACGCAGAAAGTCGCGTCTTCGATAATACCAGAAGATGCGAATCCTAGTCTCGTGGACCTCGGAAAGACGCAGCAGATTGCTCGCAGTATGTTGGGCTGTGGACTTTCCTTTCAAAGCCTTGAGCTATTCCAAAATCTAGTCATTCAAGGAGCTGCCGTATTGTCAAGGACAAATGACAGCGACCTTTCTAGTCTGGAAATATTTCTTGCCAGTGTGGACGGTGATATTGTACAAGCCATGACTGCTGTTCAGAAATCCCTTTTTATAGATACCGGCGCGCGGGTAATGAATGATGGAGAGAAAAGCATGGTAAAGGGCCTCCATCAGTCGATTATTGACTGCCATGACGCTCTAAAGATAACAAATAGGGACTTCCCCTTTGGAAGAAGCCTGGTCTCAACGGCTGGGATTCTTGGCCTACCCCGGGCTGCTCTTCCAGATGCGAGCCAGCAACTTTACAATCAGATTGCTGTAGCACAGCCTCCCCCACAAGCCCAAGAGACATTTCAGTTGAATGGACGCAATGTGCCTCGGATATTTTCAGGGCTTTGGCAGATGTCGAGTCCTGCTTGGGGCGCTGCATCCACGTCTAAAATCGTAGGGCAGTTCTCAAAACATGTACAGCAAGGTTTCACGGCATTCGACATGGCTGATCACTATGGGGATGCTGAAATTGTATTTGTAGGTAGCAAGGCTTCTGGTTTTCGTCATTCACTCTGCTTATACAGATTACAGGGCCGCTTTTCATCGCTGTATCCTCATAAAGACGCAATATTCACAGCAACGAAATACTGTGTTTTCCATCCAATGGCTGTATCTCGCGAAGCCGTGCAAGCTAATGTCAGCGAGAGATGCCGACGGCTACAAACAGAAAAGATTGATTTGCTACAGTTCCATTGGCAGTTTGTAAGAAGTTGATAAGACGTGAAGCGATGCCTTTTACGCTAACCTGTTTGCAGTACGACAACCCTGACTACCTAAAGGCTCTCCAATTCTTATCAGAAGACAGTAGGGTGGCTGCAGTTGGACTGTGCAATTTCGATACGAAGCACCTTCTTAACGTAGTTGAGAGCGGCATCAGGGTACACGCCAACCAGGTTCAGGTTCGATGTTATCATTCGGTTGCTTGACAGAATAATCGCTGATCGATGACTAGTTTTCCCTTGTTGACTCGCGACCTGTCTTTGAAATGGGCAGCGCCTGTGAGAAACACGATATCAAGCTCTTGACATATGGCACATTGGTGAGATTTTGACGTAACATTACCTTTTGGGATAATGAAAAACATCTTTTCTAACTGTTAGATGAAGTGTGGTGGCTTTCTTGCCGATAAATGGCTTGGAAAGGCCGAGCCAGATGTATACGACGGATCAATTACACCTAGCCAGAGAAAGGTGAGGCGACAATACAAAGACGTCTTTGTGTAGAGTTTTGTTACTGACGCTGCTCATAGTATTTCGAGATGATTCGCAGCTGGGGTGGCTGGGATCTTTTCCAAGAGCTTCTTGTTGCGCTGAGAATTATTGCTACAAAACACCATGTCGACATATCCAACGTCGCAACACGCTGGGTACTAGATTTTCCCTACGTGGGCGCGGTTATCGTGGGCGCACGTATGGGAATCAGCGAACATACAGACGAGAACTTGCGAAGCTTTGGATGGACCCTTGACTCGTCAGACCAGGATATGCTGGAAGCTATTCTGAAGAGAAGTAGAAGAAAAGATATCTATGAACATATAGGTGATTGCGGAGCTGAATATCGATAAGATATTATCACAAATCAATTAGAGAGGAAAGGAATATTAGAGTCAGCAGACTAGATCTCAAGATTTAATACCTGAATATTTATGTTTCTTAACTTTTTAAATAAGCATTCATTTTAGAATAGGAGAGTAATTAATGTTACAAATATGCCTGCAAAAAGGTACCTTGGATAGCATTTTCTGTCTGTAATACATTTACCAACCCTCATCAAGGACGGTCAAAGCCGCATAACCACCAGTCTTGAGCACTTCAGTATCCACCACAACAATTGCAATGGCCTGTGTGGAGGAAGTTTGTGAATTGTTCTCTGCCACAGTATGATGACATCCGGGGAGCTCGATAAATGTTTCTCCAGGCTTATATGCCTTTGGCGGGTTGCCATTCATGCCGCTTGTAAACTCGCCGGCCATGACATAGGCAACTACGGTGGCTCCGCCGTGACGATGGGGAGGAGTAAATCCGTTGGGTGGATAATCCAGGTGAACTCCAACGATGGATTTTCCAGGTGCATTCGTTAACTCATGATCGAAGAGAATTTTGGTGTCTTCCCGAGGCCGGTCCCTAATAATAAGCTTTTAGGAATAATCGATATATATGGCTCGGTGGAAGGCTTACGCTTTCTTCGTGGTAGAAGACATTGCAACAATTGAGGGAGTATGTCAAAAAATAAGAAATAGGAGTTTGTGTTAAGAAGCTGTTATAATTGACCGTAGTCAAATTATGTCTTATCTTAAAAGATAGGCCTCGAGTTTTGGAGACAGTTGACGGGTTTATATAAAATCTCATCTACTACGACTTTTTGCTCATATACGGGCCATTCGGGAGAGCAATTGGTGTATTGATCTAGTAGTCAATGGATCATCACCAACAGTCCGAGACATGGCCACCCTTACTACACAGCTGCCATTCGGGTCGGGCCAAATAGTATAGCTCCACATTCGGGTCAATGGTACCCTCCGGCTCACAGCCGACCCGAGAGCAAGCAATCGCCAGATGCTTAGATCAATCGCTGTTGTGGCCTGTTCGTAGAATCCGGAGTCATGTCATTTATGGTGACTCGTTCTCGCGCAAAAGAGTGCTTGATGGCAAGGCGTAGCTCTAAATTCAGAACCAGCTTCTGTAGTCATAAGTCTCACTCAAAGTTCATTCCGCTCTTCCATAAAAATTGACCACGTATTTGATATAACTCTTTACTTCTAATTGCATAGTAACTTTAAAGTAGCCCGTATTCCTCATATACATATAATACATGAAAGTGGTGAGACAGTCAACATACCGCCTGCTCATTTAGACGCCTTCTGTTGCTGCTCCCAAATCCTTGCCGAGATCTAAAACGTCCACATCTTCCATTACTTCGCCAATAAAAGATACGCCCTCAATGTTCGTCATGACTTGCAGAGCAGAAATATCCAGTGTTCCAGAGCCATCCTGCCGCTCAAGAACCACCCGTGCCATCAACTTGATCTCCTCCGACCGGTGCCGCGCCTGTGGCCAGATTGTTATAAACGCTTTAAGCACGCCTAGAAATACGCGGACTCGATCTCTCGCATGATCCAACTCAGAGCCCGTCAAAAAATGCTGATAAGCGGAAAGAAGGGTGGCCATCGCCAAAGACCCCATGCACATCACAAACGGGCTGTGCGTTAGGGGAGAAGAGGAAGCGGTCAGCAAGTCGACAAAGTTTTTTGCAGCGCTAATTGCCTTGTTTGTGTGCCTATCGCCGTGCTGTGTTTCAGCAGTTGAGATTTCGCCGGGAAGTGGTGGTGCGTATTTCGAGCACAAAAGCTCCATCGTGGTGTAGTGTAGCATAGATCTTGGCCTATGTAAGTGGGTAGATGTTCTGCATCGATAATCGTTAGTCATTTTTCAAATTACGCCTTTCGCAGGATTTCTCTCACGTGTTCATCACCATATGTGCTTTGAATAAAACCTCATCAATAGTACCATCTCGTCGGACGGGATCGCGTTTTCGCTGTGGTAGATACAGATGCCAGCTCATGAGATTTGCTTCTGCATTTTTAACCAGAGAGTAAGGCGATTCATTAGCAGTATCACCAGCGGCCAATGTTGTCCCAAGTATCCGTGTTGCGTCTATGAGGTATGCATAAGAGGAAAAGCTTTCGTCGTTTAGGCCACGATCGTCGTATTGACGCATTGTTTGCGGGAATGGGATCCTCTGGAGCAAAATTAGCAAAAGATATACTTGGTTCATGAACAGCATAGAAGGCTACTTACTCCTGTAACATATAGCTCTTCTTCGCAAGGAATGTCGACATCAGTGTCTATTCCCCAGAGTGTGAATGTAGGTAGATGGCGGATCCCGGCAAACATTGCATCCGCCACAAAGAGTTCCCACCAAGTCCGGCGCCAGCTTTCTTCCAGTGCCTTTTCTCCGCGTCCATGGCGAGAAGCAAAGTCCCGGTGTTGCATTCCTATTTCTAGTGCGGTATTCTTCGCTCTTTCAAGAATTGTTGCCGCCCTCTCATTTTCGCCGGCCCATTCTAGAGTCAGAGCAAGAAGTAAGAGAGCCTGGACAGTGAAGCCATTGGGTGAAAGCGCAAGGTCAAAAGACTCTTCTGCCTGTTTTTTGTATTCAAATGATTGCGGATCATGGATATATAGCGAACCAATGAGTGTAATCATGAGAAACAACTGGCCGCTAAAATCCGGATTGCTTTCGAATTGTTGTTTCAAGTACACTCTCGGGAGGACGAAAGGATGGCTGGGGAAGAAAAATTTGTAGAATCCGTCAAAGGGTCGACTTATGAGAAAGTCATTGTCCGCAAAAATAGCTGGCTGTAGAACACCATTCGACGTCGTAAAAATAGAGTGAGGGCTGGGCGGAGTGCTGGATCGATTGGGCGTTAATGAAGGCTCGTTAGAACCCAGACTTGGTTGGCCAGCTTGCACCATATCATCAACCATGTTTCCAATTTCATCATGCGTATCGGCGAGCATTGAATTCTGGATTCCGGTTCGTCTTCTGCGGGTCTCTCGCAAATCCGTGTAGATGCATTCTTTGCTCAAGCTGCGGCATCGCGAACAAATCGGCATGGCGGCATCGCACCGCAGATGCTGGCCGCGACATGCGGTGCACGCAATCGCAACTCGTCGCTTGATCTTCCTCCCGCTTGGCTTCCGTGCAGGCGTCTTGGATTCCATCTTGGCTGATGAAAGAGATGACTGGAGTCTCCGCCGTCATCTGGAATTTAGGGATCGGGCCACAGTGCGAGAAGCCATGAGCCCCACACAGTGTCCCGTACGGCTAGGAGTGCGTGGATGATTCGACTCTGAGAAAATACGGTTAAATATGATCATCAGCTTTGGCTCACTGAAAAGTTTTTTTTAGGAAGATTATGGTCCTTTGACTGGCTGCTAGGGTTGTATATACATTCGATCTATTTTTCTTTTGTGGCGAAGAATGAGGAGAGAAAACGGCGTAGAAAGCGAGTGCTTGTAAAGAAACAAATGGCCTTGCGAATGGTATCATCTTTTCTTCAATTTCAATCTCTTTTTTTGGTCGAGTGAGACTTATTTGACTGGTTGCCGAAGTGTAGTGACTGATGCGCGGATCGCTTCATCGACGTGTACCCTCCTGATTCCAGGGCATGGGCCAAGGCAAATTGCTTTCTCTGCCAGCCCCCGGATTAGCTTATCAAGGTCAACAGTTATCCTCAGATCCTGATGTTCTTCTGGACCAGTTGCTGTTTTGTTGGAAGTAAAATCTACTCCCAAATATCCTTCTGGCTTTGCGAAATCACTGAAACCTATAGGGATAACTTGACTCTCTCCAGATGTCCTCCCAAATATCGTCCAGTCATGTTCTGGGATTGAAGCACGCCCTGCTGAACTTGGTTCGTTACTTGGTGGCGCTGATAGCCTAATCACATCGCTGGGTGAGCCCATACGGACAAATATTCCTCGTTGCTCAAGGTATTCTTCAACATCTGGCGCTTCCAGCCACTCTCCTTGGAATTCAGGATTGATTGCATGTAGCATTGTTCTGGTCAGGCCAAATTCCAGGCGCTCCAAGGCTGGTGGTGATGACCTTGGCTGGAGAGTGCTCAAGTTTCCCTCGACAAGGCGCATCATCTTGGGCAGATATGCATTTCGGCCTTCGCTATAGAGACAATCTGCGAGAGAAGCATTAGGGTTGCCAGACAGCCGTTGGGAGGTTCTTTCCAGCAGATCTTCGACTCGATCAAACTTGAGCGGAAGAAGCATCGTCGGATTTAGTGCCAGGACATGGAGATTTCCAAACTGCAGTAAATCCATGGCTCGTGCCAAACAAGCTAGTAGCAGCCGTTGTGAGACTGGAACTAGACTGCTACTACCAGCTGTAGGTTCATTGTGTCTTGAGTACCGGTTTGCTCCAGCCACGTCCCTTCCAGGTGCACTGAACCATTCGGCTATTATACTTGATGGATCGTGGGAAGAGCCTGCATCTCCACTTGAATCTGCTGCAATCTCTTCTGGAGACCGACTTTCATCGCTGGCCGACGTGGAATGCTCCGTGCGAGCCTTCCTTGCTATAGACACAATATTCATGGCTGTCTTATTGAGTTCCATGAAGAACCCATCCGGCAATTCGCTTTTCTTTTTGGACACTCCTTCATAAAACTGTATGAACTCATCAATGGAGCTATCCAAGGCCCTTTCAAAAACTTCAGCTCGAGTCTTTGCTATGACAAGTGCGTTCTGTTTCCGATTCCGGTATGATCTCTGAGCCAATCTCATCCGAGCTCTCCTCTAAGATGCGATTGATTAGATTGAATAAGGCTTAAACGGAAAGTAAACTCACAGCTTCAGTATTTACTTCGCCTTGGGCAGTTTCGCTCATTCGCGGGCGACCAGGCCGCCGAGGCATCATAGCCTTGGCCTGATGATCCATAATTCACGCTTCTTCACTGCTCGATAGACTACTGTTTAACAGATTCTGCCGTTAATGAGACAAAGCATTTGTCTATCTATAATTGACGTCGTGTCTCCTGCTATATTTGCGATTGTAGGAGCCAAGGCCGCTGACAAATAATGCAGAGTTCCTCTGACGTAAGCTATGTCCGTGAAATCAGACAAATTGTTTTTGCGTAAGGCCGACGGAACGGACTTTTAGCTGTCGCATCCCAAATTAGTATCATGAAGCTGATGGAGATTACTCTTTTGAACGGAAATATTGAACTTTAAGATCACTCTCCCTATGAAAATCTATTATTATAACATGCGATACTACCTAATGCAGCTGGGTTCGAAAGCTCAGGTACCTGTGCTCCGTACATGTAATCTTTCGGCAACAAATCGGCTCTACAGGCTACCGGAACTCTCAAGGCCGCTCGCTACATATCTTTGCGACTGGCTTACACACTAAGAGGCTTGGCAATACCGCCAGCTCTGAGTGGTATATACTCATAAAGGTCATCATACAGCCAAATAATTCGACATTATGAATGCTGTTGAAGTTGCATATGCTAATTTATTGTGAAATCGGAGAGATTGATGGACTCAAAGCGATGGGACTGTGGATATCTGAAAGGCTTCTAGCACTGGGAGGCATCTGGCAAACTAAGAAGAGATACTATACCTAGCTATCACGAGAGGACGGCTAGAAAAGGTTTGACATCCTGCTAAATAAGTTTTGGAGGCGTTTATGACTATGTTGGCTTTGGATATTTTTCCCTATCAAAGTTTATCTGTGTCGTTTTAGACACAAACTAGCTTTAGCCAATAGGCATTTATGGAGAAAGTAGGCAAACAACTTAATATGAGAGAAGAGCCTTGTTAAACTTTCGGTAATCGAGTGGCAGAGTGCTTAAAAGCTAACAAATTTACTTCTTTAATTGACAAGTTGCAAGGTGATGTAGGGTACGTGCCACTACGTGGCGATCCAAGAGGGGATATAATATTCAGCAACGCCGGCCAAGCAAGACAAATCCAATAGACATAGGACATAGTATAGATACTTGGCAAATACATTATAGCGGCCGACTACACAAATTAAACGAATGAGGTATGGATGACTCAACTAAAACATGCCAGTCCATAGTAGAAGGCTTCATCAGTATATATAGGTATAGATCACCTATTCGTGTAATACTCGTAGCCAAAAGAACAAAAATGAATAGCAATACGTATGTAGGCTGCTACTAGACCTAGGCTTATTCTAGTTGTTTTCTAGCTTCAATCTTTGGGACCTATTGCCACAAACTTTAGTCATTCACTATAATACCTACCTAGTTGTATAACGCACACTCGGCATACCCGTACTTAGAAAGCGTGGCTGAACTTGCACGCCTTATCGGCAGCGCACGTACCTTTCGGGAGCAAAGCCACGATGGCAAGTCTCCACAGAGTTTTACCACAAATGGCCACTAGACCCTGAAGACTTATCGCCCACGAGAGCATCAAAATTTTTTCGCCAACAGTGAAGAGAGCAGGACCCACGTGGGCCGGGCTAGTTTGGTAGATATCAGAGGGGACAGGGCCTCTCTCCCCCATAAAAAGCACAAAAAGGTGCTACAGGAAGAAAACAAGGACTCTGTGAAGATCTCCTCTGTCGATAGCAGTAGTTGTTGCGGAAGCCGTCTGCAGAATGAGGTCTCGTAGTGTGGAGCCCCTGATCCAAAGGCTGCCACCCCTTAAAAGAGCCGCTAGTCTTACAGAGGCTGAGGCACGCCGGGCGCTGCGCTGTCTTCACGAGTTTTCCTACTATCCAATCCCAGAGGTGTTGGGACAGGAGGTGCCCAGGAAGACGACAGACGCCCCCGTGCTGGATTCGGGTTATGTCTCGGAAAACGAGGCTGACGAGATAGCCAGCGAGAACAAAGCCATATCCCTGTACCTGGAGCCGTTGGAACGCGACTTTGCTGTACGATGGCTTACCGGATTTGTTGGACAAGCCTGGGAACTCCCGCTTGAAGAAGAGACTCGAGATGACTTTGTTGATGCGGCATGTTCACTGCTGTCGCATCTGACTTCGACGGAGAATGGATGCAGTACGGCTGATGAGGAGGATCTTGGTATGACGCGTCGGTTTCAGTTCCCGACGGGTGACAACTCGGAAGATGTTGTTGTTGATCTCTACGACACTCCCATGCAAACGGGAGAAGATCACACCGATGTTGGCTTGCAGACTTGGGGGGCATCCATCGCCTTCTCACAGATGCTCTGCAGTACGCCAGCGGACTTCAACTTGGATCGGACAAGACTTGATGCCTCGACACGAATCGTGGAGCTTGGTGCCGGCACAGGCCTTGTTAGCATGGTGCTTGCAAGCCTCCTGCCCTCAATAGCCGATTCACTCCCATCTATTGTTGCCACGGACTACCATCCCACTGTTTTGAAGAACTTGGAAAGGAATGCCGCCTCTCTCGGCTCTAGAACGAAACCCGCAGCATCGATGCAAGTCGCCCATCTCGATTGGTGTGCTCCGACGCGCGAGCCTCCCCTGGATGTATTGGCAGACATCGTCATCGCCGCAGATGTTGTCTACGCTGCGGAACATGCTCGCTGGCTTCGTCATTGTGCGGCTCATATCCTCGCGCCCGGAGGCGTCTTCTGGCTAATGGTATCTATCCGACCAAACGGGAAATTCGAAGGCGTTTGCGATTCAATCGAGGCCATATTTGCTGAAAACAACACGGCCACAACGGACAGCTGTCAGCATCTAAGGATCTTGAGCAAGCAGTGGATTGATAAGAAGCATAACATCGGAAGAGCTGATGAAGTGGGATATAGGCTCTTCAAAATTGGCTGGGTATAAGTTGCCTGCGCCGAACCGGCACTTCCTGTCGGCTTTATTTCTGTGGGACTTTTTGTGTTCTTTTTTCAAATTTTTTGTATTTGTTTTATAAGCGGAAAGATGGATTTATAGAGCGTTTTAGACGGCAAGATAGAGAAAAGAGCGTCCTTCAATAGAGAGGGTGGGCATGATTAGAGAGGGATCATGGATAGACAGACTATAGACTTAGAACTTTCGTGCGTTGACATCGCATCATGCCGAATATATATGTTTTAAATAAATGATCAGTGTCATTTACACTCAGAGCCTATCCCGAACGCTTTAACGATACGCGCACTCCATTTAAGCTGCTTGTTGTTAGTGCAATATTTTCCTGCCACGGCCGAGAGTCTCTGGACTCGATGGTTTCAAATTCTTGAAGAAATCGAATAAGCACGTAGCTAGCCTCCATTATAGCAAATTGTTCTAAAAAGAGAATAAATTAGTTAGGATAAGAATTCGAGCCATCATGGAATAATGTACTCACGGCCAATACATATTCGAGGGCCGCCATTGAATGGGAGGAACTCCCACGACAATCGGAGCGACTTCCATCGCGAGGGGTTAAACTCCTCAGCATCGGCGCCATACACTTCCTGTTTGCGATGAAGGCCGAAGACATTGTACACAACCGGAGTTCCCTTGGGGATGAATAGAGGGGATTTTCCCTCCAGGCCTCCTCCCCGCGGAAGAACTGTATCAACGATTGCCACTCGAGAGTTGACTGGAACAGGAGGATAAAGCCGCAAGCTTTCATTAATGGTATAGCGAATATACCTGCATTCTGATATGTTGTCAAATGTCGGTGGCTGATTCTGGAATTGCGCAACTTCATTCCGTAGCATTGACCACAACTCTGGTCGTGTCGAAAGCATGAGAAAAACATTAGCGATGAGGCCGGCAGTGGTATCTCTGCCAGCCACAAGGATGTTTAGGATTTCATTCCGAATTTGGATCGGATCCTGAGTATCTTCAATGATGGCTCGCAAGAGAACATAAGGAAGTGCCTTGGAGTCGGAGCTGTTCCCACGCAAGGCGTCATGCACAAGGTCATCCACAAACTTGTGTACAACGTTTACATGCTGCTGGAACTTTGGATCTGGTTTAAGAATAGCCAGCCCACCTAACGCGATATGCGTTGCGATTCGATCTTGTGCGTATTGAATTGAGTCCTTGAACCCCTTTAGCTTACTGTGATAGTCATGCTGCTCCTGTAGCAAGCTATTGGTAGACTCTCCCAGTAAAAAGTCAGTGGCCATGTCCATAGTAAAACGCAATACCAGTTCTTGGAGTTCTATCTCTTTCCCGTCGATTATGACGTCCATCAAGCGCTTGACGTGAGTTTCCAGCATGGACAAGTCCATGAGTTGTTTACGAGCGAATTGAGGCCGAAGAAGAGCACGGGAATGGGCCCAAGCAGCGCCATCTGAGCTGAAAATTCCAGCTCCCATAAGAGGATGGAGTGCCTTTTTCCGTTCTTCTTGCAGATTGTAGTCTTTGAAACGTGTAGAGAGAACCGTCTTGATGATTTCATGGTCTCGGGTCATGATGCCTGCGTTGATTGTATTTTCTCAGTCAATATGGATATGAGGATAAATTCCATGTTTACAAGGCTATCGACGTGACATACCTACTGTCCCCAGCATGTTGAGCTGGTATGTTTCCCCGACTTCATCATGCCGTTTTGTCACTGTCTCTAGGAACTGATGCTTAGAGAATGCCTTAAAGTTACTGATGAGTAGATCAATTCCATAAAATGGATCCTTGTGAGGGTATTTGATCTGAATAGGCTCGCATCCATGCTGCTGCGAAAACTCTCTCTGCTTTTTGGAGCTGCTAATTCTATAGGATATGAATCTGAAGAGGCAATACAATACGCCCCCGGTATACAACGCCAACGCGATTTGGCTGCGATCCATCACGTTGGCAAAATATTGAGATAATGGAGACCAATATTACCACCACTACTTAGCTTACTTCCCGATCTGTCATGAGACAGTACTTATAGCCCAGTAGACGGATTGCCTGTGCTTCATCGGAAGGATGCTCGGTGGATTGATGAGCGCTAATGCTAAAACCAGTCTGTCCCACATAGCACTTTGAGCAGTTCCATTACTAGCAAGATGCAGCTCGCAGCGTAAGACAATTATACACACATACCCCAGAACCATACACCATGCTGGGAGCAACCATATCCGGCAAGACGATATTTCTGTTCACGGTTGAGTGATTTATGTAGATCCTATACATGAGCAGGGCTACAAAATGGAGAATGCTTGTCAGTGAGAATCTCCAAACCAACCCACCACCTTCGACTCTAGCCTCGCTTTATGTGGAACTCTTTGCAATAGCAATTAGCCTCTGTTAATACCGTCCGTCACTGGCGACCATCATTTCTTCCAAAATGAAGATTCTATGTTTACATGGACGCGGTTCCAATAATGAGGTTATTCATCACTCATTACATCTCACACAGCCTATCATCACCACATTGAACTAATTCGCATCATGGAAGCTGTTATAGATCTTTCAAGCCCAGACTGCCTCTCTGAGAAGCATTTTGGATGATTATTCGTTCGACTTCGTTCAAGGAACAGAGCTGCATACAGAAGGTGCGTCACCATAGTCCAATCAGAGCCACACACAGTGTTCTTATCGTATACCCATATAGGAAATTGGTCTGTGTACACTGCCCAATTCTCAAGCTTGCCTCAGTATGGCTACTACAATCCTCTCAGTCCATCATCTGTAAAGAATGCAGAGGACCATCTACTAGAGCTCATCGAAGAAGAAGGAGGATTCGATGGAGTATTGGGTTACTCTGGCGGAGCGGCATTTGCAGCTCAGGCAATTATTCGGCACAACCAGACAGATCCAAGTGAACCTCTGTTTCGATTTGCCATCTTTTTCAACGGCGGGACTCCCATCAAAGCATTCACGCTGAGTGAAGAAAAGGTAATGGCTGGATCAGTAGACACTGCGGCGATAGACAAGGAATTGGCAGCAACTTTCTTTCGCCCGTCAAACATGCGAGTACGCAAAGGGGATAGCCGAGAAGAAGCCGAAAGGGCTATTGAATCCCGCAAGGAAGAAATGAAGTCCATTGAGACGGGCAAGCTTAGCGATGGAAGGTATTTCTTGACTGACGGAAAGCTTGGTTTAACAAGATACGAGGGCGCGATAGATGGTCCGCTTGTTGACATCCCGACACTTCATGTGAGGAGTGTACTCGAGGATGATGCTAATCTAGGACTGAACTTGCTGAATTTATGCAATCCCGACTTGGTTCGAGAACACCATCATCCGTTTGGACATGACTTCCCGAGAGGGCAAGAGGAAATCCGAAAGATTGCACAGATGATTGTCGAGCTGGTGGAATCAGCATAGCTACATTCTTAGGCAGGCAAAAGGTTGGCGTTATAGTCTACCAATAGGAAACGAAAACTCATTTCCCATATTCTTCCCACAGTAGCTGTCTGGGTCCTGAGTGCCAACAACTTGCATCTCAGCCACCGTCGCCCCAAGGCCGTCGGCAACGGAAGACCCCTCAATGGATAGCCTCAAGAACCGAACCAGTGCTGACTTGTGAAGCTCCACTACGGTTATGTTTCCTTCGCGTATTCGAATGGCTCGTGATTCCTGGGGATTGTATGGTGCTGATATCTCCACCTTGTGCGTGGGGTGCAGCTCTTGGAAATCCTTTTCCGCCGCTTCGCTCCCATGTAAGCTAAAACTAGAAGGTGGCACACCACCCCAGTTGAGGACAACTTTTGAAACATCGCGTGGCTTGTTGCCCTGCAGCTCAACCGTGACCGAGGCCTTTTGGGGGCTGGATGGCTGCCACACGGTCGAATTCGCGCCGTCGACTACCGCATACGGATAATTTCCAGCGGCCCAGTCGGAATCAGAGGCTACCGGCTGACACAAGGCCAGATCCTCTTTGGCATGGCTGATATCAGGTCGTCTCGTTGGGACGACAATCGACTCCCCTCGAGCCAGGCGATATTCTTTTACATCTGGGTTTCCGCCAAGTATGCGTAGTTTTACATATTTTTCTGCCCTTGAGGATGTGTTACGTCGAGTGATTGTAGTGGTTTCCATCTCGATCGTGACATCAAACGATGCATTCTGCCATTTCATGCCCTTGATCTGAACGCCGCCTGGAATCTGAGGTGGTAGAGTTGGGTCAAGATAGAATGCTTCTGCGTTTGGGCGCATCCCGGTAAGGCCATGAGTGAAGTATTGCAAGTAGCCGCCAGCCCCAGTAAGAAAGGGAAACGCTGGATTAAGTCCAAAGATGAACGCGGGGTTATCCACCCCTTCAGGCTCTGAATCTAACATTGTCTCGCTGAATTGGTAAAAGGGTTGCCGAATGTATGACTCCGATGAGCGCTGCATGAAGGTATATGAGGCACATCCCTTCTGCTGCAGCTGGGCTTCAGAGATTGCATAGATGGACCATGTCATCGCTGGCCCATCTGCTGTGTTAATTGAGGAGTACTGACATGACTGGTTAATTATTTCGAGATGATGTAAAACTAAGACCAGGGGCACTCACATATGCAACGTCATTTCGTGCTTGTGCATCACTCAGCTGAAATTGGAGCGGGTAGTTGATCAAGCCTACGCTGGCTTGTTTGACACGCCACGTGCCATCCATCCCGGAAAACTCGACGATGATTTTTTCCTTCTCCTCATACGGGATGTACATGTTCTCCGCAATACGAGACCAGTTTTGAGGGACTGGTAAATTTAGGCGGCCAGCAGCCGATGGGGCCCAGTCGCCAAGCAGCTGCTTGATGGATACCCCGGTGAATGCGCCATTGTTAATGTTGTATGCAAATTCATCCTGTAACATATTGTCCGGTCAGTAAGATCCCTGGGTGTAAGTGATTACTTGTCGAAGTGATAACATACCGGCTCTCCCAATTGAATGGTTTCGTATTGTCCGGTAGAAGTGTTGTGAAATACATATGCAGCAAACATATCAGCAACTTTTTTGATCACCGGCCATCCTTGTTTAGCAAGCCAGTTCAGGTCATTTGTCTGCTGAAAGTATTGCCAATGAGCTAATGCGATATCAGAGTTGATGTGGTACTGGTAGCCCTTGCACGCCCCGGTGCCCGTACAGTTACCAAATCGGCCACTGGTCCACGGATACAGCGCCCCGGAAAAGTTGTAGTACTGGGCATTCTCAACAGCCTGATCCAGGAGAAGCGCACGGTAATTGTTGATGCTCGCGGCATACTGTGGGTACAGAGAGAGTACCGAAGGGTACACCCACGTATCTGCGTCCCAGAATACTAATCCAGCGTAAGAATCGCTAGAGAGCCCGCCGACGGAAATTGAATTAGCGAATCCAGAGTCCTCGGGGAGAAGGCCGGCGAGAATGTGGAATAGTGATGCTCGCGTGCGGACTTGCAAGTCTTTGTTGCCTCTGATCACAATGTCCCCGTCGTTCCAGACCGCGTCCCATTTCTCTGTGTGCTCAGATATCAGATCATGCCACTCAGCAGATCTTGCCGAGATCGCCACGTTCTTCGTACGTGCCAGCGTGTCTCTGGGAAAGGCTGCTGTGGAGCCGATTCCTACAAACTTGTACACGGTCAAGGATTCCCCCCGCGTCAGATCCCAGTCCCAAGTGCTCGCCACGGTGCTCGAGTTGGTGGAGACCCAGGGATACCCCTCACCATTGTGCCTCGTGCTAGATCCGCTTACAGAGTTGGGATTTGCACTTTCGAATTTGACTGTGGAGACAGTATATGCCGTGCAATAGTCGATTCCTGAGGGCTTCACACTCGTCCAAATCGTAGCGTCTTCGTCGAACAATTTCTTATGAAAGTCGGCCCGTACAGCGCCCGCCCCGTCCAAGATATCGGTTATCTTTAGCTTTGTATCCTGGCTGACCGAGAGATCTAAGCGAACAATCCCCAGGTTGAGCCGACTTCGGTGCGCAAGGACAGTGTAGTTCAGCTGGTAGGTGGTGTTATGCCCTACCGGATTCCACGTAATGTTGGTCTGAACAATTCCGTTTTGGACTGAAAATGACTGATAGAAAGACTTAATGGTAGAAGGATCGACTCCGGGTTCATACGTCTGGCCGTCCTGCGCTGTAACCGTAAGACCAGTCCAGTCCGGAATACCGCTGATAACAGATTCGCCTCCCCGTTTCAGATTGTCTGGGACGAGGGTGTGCGTGATATTCTGCTGAACATCCCAAAATCCAGAAATAGTTCCAAATGTGGCTCTTGGTTGATCCAGCGGCCACGCTATGCGATCACAAGACTGATTAGCATTATTCCACACAACGAAAACGCAAGGAATCCATGCTACACAAACAATTTAACACGAAGCCGCCAGTGGAATCATCTCGATATGTCCAATATCCAACGCCTTCAGCCGGCAGTCGCTGGCCAAAGTATCCATTGGTAACGTAGGGGGAGTTTTGATAACGATTTGCAATGAACTGCTTCGTAGAAAGGATCCAAGGGTCGGAATCGGCAGAACCAGGACTTCCCCAGACACCAATGGCTAGTACTGCTAAAACGAAGGTCTTATTCATGATTACGGCATGGAGATTAAGCTTGATCTTGGGAACATGCGGAGCACATAAGTAAGCCCTTTATTTGTCTCGGGGGTTGCAGGATCCTCCCCGTCATCGGCGTGAATACTAAGATTTGCAATAAGGAAATTAACAGGATGTTTACGCACATACAACTTAGTACGAAACGGGACAAAAAACGGGGACGGTTTGTGCTGCTATCGTACATTTGCAGCATATTTAGCTGATCATGTAGGAGCGCCTGTTCCTGTTGGGTAACACCTTGTGTCCATCTTGTGTTGGTATTCCAGGCCCACAACCAAGCAATACGAGGGCTAAGTAACTACGCAAGTGAAATAGAAAATCAAGATAAAAAAGCAGGTAAATAGTTAAAAAGTTTGCGTAATAGACCCCGATTGCCGCCGGCAAGTTGCCTATTGGAGCAGTTGGCTCCAATCAACGCTGCAAAGAATAAGCGCTATGGCTGCAAAGTGCTCCCTCATCCTTGACTAACGGACCGACGGATTCCTGCCGAGTACTCAAATCCATGGTTGATTCAGATTTGCTACCCTTGCATAGATGTCCTAACGATGGTACTATGCAGGTTTCGAAAGGAGGAAATGAAGTGCGAATAGAAATTGCACTACCTACGGGCTTCCGGACGCACTATTGCCAGCAGCTTACGCCGGTGTGGGAATGTATGGGGAACGGGCCGAAATGGAGGAATCCCTGCCAATCATTCCATCAATCAGCGGACAACTTATTTTGGAGACGACATGATAAATAGGGAGTTTGGAGTATCTAACTGATACAGCTCTTAGAAAGACATGGACAGGAATAGATAGAAGCCACTATGCAAGGCATAGGTACTTATAGTTCTGGCCTCCTGGAACAGAGATTTCCCCCAAATTTGGGTCTTATTGGCCCAGCTGCTATTAGCGTGCAGTCCACCTTGATAGTGGGGGTTTTGATGCTCGTATACGGACAACATTGAATACAGCTAGCCTCTATTTGTAGGAGGTCGAACAATAATACCTGCACAAGACGCTGAAAGAACAAGGTAATACGGATAACCAATGTCCGAGTGTGGTTCCACAGTTATTCGCGGGAACAGCCATTAAAGAATTGTAATCTGGCTTTGCGCCAGTATTGCCAAAATATACACACAACACAGGGCTACCCCGGCATTCTCTAGAATCGTGTTAGCACGATGGTGTAGCTATTATCCTGTTGCCGCCGGTTATAGAGCTCCGCATGTACACTATGCCATCTTTGCTTGTAGTATACAAATGACGCTCATAACATTAACATAGCCTCGTTTGTATTAAGCAACGGTATCGAGCAGGCTACTCGGACAGCATATTGATTTGCCTGTGATGCATTACTTTATAAAGGTCTTCCCAGTGTACTGTTGATATTCCTTGAGAAGAGCTGCATCTCTTCCCTTTCTTTTCAAATTTGTATTGTCAAAGTTGACGTCGCCGCGATGGAGCCTCTCGCCATTATCGGTATGGCCTCTCGGTTCCCCCAGGAGGGGGACAACAACGAGAACTTTTGGAAGATGCTCATGACTGGCCGATCTGCCATGACTCCATTTCCAAAGAACAGATTTGATATGGACGGGCATTACCACCCGGATGTTGAACACGGAGGAACAGTTAGTGTCTTTGATGTCTGTTTGTTTTGCATGTATACTCACACGATGGGTAGTTTCACGTACAAGGCGGCCATTTCATGAAGGGTGATCCTTCCGAGTTTGATAATCAGTTCTTTTCCATCCCTAAAGGCGAGGTGATGTCTCTGGATCCTCAACAGCGCCTGATGATGGAGAATGTCTACCAAGCTCTAGAGAATGGTATGTATTACTAGTCTTACAGCACTTGTCTCGTATTTGGTCACTCACATAGTCCTAGCTGGCATTCCATTGGATCGAGCGGTAGGATCGAATACATCAGTATTCAGTAGTGGTTTTAATCATGACTATCTTCAGCTGTTGAACAGCGATCCTGAGATTAAACTGAAATATAAGCCCATGGGGACCAGTAATTCTATCATATCCGGCCGTGTCAGCTGGTTCTTCGACTTCAAAGGCCCAAGTCTTACTGTCGACACAGCATGCTCTAGTTCTATGGTTGCTTTCCATTTGGGAGCTCAAAGCTTACGAAATAACGAATCTGAAATGTCCGTCATCTGCGGTGTTAATGTATTCACCTACCCCACAGATTGGTTTGGCATGGACCACCACGGATTCCTCTCTGCCGATGGCAAGTCTTACAGCTTCGACCACCGTGCGAGCGGATACTCCAGAGGAGAAGGCGTTGGAACGGTCATCTTAAAACGCCTTTCCACAGCTCTCCGAGATGGAGATACCATCAGAGCAGTTTGCTTAGCAAGTGGCCTGAATCAAGATGGACGAACACCTGGAATCACGCTACCTAGCGGGCCTGCGCAGGAGCAAATGATACGTGAGGTGTACAAACGGGGAGGACTAGACATTGGAAAAACTGCCTATGTTGAAGCCCATGCTACGGGAACTGCAGCCGGAGATCCTATAGAAGCACGAGCGATTGCAAACACCTTTGCTACTGCTGATAGAGAGTCGCCGCTGATAGTGGGAGCTGTCAAATCGGCCATAGGTCACACAGAAGGAGCTTCCGGCCTGGCTGGTATCATCAAATCTGTGATGGTCTTGGAATCAGGAATGATTCCTCCGAACGCAAATTTCGAGAAGGCAAACCCGAAAATTCCAATCGACAAATGGAAAATCAAACTGCCACTGCAACCTACCCCATGGCCTGCACCAGGTATGCGACAGCTTTCGATCAATTCTTTTGGGTTCTCAGGTACAAACGGCCACGTTGTTCTTGTTGATGCTCTTCATTACTTGGAACAACAAAAGCTGTCTGGATTTCACAAGACTTTGCCTTATCCGGATATAACTCAGAACGGCCATACAAATGGTAATGGTGTGAGCGAAAGCGCAACGAATGGCCATACTCATACCAACGGTCATGCTCAGTCCAATGGCCACGTTGAAGCCAATGGACATGCTAAAACAAACGGGCATACCGACGCCAATGGCAACTCTACAATTGCCCGTGTTCCGTTGGTTTTTGCCTTCTCATCCTTTGATGAACAAGGTGTCCAAAGAAATGCCAGTGCCCTGGCTGACTACCTCAAAGATCTACTTGTAGATCCTTCAAGCAACGCAAAGAATTATTTGAGTGACTTGGCGTATACCTTGGCAGCAAAGCGTACTACTTTCCAGTGGCGGTCTTACTACCTGTCAAATAGTTTGGATGATCTAGCCCAGAAGCTGGCCACAGAGTCGTCTCTTCTGAAGCCAGTTCGGACAAGAGGAGCTCCTAGCATTGGATTCGTCTTTACTGGTCAGGGCGCTCAGTGGTACGCTATGGGACGTGAGCTTTTGGCGTTTTCCACATTCAAGGAAAGCCTAGAAAGCGCTTCTCGTTATATGCAGGAGCTGGGTAGTCCCTGGTCTCTCTATGGTAAGTTTCTAATCTATTGCTCTGAGCACGTTTGCTCAAAATACTGTGATCATATGGCTAAACATGCAATGCAGAGGAACTTCTCAAAGATCAAGCTGATTCACAAATCGACAAGCCACAACTGGCTCACCCATCTTGCACTGCAATTCAAGTTGCCCTTGTCGACTTACTGTCTTCTTGGAACTTGCGGCCTACACGCGTAGTCGGTCACTCCTCTGGTGAGATTGCAGCTGCGTACTGTTCCGGAAAGATCTCCAGGCAGGCAGCTTGGAGAGTGGCTTACTACCGAGGCTACGTTTCTGGCCGAGTTTCAAGCAGTGGATCAATGCTTGCAGTTGGTTTGCCAGCTGCCAGTTTGGATGAGTATCTTGAAAAGGTCAATTCTCAACTGCCTGGTGAATTAACTGTGGCTTGTTACAACAGCCCCAAAAACCACACCATATCCGGTGACGCCATGAAGATTGACGAGCTGAAAAGGATACTTGACGAAAAGGAGATTTTCGCAAGAAAGCTTAAGGTTAAGACTGCGTATCATTCATCGCATATGAAAGATGTGGCAGATGAATACTTGCAGCTGCTAGGAGATATGGAAAAGCCAGCAGGTGTCCAATTCACAGCAGACATGTACTCAAGCGTCACAGGTCATCGGATCGAGGGCGATCTAACATCGCAGTATTGGGTTGACAATCTGGTTTCGCCCGTCCGCTTCACAGATGCATTGCTCAAGATGTCCTCAGAGAGCTCTTCCAAAAACTCGATGCGAGTCAATACTAGCAACAGCGCGATCCAGGAAATCGTCGAAGTTGGTCCTCATTCAGCACTTCGTAGCGCCATCAAAGAAACGCTCACTAGCCATTTCAATGATAATCAGCTCATTGGATATCACGCAGTTTTAGATCGCAGCAATCCGGGTGTTGACACTCTTCTGACGTCTGTTGGAAACTTGTTTGCACGTGGCAGCGCCGTTGATCTCAGCCTTGTGAATCAAGCATCGCCGTCTCATTCAAGCGAGCAATCGCCAACAATGCTCGTTAACTTGCCTCCATATGTTTTTAACCATAGCCAAAGCACATGGTATGAGAGTCGGCTGAGTCGCAATTACCGCTTCCGCAAATATCCACGCCATGATCTGTTTGGAGCTCCTGTCCCCGATTGGAATCCAGAAGAACCGGCTTGGCGCAACTTTATTCGAATCTCTGAACAGCCTTGGTTGCGAGACCACGTAGTAAGTCAAAATCCATTGTTAGCGTATTAAAGGTTAAAAGCTAACAGAACATAGGTCACAGGCAGCATTGTATACCCTGGGTAAGATTTTGTATTCGAACGCTCACCTGAATGAATTGTAAAAGCTAAATTGTCAACAGTGTGGGCTATATCATTATGGCTATTGAAACCTCAAAGCAAATCGCATCGCCGGACCTTAAGCTGCTCGGGTTCCTACTCAAAGATATCTCAATAAAGAGCGCCCTTATTATTCCCGACAACAAAGAAGGAGTCGAAGTCAAGTTTTCAATGGTTGGCATGGACGAATCCAGTCTCGAGAAATCCAAGTTGTGGAGAAAGTTTACCGTAACAAGCTATAACGGCAATGCAGACGACTGGGTAGAGCATTGCACGGGCTACATCCAGACTCAATATGAAGTCTTGCCTGGCCCAATCGATGAGGGGCTTGAAGAAGCTTCAGAAGCCCAGGCCTCCAAGAAGATGCTCGAGGACAGCATTTCACGATGCAACACACCTACAAGCATCAACTATGATAACTTGGATACGATCGGGCTGCACTTTGGACCACTGTTTCAGAACTTGTCTGAAGTTGTTGTCAATAAGGGCCAAGGTGAAGTATCCTCATTCATCACTGTTCCAGACGTCGCCAAAGTGATGCCGAAGAACTTCGCCCATCCTCATATGATCCATCCGTCCACAATGGATTCTATGATGCATCTCTTCATAGCTGGTAAGTCAAAGAAATTTCTCGCGGTCTCGTTGAAGGGTCACTAATCATATTCTTTGTTCAGGTGTTCTCGATATCACTGACAAAACCACGTTGGAGTCTCCTATGGTTCCTACCTTCATCAAAGAAGTCCGCGTCTCTGCCAAAATAGAAAGCACTGCCGGCCACAAGTTCAGAGGATTCGGAGTCTCAAAGTTGACTGGGTTTCAAAAATTCCACAGCGACATCACAATTTGGGACGAGAAGACGAACGAAGAGAGAATTGCCGTCAGAGGCTGGTCAGGCAAATCTTTGGGATCAGAAATATCTACAGCCGAGGCGAAGAAGATGTGCCACGTTGTAGAGTGGATGCCAGATCTCAGCTTGGTAAAGCAGCCTAAGCTCAAGGCAGTGCTTGCCTCCGATCAAGAGAACGAGGAATATCGACGAAATATCAGAAAGCTGCAACTAGCGTCAATCTTGTTTGTAACTCTGGCTTTGGAGGACTTGAAAGACTATCCGGTCAGCAAGTACGAAGGTCATTTCAAGAATTACTACGACTGGTGTGTTAAAGTTCGAGACGACTTGCACAATAACCTACTACCTCATCTCGACTTCGACGAATGGAATCAGTATATGGACAATGAGCCGCTGCGAGAAAAGCTATTTGACAGCATTATGGATAGCGCAGATGGTAGGCTCTTGGTCAGAATGGGAAGAAATTTGGCGCCCGTTATGAAGAAAGAAGTCGATCCTCTACAGTTGATGTTTGGTCAAGACAATATTCTCGACGAGCTGTACAGGAACATGGTTGAGTCCGGAAACTTACCCAGCCTTTTGGCAGCCTATCTTGAAATCGTCCATCATAACAATGTCAATCTCAACATTATGGAAATTGGAGCTGGAACCGGTTCCCTCTCCGCCCCAGTATTGGAGGCTTTAGGACCATCTGCCTCCAACGAAGAAAGACTGCTCAACGACTCGGCTATTGCGAAGTACACTTATACCGACGTATCATCAGCATTCTTTGAGAAGGCTAAAGACAAGTTCAAGAGATGGAGAAACCTTATGGAATTCCGAACATTCAACATCGAGTCTGACGCTATCGAACAAGGATTTGAACAAGGCACATACGATTACATCTTTGCAGGAAATGTCATCCATGCTACTGCAGATCTTGAGAAGGTCCTGGCGAATCTACGGTCGCTACTAAAACCAGGCGGTAAATTAGTGATGCACGAAGGTATCCGACAAGGTATGTATACATCAACATATAAGTTTAAGCATTCGGCGTCTTCCAGGTGCATTTACAAGGAGCCTTGTACCTCGCAATCCATTTGAGCTCCTTACAGTCTATTAACATGTGTTCAAGTATGTGCAACTTGACTAACTTTAAACTAGATCTTCTTTGGCTTCCGCTTTCCTTTGGTCAACTGAAGGGTTGGTGGCTCAGCATAGAGCCAAACCGCAAATGGTGCCCGTCTATATCTGAGTCTGAGTGGGACTTTGTTCTTAAAAAAGCAGGCTTCACAGGAATCGCAACCGTGCTCACAGATCGCGAAGTTGCCGATATTCGTGGACAAAGCATTATGGTTGCCGAAAATAACGAGGATATTGGATTGCAAGACGCCAATAGGAAGATTCATATCATCTCTTCAGCCGCGACCCAGAACCTAGCATCCGCTTTACAGTCCAGGATTACCAAGGACTTTGGGTATAAAAACTGCTCAATTACCAGCCTTGCAGGTTTATCGAACGTTGAGCTCATCTATGATACATGCATTTCACTCCTCGACTTGGAAAGCCCTATTCTTTTGCAGCTTACAGAGGAACGGTACAATCAACTGAATCATATTATTGCTACAAGCGACGGTGTTCTTTGGGTTGCAGGAGACTTTGAGAAAGACCCTTCTCAGTATATGACTACAGGCCTCATCAGATCGGTGAGATGGGAACGTGATCTCGATGCTCCGAATCTCGTCACTTTGGCGGTAGCGGAACCTCGACCTGAAGACGATCAGCTTCTCGAATCGATTCTTTCCGTATTCAAGCATCAATATGTCGACAGCATTGACGATGAGAGCAAGAATGCAGAATACTTTTTGAAAGCCAACCATGTGCTCACAAATCGCCTCATCGATGCTCAGAGTGTCAATAGCTACATCCATTCCAATTTCGCCGAGGCAGACCCCAAACAAGCGCCGCTTGGGGAGGCTGGACGACCGATTATGCTGGACACTTCTTCGCCAGGATCACTGAGCGCTCTGCATTTTGCCACAGATCCAGTTTGGGCCCGGCCAATTGCCGAAAACGAAGTCGAGGTGGAAATCCACGCTGTCGGACTGAATTTCCGAGATGTATTGATTGCCATGGGCGAGCACGTCGCAGCTTGTCTCGGAAACGAAGCAGCAGGCTACGTGTCTCGCATTGGCTCTAAAGTCACCAACGTTCAGGTAGGCGACAGGGTTGTATACATGAACGGACTTGTTGATGGCGGTTGTCTCAAGACATTCGGAAGACAGGTCGCAGATGCTGTGGTTAAACTCCCAGATTCCGTGAGCTTCGAGGACGCTGCCAGTCTCCCGTGTGTGTACTCTACGGCAATCCATGGGCTCTATGATATTGCTCGTCTATCCGAAGGAGAAACCGTTCTCATTCATGCTGCAGCTGGTGGCGTTGGACAAGCCGCTATTCAGCTGGCAAATCTCGTCGGGGCGGAAATTTTCGCGACAGTGTCAACTCCCGAGAAGCGAGATCTTCTCATCAACGAATATGGTGTAAAGAAAGATCACATCTTTTCGAGTCGCGATCTGTCTTTCGTGAAAGGTGTTATGCGCATGACGGATAATCGCGGCATAGATGTTGTTCTCAATTCGCTCTCTGGCGATGCCTTGCGCGCTTCCTGGGATGTCTTGGCTCCATTTGGACGATTCATTGAGATTGGCAAAAAGGACGCTCAGTCAAACGGAAGAATTGATCTTAGCCCATTGCTGCGTCAAACGGTCATGGCCAGTGTCGATTTAACAACCATCATGAACTACAGGCCCAAGAAGCTAGGACAACTCATCACTGAGACAGTGCGACTCTTTGCTGATGGCAAAGTACGAGTGGCCAAACCCACTAGGGTTATGGACTACACACAGATTGAAGAAGCTTTCCGATCTCTGCAGTCCGGCAAAAGCATGGGCAAGACTGTTTTCAAGCCTAGCCCAACCGATATCGTTCCCATCATGCCTGAGAAGCCGTCCCCGCTGCAATTTGATGGCAATGCATCGTACGTTTTAGCGGGAGGTCTTGGAGGCTTGGGAAGAAGCATAGCTCGTTGGATGGTATCACGCGGAGCAAAGCACCTAATCTTCATGTCAAGATCAGGCGCAGCAAGTGAATCTGCGCAAGAGCTTGTAAAGGAGTTAGAGGCGACTGGCTGCAGTGTCCATGTCTTTGCTTGCGATGTCAGCGATGAATCTGCGTTGTCAGCCGTTGTTGACGCATGCAAGGCTAAGCTTCCTCCAATCAAGGGCTGTGTTCAAGGATCTATGGTCCTCAGGGTAAGAAACAATTCGTCTCCGTGCAAGGTGGCATGCTTTTACTAATACGATCACATAGGACGCAATGTTCGAAAATATGACTTACGAAAACTTTGATGCCGCATTGAAGCCAAAGGTCCAGGGTTCATGGAATCTTCATAAATACTTGCCCACGAGCATGGACTTCTTCCTTCTTCTCTCTTCTACCACAGGAATTGTGGGCAACCGCAGTCAATCCAATTATGCCGCTGGCAATACTTATCAAGATGCTTTGGCGGCACACAGACGTGCTTTGGGTCTCCCCGCCACCAGTGTTGACTTGGGAAGCATTCTCTCCGTTGGTTACGTGGCTGAGAACAAGAGCCGCCTCAAGGCCATCACAAATATTACAGTAGTACTCGAATCCCTTCGCGAAGATGAGATCCACTTGATATTCGAGTATCATCTTGATCCCAGAAACTCCGCTGCAAGCCAAGCAGTGTCTGGTTTGACGAATGCTGCGTTATACAAGCAGCGACGCATGCCTGTGCCCAGCTATCTCAACTTCCCTCTGTTCAGGCACCTCCAAAGCGAGACGGTCGCCAATAGCGATTCCACTGAAGACGATCCTATTCTTTTGGTACCCATTCAGCTGGCTGCAGCGACAACGGCTGAGGAGGCCACTACCATTGTCTCCAACGGCATCCGACTGAAGCTTTCCAAACTTCTCTCAATGGCGGCCGACGACATTGACCCTGGTAAATCGATTAGCTCAAATGGAGTCGATTCATTGGTCGCCACAGAGTTTAGGACTTGGCTGGCCAAGACCTTGAAAGTGGACATGCCTATGTTGGATATCATGGGGACAGGTAGCATTCACACTATCAGTGAAAAGGCAGCAGGCTTGAGCAAACTGGTCCAGATTACAAACAGCAGCTAGCTTTAGCATATATGGTAGATTCCTTTAATATAGTTACGCAGAATGATAGCACAGCTATATAAATGTCTCAATCAGCCCACTAGCAGACTCTATACCTCACAAATGCAATGCTATTCAACCAATTACACACAAATGAATCATTTGACGTTCAAAATTCTTAGACTTGCCAAACAAACGTTCGTGTGTTATCATCAGCTACGCTTCTTGTTTTGTTACCTGGGCAGTAGTAATATTTTCGATAGGATGCACTTTGGTGGCAGCGAACTTCCTTGCTGGTGTTTTATGAGCAAACAGAATATCCAATCCCTCATACGGTCTACTCCACGTCTTAGAAAGGCGAAAATATGAGCAAGTAATCATCAAAACAAGCACCGCCCCAAACAATTCTATAGTTTCTTATGGCCACAAGGTTTCAGCCTTGACTCATTATGAGTTTGGGTGGTGTATTATCCTTATCAAATTAGTTCATAATGTATAGTTGCAATCTGACTTGCTAACCTCGATCTATATTCGAGCTGACGCTGATGCACAGCTCTGTAAGAAACGTCAGGCTACATAATGCTTTTTTGGTTGCTTCCCAAAATATGAGTCAGAATAGTATCAAGATTTAGAGAAAAAATGTATATTGGTTCATTCTTATTTTACAAATGGTTTATAATTCTCTAAAGTCATTGACGTATCTAACGTCACTCAAGATGAGAACTTGAATCCAGCATAGTCCTTTGCTGTCGCGTCCTCCACAGCTTTTCGGTAGTTGGCGTAGCCCGCAAGCCAGAAAATACCAGGATTGTCGTCTCCTCTTGGGCCATTGTTGCCAAAGATGTAAGACTTGACGTTTCTGAATATGCTACCATTTGCAATCTGGCGGCACAGATCCATCCACCCCTTCTTCGCTTCCGCATCCGCTTCAATGAGAACAGGCTTGCCTCCGTTTTCCTTCTTCAATTTCTCGGCCTTGGCAATCAACCCATGGACAAAAGTACCTTGTGTCTCGATGATTGGTGGCATATTGCCAAGCGGCGACTGCGGGCCCACGCTGAAAAACAAGTTGGGAAATCCGGTATCGCCAATCGCCAAGTAAGAAGATACGCCGTCTCGAGCCCACTGCTGGTTCAAAGTTTCGTTGCGGCCCTTGATGTCGATGGTTGCATAACTGCCATCCACGACCTCGAAGCCAGTCGCCAGGATAATAACATCCAGCTCGTGCAGCTTTTCCGTGGTTCGGATACCATTCTCGGTGATTTCAACAAAAGGCGTATGCTGGTAGTTGACGATGTCGACATTCTTCTTGTTGAATGTCTCGTAGTAGTTGGAGAGTGTAACAGGTCGTTTGCCATAGAGTTCGTTGGGCGTTAATTTCTTGACTTTCTCGGGGTCCTCCACAATTTGAGCAATTTTCTTGTTGAAAAACTTGCAAAGTTCTTTGTTTGCTTCTTCGCTGGAGTGAATATCGCCAAAGACTCCGTACATAAAGCTAAAGCCACTCTTCTTGTCCCAAACCTCTTCCCAGATCCGTTCCCGTTCTTCAGGACTGACGCTCAAGGCTGAGGTTGCCTGGTGCTCCAAGGGCATTCCAGTAGGGTGGTTATCAACCAATTTCCAGACATCGTCATAAGTTTTGTTGATCTTTTCTCTATACTCGGCCGTTACAGCCTTGTTTGGATGCGGAGCAACGTATTGCGCTGAGCGCTGGAAAGAGATTGCCTGCTTTACATCGTCTGCGATGTTGACTAACATTTGTGCACCAGAAGACCCATTACCAATGATACCGACTCGCTTGTCTTTCAGGTCATACTGTTCAGTCCATTCACTAAGAACGAGTCAGTAAAAATACTATTCCGTTGATAACATCATCACACAACTAACCCTGTGTGGTACACTGGACCCTTGAAATTCTCAAGTCCAGTAATCTTGGGGTAATTAGGTGTATGGAAGATTCCTACAGCCATAATCAAGTATGTAGATTTCCAAACTTCGCCATTATCGAATGTAGTCGTCCAGGTAGACGATGCTGAATCGAAAGCAGCCGATACCAGTTTAGTCTTGAGTTGAATGTCTTTTTCCAAGTCATAAAGCTTGGCGATGTTTTTCAAGTACTGAAGGGTTCCTTGTTGCGACACATAGTGGTCCGGCCATACGTCTGTCTGTAATAGATCCTTGTTGAAGCGGAATCTATAAATCTCGCTGGCAGAATCGCTGGTTGCGCCGGGGTATTGACTCCAGTACCATGTACCGCCGATTTCGGGAGCCTTATCAAAGGCCCTTACTGAAAGTCCAAGCTCTCTAAGCTTGATAAGGTTGTAAAGTCCACCAAAACCAGCACCAATAACAACTGCATCAACAGATGACATGTTGAAAAAGACAAACGACAAATACGGGCGTAAAAATAAGGTATAACTGATGGGAGACTTTGCTGGCTACCGAGCGAGTTACTGATTGGACCTGTGGCCAACATATTGGGAGGAATCTGGTCTCATATATACTAGAAGCAAAGTCGTCAAAAACGGCGCACCTGTTTGGACAACATGAAAGCTGACCAAGATAGAAGCGTATAGCAAAATATTGGGAATCAGATTGCGAAGCATTGCATGCATAAACCATTCAGAAGGATTTCAAACGCGGAAAAAAAAAAATAGGGTTATTCTAATAATCAATATATTTATCTGCCAATAAGCACTAGCAAAGCAAGTGTGTCTAGATAGGGCAGTACAAGCAGGCAGTTGATGTCAACTCTAGGGACGGTGTGTTGTAGTTACTGTTAGTAGTAGTAATATCTCGTCTCCCGCTCCTAGCAGCAGCCGGGAAAATCCCTCTTGCATTACCGCTGGCAAGGGTTCCTGCATAATACGAAATTTGCCCAAAATCTCTTCTCTGTGAGACATGCTCAATACAAGTTAATAAAATCGTCCCGTGTTAGCAAACGGGTTTACGCATGCCACTAGCATCTTGAGAAACAACTCCAAAAAGGGCAATTGTATCAGTGTGACAGGTCAATATTAGAAAAGCCAGATTAGGAAATGAATGTGGTGAGCCTACAGGGGAACACAATCGCAAATATACTGGCATGATGATAATGAAGACGTAAAGACGTAACTCATATCAGTAAATGCCAAATGAACAATAGATTGAGTACCTACTACGTTAGTAGGTACATATACCAAGCTACAGCGTCTTTGAGCAATTTTTTCTTACAACTTAGTAAGAGGCGAATTCATCACCAAGCTTGTAGTATTACCTTGCTAGCTTCGGCGTTCATGTATTCATTTCCCCCGCAATGCTGTAGCAGTGTTGCATTGGGCTGGATCATTGCTTCTCAAGTGTCTGTTTGCTTACGAGTCTGGCAGACGCCTAGTGGGTTCATCTTTTTTGTTGCCTTTCTTTCTCGGATACAACGGCTAGTGGATGGTGTTGGGATCATGAAAATTGCCCTCTGTGCCACGATCATCCGAGATATACCGCATCGTCGGTAAGTCATTACCAACACGGTTCAATTAGGCCTATGTAACGCCAATAGTGTAACGGTCGGAGTACTTGGTATCAAGTTCTCGCCCCATAAATGCTTGCAGTAGTAGCAAGCGCTTCGTTTATTAGCGGTCAACTGCTATCAAGAAAAAGCAGCAAGTATTTGACCCCTGTCAACATTGTCAATTGCATGCTAGGTTTTAAGTGAATGCTGAGATCACTCTGCCGCGTTGCAGACAGCAGGACGCTAAAGAAAAATAACATGACACGATCGGGTTTTGCAAGGGAATATGACTGATACTACTTCTACGTAACTGGTATTATTCAGCCAGCTCGGAGTAGGCTTCGAGGTTGGATATTGTTGCAAAAAATGCTTACGGCATATGGGGCAATGCATGTCAACCTCGGGCTATTACCTCAGATCCTTTGATCCTGCCGGTAGGATTAGACCACTTGAACAACTGTTTCACTGAAGAATATGATGTGAATTAGGTACTACATCATGTAATCATGAGATTATCCTACACCACCTACGCCAAAGCAAGTCCTTCGCTTTGATTCTTAATCCTCCGACTTTACATGATTCGTGTGAGCATCGGACCCTCCACAGTTGCACAGGTATATCGTCTAATGCCGATGATTACGAGAGCTGCATCGCTATTTAACCAACCAATAGGCTATTCAAACTCGCTGAGTAAATAGCATGCCTCAAGATGTATTTCCGTCGGGACTCGTGCTCTCTAGCAGCAAAGTCAGCTTCCGTCTGTCTAAGACGGGTCTGCAGGTGTGTTACATGTCAGCTCACCCGCCGTGATCTTAGCAAATAAGAGCGCAAACTGCAACTACTTGATGTCTCAGCAAAGCACTCTTATGAGTGGCATTAGCAGCGCTGGTATTTCTGCTTCTACAGGTTTCTATTTTACCAGACCCGCACAACACCTCAGCCGCAAATTGAATCGGATCAATTTGCTAGTTGCCGCCTGCTATTCGCCAAAACGTGCCCTTATTTTCACCACGAGACCCTAAATCCAGTTAGAGACATGCTTATCGAAATGAAACATGGGGGCCAGCGGGACAGGATAGACCCGACAGAGCCGCGAGTGGTTCTCCCTTGCAGACCACGATGGAAAATGGAGGGGAAGAAGCATCAAGTGGCGATGAAAGATTGGCGAACGATGAAAGATTGGGCAGCCGGGAAAAGGCAGCCCAAAGCGGCTGCGGCCATGCCTTGAAAATTCTGCTTGAGCGCGAGCCCCTGTGAAAATCCACCAGCTAAGATCGCTCCCGACTTTAGCTTCTGAAAGCTTCCGAAGGTAGATCTGCATCGTCAAATTTTGTGGAAACGCTTCAACAAGTCGCGGTGAAGGTCACCGCAACTCCTATTGCTCACTAGCCTTCCCCTTTTCGTCTTCATTCGTTTCTTCTTTGCATTCTCTTTGGACTCTTTCATTCCTCGGCATTCAGAAGATAATGATTGGAAGGCTTGCTCAGGCGGTCCGCTCTCTCGATGGCAGAGATCCTCCACCAGAAAACAGAGAGGAGCTGGGGTTCCCTCCCAATAGTGAGCAGGCGGCACGAGAGACAGCCAACAACGAGAAGCGAGTTACAATAACGGGAACCGATCATAATGCGCTAATTCCGACAAACGACAAGCTCCTCGCTTTTCGTTCCCTGACAGGCATCGACACTGTCCCTACTTTGTCAAGCACCGGCCATGCTCGACGCGCAGCACCCAACATTGGCCTATATGCCAGAGTCGTGCAGGCAGAGCAGAAGGCGGCTCATAATTATCGCATCTTCCACGGTTTGATCAACTTCTGCCTTGGGGCCCAAATGATCGTCGGCGCGGCGTTGACTGCAATCGGAGCAGCCAACGGCTCTCGTCACGCGGTTACGGGACTGGGTGCTATGAATACAATCATGGCGGGCATATTGACATATCTCAAGGGCTCTGGTCTTCCTGATCGATACAAAGCTCACGAGAGCCAATGGAGAGAGATTCGCGAGTATATTGAGCAGCGCGAGCGAGAACTTTGTTTACTAGACTGCACCCTCGATGTCCAAGAAGAGGTTGCCATCGTGGAAGAAATGTATAACCAAGCCAAAGCTGAGCTAGAGGCGAGAGGATTTGGACTTCGTGTGCATTTTGGAGGGAGCCATCAATCGCAACAAAGGACAAATGATAGTTCGATAAGGTCCGTAGTGCATAGAGCAGCTGTCAAGGTAGCTCAATCTACAGATGCACCAGTCACACCGACGCCGCCGCCGCCAGCATCAAAAAGTTAATGGCAACATGCAATCGAAACGGCTTGGAGGCTGATATAACTATTGCCCTTTCCACGTCCAGATTGGTCCAGCAGTTACGAATGCGCTATATACCGTCTAATTCCTCCTTTTATTCTTTCCCTTCTTTTTCTCCTCCTTCTGTTATAATCACGGAGTCATTTGAAGTGTTTCGGATGTTGGCGTTCAGTCATCGTATCGGGAGTTTGGGTTATGCGTCTATGGGGGCTACAGGCATGTCCAGGATTTAATAAAGGTTACGGAGACAGAAGGAGCAGGATTTCAACACAGCACATCATACACTTACTGTGTTCATAGAGTTTTAAATGGCTTTTAATAATAATACCTTTTTTCCTTTCGTTTTACCCGTTTTATAAGAGCGAAGACCGAGACCCAACGAACCGCAGGTATTGACCAATGTGTGATGTCGTTCGAGTGAACAAAGAAGCGAAAATATACAATAGCAATTAATGTTCAATTATTAATTAACAAGATACATTAGCAGCTGTTTTTGGCATATCTCTCGCAGTACGCTTTGTAGTGCGACAGCCGGTTTCGTGTACTATCCCACCCCAGATCCTGACCCCGATTAACCGCTTGCAGATCGGTAACCAGCAATTCATCGTCGAATGATACATAAATGGTATTAAGAAAAATGAGCAACATTTTCCCCGTGTCCTCCTGAAAAGTTCAGATCCAGTACTTCACAGCGCGCAGTGGAACATAACAGACAGCGACGAAACGTCATCGCTATTCATCGGGTATCTAAAAAAACATCGTGCGACAATCATGAAAGGAAAATGCCAGATTACCATTCAGCACTGATTTCGCCTTGTACTCATAGTCCTCGCCTCTAGAAGGTGAAAATGACTGGATTCTCGTCCAAAAATTGTCCCAGCTCGGGAAAGTTCATAAAGGGCAACTCATTAGCCATACTGAGGATATTTCCTGGCACTTCAAACGCACGTCGTGACTGTGGCAGATTTGATGGAAGAGTGGGAATGCCAGCAGAGGATGTGTGAGGATACGGCAGCGGCGGCGAGGTCATTGCTTGGCTGGCTTCTAAATAGCCCAGGTTACTGCGCTGGTGCTGATCTCTATCGCTCATACCTCGGCCGGGTAACGTGGGAATTGAAAGTGTCTGCTCGGGGGGTCTTGCTAATGGGACGTTCACTCTCGAATTATTGCCCTGGCCTTGCTCCATATCCAGCCGTACAAGCCCTGCAGGCCGGTCCGGACTGTACGCGGATTGTGCCATTGATGTGGCTCCGTCGAGACTAGATGACATTTGCGACGTGGCCCTGCTACCTCGAGCGCGAAAGCTATCCATGGCCTCATGAATGTTATGTAGCCGTTCTAACAGCCGCTGTGAGACGGGGGATGTTAATGAAAGTCGCTGGATTAGGTCTACGGCGTCAAACGCATCCTGAAGGCACGAGGCTCGGGCTATGTCGTCGCTGATACTCCCCAGCACAAGCAGCATTGATGAAAGGGCAGATTCGAGAAAGTGGTTGAACGTTTTATGTTGTGCATGATAAATGTCCGTCTCGTCGGCCAAGCGGACAAGAGCTCGAATGGTATCATGGGAAACATCAGCTAGAACGTTGACTGTTGATGGATCGAGGCTAGCTGCTCCGAGGCGATTTGCCGATGTCCTGTGTACAATGATTCTCATTTGGTTTGCTCTTAAATGAAGGAGCAAGCAGATCCTATAGTCGCCACGATTGTCTCTCGAAGGATCGTATTTCCTGGTGGTATCGTGATGGAGCTTAGCTGGCAGGTTACGCTTCCACTGAACAATGCGAAAATCGAGGAAGTCGCGTGTCATATCAGACGTGGAGCCAGTTATCGGTTCCAGTAGCCATTTCCTCACATCTGATGAGATTCGGCAATAGGAGACCATGCTCAAGACGTAGGATGTAGAAAGTGAGTCGCCCTGGTTCATCAGTGAGATTAAGCACCTTTAAGACATTTGTGCGCTTTGTTGTTATTACTTACATCCAGCATAGGGTGGCGATCAATCTCGGAGTCGTGTACTGCAAACGGCAACTCTGTGCCAAAGCTCCAACGTCGGTCAAGTGTATAGACACACCAGTAGAGCATTTCACCTGGTGTAGCAATCTGGCTCCCGTCCTGAAGACTCAAGTCTCCCGCGTTTCGAGAACTGTTTTCCTGGAGTAATCGCAGAACGACACCAATTCCTCTCCACGCAAGAATTTCCCGATCGCTAAGGAAGAAAAATATCGTCTAATACGCAAGACACCACGAACGTTAGACTTTGCGCGCATGTTCAACGGCCTCTCCAGCTGCTTGAGACTTACGGCGAGTATGAGGAGGCACAAATCGGCGGCATTGACAGTGCTGTCGAGCTGAGTCCTTGCCACTGTTGCTGCATAAATCTCTTCAACCCATGGGTTTGCTATTTCAATGGTCCGTGCATCAGCGAAAATGGATATAATCGCCAAGACATGGATTGCAATGTTCTCGATTTGAATGCGGCTGGCCTTGGCACCGGGTGGCGGTTTTGGCTGTCGCGAATGATCGTCTTTCGCATTCCTCACGTCGCCTTCTGTGATTTCGCGCCTCAGCTCGTCAAGGTTCAGAAAGGGATATTGTATGCCAATCTCTTCCTCGTAGAGTGCAATGATACTCAGCCACCGGTCATTGTCGACATAGGCCAATGCGTTTCCAGGAGCGTTGTTTGCTCTATGGAAAAGCAGCTTCTCCAAGAAATACGTCACAGGCACCCCATACTGGCTTTGGGCTTTTGCCTTTTGGGTGGACGCAGGCTTCGTCGTCACCAACAACCTCTCCGCCAGCTGCAAATAGTAGTCTGAGCTGCGCAACCCATTGGCGTTGGCAGGGGCAGCGGAAGCGGCAGTGGCAGTCACACTGTTAGTAGCTGCTGGTTGAGATTGTCCTTGGCCAGGCTGTGAAGATGGAGCAGCTTGCGCCTGGTTCTGCGTGCGCGTGGAAGAAGAGCCTTCACTTTCCGTGGTGTTTCTAAGGCGGGTGAGATGAGATACATTGCACCGGGCATAGTGACCAGGGTGAGTCTTACGAAGTGCGATTCCGGTTTCGAAACCGCGTAGTCCGGTCATAGAGGCAGTTGTGGTTGCTCTCCCTGCAGGCCTTACAGGGCCGCTCTCCGCTACATTTTGTCTTGCGCCGCTGGCATTCATCACTGGGAAGGCGTCATTAAGGGGACTCCTCATCGACGACAAGGACAGCCACGCCGCACTCACCAAGCAACGCGCGTATATGAGTGTCTCCTCTTCCTTGAGGGCTGCGGCTGAGGCGATGGCTTGGATGCCGGCGCTCCTACGCTTCCGCCCAACGTTTCATCCATTGCAACAAATCGAGGAGGACGACAGCAATTAGTCAGGGCTGTCGACGGTGATTCGCTCTGCGGGTCCAGCGGCGCGTCGCTTGCTGTATGCAGACAGGATGCAGGCAAATACCCACAATGGAAGCTGGACTCCGCGTGGCTCGCTCAGGGCATCTTAGATCATGCGGTGCTTGTTGAGAAGCATCACATTTCATTAACGACGACGATACCGCAGATAATCTGGCCCGTCTGTTGAGCTCATCCTAAAAGATCGACTCTGACATTCACACGCGAGAAGCCGGTCTGACCGCGGAAAGACATTGTTCCGGCCACTGCGGTTACTAAGCGCGGGCTTGAGTGCCGCGATTGGTAACAGTCCCGTTTAGGCAGGTGGAAAAGGAGAATATGGGTTGCTGACTCAAGCCTATTACTGCATGTATAGCCGGCCTATGAGGTCGAGAGGCTCACGATATGCGCCCGCAGCGTCTGCGCTACCCTGCGGCTCGGGCGTCATAGCATAGAGCCCATGTGCAAAAATAGATAGACGAGATGATGAAATCGTGATTCTTAAGTCTATTAACCATGAAATTTCAATAGTGGTGCTACTTTTAGCCAATAGTAAAGGATGAAAAACTTACAAATATGTTAATAATTGCTCGCGGCAATGCTAGTGAATTACCTACATCAACTAGGATCAATGAATACTCCGCACTGCTGTGAAGAGAACATTGCTTGGAAAGCAGATTCAAGTTATTGAAACTACAACGCAAGAGAGATGGAACACTGCCACGTCACGCATTCCGCCGAGGTGCAAAATTTGCTATTGCCCTTGTGCATATTCTGCCAAATAGCCAAGTGTAGAGCTTCTTCAAATTAGTTGCGATTGCGCTCATACTTTCTAGTATGTGATTGATACAGTTATATCCAGTAGTCTTTGTATTCCCTTTAGTTTGAATAGAATCACGTTGGTAGAGAGAGAAAATCAGTCATAGACAAATAAAAGATGAGATTTCACGGTTCTACAACTCTTCCTACATATCTTACAAAAAAAATCAACAACTTCTATCAATCATAAACCGTCTTCATGCACTCAATACAAGATCTTAAATCCTCCTCCCTCTAGTTTAACATGTTTATTGCTCTTCTTCCGGAAGAGGCTTGTCCAGTCCAAGGCGCTGGATAGAGCTGGGGAACTGCTTGGGGTTGGGTTTATCGGCATCGACAAGATATGTCTTTGGTGTCTTATCAACCATAAGGCGAATAAGATCAGGTCGCATGTAGTGTCCACCCTTTTTCCACAGCCATTAGTTAGCGCCATTTCAAAAAAGTGTCAAGGTTTGATCAGAAGACATACGAAATCAGCAAGACGCTTGGTCAAAATATTCTCATCAAGATCGATATCGACAATGAAGATTCCTTCGAAATCCTTGGCAGGATCTTCCACGGCGCGGAAGCCGTCTGGTCGGTAGATGCGAGCGAAGCCGTTGGCGATGACGGCAGCCTCTGCGTCAACAGCTGCTTCGTCATTCTGAAGGCGCTTGGGCAGATTGAGACGGGCACCCTCTCTGGTGACGACCTGGCTAGGGGCGAGCGTCCAGGTGCCGGTCTCATAGGCGTAAGCAGGAGTCACGAGCTCAGACTGGGCTTCTGAGATGTTCGTGTACGGGTCGGGATACTTCAGAGAAGATGCAGGCGGGTAGACGGGCCACGCGGCAACGTGGACTTCCTCGTATTGGGCAGCAGCATTAGCCTTGAGGAAGGGGTTCATCTGCAGTGGATTAATACGACTGAAGCGTTTTCGTTAAAAATCTGGGGCAGCTCACGTTTTCCCAGCAGTTGAGGTGGCCCAGGTTGCCAATTTCAGTCTCAACAACAGTGTTCAAGGAATCGCCGGTGCCCTCGCCGAAAACAAGCTTCTCGACGTGTGTGGGCTTAATCTTGCGGCGGTGGTTGATAACGTTGCCATGGGGGTCAATGATGATCTGGGCAATGTAAAGACTGTGGCCCTCAACCTCGGAGTAGCCCAAAGAGACATAAATCTGGGCCTTGCGAGCGGCACTTCGGATGCGGTTCATCTCTTCGGAATCCGGACGAAGAGAATTCTTGAAGTAATCCTTAAGAAGGGGCAGAGAATCTTGGTAGTTTACACGCCATCCCCAGTAGGTGTATCTATGATGAATCATCAGTTAGTTTCACATTATTATGCTCCTTGGATGATCTTGTATCGCGTACCCAGGAATCCCTAAGGAGATGTATTAGTAAAAGCATTCTCTGCATCATTCTTTGTATGTTGACTTACAAACTTCAGGGAAAGCAATGAGTTTGCATCCCTTTTCGCCAGCTTCGTGGATGAAGCTGACAGTCTTCTGAATACACTTCTCCAAGTCAAACCATCCTGGCTCGGCCTGAACACAGGCAGCCTTGTACTGGCGGATAGTTGCAACCATTTTTGCGTTTGAAAGTGTAGGTTTTGGTAAAGATGCTTCTTTAAAGGCTGTTGAGATGATGCTGATTGTTATTTGGTGTTTTTTTCAAACAAAGCGTCTAGATACCATCATATTTATATTCAATGTTGATACCAAGACATCGATATACCCTCCATTCAACAAAATAACCGCCATATCCACCATCAGATCATATCCTGCGCAAATCTTCGTGTAATTCTCTCACTACCTCTCTTGCCATCCATGCCATCCATGCCATCCATCTTCAGAGTCACCGCCAGCCAGTATGCCGCACACGCCGCCATTCAATCTCGGCCATCGGAATCTCGGTGATGGTGTTTGCATGCTATCAGGGCGTTGACCCCGTGAGCATGGAAAAAAAATCTTGCGGTGGACATCGAACCACCGGTAGGAGTCAGTCCCGTAACTAGCGGCCGGGCTCCGAATTCAGTCATTCAGCTTGTTAACACAATTTTTCCATGCGGCGGTTCCACGATGCGGATGCCGAGGGACATTCATGAAAAGTACGGAGAGCGCATAGACGCATTTGCCGCCGGACCCTGCAGTTTCCTAAGATTTTCCTTAGAACGAAAAAGGACCGGCTCCGCATTCGCCGCACATGCCGCACATTCTCGCACTGCCCGCAGAGCTCAATGATGATGAATTCAGAGCTTCTTTCTATCATAGATAATCCATATCACTGTTATCTTTGTCTGGAAGTTGGTTGCGATCATCAGTAGCCGCCATGAGCAGGGTGGTTAAAATTCGTCCTTTTTTGGCGAAACGCTACTATGGCTTGGGAAGGGGGGTTGATCCTACTCACACAGGAAACGTGTGCAAGATGACATTGCACTGCAGCGGCAGATTCCGGAACGGGAAATTGGATAAGCTGCCATCTGATATCCACAATAGATCCGTCCAATGAACCCATTGAGAGCCTGGAGAAGGTCGGATTCGGTAGTATTCGCAATTACGTCGTAAGGCGTCGATGGACACATGTCACCGGATAACCAAGACTACCAGCCAGCCGGCAGACCCCACAAATCAGCAATCATGTCTACTCTCTGGAGAAGTCTGTCCGAATAGAGCAGATCCGACCCTGCGGGCTGCCGGCCGTTGGCTAGCCGCCGTTTCGAATAGGCGCTGCGGCAACTTGCTGATGGGAGATGTGCATGTATGTATTTACACATGAGATAACCGATAAGCAGGATTCTGAATCTTGGCACACACTTCATTCTTATCACTTTATCTTGCCATTGCAAGGGGCATGATTGTTCCAAGCTTCTCATCATATTCCGGCAGAGAGCGGTGGATCGAGAAAAGATGCCGGACCTCCTCAACAAGCTTGTGTATGCATATATACGCAACCGCCTTGTCCGTATATTAACTCGCTCACCAGCCGAGAACCATAATAATATCCTATACGTAATTTACTCAGTAGTAGAACAATTTATTGCGTTGGGGAAAAAAAAAACTGCCGCAGTTCGTAGGGCTAGGATCGGAATTGCCGGGTATAGCTAGTTCGTCGGCAGGCTTACTCACCGTACAACGTCCAGCCTTTGATCTGGCTCAGGGTTCCATCGGTGTAACCTGACATTACGTAGGGCGTGCTGCATTGCCGTGCTGTCAATGAAACAATCCACATTGCGGCCGGCAATTGGGTTAATCCTGGGCGTTTGTGGTATGGCGACAGGATCCACTCAGCAATGACGGCCTTGTTTCGGTATCAATAGTAATATATAAGAAAGCAACAAAAGGCGCCGACGAGGCTCATAAAATTGCCGGCATATACCACGACTATATTGGTATCAAGAGCGTGAAATTATGCTCTGATTTTGATCGTTTTGCAGTGGAAGAATTGGCAAAGACCTAAACAATCAGGCATCTAAGAGGGATTTAAGCTCACATCACAAGAGAGTGATGTGCTGCCTCATTGAACGGTTCAAGTAGCGATACCGTTTGTACGACTTACCTTGCATCACCTGATTGCGACAATGGCAACATGAAAGACCAAACGAAGAATAATTGATGATTAGGTTTCATTCAACACTGTGGTTGACTGTAGCAGGGCGGAACACAGGACTCAGAGATAAGGATAAAAAAGATATAGCCGCATATGTTGCATTTCTAGCTGCATTTAGAGTTGAGGGGTATCTGTGATTTGGCTGCATGGATCATCAATATTGTGCCCCGTATCGGCAGTTGTAACTGTAAGCTAAAACGTATAAAGAGAGAAAAAAGAGATAAGAAGGAGGGAGAGAGACAGAGAGAGGTAAAGGAGAGGAAGCGATCAGCCTTATCCTGAATTTGATATTGATCAAATGATAACGATGTCGTGGTTGCACGACTGCAATGGTATCGTGCTCCTTGGGCACCATCTACCACCCTGACACCTCAACATTTCCTGGGTATCCTTCCCAGAAGCCCTGGGTAGCATCTGCAAATGACGCCTGCATAGTAGAGTCAATATCGAAGTGCGTATCAAAAAGGTCATAATCGGCAGGCGGTACCACGCCAAATTCATGAGACACAAGCTCGGTCTCATTCGTACTGATATCGTGCGTAGCTATTGTTTCTTCTTGTTCAGATGCAATCTGTTCAAATTGTCAGTCATGGGCTGTGATATGGATGCATGGACAGAAAGACTTACTGCGACATCTTCTTCGCTCGCACTATCAGCAGGGTGGACGGGGGACGGCTGCAGGGCGCCATAGTCGATGATGGCATTTCGCATTTCTCGTCTGGCACTCGGGCTCACTGACTCGGTGCCCTTTGACTTGGAGTTGCTATAAAATATGTGCATCGCTTTGATAGTTTCGCGCTGTGAGAGTAGCTGGTCAGCAATGTGTGGGGAAAGGAAGAGAGTAGAAGGAATGGGGAGTGACTTACCCAGGTATCAGCCATAGGCCAGGCTTGTCTCATATCTTTAAGGAAAACGCAACCATCAATGATGCGTTGCCGCCAGCTCTCCATCTGCGGGTCGCCCTCGCTTACGTGAGGGAAATGCCAAAAGTACAGCAATGTTCCAACAGCTGTATAGATAGTGAAGCCTATCCACGGAACCAGGCCTCGTAGGAAGAAGAGGCCGAATCCGCGAATCTCTTGTAGCATTTCGCATACTTGGTCGGCAACTTGTGCAAGCTCTCTGGAGGAAAACATAGTCCACTGCTTCCTATCGCCGTTCTCTAACTCGGCCTCTTCGTGCATTTCCAGTTCCGGCAGGTAGGATCGATAAAGGAAGATGACAGACATGAAGTAGATACAATGCATATAGCAATACGCCTGTCCTTGATTCTGGACGCTATGCGCATGCAGCAACGATAGGTCATACCTTAGACGTGGCGGCAGTGATTCCCTCCAGGCGTTTAAGCGAACTAACAAACGCTGGAGTTCAGACTCTGGTTGCCACGGAGGCGTATTATTTGGATGCGAGGAGCAGGACCACTTCGCAACAGCACCCCAGACGTCAGCAACTCGCATGCTGTATGCGACGATGCCTAGCTTGCCGATCGGGATGTGTGGGTTGCCATCAGATCGGAAGATGTCGATATGGGGGCATATGACAGGTTCGCCAAAGATAAAGTTGCCCGAGTCGCACGGTAGTTGAATGTGCATGCTGTCGGCAGATAGCAGCCGCTCACGGCCCTTGCCACCGCTCAGCAGGCTATCCATGAGGAAACAAGTCCATGCGGTACGCCGTCGTTCCTCTCCGTGAATGAACTCTTCTTTGGTCTGGGCCCCAACCGGGGGATCGTCAAAGAGGCCCATGATCTGAGCCATTCTCACGGCCATCCCAAGGTAGACCCATGCGCGCCTCCCCTCGCCCGAGCCCCATCCATGGCCGGTGAGCATAAGAAGCACTTGGATCCGTTGCAGGCTTGGCTCATCGATTGATGGAAGGATGAGGGATCTAGTATGGGCAGCAAAATAGTTGCTGGTCTGAATCTGACTGGAGAATCCCTCTGGGGGGTTTTTAGAAAATCTGTTGGATGAGTCAGCTTCCATCTCAACAACTCTCACCAAGAATGGAAACCATGAATTGGGTATTCTGGACTTACCTCACTGTAATAGCCAACATGGCCCACGCAAGAGACCGATCCAGCGTCTTGTTGCGGATTGCGGCGAAGAAAGTAGGGATGTGATGAAACGACCATTTGTAGGAACATCTTAGGTAGCTCTCCTTGACCTCATCTGTCACGTACTCCAACGGTTCCTTCTCCCACAAGTTGATCTTGGGATGCTCATCGGGGTCCTCTGCACTGCTGTTCTGAGCAGCCGCCGGGGTAGCCAGAAGCGAGGCTGCATAGTTGCTGTCTGCTGATAAAGACACACTCGGAGCGGCACGCGCTTGACGCTCCAGTCGCGAGCGCCTAAAGATGAACGAAGTGCCCTTGGGAGGGAAGATGCACTCATCTCCTCGCTCTTTGCAGCGGATACATGGCGGCCCACCGGAATGGATACACTGAAGGCAGTCAGCATGTGAGAGGAGTCGGGGCACCACGGATTCGGGCTGGATTTACTCTTCTTTTTGAAGTCCGACATGCGCCGCAGGCGATTGATTTCTTCATCACCACGGTCTTGAGATGCTCATCTTCTAATGGACGCGTAACCGTCCCTAGTTAAATCGGACCAGCTGGAGACATACAACGGGAGACGGCCCAAATGTGTATGTCTTTACATTAAGTGACGCCCCGGAGACTGCGCAATAGCTGGATCTCGGCTTTCAATGCAGATTGTGAGCTGTGGCCAAGACGGTACGAAAGCGCCAGCCTCATACTGAGCATTTGCTCTCGCCTGCTTTCTGCTTACCTAAGTTGCCGCATGGATAAGAGCTCCACGCGCATGAATGGAGCATTATTGCCTAAGGCAGGAAATGGTGTTACTAAGATAAGAGCTTACTAACGACAAGCCACGGGTTACTACAGCAGGTAGTAGTCGTTTGCAGATCTTGCTTGTAAGCGGCTTACCAAAGTACTCGTACGATTTTAGCGATGATCTTACCATAAGAGTAAAGCTCTCCCATCGGTAGCAATTCTTCACCTGTTACTTGAGAATGAGCTCTATTACCAGCTCCAATATAGCTGGTTGCGTGTACGATTTGAACGGAATAGCCCTCGCCTCTCTCACCGAAGCCAAATGAGCAACAATAGCAGCCTAGATCATCCATCGGTCAACATAGAAACTACAAAGAACGACGCCTTGCAAGTTTAAGAAGAGAAAAGCGGAAATGGAGTGAATCAGAGACACTCTATTCAATGAATACGAAAATATTAAAAATATGAGACCGAAATAACACCTTCCGTGGAGTACATGACTCTCTCCCAACTGGTATATTTCCCTCTAGTTGTTCTCCCATTCCGTGTCCTCAGTCCCAGTTCCATTATAGCCCTAATCCAATTACACATTATTAAATCCAACCTAATTTTTATTACTCCAACCACCTGTCCCTTAGAACTCATCGTTGACGCTGATGAGAGCTGGGGCAGCGAGTGTCTTGGCAGGAACATCATCGGGGCTGGCAAAGTTGTTGCCATCAGTCAAGGCAGCAACAGACAGGCCGAACATGATGTTCTCCTCAAAGGGGAAGGCAGCCTGGAAGGTGACCTTGCCGCCGTTCCACTTGAAGTTTTTGACGGGGACGCTGATGGGGAGCAGCTGGCCGCTGAAGTAGGTGACAAAGAGGCCGGTGCTGTCACCGTTGCTGAACTTGGAAGCGCCCTGGACGGTGCTCAGATCGGCACTGAAGTCAAAGGTCTGGTCCTCGGGCTTGACTGCAAGGGCAATGGGGCCACCCTTGACCTTGAGCTGCTGGAAGATGGGGATGCCAAAGGCGTTGACATCATAGGGGCAGGAGCCAGGAACAATAACGTTGTTGTTGAGGAACGAGTAAGCAAAAGCGCCGACGCTGGTGGTCAAGAATGGCTTTTCGGAGGGCACGGCGCCGATGAAGGTGCGGTAGAAGCCATTCTGCTCACCCTCTTGGCCAATGATGGATGCGACTCCTCGAACAATGCCAACGTCTCCAGCTGTGGCGGCGCCCTGGCTGACGTCTTGCAGAGTGCCCATGACGAAAGAAGTGAAGACTCCCGCAACAGCAATGGCGTCATGGATGTTTGTGACGGGGAATTGGTATTTGCAAGGCAGGGGGGCAAGCTTCTTGAACTTGTTCAGCGCGTTGAGCGCATTGAGAGCGTGAAGCTCTTCTTGCTAATGGAATTGTTAGTATAAGCCGCGCCAAAGGTACATTCAGGAAGCGCTAATGTGAATAAACTTACAGCAATGACAACCTTGAAGATCTTCTCCAGTGCGTGCTTGTCATAGCCTTTGTAAGACTCGTAACCCTTGACACCAGTTGTGATGTTGCCAAGGAGAGAGCGGAAGTAGGCAACCTCGAACTCCTCGTTGACGGCAATGGCCTGCAGCGACTGCAGAGTGCTGTCGGCCAGTTTGGCTGGCGGAGGCGCGTTTGAGAGCGAGCCATCGGCTTGTTTAGAAATGGCCTTGAGCTGCTGGGCATTCGGAGTGGGAAAGCCGTCCGTGGCAGCGGCGGCGGCGACGGGAGCTACCGCGGTGCTGCAGTCCTTGGCATTGGGGGGCCATGTTGCGGCAGACGATCCGGCCAAAGCCAGGGCGGAAGCGAGGATCTTGGTGATCTTGGCCATTGTGCCGGGTGGGTGGTGTGTAAGAGAGAGGGAGGGTGTTGGTTGGTTATGCGGATATGCGGGAGCGACGAGGCGATTCTGCGAGATGCTGGATGCTGGATGCTGGATGCTGGATGCTGGTCTTGAAGATAGGGATGATCTTCTGGAAACGATATGGCAGGTGAGGCGGGCTATATATCTATCCTTTGAGGTCCATCAGCTCTGCTAGGCTCTCACTAGGCGGCATCATGGACTGCCCGCCAGCAGCGGGCCACTCTGCTTCCGGATCGCCTGTGGCTTCTTCCCACCCAAAGGCTATCTAAGCCATTGACCTACTGCTCCGATTTTAGACTACCTGGACGGAAGCTAAAGCTGCCGAGTAATGCTGCTAACAGATGGCAAGCGCCGTCAATGGAAGCAGAGCCCGGATGCGTTGTAAGCCGATGACTACTAGCTGCTGACAGCCCTGCTATTTTTGGCTTTTGAGGCTGTGGGTGTTTGTTGGACCAAAGCAGAGGCCGTGGCCGTGCTCCAAGAAAGACCCAGCCTTGGGTTTCTTTGTTTATTAATAGGCAGCGAGCAGCTTGTGCTCTGTGGCCCGCGACCATTTCTAGCCACATGCGTCTAGCCTCATGACCCGAGCAGAGGCGCGCGTTTCTCTGTTTGCAGCTCAGGCTTTGTTTGTTTCACGCCGTTGAACAGAATGGATCTCTGCCTTATGTCAGAATCGGCAGCAGCCCACGCCACGCTCCGGCCATGCTCTGGCCATCTGTTTGTCACGGATGTTTTGTTTTAGCGTTGATCACATAAAGCTGCTGTTCTAAGCACGCTGACAAGACGACAAGACCAGAGGCCCAAAGATGCAGCCCGCTTGACGGATCGGGCGGCACTGTCCATACCTTCTGCGATGCGCCCAAAACAAACACATCTCAGCCCTCTCTTTTGCGTCAAGAAAGCGCCCCATTAATTCCCACTCACGTAATTGTTCTTGTGGTTTATGCGTGGTAGAATTTGTGGCGCTTCTCCCCGCCTCTCCCCGCTGCTCTTTGTGCTCTTCTCTAGCGCCTTTTTCTTGGCTGTGAATGCTTGTTTCTGCCGCTTACCCTGTTGAGTGACCCTCTGAAATTAAGATGGCCGATACAGCAAGGGGACCAAAGAATTCAGCACCAGTGGGCGTAGCTTGGCTTCTGTCAGCAATCTAATTGCAGCTCCTCCATGTCATGTCATTGAGCAACTGGATTTCATTTTGAAAGACTGCTAGTAGTTGAGCACGCAAACGCCGCTTCCGTGGCAAGACAGGGCATCCTTGCGTTTAAGTTTTCCGTGGCGCAATTTGACATTTAAATTGAAATTCACTCCGCAATCATCTCTTTGCCTGTTCTCACTGAGCGCGTCACACACAAACAGAGCCGCTCCGCTAACAGGTTTGTGATAATTTAATCCTTTCTCAAGATGCGACGCCAACGCTCTGTTCTTTCCTTTTGTACCTAACCACGAGACGACTCTTGTAGCTACTATTGTAATTCTCATTCAGTAAATTATCCATCATTTTCATTTGGCCCTGAAACAATACTAGTGCGCGATGTAAAAGCAGGGAGCAACACCGGCATATTTTGCCAACACATTCCTACATCGGGCTACCTCAACTTCCTTGCATTCGCATATTGCCAACTGGCCATACAGCAGGGAGGTGCAAAGGATTTACTGCAAAGCGTCAATCAACAATTTTTGGTAGAGCAGCAGCACCCCTTCCCTTACTAACGCCGCTCTGCATCTCGGATTTTAGTACTCCGTAATCCTAGTAGGAGATGCGCCAATGTAGGCAGTCCGTAAGCCGCCACAACGAGTTGAACAGGGTTATAAAATTACTCGCGGATGTTCGCTCGTTTTTCTTTCTTGTTATTAGCGCACACCGAGTTTAAAGGAAGAAAATCCTTTTGACAAACGAAAGCGGCAGCTGAGTTGCTGATAATGAATGAGTTGTACAAAATTCCGATGACTATATTAGATTTGTGCAATTAGATCCCTGTTTGTCAATTCCAAGCTGTTGACTTCGTAAACAGAACAAACTTTTCTTTTGCTTCCCGCTGTACCGATAACAGAGCATCTGCTATTGTTAATGAAACGATTCCGGCTTTGACCTGTCTATAACGGCCCTGTATTTTGAAAGCATCCTGGCTTGGCTTTAATTTAACATCCCAGTGGCTTTTGACGCAAGCGACCTGGTTAACAGGTTTGCTGGGGGAACGCCTAACCTTTATATAATCTTCACTAAACACATAACTTCTACTATCACAAACCTTCAACCCAGTCTCAAGCTGAAAACAATTATTTAAAAGAAGAAGCTGCTTTGTGGTAAAAGTCGGAGCTTTGATGTCATAATTACGTCGTCAGGCTGGATATTATCACGAGAACTAGCTTTATAAGAGAATATGTACTGAAGCGGCGTGTTACCCCGCATGGCAAATATATAACGTTCTTTCATGCCCTGAAACTCTAATCACAGCCTCTGCGTGGCCAAATCAACTGTCGAAACACTCAAATTCACAGTTGAGCAACCGAAATCATCATGCCGTCAGTGTCTGAGAAAGCCAGGGCGAAGCTCGATGCGGTGCTGAACGATCCGGGGCGATATGATAGCTCCCGTAAGGTCAAAAACTGAGCCATCAAAAAGATGCCTAACTCTGTACAATAGATCTGAAAAATCGCTATGCGACGACACGATATGCCACGGGCTGCGGCGTGGTCAACTCTGTTCCACGTCGGCCGAGCACCAGTAGCATAGAGAGCGACAGCGGTGCCCCGAAGAATAGGCTTAAACGCCTCCTTTCACTTCCAGCATATTGAATGACGAGTGCTGCGAAATTCAACAAGAAAACAAAATTACAAACAACTTTGACGGCCATTGTGTGATTTGATGCATGTTGTTAGTTAGTTGTGCTATCAATGAAATATGCGTTCCCGTCGGTATCCTCTATAGGCTCGTTTGCCGCACATCGTTTTGGCAGGGTTGATCTGGTGGCAAACCGGCATTTGCAAAACGACATTACGAGGGAACAATAGCGTATTGAGACGTTGTATGCGTGGATCTAGTAGGAGGATAATGTCTCAATAGAACACATCAATACAACACTGGTCTTCCGAGACGTGGTTACCTATTGTGAAACGAGATGCAGCAATGCCGATAGATAGGCGTCGTGATAGGTAAAAAATGAACTATAGGTGCCTAGCAGGGTAACACTAACAGGATACAATCCTTGCTGCTCTTTACGAACTGCGTAGTACTAGCCCCTTTTCTCTTCTTCATGTAGTCTCGACAACCAACACTTGCATCGTTGAAGACCCTTTCATTCGGCCCTTTGTGGAAATAGTGTAGGAAAGAATAGGCAGCACACATTCCTGGTATTGACACTACCCAAGCACATGTAGGCACCAGCAGAAGAAGGTCAAAAATAGTTACGAATAAGGCTACCAGACTAGTAGATGATCAACCCGACTGAGTGGCAAGAACTCCTAGAATTCAACGCTTTTCGTTACGTCTGATCCAGATATTTAGATGAGCTTGCCCTATTCGCTTCGGCCCGTACCTGTTAGTCCTAGAAGCTATGTATTAGGTAGTATTTGCAGATACTGATATACCGAGATACGAAATCGAGTACCGAGACCCCGAATCGAAGAATGCAGACATTACTAAGCGAGCTTTTGTCATCTTTATTATTGAGCGTACATAACGTGTTTACCAAAAAAACGGCACCCCGGCCATTATGGGCTTACGATTGCCCGTCCATCAAAGTAGGTGGAGATTACTCGCCAGAGGCCTAACCTGGCGCTTGGCACAAATAGCCAAGTACAAGATAGGAGTTGAATATGTAGCAGTCCATATATGTATATAAAATTCGTATACTACTGTACCACATACTGCTAGGATCAGGAATGCCCCTGCAAGGCACGTCTGCCATGTTGCAGCCAAAGGATCAGAGGCCTGAAGAGCAACGGGGCTTAGACTAGCCGTTACGAGTTTCGGGGATCGGAATATTGATAGCCCTTGGCTCGTTTCAGCTCCTGAAAGCGGAGGCCGGCGGATGTAGTCAGATTGCGACTCGTGCCACTATTTCTTCGTACGGTTGCAACTCTCTCTGCTGCTATGTAGTTTGAGAATCACTCGCCTATCCACTAGGTGAGCTACAATGCAAAAGACATCCAGTTCTGGGCAAGGTCGTCTGGCTTTGGCCTAGAAGATATGAAGGCCAAACAAGGCTGCTGGACATGTAAACGTGAGTTTTTCGGCTTGTGGGACTTTGGCGCGTCCGTGCGAGTTACTGACAGCGGCAAAGAGCGGAAAATAGGGTGCGACAGGGGTCTGCCAGTGTGCCACAACTGCACTCGCACCGGCAGACGATGCTTGGGCTATGGTGTTCGTCTGCTTTGGCCGGATCGCCATGATGGCAGGCGCAAGGACAGCGGCTTTGTAGTCTATACACCGCCTGAGAACCCGCTGGAGCTGTCTGATACTTACGGACTGCATTTCTTAAATGTTACAAACCACGATGTGGCGTCGTCACTGAATCCTAGCTCTTATAATGCGCTGGTTACGAGACCCATCACGAAGCCCGGCCGAGCTCTCAATCTCTATCCCTCGATGATTGGCCAAGATGCCATGTTTATGTCATACTGTAAGAGCGTTAAACAACATGCTTGATAGAGCGATGAACTGACATGAACCAGATGAGCGCGTTATTGCCCCCATGATATCGACCACGCAAGTTCAGAATGGCTTCCGAACCGATCTTGTCCAAATGGTGTTATCTCGGGGAGATAGTGCCACGAAAGCCCTGTGGAACTCCATGATGGCCGTTTCTGCTTTCCATCACAGTGGTGCCGAATCTGCGTTGACGTATAAGACAAACGCTGTCCGCTATCTGTCCGCCTCCTTAACTCCGGGGAGTGAAACGAAATCAATCGATCTAAACGAGACGCAGTTTGCTGCATCTATGATGCTGTGTATCTACAGTGTAAGTGAAGAAGGAAGGATAGGCTCCTGGCCTGTTGACACTAACTGGATATGTTAGGTTTTTGATGAGACCGACGGTAACTGGACGACGCACCTCGATGGAGCGAAATACATGTTGGAAGGGCTATACCCGGAGCACCGGAGACACATCAAAGCCGACTTTCTCTTCACCTGGTTCTTGTATCATGAAGTATTAGCCTGCTTCAGCCAGCCACTTCGACAAGCCAACAATTGCCTTGATATTCTTTTCCTGCTGGGATCTTCCAACTGTGATGCGACTTTGGTCAGTCTTTGACACTACTTTTTTATAAATCTACATCGAGCTAATCCAAGTCGTTGCAGATTCTTGGAGCTTTGGGATGCTCGTTGGAGGTGATTGCCATTATTCACAGAGTGAACAAGCTTCGCATAGGCATCATGACAAAGGAAATCGAACCAATGTCCCCCAAGCTGATCCAGCAACGATTCGAACTGGAGCACACGCTACACAATATTGTCCAAAGACTCGATCCTGCGGGAGACACCGGCGAGGCTCCCGCACGGCGCACACGCATCTTGGCTACCGCAGAACTTTACCGCATAGCGACTCTGCTGTATCTCGTTCATGTTGTCCCTCTGCCCGGGGACGAAGACCAGAAAACAACTTATTTGGAAGAGGCGTTCGATATCTTAGAACGCCTGGGGGTGGCCACAAGCCCGTGGCCAATATTCATGGCGGCTTGCGAGTGCCACACAGATGAACAGCGCATCAGAATTCTACGGATCCTGGATTTGATGAATAATGTGAGAAACATTGGCAACATCCGGGTGATGCGCAATCTTATCGAGACCTGTTGGAAGCACTATGATCTACAGGCCGACTCTACGTACACGAATCGCATGAAATGGTGGGAATTTGTCAATTACGAAACAGCGGTACCTTGGTTTATTTAATACAGATACTTAATTTTACTACTCTAATCACACCGTCCGACCAAGTCGATTCCTTGTCTACATATCCATCGTCGTCACGAGTTTGCCCGCCTTTAGATTGACCAAGAGGCTGAGCATATCTGGCCGAGCAGAATGGCCAACAACGTCGATGGATATTTTAGCTTTGGTGATATCGCTTAGAGATATATCGGCCTTGAGGATTGCCTCTTCGCCATCGCCGATCGGTTCGCACAGTGCCCTTCCGTCGGGGCCGAAGATTTGAGAGAAGCCGCCGCCAGGCTAGTTATTGTCAGCGTACGTCGTTTGTATATAAAACGGACCACCTCAAGTTTTGACATACCACTTTGGTGACGGGATTTCCTGCCAACAAGCTATTCTTTGCCAAGCCCTCTTCTGTTAAAATCTGCGATGAACAGATGACAAAAGCTTGCCCCTCCATGGCCATGTTCTGGCTGATGCGCTGGTCTGCCTCACCAGTATCATGGTAGGGCCAGGCAATCTTTTCAGCATCTGGCATCACGAACATGGATGGCCAACTCGAGACATGAATTTGGACACCTTGCGTGTATTCGTAATAGCGCAGCAAAGGCTGCAGATGCTCCCAGCAGTTGAGACCGCCAATCTTACCAAACGGCGAGTCTACAACAGTTTTCAGGGATTCGGCTTGACCCTCGCCCCATATAGTCCGCTCTGCGTGAGTAGGCTTGATCTTGCGACGATTGAGGACAATCTCCCCGTCAGGCGAGATAAAAGCCTGTGCGAGGTAAATGCTGGCTCCGTCGCGCTCGCTGTAGCCAAGCACGATGAACATGCCGGCCTTTTTGACGGCCGCCTGAATGCGCTTCATCTGAGGCGAGTCTCTGGCCATGGAGTTTGCCTGATATTGAGGAACCCACATCGACTGCATGGTTGGCGCAGTGACTCGCATCTGCCTACGTTCCAGACAACTCGCAGTGTTAGCAGATGGAGTCATTAGACAGGAGAAGGTCATCTATGCTCAGGCGATTTACCATGGGTAACCTGGAATCCACGCCTCGGGGAAGCCAAGGACTTGGACGCCATCGGCAGCAGCTTGGTTGATGAGCTGAATGGTCTTGTCAACGCATCCGTCGAGATCGAACCAGACAGGCTCAGCCTGAACGGCGCCGACTCTGATGGTTTTCTCGTCTCTGGCTGCGGTATCCATATTTTCGTATAGCTCTGGCCTAGAAACGGTCTCTTCTTAGAAGCTTTGCAATGGCTGTCTCTTCAAACTGATGACAAAAAACGCAATGATTCTTGGGCTTCTGTCCCATTCTTATAATCCTCAACTGCTCCTTTCGAGCCCTTTCATCATCGCAAGCTGTTTCTTCCGTGGCCAGCATCCGTCCATGATGCCTGGAATCACACGTTGGCGACAGGATCACGGCTGATTGATACCGCAGCTGATGCCAGCCCACCAATCATCTCGCCTACCGACATCGCAGACTATTGCCTGCCGCAGACATTTGCATCGATCTTCTCGGCAGCCCGATCCGAGATGCAAGTCGGAAGTAGATCGACGGGTTCAGACGGTACACTAAACCAGATCGGGGGCCGTTGCGATGCACTGATTCGAGCGAGGCAAGAGTTTGCGATGCTTGAGTTTTGCGCCACCACGGACCACCTGCAGTAGTTCGCTAAGAGGCATGTGAATGCATGTTGACCCCCGCCGATGCCATCTTGCCAGGTTCCGTTGTTCTAGAAAATCTGGCTGTTCGAAGGAGCTGGGCCTATTTTCTGCCGTCGACCCACGTCTGTGATGGAGATGTTGGCAGCATGGACCAGATTACTCATTCCGAGTCTTTGAGATATCAAGTAAGCTTGTGCACAAATTAACAACGCTTGGATTATCCACAATATGAATGTGTCAACTCTATTATAAGTAAAATTGTCTGACGGATAAATTAAACTCAAGTGATACCATGCCTTCTTTATTCTCCCTGCGTATCGGACTGTGGTACCGCAGAGTTCCAAACTAGCTGTTTTTCACTAACCATTAAACACGGGGTATTATTTCTGCGCGGAAAAAATTCCTTACAATAATATCTTTCTGCCAATAAGATTTTTTTTAAAGGCCAAATTATTCGGCTGTGCGAGAGCAGCAAGATGGTCATGTTCTAGGATATGATTGCCCATTTTTTTGCTCATAGCTTACCCGGAACCGACAGTTACCTACAATGAATGGGTGGAAGACGGCAGCGCAAAGCTAATATGCCGGAAAAATAACGATTAAACTAGGGACACGTGGATTGATACATTTGTAGAGCAATGAATAGATAGTGAGCTAGTTCGAGAGTCGTATCGGCGAAACTACCTCGACCGAAATGATACATGGATACAAACCAACATCTCATTGCGGTTTACAGACTCAAACTACGAAAGGCGGAAAATCTTTAAAGTAAACTAATCTAAGACAGAGCTAGTGTCATGCCTCATATTGTGTAATTCACAAAGTGTTTAATCAGAAACGACGCTATGAGTATTGGCAACCAGTATTGTGTGCAAATCGATACTTTGGGTTTCCTTTTAACATTAAAAAGGAGAAAGCAGCCAATTGCAAAATTCTAATCGTCTATTGATGCAGAGGGAGATGAGATGCCTTTCACCAGAGCATAGGAACCATTTAACACTCCTTGAGTATTGACGCATAGCTCAAACAACACCCTTCATACATATAAGCTAAATATTGGAAAGTTTGGCTGATATCTACAGTTGCAGCCCACTGAGATGATTGCCAAATGGGCTGAGCTGTCATACCAAAAGTCACAATTAACAACGTGAATAACAAAGTATTAAGGTGGAGCTTTATAATCTACAACGCTTTAAAACAATGCAAATCTACAAGAGACTCGTGTCTTTTATCCGGCTTTCTTGCAGCGCGCAAAGGCCTGGAGAGTAGCCATCAACCGGGATAAAGTGTAAACATTTCCCAACTTCCATTGAGTCAGTTGATTGTATATAGCTGGGATATCGCTACAAGTTGTAAAGCACATCCACCGCAGTTCCTTCTTGGTAGCCGACGAGTAACGTACGAGCAATATAGTATCGGCTGATTTAGATGATTTGTGGCATGATAGAGGGCCGCGGCATTCTTCTAGACGCTTGTTAATTTATTCGATAGGCTACAAAGTCAGTGGTTTCTTACAGGTAGTGCTCTTGCTGACGAGGCATACGAAAGTCATTCACTTTTTCCGCTCAATGCAATGATGGTGAGCTTGTTCTAATCCCTCAATAGAAAGCCAATAAATATCGTTCCATTTGATGTAAATATATATATATTTCTATCCGAATGATTCGCAACCTTATCTTAAGCTTCATCTATTTTTGTTCAAGACCACTACTGCCGAATAGCTTGCCGAGTGATACCCACATCGGCTGCCCATTTTATATCGATAACTGGGGATCTTTTCCTGAACGGACTCTGTTTAACAAAATAATCATGCTGTAATCGATCCATAAAGACGCTATTTCGAGGCTATTTCGAGGCGAGAAGCACGAATTCGAGTCATTTTCCAAGTTCCGAGGTAATTTCACGTAGCGCACAGAGCTATAGGCGAGGTGGTTGCAGCCGAATCCGAGAAAGAGTCGGGCGCTCGGTAGTTTCGGGTTGCTGCCGAAACGCTCTGTACCATGCCGGCAGAGGAATAAAATGGACAGCATGCCCCAAATGAAGTTGATGGCCTTTTGGGCGCTGCTTCACTGAGGTAATACTTTGTGGCTATAGTTGCCAACATTTGACCTAGGCTCTGGTTATGCACACGCATGGAAATTGTCACAGAGTGAGTGGCTTCACAAGCCAACTCTTTGTACAGGACAAGATGAAGAATAGGGCCAGGTACTAGGTAATGCCCTTGAGCCTTGAATCGTCACCAGTTCTATTAAACTAATTATTATTCTCATTAGGGGAGCAACGGCTTGCTGCTACAAAATGACTGGGATAGGCACACTCTATCACTGAAAAGTCGATCGCTCTCTCCAAGTGGTATAGAAGCAAGAAGCAGCCATGCCACAGCCAACGCACAGGGAAGCCCTTCAGCAGGCCCTGGGCCGGCTTATTCACGCCACATCAGTAATCGAGTGGAGATCCGTTTCTGCCACTTCGGATTCCGAGGTATTGCACATGGCACGGGGTTGTGATGAGCAATGTCCGTCTCATAATTGATCGCATTCAACTTCCCGCGTGTAAAGCTTGCTCTCAACTTGGATCTTGTTGATCCTGTTGCTAAGCCTTTATTGGTTACAATGCCTTTAAAAGCTGCCGTACCAAGTTGCGTGCTACAGATTAATTACTAATGTATTCGTCGGTGCTCCCGCTTTAGCTCAATGAGGTAAAAGTGCGACCTCTCGGCCTCGGTGCTTATGCAAAAGCCGAACCGGTTGCTGCAAGACAAAGTCGTTGATTATCCCAGGCTCAGTCAGTTCGGTCGGGGACTCTTTTGCTCACTGAACCGAAATATTGGCTGTTGTAGAAGCATTCCATTCACTGCAGTTTGGGTTGGGCTCAACTCAGAGGCTCCTTGAGACATGTCTCCTCCGCATGATCCCAGCCGGCCAGCCAGTATTGACCCTCTAATAACTCCCGTTGCCACGGACCGTGATCTCACGCCGCCATCGCCGAATCCCCGCCGAAGGCCGGACAGGTCCTGCGTTCTCTGCCACCGGAGGAAGATCCGATGCGACAGACAGACGCCGTGCTTGGCATGCGTGAGGGCTCGTCTCACGTGCACTTATCCGTCGTCAGACCGGCCTGTTCGACGAGTTAGGAAGGCTACCATTGCAGATGTTGCGTCGAGGATATCAGATCTTGAGAAGACAATCGTAGCGGCGTCCATCGACCAAAGCGGAGCGGCAAGAAGGCCATTGCCGCCATCTGCACAATTATCTTTTGTACCGAATCTACCCGTGAGCCCTCATGAATCTCCCCAGGAGTCTCAGGAACTTCCGTCAGAGGAGGTCCTGATCAGAAATGGTACCTCAAGCCAATATTTCAATGAGCTTCTTATATCTAGGGTCATCGAGGAGGTAAGCTATTAGTCAACCTCTGCGAGGAATCCTTTTATATACATTATGAAGCTAATATGATGTAACTAAAGGACCAAGATAAATCCTCACTGTTACATTCACCGTGCTGTGAAATAAAGAAACCAGATCCTGACTCGCCATTCAGCCTCTTAGGCTTACTCTCTGGTCCTGCTGTCTTTGAGGAAAAAGAAAAGGGATGGCGTCTATCCCGATTACATGCTACACAGCTATGGCATTTATTTGTCCAGAATGTTGACGCCACCATTAAAGTCTTGCATATCCCTACAGATGAAGTGACTGTTTTCACGGCCATCCACCAACCAGATGCCGTATCAAAAGACACTCTAGCCCTTGTCTCAGCCGTGTATTTTGCTGCTACATTGACAATGGAGCCAGATGAAGCTCAGTATATACTTGGCGTTGACAAAACGACTGCGCTACGGACATTCAAACAAGACTTCCAGATGTATTTAGCGGCGGTGGATATGTTGGAGAATCCAACAGTTGTACTGCTTCAAGCATTGGCTATATATCTGGTATGCCCTCTCCATCTCGGCCATTGTTATTCTTGAAACGTAGTTGCTAATCCGTTAAACTAGGCGTCCATCCGAGCTCATTATCACGGTAGGGGCATCTGGATTCTGAGCGGCCTTGCCGTAAGAATGGCGCATTCCATCGGCCTTCACAGAGACGGAAGCAAGCTGGGAATCTCGCCGTTCGAGTCCGAAGTCCGCAGGCGGTTGTGGTGGCACTTCCTGGCAAGGGACGGGAGGGCTGCTGAAGATCACGGTATCAGCTCCTGGTCGACCGTTCCAGGATATGACACCAAAATGCCACTCAACATTGACGACAACGAGCTTCGCCCGGACATGAAAGAGCTGCCACCTCCTCACAGCGGATGGACCAAGATGAGTCTTCCGTTGACATGCATGGAAGTGGCCCAGACATTACAGACCATGGCCAACCTGTCAATGACACCATCAGGGCCGACGCCCAAAGAAGTAATCAGGAGCAACCTGTTCAGCCAACTAAGGTCTCGCGTCGAACAATATATCAAGCCGTGCAATCCCGTGATTCCTATACAGAGAATGGCCATGAAAACGGCTTTGGCCATGGTGCACAAGATAGACTTTGTCACGCGGCAGCAACTCGCAAATTTGGAGAATCCCGACAAGCGAAACACTTTTGCCACGGAGGCAAATCTTTTGTCTGCCCTGCGATGCCTTGAGATTCACCTCGAGCTATGGGGAGATGAGCTTTTGCGGCCATATAGATGGTGCATGCACGGCCATCCACAGTACCACATGCTGCTCTATGTTTTATGGCATCTCTGCGTCTCACCGAGCGGTCCTAGTGTTGAGCGGGCGTGGGTTATAGTCGCAAAGCAATTTGAGCTGGAGGAAGCGAGAATGTCCATGGCAGTTACCAGCCCTGCGTTGAAGGCCATCATCTTGAAGAGAATGCGCAAGAAAGCTGAGATGATACGGCAGTCGTTGATGAGTGGCAGTGACACACCGGGTTCTACACCAGAAGGAGTCGATGAAACTCCTGATGAAGAAGAAATGGAGAATTCTCTCCCAGAGGCAGTAATGGACGTCCGTCGTTTTGATGGAGAAAACGTGGATTGGAACAGCCTCATGCAGAACAACCTTCCGGACTGGAATACGCTGGTTGAAGATTTACACGTGGATCTGTACGACTTCTCCAGTTATTTTTAATGCAGTACATTTCCATGTATGCGCTGTATATACCCTGTCACGTTGCATCTAGATGGTTCTTAATATTAGATATTAATTATATGTATATTTGGCAGACCTCTAATGGCCTGGCATTTATGCAGTGTGCATTATCAAATCAAACATTCTATATCTATCCGCATATGATGCAACATGCAATTTTCTATACTTTTTGCTCAAATCTCATGTGATTTTAAAAGACTGCGTTCAGCTTCCATCCCGTCTGCTTGATTCTTGCAGCAAACACAAAGGTCGTTCCGACTAAGCAAAAAACACCAGAGAAGATCTTTGGTCCAAGCCATCCCAATGGGCCCTCAAGAATGGCGCCAGAGATGGGATTTGTCGTCAGGCCTCCAAAAGACAAAACGAAAAATGAGAGGCCCATCCGGAAGCCCATTTCAGTCGCGGGCGATATCTGAACCACGAGCGCAGCGATCAAGGCGACGTATGCTCCAGAAAAGAATCCAAAGATGGCAGCAAAGGCAATTCTCGCGGCAGTTGTAGCTGCAGGAATCCAAAGGGCCAAAACGAAGATACTGGCTAGGTAACAGACAGTAACGAAGACGTTGTAGCGGCCAAACTTGTCACCAGCAAAGCCAGAGAATATGCGGCCGAATAAACTGGAAAGATCATGGTTAGCAAAACACGCAGATACACAAAGAGAATCAACTTTCAAGACCATCATACCTTCCGGCGTTCAGAATAGGAACCATGTATAACACCAAGTTGGGGTCTACTCCGCCCGCAGCAGCCTCGACCGAGACAAAGTTGATTGGGACATAGAGCCCAAAAGTAAATAGCAGCAACCCCACGCAAACACAGGTAAACTGAAATTCGGTGAAAGGAGCCACCATTCTCCTCAAGGTGATTGGCTGGAACTTTGGTGGGTTGAACGCATCAACCGTCAAGATGGCGATTATGAGGAGGCCGAGGATCAGGAAGGCACATATTCGCATTGCCCAGGGAAAGCCAACTTCTTTGATCAATCGAGTGACCATGATGGGGAAAACAACGCCTCCTAAACTTGATCCAGTCGCCAAAAGTCCGTAGGCGGCACCGCGTTTCGTAGTGAACCAGGTAGCGATACTGTTAAGCGCTGTATTCATTGATTAGATTTGAACGCATGGGCGAAACATATGCGGCCGACTTACCTGGCTGGAAGATGGCAGAAACACCGATGGCGCTGCAGACTCCCTGGGAAAGGAGAATTTGGTAGTACTGGGTAGAAATGGATGTCATCATCAGGCCAAAGACATGCAAAAAGGTTCCGCCAATGATGAGGTAGCGAGGGCCATATTTGTCGTATATAAGGCCGACGAAGGGTCCCTAAACAGGCAATCGACGTTAGCTAGGGGCATAACTCAAGCTGGTAACAAGCACCGTGGTATCCATGGCATCAATTGACTTACCAAGAACATCATGAAGAAAATCTGCAAAGATGGGATCCAGGAGACGGTACTGGCCGAATAGTCTTTCAGAATCGTAGTTTCGTAGTAGTCCTGGAACGCTCCAACACCTGATTTTTGTTAATGGGTTAGCTCATTCAGCCATCCTAAGCTCATTAGTACCATATGTGAAAGGAAACATACTATTAATCCACCCAAAGCTGCAAAACGAAGTGCACCATGCTCCTGCAACGACGAGCCATGCCCGCAGACCACCATCTGGAGGAGCGTTGCCGAGTGGTGCTTGAGCCGGAGCCTGATATCCAGCTTCCTCCTCCTTCGAGTAAACAGGCTCTTCGTAACCAGAGTCTCTGTTCCCATCTTTTTCAGCAGCAATGATGTGCTGCTCATTGTGACCGCCGTCTTCCATCACGGTGTCGCTAGAATTTGAGCCTGAAAACATGGCGGTCGCGAAAGTGTATGGCAAGTCGGGACAACGAAAAGTTTAGCGAGTTAACCGATCTGCAGCGGATAGCCGTCGAAAAGGCGTTTCGGCTACTGGGCACAGTTCGAGGCTAAACGAAGATTGCTGATCTGAACTTGAGCTGCTTTACGGTGTACGCATAGTTTATATAAAGGTGTAAGAATTCTATCGTTGAGATAGCCTACGCTAAGTCGACCGTTATCCAGTTCTATTCCAACGGCAGATGAATAATAAGGCCGTAGAGCTGAATAAACCACAAGCGTTAAGGGCCGAGAATTTCAGGAGGGCCGGCCCATGTGTCGACCGAGACCGAGACGAGCCAGTGCCCAGGATTGGCCCCCAGCGGCAAGCCACATGGTCAAGCAAGCCGTGCTGGGACAACGATTTTCGTCACTCTTACTTATCTGACTTCCATTATTGTACTTTTGGTTAACACTTTTGTAAAAAAAGATACATAGTGTTGCTTCATAAGCAGAGAATTCTCACAAGTCCATCCGCTGCATGAGCTGCTTTTCCCCCTCTCCAGAACAGCGCAAGCGAATTAGGCGATCAATACGAGACGAGACCACTTGACCACATAACGCCCTGTGGCAAACAAGGAAATTTCTGAACAGAGTGCTGATGGGTGGAGATGGCTAACGAACAATGGCGCAACGCTAGATAAACATTGCAATGATTCTTACAATGGTTTTGTACCGCCTGGGCTTTTTGTAACGTAATTTACCCAGCCAAAGAGGGAATAATTGCCGGTATTAAAGCCCGGAACCGCAAAAAAAGTTGACACCGCCAGCGGTCATCAAAAAAGGAGGGGAGCATACTTGTAGATGAGAGACACGGCAATCAATTCAGAAGCAACCTAATGAGGATAGAGCATGATAAACAAGAAGCAGCGGCTCAGCATAAATGTGAGAGCATATGATTTCCAGTATGCAGAGGTAATCGGTCTATTCAGGCGCACAGATACCAATGCAGACACTTACTGGCTTTTGCCAATTGTATCTCCACCATCTTACATCTGCACACTGTATACCACAACAGAGCTCGGTAGCTTTACATCGGCGGAAAATCTAGATGAACAACAATCACACTGTTAAATGGTGGTGTTGCAGAAAAAGAGTCACTAGAAGCCGTCGCCGGATGACGATATTGTTTCCACACCACACGCGGCAATTGAAACAGAGCTACCCCGCATACTCTCGAAACCAACTAGACTCTTGAGGGCAACTGCGACTAAACTCGCTGACAAAAGCAGAATGGATGGATAAACATCACAGATGGTGCGATACGTGTAGAAATCTATCACCAATCTTCAGAGAAACAGCAGTGACGAGATGTTAGATAGAATCACTCATGTCATAACCTTGACTTGTAGCTGGCAACACCGAAACCAATAGCCAATGAGCATAACGGTATCTGATTTTGGGGGCTGAAAAGGGATCAAAGCCAAGCCTCAGCTTTCGGAGCATTCACTTCAATAAGGCAAAGGATGAACCCAACTCTAACATCCAGCATATTTATGGCCTTGTTAGGCTGCTTCTCTCTCGTGTCCATTCTAGTGCAATCTAGAGTTATCTGATCCGTCGCCAAGTTTATGCTTATGACTAATACTCGCCGGCGTGAGTCATTAATAATGGATTCTTCTCCTCTTCCTCCTCCTCCTCACTACCATCATCCATCTTATTTCGGTATACTTGCATCGGCTCCTTCATTTGTCAGGTATATTTAACATGATGGCTCGGCCATCTCATTCATTGGCTCTCGGCCTTGTTGTCAAGATACCCTCCGCGCCGCAAACTCTCGAATAGAGAGCAATTAGGGATCAAGGCCAAATCTCGTACCGATACCCGCTGTGTCGGAAGCAAGATACGGCAATTTTCTTCAGTTTTGGGCAAAGGCCAATAGATAAACGGCAAACATAAATAATGTCCGAGCCGAATCAGTCAAGCCCGACTTCCGGTCGTGTTCGGCTCCGCGATCTCGTCCCCGGCATCCAAGTCGGAGCCTGGCCAACGGGACCCAAGAACGGCATCACCGACGTTCCTGGCGTGCTCGTTCACACGAAATCCATCCACACCGCTGATGGTTCCGTCAACACGGGAGTGACCACCATTCTCCCACGCAAAGATTGGTTCCACAACGCGTGCCACGCAGGCATCTTCCGCTACAATGGCTCGGGAGAGCTGACGGGCAGCCACTGGATTGAAGAGACGGGACTCCTCCACAGCCCCATCATCTTGACAAACAGCTTTGCTGTAGGCAACTGCTACACTGGCATCTATCAGCATGCCATTAAAGAGTACAGCGGAGCCGATGGAAGTGTAGATTGGTTTCTCCTGCCCGTCGTGGGCGAAACGTTTGATGGCCACCTCAACGATCTTACCCAGTTTGCTGTCACGCCGCAGCATGTCGTTGATGGCATCAACGCAGCATCTTCTGATCCAGTTCCAGAGGGCAACACTGGCGGTGGCACGGGCATGATGTGCCAAGGCTTCAAGGGAGGCACCGGCACTTCAAGCCGTGTGGTTCCGGGTTTCGACAGCGAAGGAAATGAGAAGAGCTATACCGTTGCGGCCCTGGTACAGGCCAACTACGGCCGGATGCCTCCTCTGAAAATCGCCGGTGTCCCCGTAGGAAGGATCCTCGCTGCGGAAGCGTTGAAGAACAAGGAGGCCGCAAAAGCCCAGGCCGAATATGATGCCGCCAAGGATAAAAAGGACGGCAGCATTATCATCGTCCTCGCCACAGATGCTCCGTTAAGCGCCATTCAACTCCAACGCCTGGCTAAGCGCGCCACAGGCGGCCTGTCTCGTGTTGGTGGCTACGGACACAATCCCAGCGGCGACATTTTCATCGCATTCAGCACGGCAAATAAGATTCCAGTGCAGACCGTGGGCTCTGATCATAGAGACGTTGATCCGTTCAAGGCTAGGACCTTGGTAATGGAGACAGTCGATGACCAAACTATCAATGCCTTATTCGAAGCTGCCGCCGATTCTACTGAAGAGGCTATATACAACGTTCTCTGCAAGGCAGAAAGTTTAACAGGGTTCAAGGGCAATCGCGTGGATGCACTGCCTCTGGATAAAGTTAAGAATATTCTGGAGAGACATCTTGCCTTGGAACAAGCCATCCAGGCAGATTTGTAACAGAAGCAGTAAGATTCACCGTGGGTGCTGAGATACAAGAATACATCTTTGATTAGATTATAAATAAGCTCAATGAACCAACTGCATCACCGTAGAAATTTGTGACGTACTTGACTCCCCCTGTGAATCGATTCTGGATCTACTTGAATCATCATAAAATTACCATAATACTCTCCCATTTGGCCTCCTCGTAATTTCCAAATTAAAGAACTGCGGCCAGCACCCCAGTTCCAACACCAAGCGCAAGAACCCAAAGACTCTTCCAGTCTGAGCCAGCCCATAATGGCTTTGCGCCCGAAGACCCACTGCCTCCATTCTTTGGAGGACTGCCACCATCATCACCACCACTTCGAAGGAGAGTAGTAGTCGAGCTGCTACGACTCTCGCTTGAGCTGCTACTTTCGTTATCGTCAGGCCTGCCTGTGCTGGGGATGGGGTCCAAAGGAGCACTGGGTATCTCAGTTATGCTTGGCTCACTAGAGGGACCTGGGTTTGAACTCGGGCTGGGGCTTGGATCTTTCGACGATGGCGTTGATAGGAATGATGTGCTCCCAGCCAAAGACTCGAGAGAGGTGGCGGCAGCGGGTGTAGGAAGAGACAGTGTTCTAGACTTTTCGCTGAAGTATTCGGAAGCGGCGCCTGCGTCGGTCGTCTTTACACTGAAAACGGTTTGGGTGGTTGAGCGCGTGGAGGTCACGATGGATGCTTGAATGTCGATCGAGTACGTCCAGTAATAATACCAATAGTACCTATAAGAGTTATCAGCACAGCATTCTCTAGTACAGACAAAGTACTCACCAAGTTACCGTCCAGTAGTAGGTTTGATAATACGTAGTAGTATACGTGTGCGTTGTCGTGGTTGTTCGAGCGTAAGTAGTCTTTCCATCATCAACGTGAGCCGTGCATTTTGCGTCGGTGCAACAAACAATGCCGTTGGACAGTGAAGAAAGATAACAGTTATTGCCTGCAGGGCAATGAGATTCGTCTTCACAGCATTGATCTCCTGTGGGCATGCAGTGGCTGACGCCGCAACAAGTCTGGCCTTGGCCACATGGACCAGTCGGACAGCACGCGGATCCTTGAGTATGGCAATACCCATAAGAGCAGCAAAGGCTATTCGTGACGCAGCATCCTCCAGCACCTGCAATAAGTAATTCTCGCAGTTAGTGACTTGTTTTGAAATGCTTATGCCAACATGTGGAGGGCCACTCACTGGGACAATATCCGTAACCCTGAGCACAAGTTTGGCGCTTGCCGAGCAAGATGTCGAGAGCTTCTCTGGGCTTCAAGTCAATGCCAGGTGGCACTTTGCTATCATTGTTCGTATGGCCCGATTTTGATGGAATATCCAGTCGCCCAACTTCTTCTTTCACCACCGTGTATACTTTGGGGCGACCTTCCAGCTTCTCATCATAATTCACAAAAAGCTTAGCACTCGAGAGAGTGGCAGCCCAGAGCAATAGAAATACAGACTGCATTTTATTAGTTGCGAAAGCTTATCGGCAAGAGTCAAGTGCGGAGAGCTGGGTAGGAAAGATTCCCCCCAAACAACATTAGCAACTGGGCACTTTGCTCAATTTAATACCGTTCTCTCGCTTTGAACTATCCAAGCTACTGCACAATCGGATGGCCAACGATATACCGGCATAACGACTTGGCAGCTAGAGTTGTGGACCAGGCTGCTATTGGTGCAAGATTTGACGCCTAATGACGAAGGAATACCCAATGCTTCTCGTTAATCTTTATTTGTCTGCTCTTGGCCTGCTATACCATAACAAGGTAGCTGCAACTTGTAGGCGACCTTTGTTTTTTAGTCTATTGTCATGTCCCGCCTGTCCTTGTTAGTGAAAACAGCTTCGAGCCAAACAAAATTGCCAAAAGCAACGTATAGTTATGGACAACGAATACTTATTTCTACAACCCACGTCCTTTATTTATAAGCAAGGGTGAAGAATCAAGATTTTGTAGCACATTCAACCTCAATTTTCCGAGTCTCTTCTCATTGCCATCTCAGCGATATTGCAGCTCGTATTTCAGTCTACGTGACGAGAAGAGATGGTTGGGTGGGCCAACCTGGTCCATCTCTGCAGGCGACGTGCGGCTGAACGCTCTACCCTGCTAATTGAAGCATACCCGTGTTACACCATGGAGCTTCTGGTCTAGTTTCTTTAGGCACCATGCTCTAAATTCGGGATCGATGCTTCTTTTGCCTTGTATAGTAAAGTCGCATTTGTTATCTAAGCACATACGGGCAGCTGAGAGTCACTGACAGGCAGCGGGCACGAGCTTCGCTCAAATGTCTCAGGGTCAGTGCGTGGAAGAAACTTTCACAGTTACTTGAGCTGAATGAGTATAAACACCCAACATGTGATGAAACGAACAAGAGAAAAATAGCCAAGCGGTGAGATGTGCTTCTTCCAGTACTGATGTAAAAAGGAACGACTAATTGACAGACTCTAGCAACTTTAGCCACAGAGACGGCTCTTTCACTCCGGGTTGCAGCCAATGAAAATGTGGCAGCTGAGGAGACAATATACCTCTTGGCACTGAAAACAGGTTATGATGAGCTTAGCGCCCTGCAACTTAATATAGTTTAATATATCTACGCGCAATGTTTCGTCAACGCGCAACATGGTGCGTTTGAAGTTGCTGGGTGCCCGATTTTGGTATTCACTGCGGATGCTGGAGCTGAGTGGGGAAGCGTAAGGCGGATGAAATATGTAGCCGAATGGATGTGTGAAGGATCTATATGAAGATCAAAGCCTGGCCGGCCAATCCTGATATATGTTGCAGAGCACAGATTTGTGAGCATGTTAAATGCCTGTCTGTAAGAAAATATGTCTATTGAAAGAGTGCAAGCCTATGGCTGTGTTATCATCGGCGTGTGTGATCGCTTTGTGGCCATGACGTTAATCAAAGATGGGCAGATTTAGTGGCGGATATCGGTCGAAGGTGCAACCGGTCATTCTAGAGATTGCACTCTCAGCACATTCAAGAGACTTACAAGCTCTTTTCCACTCATTTCAATGGCGCAAGTATAGAGGTAAACGCACTATTTTATATCTGTTGTTAAACTCGTGTTCAGGAACGCATATTTACACCAACCCCTGTTGTTACAATCTCAGCCACAAATGCCAGAGGGCACGGAAAGGCCCGTAGTCCAACGTCTAATCGCGATTTGGCGTCATAAATGCGTAGTTACGTAGGGGCTTATGCTTGCAACTTAATAACGGGTACCTAGCCATCAACTGTTAAGTAGCCAATAGGCATATAGCATTGATGAGAGAAGGGTAGAAGCGAGACAGAATATCGGTACATTGTCCAAACGGCTCGTCGGCTAAGGTTGAGCCGCTATTGCACGTCTTTGGCGGGGTCTGACGGTGTTCATGGAACTAGTAATAAGAAGACAATGGCTTCTTCAATTACAAATACATTTACAAATTCATATAATTATACATACTATTTTCTCTCTTTTTGCGTCGCCACCCGTCTCACTCGTATAATCATGGAATTCCATCTGCGCCCTTTGACTAACCATTGTTTGAGGCTCGGACCAAAAAATTCAACGGAATGAAAGCAGAGGTACTGTTTGCCTACTTGCGTTAGAGTTACCTAAAAGCGCCACAATACTCCAGATTTTCGGCCCACAAAGGCTACCAGCGGATGGCCATCTCGGAATCAGTTTGGCGGTGCCATTTCCGCGGCGCTATCCGAGGCCTGAGTTCATAAAGCCATCATTGTGCTACGCAATGTTTGCTTCCATAACTAACAACTTCAACCTCAAGACAAGTCCTTTGTTTCTGCACTTTTCTCATTTCCCTTCTAAATCAGAATATTCTTCTTCTTCTCATTTCCAACTGTTGAACTCTACAACACACACGTACTATATCTCGAATACTTCTAGTCCCGCCACATAGAGTGCGCTACTCACATCAACATGTCGAATCCAACATACACCATTTACAGCTATTTTCGCTCTTCTTGCTCTGCCCGCCTTCGAATGGTACTAAATCTCAAGGGCATTGAGTATGAAATGAAGACCATCAACCTCCTCAAACAAGAACATTTGTCTGGCGAGCACAAGGCCCTCAATCCCAATGCTACTGTGCCTTTGCTGTTGCGCAAAGGCAGCGACGGTAGTATCTTCAAGGTCGGCCAATCGCTCGCCGCCATCGAGTATCTCGACGAGACGCTCCCCCAGAGCTATCAGCTTTTGCCGCCAATTTCAGATCCAGAGGCAAGGGCCGTCACCCGTACGCTAGCCAATATCATTGCCTGCGACCTGCAGCCAGTCACAAACCTGAGGATAATGAAACGCATCAAGAGACTCGGCGCCAGCCCAGAGCAGTGGAACAAGGAGATAATGACAGAAGTGCTCCAGGCTTACGAGACGACGGCTAAGGATTCATCAGGCCAGTACTCTGTTGGCGATAACATCACATTGGCAGACGTTTGTCTGCTGCCAGCTGTTTGGAATGCGCAGCGATATGGCGTTGATCTCAACACATTCCCAATAATCACCAAGACTAGTGAGAACTTGAGCAAGCATCCGGCAATCATCAAGGCGCACTGGCAAAACCAACCTGATACCCCTGAAGAGCTGCGTGCGAATGGCTGTTAATGAGTCGTTAATTGCTCATCATATCTGCATTCCACATTCAACACAGAGCACGTTGTTACTGTGTTACTCTATGCAGTCGTGGAGTATGGCTAACAGTACGAAATCTAAGTACTGGGGCTGAGTTTTGATGGCGAGTCTCTGTGGTTCATCATTATGCCATACCTTACTTTGGATTCGGCTAATTGCCCGCTGCTCTGGATGATGATATCGATCTCCAGATTGGCTTGGTGCAGAGATAATGCGTGGAACATTTGTACTTGGGCGTTGCTCTCACTTTCCAAAAGTTACATTTATTACGCAATGACATACAATACAAGATAGCTCTTGCCAGCTCAATTTACAATATTGCTTCGTTTCTGTTCTTCAAGATGACTTTACTCTCAAGTGTTGACTTTCGCATTTCTTTAAGCGCATGCAGACACTTAATTCATGGAGCCACGCGGCAAATTTGACCAGGCTGATGGATCCGTCCCAACGCATATCATTCTCTAATCTAAATATCATGATGCGCTCGAAAATAAGCTCACACTATACACTCCAGAGTTTCCATGGCGGAAGAAGGAAGGTAGGCCAAACAGTACCAAATTTGCTCAGTCTCTGCGCTCATGCTTGGGCAAGGCATTCAATCAAAGAATCAGGCTCTTTAATTCGAATCACCATGCCCTTTCCCGCTGTTTTACCTTGCTTCAGTATCTCTAAAGCTCCATTTATAGCGTCAAGGCCACCCGACACTGATTCGACTTCCGGGGGCAGCAGCTTGTGTGTATCAAGCAGCTCGTATAGCCACTTACTCAGGTGGCCACCAACGTATTGACTTGTGTGGAAGAGCTTGATTGGCACTGTATGGACTTGGATATTGGGTGAGTATGTTGGAGGAGTGCCTGCTAGAGCAACAAGATGGCTGAGCTTGCTACCACCTCCGCGAGTAGCCACATAGGCTGATAGCAATCGATTTGTTGGCGTTTCGTGTCCTGGGCGGCAATACCTAGAGCTTGTGCGTTCTGCGAGGACTTGTTGGCACCACGCAGCAGTCTGAGGCCCAACAGTGTCAACTGCAAATCTTAGTGAGCCAGGAACAAGCTGTTTAATGTCCCGCTTAGCTTGATCGAGATTGCTGCTTTCAACTAAAATGTCTAAAAATCATCTAAGTATAGCTTATATAATAATTCTGCAGGCAAACTTACCCGTTCCGAGTGACTGCAAAAGCTGCTGATGTTTGCTCAGGTCAGCAACACCCACAACCTTCAGCCCTCCCAGCTTAGCTAGCTGAATTATAACCTGTCCCGTAATAGTAGATGCTTCAAATCAAGTCAGATACGTATGCTTCTCCAATATTCCGTTTTACTCACCTCCATAGACTAGCAGCCACTCGCCAGGCTGGGCTTGGTAGCAAGGCGCTAAAGCATCAAAGACTTCAACAATGATATCATCAGGTACATCTTCAGGGCGCCTCCTGGCAATCTCTAAGAGGTTGAACTCTCGCTCCTTTGGGCCCTTTGTAAAAGTGACGCCTAGACAGACTCCAAGAGAGAGTCCTGCTGCAACATAGGCGACACCCATGGAAGCGACTTTGAACGGGTCGACATGCTTGGGGATTCGAATTGCGTTATAACAGCAGACGATGGTGTATTCCTGAAACGTCGACTTTCTGATATCTCGATAGTCTGTTGGTACGGCAAGGACCTTGGGCTAATGTTAACCAACATTTTCATCACGACGTGAGTCATCTCAACACTCACCCACTCTCCCATCTGAAGGGGACATCTCTGGTCGACCTCGGAAGCTACGATTATGCCAATAAATTCACGCTCATTTAAACCAGACGACGATGAAAGGAGGTATCCAAGATCTCTAGGATTAAGCTTGTTAATAAGAACAAAAGCCTCATAAGGCTGGTAGTGTGCAGGGCTTCATTGCGGGGAAATACATACGCAGATTTACAATCGGCCGGGTTCAAGCCGATCCCGTACACTTCCACCAATAGATCTCCAAATTTTAATATAGGAATCTTCCTATCCGTGTGGAGCCTATAAGGTTGTCGATGATCATGGCGAAGCAGCTGTCGCTGCGAGTATGGCATGGGTTTATCGTAGATGGTGGGAGGAAACGATGTGATCGCAGTAGCCTCTATCGTCGTCATTATGGCCTTGGATGGTGCCATAGTCATGGTGTAGATGGGAACCAATGTTGGAAAGCCCAAGGATCATCTATAAAGAGCCGTCTCAACCTTGTGCTTGCGCGATGGGAATAACATTGTTTTTGCTAGACCCAAGCTGACGATGCTTTTATCTGCCGTGGTAAAGTATGATGAGATGCAAGTGCTTACACGTTTTGCGTGAACTAGTGGCGGGCTAAAAAGGAAAAGAGATAGGTAATACGGAATAGACAAAAAAGGGAAATGGATACCAACTCAGGTATATGAAGATACTAGGCTTCTTATAAGGAGTGCAAAAGGACGAGGCGTAGGAAGAATGCTGCATAAAGGGCAGGACTGAGGCCGAATAAGAATCGCACATGAATTCCCGGTTTTAGAAGTGCGGAGCTTCAGCGCCCGTGGGTCGATTAATCTACAGATTTGTAAGGTGCTCGATGGCCTCTAAAAACCCCTTGAATAGAGTATTTGCAATGTTGACTATTTTAGCTAATAATCGTTAGAACGATTCGAGGAGTGCTTGATGGAGCCCCTCTTCAGCAACTGCCGCAAATATTGGCTTTTTGAGACATGAGTCGGCTCGCCAGTTGATACTCGTAAGCTCTTTCGAGCGGACAATCTTGTTTTAGTTGACCGAAATAGTCCGTTTCTCGAGTTGAGCTATATTAGGCCAAAGTCCGTATGACCCGGGGTGAGCAAGTTTAATCTACATGCACTCCAACTTCATGCGGCTTCTCGTGGTCGGTAATTGAATACGTATATCACCGCAAAAGGCCGCGAATTTTCGTCTTGCTTGTCTCTCAGCGGAAACGCATAGGATTGATCCATGAGGCTTTATTTTTCTTTTCAGCGATCTTGGCAAAATGGCGAAGGCTCCTGACAGATGTCGTGATCAGATAATGGGGCATTAGGGATGGCGGACTGCGTGGCGCGTGGGGGAATTATTGGAGAAATCACTAGACTATCAGCTTACCATTGGTGCTCGGTTATTCTTTTGCTAAAGCGAGATTTACTCCGACATTCAGCAGTATGAAGCTGGAGTCTTTTGCGGCGTTTGCGATAGTAATTGGCGCAAGGCACCAAGGATCGGCCGGTCCCAACATTTTTGCTGTACAGGCCTCAAAGAATCGTTTAAGATATTCAATGACCCAGTGTATAAGATTGGAAGTTGATACACGTGACAATGGCTCTATTGGGATAGAGTCTGATGCAGTAATTGGCATCATGATTGTATATATGCTGGTATGCCAACCGCATTTTGCTGTGCAGCATGACCCTGGCGCATCTTGACTGCGACCTTTGATGCCGAAATCGCAGTGTTTTATTCGAGACAATCTGGCCTGCCGGCATTATTCTTCTTCATAATGACATTGTGATCCTACATGATTATGCTCATTTGTCGTACACTGTCAATATCGCGACGGATCGCGCCGAGCTTCGAACAGTGACGGAACTCAAGTCGCGAAGAAAATAGAATGAAGACAGTAGCGAAAGCCAATGCATATAACAAGAATAATATGGAGATCTTATGGCTTGCGCAATATGCTGTTCTGTGCCTCATCGATGGAATCTGGGTAATGGGCTCTCTTATGTCTATCCCGACGACGACTTGAGTCTCCGGGTTTTCCTGCCTCCGACTCCACCGGCCTCCTATTACGTAGTCTATCAAGATTCATTCGGACTGATTACGTGTGTGCAGAAGTCTTATAAGATAGACAGCGCCACTCTCTTCGCTACGATCAGTAATCTATCGATACCATCAAGCATCAAGGCGCGCCTGTTTCCATCCTACTCAGGTTTCATGAATCCGCTAATATGAAGAAAATCCGGGTCCTCAGCTTCCTTGCTGTTTCCTCTTCATAATTAGTCTTCAACATATGCGATGTCTGGTCTTATTGATCCCCAAAACATCTTTTCATACAAGGCACGATTATTAATCGCCGCCAGCTGAAGCAACTCGGTGACGGTGTAGCCCGTCTAGATTCGGCAGTGAAAGCTAGACAAACTAACCTATATGCCGGATTCTCATCGGCGCCGGTGGGATGTGACAAGATGTCGGCAATGAAACTGCATCCATGGCAATTCTAAAAGGCCATTAGAATCGGATTCAATAGTCATCCAAATCCACAAATTGTAATCAGTTGAGAAATGCTGGTGCCACCAGTGTTGCGTTGATGGATATAAGACGGGCATCATCCTCCAGGTGGAAAGAGAAACATATTGTATTAATCTGAATACAATTGAGTGCAAGATTATTCGACTATGGCATCCGAATCTATCATCAAGAAGATCGTCTGGTATGGTGTGAGTACAAAGCCTACTTCTGCCGAGACTAGATCGCACAGCTTACAAGTACTCTTCAGCAAGGACCCAGACTCGGTAGTCAAGTCCTCCAGCGCATTGCCGCACTCAAGAAATACGACATTACCTTCATCGGCCGCAAAGAGCCGTCTGAGTACAAGAATGTGCCAGAAGGTATTCCCATCGTACAAGTTGACTTGAAGGATCATAAGACCCTCGTCAAAGCATTGACGGGCGCTGACGCAGTTGTCGTGTTCACTCACTTCAACCCAGGCGGGGATCTCGACATTGTCCAGATTGCGCTCATCAATGCCGCTATAGAGGCTGGAGTGAAGCTCTTTGTGCCTTCAGAATGGGCGCCTGACACTGCTGGTGGGAATGGAGCAACGATTGCGAAAATCGGACCAAACACGTTGCCTCCCAATCCTGCCGTTGCAGCAAAGAGGGTAGTTCACAATTACCTGCTGTGTAGATCTGCTGCAAACCAGATTGACTTTGTAAGCCTACACGTTGGCAACCTTCTCATAAGTAAGTAATTCTACGACAAACGTTCATGGTCCTGGGATCAACACGCTCATCACCTCGATTCTAGACTTGAGTGCTTTTGCATCTTTGGACATCAATAAACGCACTGCCTCGCTTGGCGACGGTGGCCACGGCCTCATCTCCGTATCCAGCATCGACACGCTCACAAAAGGTCTCGACAGTCTCTTAACCCAATATCCAAAATTTAAAAACGGCTTCTTTTACATCTGCGACGGCGAGACCAGCTTGCAGCGTCTCGTAAAAACCTTCCAAGAGGCTTCAGAGACCAAGGAGCCCTGGAAAATCACTTCGTTTTCAATCGCGGAGAGAAAGCAGCAAGCGGATGAGAACATGCGCAACGGAGTATTCACCAATAAAGAATTCGCGGCTGTTCTTACGTTTCCGTTTACTGGTGGTTTGACAGTCTGGCAAAATCCAGACAATGAGAGGCTCGGCTTGGGACCGCCTAGCGACGGGAAGGCTCAGAAGATTGTTGATGACTTTGTACGGAGTTCGATAGCCAAGGGATATGTTAGTTAAGCTCCAGGTAGAGTGGTATGCTCGTGGCTAAGGACGTGTAATAACGAACAAGTTACAGAGTCGATTATGATATACGATTTGATCTACATTGACATGGAAGATATTATCCATGGCAATAATCAGTCGGCTTTTGTGACTAAAAACAGAAGCAAAAATACTTAAAGCTTTTACAATCTTTGAGTCCCAATACGGTACTCCCACCTCCACCTGGCACAACGCACCAGCATGAGGGTCAGCTCCATGACACCACTTGCCAAATCCTTCATGAGGTCAATTTTTCCAAGCTGGTCTGCCCCAATTATTCTAGCTCCTTAATTCGCTCCAGTCTCGATTTCTGATGAACTGCTTCTCTGATAACCCAGCCATTCTACCGCCTCCCTGTATCAAGACCCCCATCTGTCACAACTGGGAAGCAAGGAAGATCCCCGTCTAGAGGATGTGTCTATTGTCTCCGAATACTCTCAGCCGGTGGCAACAAGAAATAAAAGGCCAACATACTAACAAGGGTACACCTATCGAGAGACTAGAAATAGCAGTGGCGCTACTCTAGACTCTGCTGCACACATCAACAACATTGTATCACATCTTATTATTCGCGCCAGATGGTGCGGCTGAAAGTCTGTCTCATTAGGCCCCAAAACTAATAAAACTAATAGATGTAGGCTCGCAGATATCCCAGTGTGACTCGTTGTACTACCAACATGTGATGAGAAGGATGTCGCCTTCTGATGACGCCATGGTGTCATTGGGAGGCATGCATGCATTCAATAGAGGCGATTTGTGCAATAATGGAGGATTGGAACTGAGTGTCCTTCGTTTTACACAGAGGCATTTACCTTTCAAGATCTGGCTCAAATTTATTCGCCTCAGATATCTGAACACGAGCAGATAAGCTAAAATCTCTTCCAGCCTTTGGGCGTAGGAAACTTGCATACGAATTGCCACTTTAAAAGCCCAAATATTATGTCTAATATTGTTCATGCACGCCAGCAATCAATTCTATACCGAAAAGACAGCCATAGCTGAAGACCAGGGAGGGTGTTGGGGGCTCATTCATGCAGACCAGTCCGTGATCATTGTGGTGGCAATCTTGCAGCCAGCACTCGGTGACGATATACGGAGTAGACGCATTAAACGTACTAAAACAAATAAATGTAGGTCAGGAGAAACATTGCAATTTGTCGACGCATAATACTTGGAGCAATAGTCCCCCCTTGGTTGGAGGATTGCTAATTGCCACAGCTCAGCCCAGAGATATCGGGCTCCCCAACGCCAAGTTCATCGTCTGGGACTATACAAAAACTGTAATAATGACGGCTGAAAGAATCCAATCGCAACATTCAGCCATTTGCTCCCCACGACGGCAGTGGCAGCTTAAGCCATTCGTAGCAAGTGTTCACATGTCCCTGCCATTCTCCGGCCCAGACCCGGTCCAACCCCCATTTCTATCCTCTGAGCAGCCCAATATTGAAAAGCTCAAGGCTAACTTTTAGTTCACAATGCCAAGGATAGAAAGGACCATCTCAGCCGTCTCTCCAGGGACACGGGTTGATGCAGCGTGCCGTGCTGTGACCAGGGCAGGGCGTTACACTCATCTCACATCGAATTACTAGCTCGCATGAGGCGGCAGATGTCCTAAAAAAACAAACTCCTTTTTCTTCTGATTGCCGGTGGCTGGCTTGCCACATGCTTTGACTAGCAGGAGGTGGTTCAAAAAGCCTCGAATGTTTCGCGATGTTGATAGGACCAACGCTGGAATAGACGTCGAATCAATCAAATGATTACGACTAAACGCTCCAAGGCGTAACGACTATTGATCGGTAATGACCTTTTTCATCATGCCAACAACGGCCCAGACTTTTCCATCGGTGGTGAAAAGCCTTGGTAAAGAACCCCCCCTTGCTTCAGCCCAACGACGTGCAGGTATTGGGCAAACCGAGAGGGCGGGCATAACGAGTGTACATGGGAAGATTGCGCCATCTGCGCTATTCGAACGTTTTTGGAAGTGCTGGAAGTCGCTCCGGTAAAGGCGACCACCCGAGGCTCCATAATGAGGGACCCTTTACTGCTGGAACGCCAGGGCGGTTCTAGGATCCCATGTCCGTGTATCTGGTGCAAACGTGGCCAGCCCTCCAGCCGTGTCTTGGATGTTTGTGATGGTGATGCGTGAAGTAGCTGAGAAGCTGAAGCTGAAAGTAGCGTCCAAGGCATGCAGCTAGGGAGAGACGACTGTCACGAGTCGATATACCGGAGGTGGCGTATGTCATCCAGTCATTAAACCATAAGGTCCATCTGTATATGTCAGCTAGTCGCGCCAAATAGCAAAGTGAAGCTATCTCGATGGAGCCACTCCGTCTGGAGAGGAGCATTGATGCGCCGGGCTCCATAGAAGGACGCGGAGCACGGAATAATACGCATGCCCAGCGTCTAACATGTACCCTAGTGTAGTACAAGTAGCTTAAATCAAGTTAGACGGCGATGTTCCGTGCTGCTGTCCCGAGACATCTCTTGGTGTGATGAGCTCACGAGCACGAAGCATGATGAGACAAGGCGTGTACAGCTCTACAGCTTCGTATAGCAATTAGCTGATATAATGGATCCAAGTTGACTTGTAGTTGCCGTGCGTAGGACACGATTCAGTCGGCAGCGTAAAAGCCACCATAGCACATAGGACATCTGTGGCGATGAAGGCATCATCTCGACAGCTTCGGGTCGCCGGCAATGGGCTCGAGCGTCCCCCAAAGAGGTGTGTCAGCCCGAGGGATGACATGGGAAGCGCAGGGATCGCATCGTAGCATGGCGATGCCGTAGCCGCGGGCGTGTGGAGTCTGGGATTGCAGCAGACGATCTTTTTTGCTCGTCAAATGTGCTTCGTACGAGTACGATGCTGAACGTCTTGTGTTTTCTACAGGCATCAGCCAATGAATGCTGGCAGGTCATGCTGACAAGCCTACATGTATTCTCGTATGGAGTCGAACAGACAACCATCCATGCAATACAACTCTACGGTCCATCGGGAACCTTGATTCACTGAATCCCTTGCATGGGCCAGACTGTACAAGTAGAATACAAGCACATGTTACCTCTTGATAAAATGGAATCAAAACCAAAGTTTTTCTCCGTTGACGCAATCCATACAGAATCTCTCTCAACAAGTACCTCCAACACCCATCCAGTATCAGGCCGCTACTTATTCGCCCTTCTCCATCCGGGGCTTCTTTAGGCTCCCTGCTAGGTTGCTAGGCAAGCCAAGAAAAGAAAAAAGAATGGAAGCAGCCATAAAAAAAAGAGGAGCCTCCGCTAGACTAGCCGTTCGGTGCCACCCCTGGGCCTTTTAGCTGCAAGCGAATACTTAGGCGGAAGCACGCAATCCGGTGGCTCTCTCGACAAAGGTACGCAATCTTGCCCAAATCTCAGGGCCAAAGGCAAGTCCTGCCAGAATTTTAATTCTCTCTTTTTTTTTTGTTTTGGTCCTGTCATCTAGGCCCTGAGAATTGGACCCCAATTATATGTACATGATACTCCGAGTTGGCGGGTGGCTTGCCGTGGGAAGGGGGTGGGATTTGTACACGCCTGGTCCACGCCTTGTATAAGGAATGTAGATGCCGTATGGGGAAGATGACGGAACGCGCTCGCAACTTGGAGCAGATTTGGTGCATCTGGCGCTGAATCGGTATCCATCTTGGAGTCTCACCAATACCGGGACGATACTTGTCAAGTACATGCAACTCCAGGAGTTTGGAGCAGCATTACACGTACATAGCACCACACCCAGGGGGGAGTACGCCAGAAGAGGCTGATGCTGGAGCTGGGACGGGAACACAAACCAGCAAGGAATAGAGCACATGGCATGGATGGATAAGGATGCGCATGCGCACAGGCGAGGCTTCGGGGCAACCTCCCAATATTTGCTGGGGGACCCTCAAGGACTGGATGCTACTTTGCACATAAATAAAGTTGGGCTTGCTGTCCACCGACCCGCATCTCGCATCTCGCATTACTCTCTCTTAACTCTTTCATCTTTTCTTTGCAGCTCTGGAAGAAGAGAGAGAGGTCGATCATTCTCCATAACGGTGCGTCACGGACGCGTTATATCCTGCCAAATACATCCCCGTTCTCCATATTCTGGAGTGGTTTTCAACGGGGACATCAAGTCGGTGTATGGTGACGACTTTTGTGTGTAAACTCGAAAGTTTATACTTGACCCCCTTCTCTCTCTAAAACTCAATTCCTCTCTTCTCTTCACATACCGTAACCATGGCCGCCTTTGCGACAAACACCAAAGAGCGCCTCGCCAAGGCCTTTGGCTTCGACTCGGAAGACCGTGACAGCGATGTGCCGTCAATATCCAACGCCGACCCGTTCCTGGAGCGGGAGCCCACCGTGGGCGAGTTTCTCGAGGAGATTCGGCCTTCGCTGCATGATATCGGCATGTACTTTTACAACCTGTTTCCGTTTCTCCACTGGATCGGCAAATACAACTTGACGTGGTTCATTGGAGACTTGATTGCTGGTGAGTTGGCGCAGAACAACCGCGATATATAGATGTTATAACGAGTTGTGTGTCTAATTGCGTCCATGTTAGGTATGACTGTTGGAGCTGTCGTTGTGCCCCAGAGTATGGCGTATGCGCAACTGGCTCAACTACCCGTCGAATATGGCCTGTACTCGTCCTTCATGGGCGTCTTGATCTACTGGTTCTTTGCCACTTCCAAAGACATCACCATCGGCGTAAGTTGAATACGACTTACACAACACATGAGAATAGGAATCACAGCTAACCACCACAGCCCGTTGCCGTCATGTCCCAAGTCACCGGCGACGTCGTCCTCAAGGCCGCAACACGCCTCCCCGACGTCCCCGGCCACGTCATCGCCTCTGCCCTGGCCGTCATCGCCGGCGCCATCATCTGCTTCATCGGCCTCGCCCGCCTCGGCTGGCTGGTCGAGTTCATCCCCCTGCCGTCCATCTGCTCCTTCATGACGGGCTCGGCCATCAACATCATCTCGGGCCAGGTGCCCAAGCTCATGGGCATCAAGGGCGTCAACACGCGCGCCGCGCCGTACGAGGTCATCATCAACACGCTCAAGGGCCTGCCGACGACGACGATTGACGCCGCGCTGGGCCTGACGGCGCTGCTGATGCTGTATCTCGTCAGGGGCTTCTGCACGTACATGGCCAAGAAGCAGCCGCACCGGGCCAAGATGTACTTTTTCATCTCGACGCTGCGGACGGCCTTTGTCATTCTGCTGTACACGGGCATCAGCGCGGGCATGGTGCTGCACCACAGGGACAAGCCCCCGATCAGCGTCCTGGGCAAGGTGCCTCGAGGTATGAAATTCTGCTTCTCCATCTCCAGAGGATGATTTGTTTTCTAACATGCATAAAACAGGCTTCCAGCACACAGGCGCCCCCGAAATCAACACGACCATCATCAAGGCCTTTGCGCCGGAGCTGCCCGCCGCCGTCATCGTCATGCTGATTGAGCACATTTCCATCTCCAAATCGTTTGGCCGCGTCAACAACTACATCATCGACCCGTCGCAGGAACTCGTGGCCATTGGCGTCACCAACCTGCTGGGCCCCTTCCTGGGCGCATATCCCGCGACCGGATCCTTCTCGCGCACCGCCATCAAGGCCAAGGCCGGCGTCCGCACGCCCTTTGCGGGCGTCATCACGGCTATTGTTGTGCTGCTGGCTCTGTATGCCCTCACGGCGCTCTTCTTCTACATCCCCAACGCCGCACTCGCCGCCGTGATTATCCACGCCGTGGGCGACGTCATTACGCCGCTCCCCGTCGTCTTCCAGTTCTGGCGCGTGTCGCCCATCGAGGTCATCATCTTCCTGGCCGGTGTGTTGGTGACTGTCTTTGCCACCATCGAGGACGGCATCTACACCACCATCTGCATGTCCTTTGCCGTGGTCATCTTCCGCCTTTTCCTCAGCCGCGGCCGCTTCCTCGGCGTTGCCCGCGTGCGCACCGTCAAGGCGACGGAATCGACAAACAAGGGCGGCGACCAGGAGGCTCTTGTTGAGCCGTCGTCCGAGTACTCGCAGCGATCTGGCTTCCTGCCGCTGGGCCACGAGGACGGCTCCAACCCGCGAGTTGTGGTGTCGAGCCCGTATCCCGGCATCTTCATCTACCGCTTCGCCGAGGGCTTCAACTACCCCAATGCGACGCGGTACCTCAACCACCTGACGGAGACTATTTTCCAGGAGACGCGACGGACCGATGTCAAGACGATTGCCAAGCTAGGAGTAAGTCCAAGTCTCTTCCAGACAGCATAGCATAGCATACCTTGGTATACACAGAAGAAGAAACTAACAGCACAACAGGACCGGCCGTGGAACGACCCAACTCCACGACACGCAACGCAAAGCGAGCACGACAACCGCCCCACGCTCAAGGCCATCATCCTCGACTTCTCGTCCGTCAACATTGTCGACGTCACGGCCGCCCAGGCCCTCATCGACGTGCGCAACCAGCTCGACCGCTACGCAGCGCCCCAGGCCGTCGACTGGCACTTTGCCCACATCGAGAACCGCTGGACCAAGCGAGCCCTCTGCGCGGCCGGCTTCGGCTACCGCACGCCGCGCCACAACGCGGAGGACGGCGAGGGCGCGGGCCACTGGAAGACAATCTTCAGCATTGCCGACCTGGGCGGCTCGGACAGCGCGGCGGCGGCGGCAGCGGCGGAGGAGAAGAAGGAAAAGGGCGGCCGGGCGTTGCAGTACGACGTGGAGCGCACAAACTCGGATGACATCTCAAAGGCGTCGGACAAGGACGTGCCGGCGCATCCCAGCAGTCGCCGGCTGGTAGCCATCAAGGGGCTCAACCGGCCGTACTTTCACTTTGACCTGCAGGAGGCGGTTGAGTCTGCCATTGCCAACGCGGAGAGGCATCACGAGGGCCGGGAGAGTGATGACACTGATGAATAAGGATTTGATCTTGTTTGATTTGCTTTGATTTGGTTTACGAATATTGTCTAATCTGGTACTTGGAAGAGGAGCGTGTCATCTGTTTCTAATGAGTTTTGTAGCTACTGAGTTGCTGCTGGGAGCAGCGGCAATAAGTGGTCGTCTTTCTACCTTGTATCATCTGCAAACCCTTTATATATAGATACCACTGCTTGTTGGGGATGTAGTTGAAAGAATCCCACGGCAGACGAAACAAATGAATACAACACACCGTTGCTGGAAATTAACAGCACACGTTTATTTCCACGTCCATCCAAGTCATAAACCTCAACGTCTGACTCTTGCTACCACACCACATCTAATGAATATCCCACCCATATATGGCTCTTAGTCAAAACTTCTGACGGTGTGGCAATGGTCAATAGTTCCCGGGTAAGCCATTTTGCGCTGGGCTGCTGGCCAATTGAGGCGAAGAAAAGTGCCGTGCCCATGGGGAAAAGAGGGCGGTGGCTGAGTACATGTAGAAGTGATGGGATATTACGGCAACGGCAACAGTATGTAAATATTCGATTCATTCAAATTGCTCACGTGCTGCGTGTGTGATTGGAGCAACGACTCAGTTGGGACTTTTATTTTGTTTCCATGACCGTGGGAATATGGGAATGTGAGAACAAAGACAGGCAAGAAATTGCGCCGGGCGACGCATGCATGCACAAGGATGTCTACATGCCTTAGTGGTTGTACTTCTAATGGAAAGGCATTAGGCAGTCGACTACGAGAAAGAAAGTAAGAGAGAGTGATAGTTCCGATATCCGAGGAGATAAGAGAGATTTCGGGTGCATGGGCCCGATATTCGAGCATCACGGTGGCCATTCCGTCATTGCGGCCAGAACGGTCGAGTATCCAGTTAATGAGCTTCACATGATGTGCCAGAGCCCAGTTATTAAACCGGAGTCTCTTGTATTGACTTTGTCTTTTTGTCTTTTGTCTCTTCGTTCCTGTACCTGGTGTCTTTTATTCTAGAATGCTGTTAGCAAGCTATACTTGCAAGTACCTACAGTGCAGACTGTGCGTGATTGATTTTGAATGCATGCAGAAGCCGTGTGGAGGGAGATGGGAGCAAATACGGCAAATGCCGCTGTAAGATATTAGGCTAGCATTACGAGGCAACACTCGCTAATTAGTAGCAGCCATGACGATGCTGGCCCCGTATTCATCAGATATCTGTAGCATTGAATTGCCCATGCAACGATTGATTCCAATGATGAATTCTTTGCTTGGAGAGAGAACAAATAAGTAGTCTAGATCAAAACAAACAATTAAAAACAAGCCCCGACGTCAACTCAATTTCAGCAACCATGGATCGCTACTGCAAAAATCATCGTCTCATTTCCCTGCCCTGCTTAGCGCATCTTGGTCGCTAAAACGAGCCCCCAGTGCACCTCCCACCTACTGTGATAGGACAAAACTTCCCACGCAGCCGCCTCCAATTCGCAGAGCCCGTCTGACAAAGCAGCGCCCGTCACTCGATACGGGGCGCGGTGACGTCACGGCACGTCGCCGGGGCAGCCTCTGCAGCAGGCCTGGCACCTGGACGGCAAATCCTGCTGCTCCCAGGCCTCGTCCAGCGCGCTAAAGAGGCCACAGCCAGCGCCGGCCAGCGCCACGGCTGGTGGCCGTTTCCTTTTAAACTTTGGCTGTGCCGGGTGGCCAAACCAAAGGATCCGTCGATTCCGCCAGAGTCGCCCGGAGACTGAGCAGCGCAAAAAGAGGGCAAAAGAGAGCAGAACGACAAGAGACAAAGAGGCTCGCCGGGAGTTGAACGGAGCCCAACGCGTCACTGGCCCGACTTATTCGCCGCAGTCGTTGCCAACCTGCGATTCGATTGCCCTGCCCTGAACCTGCTTCCGCTGCCTTCCACTCGTCGCATCTGCTCCATCCATTGACCGCTGATCGACACGCCGTTTTGCGTGCCGAGTCGTTCTTTTGTCTGCTCTGCTCTGCTCGCTTTTTTTTCCCTTCTTTTTTTCCCATCGTTTGCACTCGCTCCGTCCTCGATTCGAACTCCGTCTCGAACTCGACTCCAATTCCCCAGCGCCAAGAGAAAAGCTCCAAGTGGGCAGAAACCTGGGTCGCGGGGCCTGACTAAGCGAGTCCGGGGCTTCTGAGAGGCCCGTCCGCCTCTCTTGTGTCGCCATCACTGCTCGAATCTGATCTGATATCCACACGCTCAGACCCGATCCTGCACCTGCGCAGCAGCAATCCTCCAGCATGGATTCCAGCCGCTCGCGAGGCTCCAGAAGCCTGCGGTCGTCGCGATGGCGCTCCATCTCGTCGGCCTCAGCCTCGCCCTCGCCGTCGCCCCGATCGCCGTCGCCTCTGCGCACCGACGACGAGGTCGATCCTCACACAGTCGTTCCACCACCTCAACAACAACAACAACAACAACAACAGCAGCAGCAGCAACAACAACCGCCAGCGCGATCGCGAAGTGACAGCCGGTCCAGCCTACAGCCGCCGCCGCCCCGATATAGCGCGCCCAGCGCTGATCGCGGTCGCAGCCGGCGCATGAGATCCGTCTCGTCGTGGCGGTCGTACAACAACCCGGCCACGCCAGACGCTACCGAAGAGTCAGAGACCGAATACTTCCCGCCGCTGGGCAACGCCTCCAGCGCCGTTTCCAGGACGTCGAGCATCCGCGGCCGTGCTCCGTCAACCGCGGGCTCCGTTGCGGGCTCCGTGGCAGGCTCCGTGGCAGGCTCCAATGCTGGTGTCCGGCCGGTCCATGAGCGGATAAGACAGCCCAGCGTTCGCATCCGACGACGCAGCTCCAGCGGCGGCGGAACCTCCGTCATCGACTATGCCTCCGAGAGCAGCGACACCGATGCAGGCCGCCGTCACCTTCCCCGGCCGCGGAGCGTATCGCAGCCCATGCCTGCCGCGCAAATCTACCCGGACGCCAACGTTGCCAGACTGTCGCGCCGCGTGCCGCAGGTGGCGCTGCCGCGTCTCACAGAGGAGGGATCGCGGCCGACCATGTCCGAGCTGGGCATCCCTCCGTCGCCGCTTTCGCCCTCGAGGTCGCTGCCAGAGGAGCCGCTGGAGGAAGACGACCCTCGCAATCCCGATAGTGGCGGCTCTCCAGCACGGAGACTGACCAGGAAGCGGAAGCTTAGCAAGATGTTCTGGCCTGGCGGCTCCCTCAATCGCGGACCAATGTCGCCACCACCCCGCGGTGTAAGCTCAGAGAGAGGCACCTCCGCGGGCCCTTCCACCCAGAGTCATTTCGGCCTCAATCTTGGCCAGCGCCAAGGCCAGCAGGCACCCGCGTCCGACGAGTACGGCGAAGACCTGGTTGACTGGCTGGATATCATTGGTGAGTCCCAACCGGTCTAGAACAAGCAATTGACCGGCAGATGCTGACAGTTTTCGTGTGCCACTAGATCCCGAGGTCCAGACCCTTTCGACCCTGACAAACGTGCAAAACTCCCTGTTCGTGCCTGATCTTGGCCCTTGGATCAACCGCCGCCCCACCTACGTCCTGTCCCAGCGTGAGGCTGCACCGACGGGGCGACGAGGCCGGGCTGCTACCGTTGCTGCTGAGCGCCAGGAGGAGGAGCTGCCCGAGCCGATCGAGGAGCTGCCCAGGTTCGAGACGGGCGCGGAGACGCCCAGGAGCGAGGGTGTGCCGGCGACGCTGCGGCGAACCGACACAATCACCTCGCGGCTCACAGACTCGCACTACGCGGCGCTGCCGCACGGCATCAGCCTCGAGGGCTGGACCGAGGAGGAGAAGATGGAGCTGGACGACCGCGTGCGCCACATGCTGCACTCCAAGCGGTCGCGCTTCAAGCGCACCATGAAGGGCTTTGGCCAGTACGTGCGGCGGCCGCTGGGCTTCTTCGTCACGCTCTACGCCGTCCTCATCACCCTCTTTGGCCTGGCCTGGGTGCTGTTCCTCATCGGCTGGATCTACGTCGGCGACAAGCAGGTGTACACCATCCACATCATCGACAGCGTGCTGGTGGCCCTGTTCGCCGTCATGGGCGACGGCCTGGCCCCCTTCCGAGCCATTGACACATACCACATGTCCTTTGTCATTCACTACTCGCGCAAGATTGAAAAGGCCAAGAAGAAGAAGCTCAAGGAGAAGGAGGAGGCCATTGCGCAGGCAGCGGCAGAGGGCAGCGTGGAGCTTACCCACTATGCTTCCGGCGACCCTCTCGCAGCGTACCCCGGCGCTCCCACTCTCGAGCCCCAGAGCGTCAGCGCGAGCGCCAGCGCTTCGGTCGAGAGAATCGCCACCAGCACCAGCAACCTCAACCTTGCGACGGCGCCCCCGCCCGATCCCGAGCAGGCCATTGTGGATCAGAATGGAGACGTCGAGGCCGCCAAGCTCGACATTGAGTACGACGAGGACTCTCCGCTCACGTTCAAGCAGTGGAAGCGCATGCGGCACCACCAGAAGAAGCTGGCCAAGTCTCACAGCTTCTACAAGCCCGACGAGACCTTTACGCACTTTGCCTTTCCCTTGCCCTACCTGATTGCCATTGTGATCCTGCTGGACTGCCACTCGTGCCTGCAAATCTCGCTGGGTGCCACCACCTGGGGCATCGACTACCACCACCGACCCTTTGCCATCACCACCGTCATCCTCTGCGTCAGTATCGCGTGCAACATCTCCGCCGGCCTCACCATCATGATTGGCGATCGCAAGACGCGAAAGAAGGATGTGTGGAAGCTGTTGACGCGACAGGAGCTGACGGGCGATGCCATCAAGCATCTCGAGACCAAGCGTGCCAAGGAGCAGAGCCACAGCCACGAAAGCGGCCACGACAGCGGCCACAATAGCGTGCAGGAGGAGATTCAGACGGATATGAGCATCAAAGAAGACATGACTACCAAAGAGGACCGGTAGTAACCCATGCATGTCTAATTCATGCTCATGCACGGACACGAGGTCCATGAACCATGTCCGAAAACGGGCCATGACACGATGCATCATGACTCTTTACCCTTTATTTATACTTTTCGATAAAATCAATCGCTTAATCAATCAGAGATATACACGTGGCGTTGATTAGGCGTACAATTTTGTTTCCATTTCTTTTGGGTATAGTTATCGGTTATCCTTGTCTTGTATTCTCATGGCCTTTGCTGTTGCTGCTGTTGCTGCAGTTGCCTTGCTGTGATGCAGTGCCAGGATGGATGTGCACGGCATGGCGGTCCAGACTTTTTTTGTGATTCTTTTTTTTTTACCTCGGGATATTGGCCGTCAGCTAAATGTCATGCAGCCGACGCCGGAGATGGATGGGGGCGAGTGGTTCATTGTTACAGGATGCAGGCGTTGTTGGCGCAGACTGCTCAAAAGGCAAAAGCTTGGGATGATACAAGAACTTCTAGACCTCGATCTGGCTACATTTAGTCTAGTCTCAAGGGTGTTTGTTTAATTAATGAGAAACGCTTTGCAACGATCTGGCGTCGCCTAGAGCCTCTGCCGTGCCTCTGCCGTGCCACCGACACGACCTTGTATCGGCTCAAGACTCCCACAAAGTGATGTGTCTCTTTCTGCTGCTGTCACGTTGGATTTCTGGCGTTTCAATTTCCGCCTCATATCCGACGATGGATGGCGCTGCAGCACTTGTTGCGCCCTACCCGCCTTTTGTTTAGAAAATGCAAGTGCTAGAAAACAAGAAGCCCGTGAGCGAGAGAGAGAAGGGCTAGAACTGCCTGGACCCGCGGATATTACGGATCCTTGCAGTGGAGAGGCGTTTGTTGGCGATCTCGACTGTTTCCTTGCTCGCACTCGCTTCTCTGCTCTTGGCCCGTTGTGCTGAGTTTCACTTTGATCTGCTTCCCGCACTTATTCGCGTCAAGTCACCGTCACACTAGTCTGACAGCTATCACTTATCACCCTTTTTCTCTCTCTTCTTTCCAGACTCTACTTCTTTTGTCTCTTTTTTTCTTTTCCCCATTGTTATTCATTCGCCTTCTTTTTGCTTTCCCCCCCCTCCTTATGTAAAGCTGGCGTTTGTCAGCCAGGCTCGGTGTTGCAAGACCCCCAAGAGCGGGGGGGCTGAAAAACAGGATTAGAAAGACCACGGGCCTGGACTCTGGGATCACGATGGATCGAGAAAATGTCTTTCCTTTTTTTTTTTTTCACTACTCTTCTGATCTCTTTCAATTTTTTAAGATTTGCAGTAGGCAAAAAGGGCTGCGCTAATGCCGTTGGGTGGATTAGCCGTCCATCTTATCCTACCCAGTGGTGCGGTGCCTGATATATGAGTGAGACAGGCGTTTGCGAGGGAGCCTGCGCTTTTATACCTGATACGACTAATACTATTTTCCTTCTTCTTTTTATTTATTTTGTTTCAAGAATGACTATGCCTGCTTGACACTCTTACTTGCACAACCCACTCGCAAAAGACAGACACCACCAAGAGCCAGACGGTCACAGACAGACACAAAACGAAACAATGGTGGCCGACCTCTCTCTCTCCACCATCCCCCCGTCAAAGCCTCACTCCCACACCGTCATCTTCCTGCACGAGAACAAAAACTTTGCCCGCAGCGCCGTCAACCGCATGCACGAGGCCACCGACGGCGACTGGCAGTCCATTATCCAAAACTACGCCTCGACGCGGTGGGTGTTCCCGCAGGCACCCACCGGCGAGCCGCTGATACCGTCGCTGCAGAGCATCTCGACGGGCATCCAGCACGCGGCGCACAGGGGCGAGCCCAACTGGTGGAACAACCAGCAGGGACAGGACCCGGACGCGGCGAGGCGGGAGAGCGACATGCTGCCTGGCCTGCGGGAGAGGATCAAGGAGCTGGAAAAGGTCATCACCAACGAGGTCAACCTGCTGGGAGGCCGCTGGGAGAGGGTCATTCTGGCGGGCATCGGCCACGGCGCGGGCATGGCCATGGCGACAATCATCAGCCTGGGCATCCCCAGCGAGGAACACGCCACAAACACAAACACAAGCAGCGAAAGGAAGAAGCCCCAGCCTCTGGGCGGCTTCGTCGGCATATCCTGCGAGATGCCCCTCCACGAAACGCCCTCGGCCGCCCGCCGGCTGCTCTTCCCAGACAGCGACGCCCTGCCGGACAAGGAGAAGAGCAACGACGTGTGGAAGAAGACGCCCGTGCTGCTGCAGTACTTTGTCAATGGCGGGCAGGAGTATCTGGACAAGGGCCGGGCTCTGCGCGACATGCTGGTGGCGAATGGCGTCGAGGACGTGTGCTGGCGTGAGTATGAAGATGGGCGCATGTTTATGAATTCGCCGCGGGGGGTGGAGGATGTGAAGGAGTTTTTTGGGGACAAGATGGATTTGAGGCCGAATTACTGATTTTGATGTTTGTTTGAATTTGCGGGCGTGTTTTTTGGGTAAAAAGCATACCTGGAGGGAATATGTGATGGGTTTTAATGATATCGGGTATGCGCATCATGGTGGACAGGGCTTGGATTTCCTTCTTCTTTAGCATATTTTTTGGCTTTTCAATTACGAGCGTCTCTTAATATCATCTTGTGCTACTTGATATTTACTTTGTGTTCATTAGGCGTTGAGAAAGAGGAATCACCACGAACTGAGCTACAGACGAGGAGAGAAGTCAACCCAAGGAAAGCGATGTACCATATCCCAATGGACGCTTGATTCATCCCCCAACATTCCTATCAAGACGGAGTGAGCTGTTTCAGCAAGTCTCGCGATGCCATTTGAAGCAATGGGCATTTCCCTGAATAGATCTGCATGTATCACTCGCTTTTCCAAGTAATACTGTACTCTTCGGTATCCCGGTTGTTGGGCTGACAGGGGCAAGGCATGCAGTAGTAAGCTGGAACAAGCCGCTCGGGAAGATCCTTGCTGGTCGGCTAGTGTCGATGGTATCACGTCAGAATCCCGATTCGCAGCACGGCACTTGCGCTGACATGTATAAGAAGCTGGATTCTACAAATGATTTTCTTTTTTTTTTTCATATTACATCTATGGAATAACGTCTTGTATTCTCATCAAAGTCTAGATGCCTATTTATAGGTAGACACAAGTAATGCGGAGTCCTCGTATTACAAGATATTATGCGCACAAAACGCCACTTGACACAACCTTGCCCCTTTGTCTGAGACATTCTCGACTAATATTGGCCCGACTGACAGCTCGACTTACTGAGACTCGGATTCAGCCGCACACTCTAGCACCAGGATTTCGGCATGAGAATTCAAGATTTTGCCATGGTTGGCTTGTTTTGCCAAGGGAGAGCCGCTGCCCCTTTTTTTGCTCCGTATAGCACGAGTGATGATCTGATGTTTGCTCTTAGTGCTTGCATGGCGTGTCCACTGTTAGCCATGGTTAGATCACATACATCTACTTTGGCTTCCGATAATACTCCTTTAAGAATTGAATTAGCGTGAGAATGAAAAGTACGAGTCATGAGCTCAATCAAACGCCATTTGGCATGGGCGGTTCATCTCAGACTGCAGCTTCCTCCAAGCTTACTCTTGCTTGACTACGTAGAGCTCACCACCATGGTAGTATCCAATGTCGCAGCCGATATTGATGTTGCACCTACTATTACGCTGCCAAGACCATGTCCTTGAAAGTACTTTACAACGCAGCTCTCCTAGCAGGAGAAATGCCGTACCTCGTATGTATCCTTGGGCGTGATGCCATTTTGCCGTGTCTCACATCTCTGTCGGCCTACAGAAGGGATAGTCATGCTCTCATCTCCTTCTCCCTTTTCGTCTTCTGCCGTCTGGCGTGGCTCCGCCTTCTTCAGCATCCGTGGCCAGTTATTTCCGTACATTATCCATCTCCTGCTGTGCCAATCTTCAGCTCAGTTCTTGCTTGCCTCGACTGTTGATCGCCTCACACCTGCACACTGCCATCTTGTCATTGAATCATCCTCCAACAACGATGGACACCCCCCCGCCCATCATCATCGGCCTTGAAGGCCTCATCCAGCACTCCCTCCCACGCATCACCCGATTCCGCAGCGCCGCAGCCGCCATGACAAACTTTGGGCGCCTGTCGCCCTTTCTGAAGCGGCTCCAAGTCAGCGTCCTGCTTTTGGGCTCCATATACCGCAAGTTCTCGCAGTACGACATGATTGCGGGATCTGATCTGTGCCTTGGTATCTGCCACGACAGCCTGGTGCAGACGCAGGGCATGATGCAGGCGGTGCTGCAGGCGCCAGATGGCGACAATGTATACGATTTAGATGCAGAGGTGCTGATTGAGAGGTTACCGGATGAGATTAGCTCGTTTGTCTCCTCTGTTGAGCTTTTGAGAAGCACATACCAAGAGTCAGTCGCATATGGGCTGCTACATAGTTTCTTACTGCTAACCGTTCTGAAGATCACAATCCGAATACATACTCGGATCAATGAAGGAGCTCGCCAATCTACGACAAGACTACTCCAAACATCTACAAGACTGCACGAACCGGAAAAAAGGAGCGCTTCTCGTCCCAATGACGGGATCCAGTGAAGATGAGCGGACGTCGCGCTCGGATGGGACACAGCTCACCGAACCCGAAGTATCGTCTACCAAGTCCCCTGGACAAAAGGCCATCCAAGCCAAATTGGCACTTTCACGCAGCACTGCTGCTGTAAGAGGAAAGCTCGGTCACACCGCTGTTTTGGGAGCACAGTCCAGGCCCAGCAGAAGCGCAAAGCTTGGACATGAGGCTAAGAAGAATAAAGAAGCGTGATGAGAGCTTAAGAGACTTTCTCGAGCCAATACGATATGTGTCAAATTAACAGCAGAGCCGCATCAGAAGCAGTCCATCTAATTTCTGTATGTAAAGCTTGTGTCTCCTTCCACAATGATAAGGGGGTATAGCTACACATAAGGACACATCAAAAGAATAAGAAGCATCCTCTGCGTAGGGGATACCCATGAAAGCATACAAGGTGATGGAGTTGACGCGACCGCTCGAGAGGAGTGAAGAAGCGGACGCGGACACGGACCCGATATTTTCCTTTGTTTTGATAAGAGTATCGTTTACAACATGGAGTTTACAAGGAATGGGGAGGTATTTCTTATACACTGACACTTCTGTCTCTTCTTTTTTCTAGCTGGGTGTACTTGATACTCCGGCTCAACTTGTCTATGCACAGCACAGACCTGATTCAATCTTGTTCATTAGTCAATCTTATTAGTTTTTTTAATGTTATCTCTGTTGCTATCAAGGTTCTTATAGTATTTATCATCTCAGTGCGTGCTCTGAAGGCTGTGCGGTGCTTTTTTGGTGTGACAGCTCCTATTTCGGAATAATTTCTGAAGATCTGCACTTTGTGATGCCAAGGTTGGTCGCCACATGCCTCATATGCTGTTATATCGGAACAATTACACTGGATGGAGCAAACATCTCACGATAACTCAACTATATCAACGGGACTTGTGCCCGACTCACATTTTCTCAAGCAGCTCCCTCTAAGGCTCCCACCCGACAATCTACAATCGCCTAGGGAGCTCTTCATTCGGGACATCCATTATTCAAGATGTCTCGGCCCAAAGAAACGAGTCATAAAGGCTCATGTGGCGGACGCTTGATCTAACCGAGTTTACTATGTGTCTGGTAATTGCTCATCTTTGTCATCTCCCCATACCTGGACTAACATGGATCCATTTGTAGGAATGGTTCGACCCCAATCATCTTTCTTCGCGGTCCACCGCCTGTTACAATAACTAGACCTGCAGACTCTGGTGTATGGGCTTCGTACATACAATCGTCAAGCTACAACCAGAGAGGATGTGCGGGTACCTTGACCTCGTCAACCTCATCCAAGGCATGCAGTCAATCGTGGGCCACTCATTCCATCAGGTGCAGAAGGACCGCGAAACGTTATGGATCAGCATTGATGGCAGGAAACCCGAGCCATTGTTATGCCCACTAGACCCTATCCTCCAGGCCTAAAATTGCTGTCATGAAGTCGGTGTTATAGTTCTTTGCACCTATAACAGTAATCTTACAGCCATTAAGCCGCTAATTGCAAGTATCCTTCTGAAGCATATCAGAAGTCATCGCTGTTGGCGTCGCCTTAACGAACCTATTAGGTAGGGCCCTCTAGAAGCTTAGAAAACCTCTTCATCCGAGGTTTAATCCCACCTTCTACAGGGCCCCATCTGACAGGTTTATTAAGGCGACGCCAACAGTGATGACTTCTGATATGCTTTAGAAGGATACTTCAATTGGCGCCTGAGTAGCTGCAAAATCGCCGTCGTAGGTGCCAAAAACTACAACACCGATTTCATGACGGCTATTTTAGGCCTGGAGGACAGCTGGCAGATGTTGACTATTCTGCACCGTGATAGTAAGTCTAGTCCCCGACCCTTTTATACCTTATTAGCTCTGGCCGCAGCAATAGGAAGCGGCAATCAGAGGGGCCGGGTCGTTTCAATCCATAGATGAGGGTGGCATTATGCGGCCCTGACCTATGGATTGAAACGGCCGGCCGACTACCTTCCTTCTGCCAGCCTAAACTCGGTGTCAGATGACTTGTTAATGTGTGTGTGTGTGTGTGTAGTGGCCAGAATTATGTGGCCTGTGGTAAGGCGGTTTAAGAAATGGATGCCACAGGCAAGTACAATTGCCGGGATGATTCAGAACCCAACAAAGAACGGTGTGGGTAGGATAAAGGCCAAGCTCCAGCAGCAGCACGGTGTTGTTGTCAACACCAAGGGTGAATTGGTCCCCCCTAGCGTGGAGCGTACAGACGATGCCATCCAGATGGACGAAAACTAAGGTTGGTCGCTTGCTGCTACCGTCTGATGAGGGAATCGAGGACGAGACCAATCGAATACATCAAGACAGGCGTCTCGTCAGATACGATTCAAGAGTTATTATCGGAGAACCTAGAGAACGTTGGTCTTTAGCAGACAATGATGCGTTGCTATGCGCTCGACAGAGACGGCTGAGCTTCGCCATGAGGAGGATATGCACAGTTTACTATAATATTTCTAGCTGCGACTAATTTATGAGGGAATGTCAATTTAAGAGATTAATTAATATTAATATCAGTTTACAACTAACTGATAAGAAAATATCAGAAAATCGTGTAGGGTTTCGTGATTACACCCAGATCTTTCTTTACGCCTATGATGGACCAGGACAAGATGGCTGAGGGCTTTGAGAGTTTGATTCGTCCAACAAAATCCAATTTTCTATAGGCATCGTCGCGGGGAATGATAGAATGGCCGAAAGTCGACTTAGTACAGACAACAAAGCCCAGTATACGATTATCTTTCGTAAAGATGCCTATATAAAATGGATGGTGTCGATGTAAACCGGTTTATCATACTCCTCCATCATCGATGAATCCATCGTAGGCGTGAAAGAAGTCATCTAGGAAATGACCCTGGAACTATCTACACAAGCTGAACTTCTATCCTGATTGAACTGCCTTGCGTCGTTGGCTTTGAGCGCGCAACGCAGCTACACTATGTATTCTTAGTATTAGGGAGTAGTTTCCAACAATTAAGGGTATCTGCTTTATTACGTGATATTGACTACGAAAAAGGGGAAGCGAGATGATTGTATGTTTTCGGGTTTAGGACAAACTTTATAATACCCAAGGAAAGCTTATTGTGCTGTGTTAGGGTGAGTGCTGGGATAGAGTGGACAATAAGCTATTTATAAACCTGGAAACAAGTTTAGGCAAGTAGATTGTTGGAGGATAAATATACATCTCGTAGCGCTCTTTCGCTGTCAGTGTCTCGTGGACTGAGTGAACGTATTCGCTACAAAGCTATGATTTACTTGGAAATTGCTCGTCGGGTCTCCTACCGCAATGGTATCACGAGAGCTAGATAGATGTCGGTAGAAAGCAATAAAAGAATATGCATGCGCATGAGTATATTATCTTTTTACAAGGGCGTTATATAGTATGCATGTAACATATAGCACTTGAAGTTGAAAGATCTCTCCTTTTCAGTATTCAACACCCTAGCCATGGCCTATCTGGACAGCTAGTCCACACAAAGATCATGAAATGTTTTGACACTCATAAGCCGTAACAGTAGCAGAAGTAGCAGAAGTAGCAGTACCTTGATAGTTTCCTACCCACATCAAGCGTCGCATTCATTCAGCCACATGCTTCTAGATCACCTCAACAATATAAGGTTCATGAATAAGGGTCCTGTGTAAAGGCCATGTGGCAATATGCCGACAGAGAGCCAAAATCCCAACATATAATCAGCTTCTTCTGCCCTCAAGGACACATCATCAATTTATACCTTCATCACTCACGTACGCATCATAGACAATAGATCTTTTCAAGAAGCAGGCGTATTACTTGTGGGCTTTTATTTTTCAAACATTTTGTCTGTTCATTTCCCTTGCATCTTTTTTTCTGTCACATCTTTCATCAGAAGTATCGAAGAGATGTCTTCAATTCAGTGGATGTGTGTCCTCGCCTTTACGGCTTGGGCGTGTCTTTTTACCACGGCGACGGCGACACCAGAAGCTGAACGTGCGGTATGTATATGCAATCTTTCTTTACTTCTACCGCTGCTATCCCTACTATCCCTACTATCCCTACTATCCCTACTATCCCTACTATCCCTACTATCCCTACTATCCCTACCACCTTTCTCTTGGGCTAACGTCTTGCACAGTGCAGATGGATCTCCGGCTTCATGGCCGAGTATGTCGATTATCCAAACTCGACACAATACGAAGTCAGCAGAAATAGCTACTTCACCCAGCAGCAGCGCGCCCTCCGCCCTGCTTGTTACGTGCGCCCGGAAAATGCCATTGAAGTCGCCGGCATCATGAAGACCCTCACGGCAACAAATGCCACGTTCAACGTCAAGAGTGGCGGCTTCTCGCGCTTTGCCGGCGCCTCCAGCATCGACAGCGGCGTGCTAGTCGATCTCGCCCGCATGAACAAGGTTCAAGTCCTTCCTACAGGAGGCACCATGATGGCCGGCCCGGCCGCAAAGTTCTATGGTATTTACCGCCGCTTTGACGACAAGAAGATGGCGGGCATAGGCCCCAAGAATGGCGATCTAAGCGTCGCAGGATACTTTCTCGGCTGTGGCTTTTCATTCTATTCGCAGCATTCTGGGTTCGCCTGCGACGACGTGTGGAACTACGAAGTTGTCACGGCAAAAGGGGAAATCATCAGAGCCAGCAGCGAGGAGAACCACGAGCTCTTCTATGCCCTTCGTGGCGGCGGCGGCTCCAGCTTTGGAATCGTCACCCGCTTCGATTTTGTTCGCTTCTTTAACAAGAAGACATGGTGGCAGCACATCATGTTTCCTGCTTCCTTGAATCTGGAAGTGATGAAGGCCTATGCCAATGCGGCAAAGAAGGTTCTTGGAAAAGACTTGTACTCCCATATGTTCCTGATGACCTTCTTCTCAGAAGACCACCAAGAGTACGTGACCGAGGTCCACATCGTGCATTCCGGGAAAGACACGTCGCATGACCGAAAGCCGCCGAGATTGTCAAAGCCTTTCAAAAAGCTTACGGGAGCCCTACAGAACATCACCGAGGGAAACGGAGTTGCCAACTTAACACAAACCTTCATGGAGCCTGCTGGCCTCCGTCGCTCGGCCTGGTCGACCTCGTTTGGCTTCGATAAGCCCGAGTTCCTCGCCGAAATTCTCTCCCGCTGGCAAGCAATGGATGAGAAACTCAAGAGCTTGCCGGGCCAGAGAAACTTTAGGTCAGAGATAGAACTCCAGCCCGTGTCGAAACGCATGATTTGGAACGCGCGGCACAAGGGCGACAATGCCTTGGGATTGCCCATTTCAATGGTCCCGATGACATACGTCCTCTTTTCCGTGCAGTGGGACGACCCGGCCTTTGATGATATCGTGGAAGCTGAGTCTAAGCGTTTCATCGATGGAATTGAAGAGACGGGGAGGCAAAACGCCCAGCTTCGCGGCGTCATACACATGAACTACGCTCATCCCAGCCAAGATTATTGGGCGCGTCTGAACCCAAAGTCTTATGATAGGCTGATAATTGCGGCGAGGAATTGGGACCCAGATCGCGTGCTGAATAGGCTGTGGAGGGGCTATTTCAAGTTTGATCATGAAGTTGGCGGATAGAAGTCTGCGAAGGTGGGATTGTAAGTTTTTTTGAAAGCGTTCTTGTTGAGGGAATTAGTATCCAGCGCCACCGTCATAGAAATGCCATAGAATCATATCCATTCCAATCTACTTATACTTCTACTACTTGGATTTACTAGACGCGAAATGAGTAATGGTAGCGAGGCCGACTCCAAAAAAAGGGATTGCCCCAGCTTCTTCCTGGTAATATCACCACTTTCACCCTACAAATACTACCGACCCCAGTTAATATAATTACGCCATTAATACAACATACATACAAGGCACTTTTATGACCTAATGCTGAACAATAGAATATGTAAGTCAAATATCGTAACCATAAGCTCACTTAGTACTAATAAGTAAGCGGGGAGGTCCTGGGAACTCTAGGCTATCTATTTCGCATATCTCGGGTCATGACCCTATTACTCACTCGCTTGTAAATATATACTGTCAAGATAATGTTGCAAATAACCTTGGCTTACATATCTGTCGGATATAAGGAATTGCAGTACAACTCTATAGAGACTGCATAGTTTCATGGTTGTTAGAACAACTGTCAGCACAAGCTTTTGAGGAAATCAATTACCCTTACATGTACCCTGTCTCTGCCTCGATCCGCTTTTACCCCAATCCGCGCCTGCTGCTGCTCCAGTCCGCTCCGGCCCGCTCCCGCTTCTGCCCACTTCCGCTCGTCCTAGAGTTGAGCGAGTCTTGCCGGGATTCGAGAGCGGGCAGAGCAGACATGTCGACATTTAAGGAATTAAGAAACACTCAGTTGGAGTGGACGGATCGTCTGGGGGGAAAGATGTTCACGTCAGCACCTTGTCCCTTGTGGTGAACTGCCAATGTTTGTATACATGTAATAGCATATATATGCCCGTAGACTCCTTAACATAAACCATACCAAACTCCTCTAGCTCCACAGCTTTACTACTCGTATCAGGCAAAGAACTACACTCACAACAACTATAACATGGCTACGGCGTACAAGATACAGATTGATCCAAGTCGGGTCGGCCTCCTAGGTTATAAACACAACGAGGCTGCAGCAGCCAAGCTGTCTGAACTGCTTCAGAAAGATCTCGACGTGAGCCATCCCGGATTATGAATGCGTGACACTATATTAACTTGGGTACAGGGGCATCATGTTTTCTTCCTGGCGAGAGGCTACCACAACCATGTACGAGCAAACCTAGGCTAACAAATTACACACCACAGAGCTGCGACTAATATGTGATCGCAAATGGACAGATGGCACACCACCTATGCACACTCTACGGCGCAGGAGCGACTCCCGAGGAGCTCCAGGCCGCGTTCGACCGCGATGCTGAAATTCAGATTCATCAGTTTCAGCTAAACGATGGCGTTCTCGAGGACCTTTGCCGAGATTGGGCAGCCAATGCTCCCAAGTATCTCGGAGATGCCAAGTACTATACCGATTTCTTGCGATATTTCCAGGAGCAAGTAGACGCAAAGGGGTGGAAGACTGTATTGGTGGAATATCTCTTCAGCGGCAAAGAGAGCACTCACGACATGTACCGTCGCAGCTGGGGTAGTAAGTCTATCCGCTACAGCGCTGGAATAGGCTCTCGAGAATACATGGAAGGCGTGAAAGCTGACACGATTATAGGCTTTGCCCATTCTCTCATCCAGCTCATGTACGGCATCGAGTGGGACCAACCTGCCATCATCGCCCAAGGCCTGGCCCAATCCGCCATCCACGACACCTACGTGGGCGACTTTCTGGATAAAGTTGACAAGGCTGCAGCAGCAAAAGTGCCTTCACAGCGTCTCAACACTTGCGAGCTGTACGAACAGGTCCACTCCGACCCAGACTTTGTCAACAGTGTGCGAAATGGAAACCCAAACAAGATCCTGAACGGTGTCGAGGTCCTGTGCCCCAACGAGGGCGTGAACTATCTCGCCCGGTTCAAGGCTGACCCCATCAACCTGGCAGAAGGCATCGTGGAGAACATCCACGCGGCCGCGTATATGGCGTCGTCGTGTGTTTTCCACCCTCCAGACTACCCGAGGTTTGACTTCTTCCTCATGTAAGGGCCCTTTTTAAAAGAAGACGAGTCAGATGCTAACTAGGAATAGTCATCATCTTACCATTGGGCCATTCTTGCTCTTGATCCAAGACGCTGCATGGATCCCTACCTCAGTCAAACTGCAAACACTGGAGTGGAAGACTCGCTTTGACATCCTCCACTACGTTGTACGATGGGCCCCTCCCCTGCAACTCGGCGGCATCAGTAGCTATACGCCGAAAGATACTGTACTTGTGAATACCTGGGAGGAGCTGCTTCCCCGGTTCATCAACATGCCCGACGACGGCCATGTGGTCAAGACTGCGAGGGCCCTGGGCCTTGCGCAGCGCCTTTCGCAAGACTACCTCGACCGGCCATGGATCCGCATCAGAGATGACAAGACTTGGTTGAACACGCAATATCTCCTCCTGGACAGCACCTGGGAGCACCCCGAGTTTCCTTGGGTGCGGACTGCTGGATGGGATGAGGCATGGGAGGACAGTGGCCTTCCTGAGACAATCCTTGTCGAACATCACAGGGCCAAGACTTTATTCCAATTTTCATAACATTCTGTATGCAATTTTCAAAGTATAGCTTGCAGTATCAAATCCATTTCCGTATCAGGTGGTGATTGTCCTGTATAGGGATGTGATGGATTAAAAGACTTTACACTTTATTCGAGAATTTCCTCGAGGGATATATCATCGTCTTCTTTAAAGATTTCAAGAATTGATCAGTAGCGACACAGGAAAATATATTCTCTGGATTAAAAAAGACCTTATATATTTGACATTCAGATATAGCGCGTATACTATCGTTCCCAACACGCTCATTTCATCGTAGAGCCCAACTCCTCTTCCACTGCATCATATGCCTCCTTCAACAACCTTACCATCTCCTCCAGCTCCTCCTCCGTTGCAGTTAGTGGCGGCGCCAGTATCGAATGATCGCCGTTGATGCCATCTATAGTCCCTGCCCCTGGGTATATGGCCAACCCACGATCATGCGCCGCGGCATGTATCCTCTTATGAAACTTGACCTCTGGCTTAAACGGCCGTTTTGAAGCTCTATCCTGTACGTACTCGATGCCCCAGAAAAAGCCCCTTCCGCGAATCTCGCCCACATACTTTGCATCTCCAAGAGCAGATCGCAGTCGCTTTTCCAGAAATGCCCCTTTGGTGTGACACTTTGCTACCAAATCTTCGCGTTTCAGGACTCGTTGGACAGCCAAGGCCGCGGCGCAGCCCGCTGGATGAGCTTGATATGTCTGGCCGTGAACAAAGCTCGCCGATCCCTTTGCCAACACATCGACAACTCTCTGGCTGATGAGGATCCCAGCAATGGGCGCATATCCTCCTCCGAGCCCCTTTCCCAGCGTAAGCAAATCGGGCCGCACATCGCCCTCTGGCTCAAAGGCAAAGTACGTTCCCATCCGGCCACTACCACACATGACTTCATCCAAGATGAGCAGAATGCCGTATTTATCGCATACTTTTCTCACACCAGCGAAATATCCCCTTGGAGGCGTGATGCAGGCCGCCGTGGCTCCTCCTACAGTCTCCGCCACGAAAGCAATGACTGTCTCGGGGCCCTGCCGCTGGAATTCGTCGTCGAGCTCTTGAACCAGCCTGGCAGCGTACTGATCTTCGGTCTCGTTATCTTTTTGGCCATGATATGCATATGCCGGGCTAACATAGCTGACGTTGTCAAGCAATAGGGCGCCCTCGTATGGGATTTTCCTCGGAAGATTGCTGCTCACGCTCATGGCTCCAATCGTGCCACCGTGGTAAGCCTGTCTCCTCGAAACAAACTTGGTCCTCTGCAGCTGGCCATTCTCAAAATGATACTGCCGCGCCAGCTTCATCGTCGCATCCATGGCCTCGCTGCCGGAGCAGACAAAGAAAGCCTTGGTCAAGCCAAAAGGCTTGCTCAGCTCAGTGAGCTCGTTGGCCAGCTCCTCAGCACTGGAAGTTGTATAAGTCATGGTGTGTACGTATGCGACGTCAGAGTATTGTTGTATGATGGCCTCTTTGACTTCTTTGTTGCCGTGGCCAATTACTGCGACGGCGGCGCCGCCACATCCATCGATGATGCGAGAACCATCAGCGAGAGTGAGGTAGATACCAGAACCGGAGACAACTTGGTGAGGGCGTTCGAGGAGAGAGCGGTGCATAAGACCGGGTTCTCGAGTCCCGTTTTGCGCGGTATAAGAGACGGTTGAAGACGGCATTGTGCTGTTCTAATGGTGCTGTTATTTTAAATTGTATTCTTTCTAAACAGACATCATTACTACATGTAGTTTACATGTATTCTCTCTCTTTCAAAACAGCAGCAACCTTGGACATATATAGCTCTATAAGTAGGTGGTATTATGACACTGTATACTGTGTAAACAAGCCAAAGCCGAAGCCGAGATGGAGTTGTGCAAATGACTCCGCACTCGGACACCACCTCGGCTTAGTTGGTCGGCGTGGGTTTCCCTTTTCCGAATGTTGGTAGGGCGCATATGCACGACAATACCAAAAGGTGGAAGAAGAAAATAGATGGCTTGTTCTAATCTATTAGTTAGGCGCAGCTAGTTTCGCCAACTGCGGCAATACTAGGATGACGATCCTTTAAAGAAGCTTATACAGCCTTTGCTCGAAATAGTTGTTGAGTTGTTAAGTCATGTTATCGCTTTATTCCCCCACTATCTGATCCAGTCTGAGTAGTCTTATCTTTCGTGTTCAGCAACGGCAACAAGTGCTGTAGCATTCCCATCGCAACCCTCGTCATTTCCATTCTCTTCTTCATTATTTCTCTCAGCCTTGGTCCTTTACGAAATCTTGATACACCCCCCATTCCTCTTCAAGATGCTCGTCGGATCCGTCTCCACAAACCTCGCACAATACAGCTTCAGCACCTTCCACACCTCGTAGCCGTCCGTCGTCAGGCTCACCAAGTCATTCATGTGCGCCGAGATGTTGAACTTGATCAGCAGCCCCAGCATCTTGCCCTCGCGAATCTCCTCCAGCGTCTTCTGGCTGTTGTGCCAGCAGCTCACATGCACCGCCTGCGGCATCTCCTCCAGCGCCGCCTTGTCAAAGCCCGAGACGTCGGCAATGGCCATCATGACGCTGGACCACGTCGCCCAGTTCTCGGGCCCAATCAGCTTGAGGTCGTCGGGCAGGCGCGTGACGTCGAGGCCCTTGAGCGTGGGCGCGCGCGGCAGCTTCTCGGGGATCTTGAAGTAGGTTGTGATTTGGTTGTAGTTTGTGGTGTGTTGGACTTTTTGCACTTTGACGGGGGGTTTGACGGGAGTTTTGATGGGAGATTTGACGGGGATTTTCGACCTATTCGAGCAGCAAGTTGATAAGCTTGTGACCGAGATGCAGATTGTGCGTGTGTTGTATTAATCATTTACCTAGGAGAGATGGCCTTGACTGGTGATTGTGGAGGCGTTGGAGATTCCATTGAAGCTATATCTTGCCGACTGGAAATGACTTTTACAGAAAGCCATCTCGCTGCCCATCGCATCAGATGCAGATAATATGCGATGCCGTCTCCACCAATCGCCGGCAATTGGGCAGCTGGGCGTCGACTCTCGGCATGCCACGTCTACAAGACATGTTTACGGCATTATCACTTATGCATGTACATACATAATCAATCCTTCTCAGCCTCAGCATCATTGCTAAAGAGCAAACCACCATATAATAGCATCCAAGGCTATATAGCCTCATCCCACTTGCTTTTCCGGCCTGACAAATAGTATTTATAAGACCCGTCGGCCTTTCGGCTCTCCGCCCGTGAGCCCGAGTCGAATCTGTGGAGCCCATCGGCGGCAAAATCGCTGCGACTGGGACCCGGACGGCCGCATCAGTAGAAAGTGGTTGACTAAGATGGTTGAAGCGACAATTACCAGGATATCGTGAATTGCTATAGTCTAGATTAATGATCCGTCTGCAAAAGGATATAAAGAGAGATGCCGCAATAGAGTCGCCGGCTGTCTCTCCATCGTGACCTTGTATAAGCCCATTAGAAGAAAGCGAACAAAGGGAAAATGGCAGCGCAAGTGTATTCACAAGATCAGCTCACGCGCTACCTCGACCACATTTCCTATCCGCGCTCTCAGCACCCCAGAGACGAGCTCCAATTCCTCAAAGAGCTCCAAGCCCACCATCTGGCTCGCGTGCCCTTTGAGTCCATCAGCCTTCACTACTCGCCCCATTGCACGCTGTCCGTCGATGCAGATGATCTCTTCCAAAAGGTCGTGGAGAAGAGCAGAGGCGGCTACTGCGTGGAGATGAACACTATCTTTGGCGACATGATGAGGGCCCTGGGATTCAACGTCCTCAGCATCGGAGCCAGAGTCAAGCCTGGTCCCGTATATCTCGGCATGTAAGTATTTTCCCTCTTCTTCCAACTCATCTTCCAACTTATACCGGTTGTCTATCTAACCAACTTTCAACCACTAGGACGCACAGCGCCAACATCATCACCATCAACCAGCAGCGTTACCTCGTCGACGTCGCCTTTGGCAGCCACGGCGCCTTCACGCCCGTCCCCCTCATCAACGGCTTCGAATTCGACAACATCCTCCCTCGCCGCGGCAAACTCGAGTTCCGCCCCATCGCCCAGTCCACCTCGCCCTCGACCCAATCTCTCTGGGTCTACTCCACGCAGGATCTTCCCTCTCTAGACTGGACCGAGCGCTACTGCTTCACGGAAACGGAGCTCTTCCGCGCAGACTACGAAGTCATGAATTTCTACTGCAGCACGGTCCGCACCGCCGTCTTTGTCAATAACGTCTTTGCCCTGAGGGGAATCATAAACGATAGGGGTGATGGGCTCAAGGGCGTCATGACTTTGTTGCGGAACGAGGTGAGAAGGAGAGTAGAGGGCGAGCCGGGCTTGGAAGTGGTGGAAACTCTGGCAAATGAGGAGGATCGAGTCAAGGCGCTGGAGAAGTGGTTTGAGATTCCGTTGAATAAGAGAGAGGCGACGGCGATTCGGGGCCTGCCGACTGAGCTGGTGCCGCTCAGGCATTTGTGACCTGAAAGGGTGACAGATTGAGTGGATGATGTGAATTTATTTGTTGATACACTCTGAACATAGCGGGCAACAACTCCATATACATCACTACAAGACATGTACACGCCTCTCACTTTCCTGATGACCGGACATGAATCTGTATTCCGATTGAGATTTCCATAGACGCAGCGAACGATGCTTCACACTTCAACACATCTAAAAGAAAAAGACATGAACTTTTTGCTTCGCTAGTGTTGTTTTTTAACCTTCCCAATGGCAAAGATTTCAGATTACTCTCAGAGGATCCACGGCTAAGTAGCAAGCTGACAACAGAATACATCAAAAGACTTGAGGAATATAGAATTGGTGTATCTACTAAGCGCATTGATCTTTTTTGACGGGCCATGCCGACTCGCTCATCAAACCAAGACTTTATATATTGTGCTTGTAATGAACTGGAAACGGACAGGATAAAAAGGTTTCTTTTCTTCTCGGAGTCAACAGTGTGCACGAAATATGAATCAAGGAGGTGCAAATGCATAGTACTAGATATCATACTGTATATACCCAACTCAACAAGCAATCAATAAGAAGTTATCAATCTATACTCTGTTACTGTCCTAAGCTCGGCTTAATATCCGGGTGAAATTTGAATTGTAAAATACGCCCCGTTTCTGTTCCGATTATGACTCTGGATTCATCAAAATAAGATGCAGTGGGCCGGAAAGCTTCTGGAAGCTGAAATGCCCTCGCCCCTTGCCATGTAATCCAGCAGGCGCCTGTTGTCTCATCAGCATCGTCATATTCCATACTATATGAAGCCCAATTTGGCAGTTCATTTGAAGGGCCATGATTTCCAATGTACTGCGCGCCGAGGTCGGTTATGATGTAATCTGGCAATCGTATATCAAATCTGAGGTTTCGCCATTCATATTCATTCTTCATTTCTTTCAACGCCGTTTCTGTTTCCCAGTCCCAAATCCTGACACTCTTATCAGAACAAGACGCCAGAATGCGCTTTGAGTCGGGAGAAAAAGCGACGTTGTACACGTAGCTCGAACGTCGACCTAGGGTAACAGACTCTTTTTCAGTCGTCAAATCCCACACCCTAACCTTGTAGTCGTCCCCTCCAGTCGCCAGCAGTTTTCCATCAGGTGAAAATGCCACGCATCTAACATAGTCAAGATGGCCTTGAAGAGTCACTTCGGGTTCAGTGGTGTCCTTCTGCGTGTCCCAGATTCTGACTCTGCGATCGTCAGACGCCGATGCTACAAATTGACCGTTGGGAGAAAAAGCCGACTGTCTGACCCAGTCGCCTTGCCCTTCAAGATTCCTCACTAGACTACCGTCATGAACGCTGTACAGCCCAACGTTGTTAGTCCCGCTGACGAGTAGCATCTGGCTGTCGGGCGAGAAGGAGAGGTGTAAGATGCCATCGGTTTTTATACTCAACTTGCGCTTCAGACGTCCCTCGGTAGCGCCGAAGAGTCCGATTCCACCATCGTGAGCAGCAGCAAGTAGCTGTTTATCCGGAGACAGCGCTAGATGTTTGATCATAGCCTCTATGCCCAAAGTTTCGAGAGGAGTTACGCCTTCCAACTCGGAGTCGCACAGTTGCCATAGATGGATCATGCCATCATATGAACCCACAGCGAAGAAGCTAGCCGACGGAGGAAATGATACACAGAGTGCTTCTGTTGCTCTGACCACCTGTGTGATCTTGTACGTCTCCGAGTGATAGATGGCGACGCACTCTGATTCACCGACGACTGCAATGCGGCGTTGGCCTAGAGAGACTCGGATACATGCAACCTGGCCTGAGCCGACAAGCTGACCGACTTGCATCTGGGCATCTATATCCCAAATACGGACGTCTCCCTTCTCTGAACCTGCTGCAATATATTTGCCACTCGAAACGAAGCACAGACACTCGTATGCGTCTCCAAACTCAGCATGTAGCTCCCCTGCTTCAATATCATAGACAGTTACTTGGTTCTCCACGTTTATCCAGGCAATCCACCTGCCATCTTGGGAGAATGTCGCTGTTATAGAATTCAAGGTCGGGAGCATTATAATTTGCTGTTGAAATGACTCCATATCCCAAGTAATCAGCTCACAACTATTAGATACTAACAATAGCTTAGAGCCATCGGGAGAGAATTGGATGCCACTCCGTCGAGTAAACGTTAGTTGAGGATGAAATTTTCGTATCAGTCGGCCAGTGATCAAGTTCCATAGAATAAGATAGCCATTGTTATCTGCAGAAGCAATGTATCCTTTGCAAGAGACCACGACACGTCGTACACAACCTCTATGTCCTTTGAGGATTCTCTGGATGGCCCCTGTTTCAGCATCCCACACTCTGACAGTTCCGTCGCCAGATACTGATACCATTAGTCGCCCGTTGGACGAGAATGCAATGTCTCGAATCCAGTCCTCGTGGCCTCGTATATTCCGGGAGTAAACCCCGACGTCTTCCTTCATCATCGGGAATTCGAGAATCCAAGGATACCGCTGCTTCTTCCACTTTTTCCCCAAGGATCCCTCGTTATAACTAAGGAGTAAAGTCGTCATTGCGGGTGTATCCGGATTAAACACCATCTCCGAAATGTGAAGCTCCAGAAACTGGCATGCTTCTTGAGCTGCCAAGTATAGCTTATAGTTACTAGTATCCGGTTTCGGCTGCGAGTACGTTTCAAATTAGCGATGTAGACAGCAAACGGAGAAATTTCCTTAATAATCTTACCTTAAGTATGTCAGCTAGCTGACGCATGCGCGGGGCTACCATTTCCAGCTGCTTGTGCGAGACTAACCATTCTGTCCAAAGCAATATATGCTCTTGTAGGAAGAGTATGGCTGAACTAGTAATCTGATCATCTTCATGAACCATCTCCCTCGCTTCGTACACGTGCACCATCCACCATGAAGATGCATATTCAATGGCTGTACCTTGAGAATGCTCTGTATCAGATGTCTGTCTTTCGTTGTTGAAGTATGCCAGCAGACATTCCAGAGCTCGTTGAGCGATGAGAATATGTAGGGAGTCAATGGGCTTTCCATTGACCAGATGTTCTCTCATATACGCCTTAGCAGATTGGTGTAGGAAATAAACCCTCTTGTTATATAGGAATAAAGAAGCGTAGCAACTCTCTACCAGAGATGAGGCATTCACCCACTTGGGGAGCTTGGCCAACCAGCCAAGCTCTGAGACGTGAAGTGGTAGGAACGCAATGCTGGTAAGAGCGAGAATGTCAGTGAAGTAACAGACGTCATGCTGTGCAAGCTGATTGATTTCATTCCACATGTGTGAACAGAGTGATTCTATAGTTCCAGGCATTTTTTGAAGCGTGTCAAGAAGTTTCCAGTTGGGTGTTTGCCGTAACATTTGACAAGCCATTTTGGACCACACCAGGTTACCACCAGCCTTTTGCAAGATTTTCTCAACCATCTTATCTTTCAGGTCGTCGCCGCATCCGCTTTTTTTTGGCGCTCAGAGCTACCTGCTCGCTGATGACTTTGTCAAGGATTGGTAACCAATCAGAAGGTCCCCTACTGAGATGAAGAGAAAAAGAATATTTTTTTGCAACTGGGGCAGCTGTTGAATAGCACTCCGGTCCACTCGATATAAGCCACCTGACTTTTGAAGTGGTTTCTATAGACGCCGAGATTAACTCAAGCAGATTGTTGATGTCAGGCCAACCGAATCCATTGCTACATTCATCAATACCATCGATTACAAAATAAGCGTCTGCAAAGTCGTTATCCTGTATCATGTCGAAAAACAATCCGGATAAAGCATAGAAATCGTTGGGTCCATCAAAGAAGGTACGTCCTGTTGATTTATATGTGTCCACCAAGTGTTTTGCGAGTGAAGGGGTCTTCGCCAATATTTCTGTGATTAGACTTCGCATAATTGTGGCCATCGTAAGAGCTCCTAGCCCCTCGCATGAGCAAGAAACGTGACATAGAATCATAGAACTTTTGTCTGTAGCAAGGCCAGAGTATAGCTCACTGGTTGCCGCCGTAAGTAAGAGTGACTTCCCGGTACCGATATCTCCAGTAACCCAAAGCAGGCGATGAGAATATTGCTTCTTGTCGCAGAAATAGCTAAACTCTGGTTTCTGGCAGAGCCAGTGCAAAGCATCAGCTACGACGCCTGTATGCTCAATATGGGAAACGCCTGCGGTCGGTTCGAGGTTCGGGGTTAATAATGGAGCTTGCTGTCCATCGCTGCCAGGCACAGTGATGTCGCTTTTCTCGAGTCCGCCTTTGCAAAGCACTTGGCTGAGAGTTGAGCCGCCATACTCTACTTCCACTTGAACTATAGCCGTTTCCGCATCGATTATGCATTTGAGATCCACGTCGATGTCTGAAGCCCGCAACAAGCTACCGGAAAAGTTGCTTCCTTGGTCACCAGAATGGAGGCATACCACATTCATGAGCAAGCGAAGTATGGCTTTATAGAGGACGACAGTCTTCTTTGCTAGGCTGTTTTCTTCGTCATCCGCTCTGAAGTGGTTGTCACCCAATGTATTCGTGATGAAAAGACGTGCTAAAGCTGTGAACCATGCCATCCTAGGAATAATGTAGCTCAAGCCTTTACACGTCGCTGTCTTCTCGTCCGCTGGAGTCTGCATAGTCTTGAATCACGAAATTAGTAAAGAGAACATCAGTCGTGTGCTTGAAGTGATGGAAAGTCGCCACTTACGATCGAAATTGCACATGCAATAGCTGCCCATGCAAGTACGGCTTGTGGTTTGCTCTGTGCCTCTTTTTGTAAACTCTCACCCAGGATTGCCACAGGCAATTTATATGTGGTTGAGTTGTTCGATTCGCTCGTAGAAGATTGACCGGAAGATGTTTTAATTGTGGAAGACTCGAGGGATGTATCCTGCCATGCCTGTGATCTTTTGATCTTGTCAAGCCATTCTGCTAGCCATGTGTGCATCTGATGCCTCCTAAACTCATTATCTTTCTGAGTAGCCTGATTATCGTCGGATTCATCATTCAACCCAGCAATGATGGGATCTGAGCTCCTTCCGGCGATAGTTACCCTTGCTATAGAAGATAGAATGCTCTCGTATAGTAGCACAGTATCGCCATGGTGAATCTTGAGCTCATTGTATGCCTGATCCCAGAGTTCTGAGGCTAGATCAATCTTTCTGGAATCAAGTCCATCATCTTTGGCTAATATTTGAGATCCAAACCCCATTGGTATTTTCGGGGTTCCATCAACCCTTGATTTGTTTGTAATAGATTGTCGATACCCTTGCGGATCCGTGAGAGCCTCTTTGGAATTTGATGTGGCCAGCTTCGACAGGGTAGCCAAAACATCATCCGACAAGCTTTCTTGTGCAAGTACAAGATTAAGCGAAGGAGGATCGATAGGTGCCTCAACTGTTGCATCCTGGGGTGAATGTATAGAGCTTGGCTCGTGTTGCTGTACTGATTCTCTGCCATCAGGTCTCCGAAGGCCTTCACCGTGAGGTTTAGGTTCGCGTGGCTTTGGGCTGAATATCGAAGATACACGTTTCATATTTCGCCTCATGATTGAAAAATGTCTTTATGGTAGTATACGCTGAATTTTTGCAAATAAATTAATATTCTTAGTGTTGGAGGAAGAAATCTATTCTGAAATGTGTGGGAAAAGGCTTCATTATATAAACCCCTTTGTCGCAAAGATTGAACAAAGGAGCAGGACTGTGTCCCGTGAACAAGCAAATCATGCATCGATAGATACGTGGCATTTAGGACCCACAACCCTGCTATCTATTGGCGCTGTGGTAATGAATACATGTATGTAGGTATTTGCCTTTCAAACGCGCAAGGCTGTGAGGTATTGGCAGGGTCTGCCATCCTATCATAACCGGAGGCTGTGCTCGAAGTCTCTGTCATCGACGCCTATACAATCCTCATTCAGATGAGGATGTCACTTATTGTGTGAAAAATTTTCAGACAAGGCATCTGAAATGAAAAAAACTAGATCTTTACCTAGGCGACATCGGAGAAACAAGTCATCTGATGGAGTTGCATCTCTACAGCAGTGGTTCCTGGCCGTGCACGATCACGGGTGAGAATTTGAGCGCTTTCCAAAGGTAATAGAAGGGCCAATTGATTCCCTTTGACTGGCACACAAGATATGAAGCATCTAATATCACGTTATAGCTAAGGGATGTATCTATTTATGTAGTAGAGGTAAGTAGGGTGTGAGAACGACAGTACATATCATGACCATGGTTCCTAAGGGCGATTCTGACGCGGTACAGGATGTGCTCAGTCCCGATCGCATTACTAAAGTTGTGGAAGAGTTAAGAAAAAGACTTGCAAAGGTACAGCAGGACATACCAACAGGCATATAACCGTATAGTTCGTATTTGCATACCTCGACTCACACTTCTACATCCTCAACAACCCTCCAAACCTCATCCCCAACCCGATACTCACTCTTCTTCCCATCCAGCAAAACCTCTCTACACGGCAACTCCCTCTCCCCATCCCCCAATTTCACAATCCTCCTCCATCCCTTTCCATCATCCCTCCACTCCCACCTCTCCGCCACAACATCCCCATCCCCATTCCCATCCCTCACAACCACCTGCGCCCACTCCCCAACCCTCACAAACATGCCCTTCTTCCCAGCCTTCTCATCCTCCATCATAAGCACCACGCAAACAACCTTGTCCCCGCCCGTCTTCCCAGCCGGCGGATCATACCACATCTCTTCGTACTCGGTGTCCTTTCCCGTAGCAGGGTTCGTCATGTGGCCCTTTTCAAGGGTGCTCAGTCCATCCGGCTGGGCGTACATGTGGCCTTCGTCAGGAGGCGCATCAACAGCTCGAGAGTCAATCCAGTGTTTCCATTGGGAAAGGGAGTGGCCGTCGGAGATGGCGGTGGAGGACGAGAAGCCGGCCATGGCCCAGTCCAGGCGACTCAAAGGCAGGATTTCTGTTTCTGCGATTAGATTGCAATGCTTTACAAAGCTGATGGAGATTTTCTATCCGTCCTTACCTTCATCGTTGGCCAAGGAGTCTTTTCCATCAGGCAACAGCACCCTTATATCCACAAACCTCTTCTCAGGAGAGGTCAGCACCAGCGTTGATGTCGGCTCGCCGGCTTCATCCGGTAGCCACCGAATAAACTTGCGGAAAGAGAGGCTACCCATGACAGCCTATTTATAGTTTTTTTCCAAGATATATGGTCTTTTCTAAGTAAAGGCTTTTTTACAAATCTGAAAGAGTCTCAGTATCGCATTTCACTTATTACGCGGCGTGTGAAAATGAGCTTATATGGCGGTTTGCAGATTGATGCGGGGTGAAGATTCCATGTGGAGAAAGCTTGTCCAGTAGTTCATACAAGCGTTGATAGTTTCGAAGGGCGTCGGAGCCGAAATCTGGATTTGCCAAATACGGATATTTTCTGAGGACGCGTCAATCTAATTGAGAGATGAATAAAGAAGGGAGCTGTATCATCTACACTGAGATGTTTGTTGCAATTCGACGTCAATTCCACAACAGCCTTGCAAAAGTCAGAACAAATTCTGATATAGTTTGAAATGCGACATGCACAAAAATACGAAGAAACACGGAAACAAGATAGTCTTGTCATGCCCAGCCCAAATGGGGCTCTTTCGGGCGACGTCTTTCACTTGTATTCATCTCATCAAATAATTAAAAAGTGCTCTTTAATCTGACCATCCACATCCGAGCGTAGATAGAGTGGTGGGGTATCTTCTTTTTTTGTCCTTCTCTTTTTCCGATTTCTCATCTTTCTTCCTTTCGTTTCTCATTCAACTATATGGCACCAAAAAAAAAAAGGCTTCACTACATATACATATACACATGCAAATCTCCAATCACTGAGGCTTGACAAAGTGGGAGAGCTGGGTGGTAACGACCAGACCGGCAACAGAGGCAGAGGTCAGGGTCGAGAAGACGCCAGAAACCAAGGCCGACAGGGCAAGTCGGGAGACGTCACCACCACGGGATGGCGCCAGCTGGCTGAGAATACCAATCTGGATACCCAGGGAGCCAATGTTGCCGAATCCGCAGAGAGCGTAGGTGGCAATGAGTTGAGAGCGAGGAGACAGGTCGGCGTAGTAGGAGTCGGTAGCCATGGCGTTGAAGGCATTGTACTCATTCTGCAGGCAACAAGGGTCATTATCATATCACATGTTAAGAGTGCACAGTATAGATGTTGGAGAGGAGAGAATCAGGAGGCGAGAGGCAAACACAGATGGCAGTGGAATGGAAAGTTGGAGAGAGCCAAAGGTTTTGACAAAGGGACAACAGGAGAAACTTACGGTGATGACCTTCTCGGCAATGAGCTTGGCAACCTTGAGGATATCGCCGTCTCGAGGAACACCAAGCAAGAAAGCAACCGGGTAAAAGACATAGGACAGGATGGTCTGGAGAGTAAGAGTGGGGTCGTTGATGTTGATGTAGTGGCCCCACCAGGTGAGAAGTCCGTTGATGAGACCGACGGCGGCGAGAATGCAGAGAAGCGAGGCAATGATGGTACCGCCAATCTTGATACCGAGCCAAGCACCGTTGGCAAAAGCGTGCAAGGCATTTTCAGCCTTGTGCTCGTCATCGTCGGGAATGACGACGCGACCAGCGGTGAGCGTCTCCTCGGTCTCGGGGTAACGCAGCTTGGAGATGGCAAGCGATGCAGGGATAGACATGATGCAGGAGGAAACAAGAGCCTCGGCGTTCAGACCGAGACCAATGTAGCCGACAAGCACGGAACCAGAAATGGTAGCGAAACCGCAAGTCAAGACCTGGTGAAGCTCGGCGTTGGTCATGTGTGGGACAAAGGGACGGACCAGCATAGCAGATTCTCCCTGTCCAATGAAGGGGGTGGCAGCAGCCACGACGGCCTCGGCACCAGAGGCGTTGAGAGCCCAGAAGACGAAGATGGCCACCTTCTTGATGAACCACTGGATGAAGCCAATGTAGTACAGGACCTGAACGAGCGAAATGAAGAAGATGATGGCGGGGATAACGCCAAAGAAGAACCAGGGGAGCTTGGCGACCTCTTCGGTAGTCAGGAAAGCCACACCGTTTTCGGCGAAGCCAAGCAAGTCGCCGGCACGATCAGCAATAAACTTGAAGATGTTGTATCCGACACCGGTGCGCAGGACGAAGAGGCCAATGATGTACTGGGCGAGCATGCCACCGATGACAGTCCGCCAGTTGACGTGCTTGCGGCTCTTGCTGGTGATCCAGAAGCAAAAGAGGATGACCACCATGCCGAACAAGCTGACGGCACGGTTGGCGCGCGTGTTGTCGGCGCTCTCCTCTGAGGCAAAGGAGCCGACCAAGATGGCAGCAACAGTCACAGCAGCGCCGGCCGGGGTGCGCAGGCGAGGCGGGATGCGCTCGTAGACGACCAGGGCGGTGCGAGTCCAAACCCACTTGATGGCGCTGGACACATAGCGCGAGGGCACGTGGAAGAAGAAGAGGCGGATGGTGATGGCCAGCCACAGCAGGAAGGGCACCTCCCAGTTCTTGTCGTCGCGGTGCAGGATCAGCGAGGCAATCCACCAGCCGGTGAAGAGCAGGAAGATGACGAGGTGCACAAAGGCGCGGGCCACGCGGTACGGGATGCCAAAGTGCCAGCCGCGCTGCGACCCCGCCTCGTCCGAGTCGACGCCGGTGCGCACCACGTCTGTCTGGCCGACCTTTTCGTGGTCGCTGTAGTCGGGCGGCGTGTGGCCGTCGTGCGCCTTGTCGATGCTGCGCGTGTCGTGGCTGTGGTCCTGGACGGGCACGAGCGTTGGGTCCAGGTTGGTGCCGCGGGTGTAGACGGCATCGTCGTGGCCGGCGGCATCCACGCGGGCCGAGTGGTGCTTGTGCGCGTGGTGATGCTGGTGAGAGGGCTCCAGCGCCGGGTCTGGGTTGTGGTGGATGCTCTCGGTGGTGTCGTGATAAGGAGCCACGGCGGGTGGTGGTGAAGAGTCCGCCATTGTGAGTCCGTCTCTTCTAGTCAACCCCCGTGTATAAAGATTTTTCTCTTTTCTCTGCTACCTCTTCTTTTCCGCAGGTCTCGTCTGGTGTCCTTGAGCTTGTGCCTGGGGTTGAAGCAAGGCAGAAGCGGGCAAGGCGTTGAAGCAGTCTTGGGTTCAGACTCTGACAGCCAGACCTAGACAGACGAAAGAATTTTCTTCTTCTCTGGTAGAGGAGAATGGAGGTAGAGAGAGGAAGAGCAGGTTAGCCAGCGCGAGATGCCGTAACTGAACCTGGGAGGAAGCCCGAAGGAGCGGACGAAGGACGGCGTGACGTTCGAACCTGAGAATCCTGGGGAAGGAAAAGAGAGGCATCGCCAACTCGTGGGTCGCTCGAGTTTTTGTACTCCAGCCCCGTCCGCTTCGGTCGAGTCGCAGTCGCACGCGCACATGCCAGGCCCAGCGATTTCGAGCCCACAATGGCAGCGGCAACGCCGTTTCGCTGGTGAAGAAAAAAAAAGGTGTGGAGAAGCCCTGGCCGTGTCTGTCTTGGGCATGGGTCAAAAGTGCCCAGCCTGCCTTTAGCGGCCTTTGGGGGGAGTGGCCAGGGGGTGAGCGCCTGTAGCTTGGGAGGCTTCCAGAGGGGTCCAGCCTAATCGAGTAGCGCTGCGCCGAAGAAAAGGGCGCTTGTGCGGTGCGAGGTAGAGCTTGGGGCACGCCACAGGGCAGGGGATGTACCCCACACGGACGGTCGCTGTGCGCACTGTGCGCTACCTCGGCCCCGACCTGGCGAGTTGAAGGCTGGAATCTGATATCAGGGCGATTGGATGGAACGCTTGAACAAGCATTACTGAGAGGATGCGGCCGTGAAGACGGATTGTGTATATGAGCGATTCCTACGCAATGCCAGGATCCGCATTTCAGCAGCATCCAAGCATTGCCAATCATTGATGGAACATGCGTGGCCAAGCACATGCATGCATGCAGCCAACCTGGAAGTTAGTCGTAAATCTCCCAGAGCAGCTTGCTTCTGGAAGAGCTACATTGCTGTCGCTGGAGTCTGCACATGATTTTGCCCAAGCAGCTTATCGATAACAAGTACCCAGCTCCAAAGATTTCCCCGCGCGCAATCGCCAAAACTGCCGTCCTGTCAAACTCGCTGTGCACCGTGCACAAACATCTGCAATTCCTACTGGGCCACCACTGACGGAACCTTTTTCAGTGGCCATGGTACTTCTGATTCTGCCAATCCCGCCAAGGGTAGCGCTTCTTGCTAGACCCGTCACCGAAGCATCGCACACTAATAATTTTCCAGAAGGGAAGAAAAATAAGGTAGGGGCGAAAAAAGGGTTATCGTGATATCGATTGCAGCAGCAGTTCGGCACGAGCAGCATTGCCAAACTAAGAAAAGGAGCGTCACGTTGTTACCCCAGAGTCGAAGCCCTCAGCTCCATCTACAGGGAGTCCAAAGTCGGCCCTCACTCTACACAACTCCGTATTCAACACGCTATTGAAGCACTATCGCGAGCCATGAACCAAAGCAAGAGACAGCGAGGCATCACGGGAGGCGAAAAAACTGCGGCGTCTTTATCAGTGGCGCCCTCCGATAAGTTTGTCCAGTCCAGAGTGGAGGACGGTTGGCCTCGATTCTTCGCTCCAGGCCAGTCGTGGCCCCATCTTCTCCGCTCTCACAAACGGTCCGCTAATCTGTCATGGGCTTCTCAGCCGACTATCAGTTCCTGGGTTGTTCGATTAGTGGCCGGCCAACACACGATGGCATCGCTCGCATTCGCCCCCTGTGCAAGATAAGACAAGAGGGCGTTGTGTCCCAGACAGCATTCATGTTTGTAACAGCCAAGTCGAGCAGGACGCCCGGTGAGCTCTGGTCTACTGGGATCACTGATCAGTGGCGTCTTGAGCCTCGTTGCCTGTTCTGGAAGGTTCACAGAGGCAGCCACCCGCTGCTGTGGCCGGCCAGCAACACACGGCGCTGGTGGTGGCGTCCTTTCCGCAGAGGCTTGGGCTCGAATCTAGATGGCCAGAGACGATATGAGCGAGGGAGGGGTGGAGGAGCTAGAGAGCTGACAAGCTGATAAGGCCATCCAATCCGCGGTGGTAAACACCAAAGAACAGACGGTTCTCACGCACGGAGCAGCCAAGCCAGCGATGCCTGCTTAGCCTGGCATACCGAAGATCAAGGCCATACAGTACACAGGCCTTGATAAGGCTCGGCTCGCGTAGCACACCCTGCAGCAGTGCGAGGAACCTTTGCCAGCATCGTATCTACCCGTCCACCAACCCTGTTCGGGCCCAGTCAATCAGCGCTCGACAACTGCTGTCTTGCATCTGCCCGAGCCAACCGATCATTGCTTGCCTGAGATGGGAGAGCAAGGCAGAAAGGAGCGACTATCAGATACGTGGCGGCATTCCGATAGCGATACTACCCCGGAGAGCGGCCAGACATTACGTACAAAGAGGCGCGATAGTAACCCCCGGACCATATCTCGACTGTTACGCTCGGAGGTCTCGTGCACATACGACTTCCGAGACCCAGATACCCGCCTGCCTAATCAAAGGTATCCCGGTCTAGGGCACGGCCATCAGCCTTTGCAAACGCTAGTTTTCTTCTTCAATGCCCTGTTATTACACAGGAGCAGAAGCAAAGCGCTACTGTAGACCACGACCACTGCCGTGGAGCATGGCTTATGGCTTTAGCTCCCAGCTGCTAAGAACCGGCGTCTCGAGAAGCACAGCAGCTTTCGGAACTTTTAATTACAGTTGAATGAGACACTCGCTTTTGAGTTGAGGTAGCGTGTCTTAGCCCCGGCCAACCTCTCGGGGCTGGGGTGCCGAGTCCATTTCTCTGATTGGCGATGACTCGAGGCAAGTCTAAGCCAACGACCGAGTGTCATCTCATCATCGACAAGAAGCAGTACGACGCTGGGCTGACCAGGCCATTGCAGTGGGTGTTTCGTGCCGGGAACCGAGCAGCTTCTCATCAAGATTTCATCAACAGCAACCTATCAACCCATCTACCAGTGATGAAATAAATGAAGTTGCAATCCCAGCTTCATTATGCGCATTATCGCACCAGCCCGCAGTAATGTGGGGAGACAGGACGACGCTGACTGCTCCGGATTTTCAGCAGACACGCGACTACACCATGTCAAACCGGTCCGGCTCTTCTCCAATTTCTCCACGGGCTTTGGCTGCTTTCTCCACACACACGCTCACACTCAATTCGCAGCACACAGCCTGCTTTAGCCCAAGCCAGAAGCCAGCAAGAAAGGAATAACAGTGTTGAGACGGCAACATGAATCTGCACTTGTGCTAGTTTGTACGGCAATCGAGGTACGATGCAGGAAATTTTTGCATCTTGTACGCTGTGCGTACGAAATTAGGGCTTCACTCTGAACAGAGGGACAGCACTTTACTGCGATTCTTCAGCGAACACGAGTATTCTCCCATCATAACCCGCCTCAAGCCGCATCTGCCCTTTTGCAAATCTAGCATTTCGTAACAACAAGCTCTCTCTCTCCACAAGAAATCTTGTTTCTTCAGCTCGAATTCCACAAATTTCGTTCTGCCCTTCACCGCCAGCCCCGGATTTTATTTCCTTGGCCAGCTCACTTTGCTGCCCTGCCGGTGAGGCTGTCTCCAACAAGACTCCGTTTTTGCCTCGTGGCAAGCCACCCGGACTAGGTGCTTTGTCACGGAATGCTACTCCATCTGTACCCACGAGAAAAAGAAACGTTGTTGCCTTTTCGATTACTGATTTACAATATTCTGTCTTTTCTCATTCATTCGCTTGCCGAACCTTGACCTACTACGCTTCTCCTGGTACCTAGTCCAGGTCAATCCACCCAGGAAATCAAGCCAAAACGGGCCAAGTCAGCTCCACGCCCCGAATACATTACGTTACTGATTTCATCCCGTTCTCCAGATATTTGCTAATCATTACCTATGCTGCCATCTTTATTTTCCCCAGGGGGAAAGGAAACCATTGAAAGTACGCAATAGATTGATCACTACTGCTAGCACAATGGAAAAGAAACGTAAAAAGGAGGGAGGGGTGTCTGTCTATACAATCGAATTGAGCTCCAGGCCCAACAGCTTCTTCGTTCTACTGCCCGCTTTGGCCGAGGCGCGATCCCCATGTACAGCCGCGATCCGTTGCTCTAGCCTCAAGCACGAAGCTACTGTCAAAGTCCGGAGAATAGCCCTTCTGGCTGCCGCCCTTCGGCCTCCTCCGTCCGGCCTCCTCCACCCCCGCAAGCATCTCCAGGTCCCATCGGCGGCTGCCGATGTTGCAGCTGTCTCCTCCCCCAGACGGAGAGATTCAGCTCAGGCTCATCCATTGCGTCGGATCCTCACAAAACATGGGGAGAGCTGGGGAAAAGATGGGGCATCAATGATAGCTGGATAGTTGCTGGCTAGCTGCGTGCGTCATTTAACATTGTCAACATCACCAATTTACCACCGCCATCATGCGCACAGCCATACAGGTACATGAAGTATCTCGAGATGCTTAGCAACCATTGATGGCCCCATCCTCCATTATTTACACCAAAGCCTCACCACAACAGACATCCACCCCTTGCCATAACGCCATTCCCCAAGCACACTCCCCCAGCTAGCATGAAATCTACAAAATCCGCCTCGCCTAAGTAAGACACCACATGCCGAGCGAGCCAAGGCGCACGCTATCATAGCCTATTTCCTTTGCTATAGAACCATTCATTCGGTACCGAGAGTAGAAATTGCAGTTTACTCGCTCTTCCCATTGCTTGCTTCCATCGGTTCCGCCCGAAGATGAGCTGCCGTCGCCGGCCGGAGGTCCGAACACGGCCATCGTACGACACCAGCCACGTTCTATTGCCAACAATAATGACTTGCATGGATTTGTTGAGCTGAGTTGAATTCAGGGAACCATGCTGGAACCTTTGTCGTGGAATATCCAGATCATGATTGGTCTATTGCACGATAATTATAGTAAAAGTCGTCATGACGACCATTCGGTG